GCCCCTTTTTCTTGCTAATTCCACTTACTCGGGCTAAACAATGAGGAGAGCGGGAATCCGTTGCTGGATTGTCACTTTTGGACATGAGGATTAGGTCTGCTTCCCCTACGCCAAGGTCTCTAACCACCTGCGGCGACATGGAGGTACTGACTTCTACGAAGTTGTCAACTGAAACTCGATTAGCGACTTTAATCTCAAAGGGTTTGAAGGTGCCATCTTCTTTAGAAGATTGAAAACCCTGCCACGCTTCCAGGACTAAAAGCGGTTCGAACGTTCGCTGGTAGTCCAAAGCATCCGTGAAAGTGTTCGAGACAAGGGTGTAATCTGTTCGACCACAATTCGGCGGAAGGTCACCAGTGGCGAAGAAGTCCCAATCTAAGATTGTCTTGTGAAGCTCCGTCAAGTCAGGCGACAGCCTGGCACGCATGTCTTTTGCAGAACGTGCAACCTTAACCTTTCTAACAGGCATCCGCTGTAGGAGCCTCATCTTCTTACTTTCTTCATATGCCCTAACAGCATCTGGCTTCATGGGTGCCCTTCGTCCAAATGTCTCCTGATCATCTTCATCGCTTTCAGATTCAGAGCTGGTCTGCGAAACCATCATACTATCAGCTGGCTTCGGTTCAGTTATGTTGACTTTGATAGAATCAAGGCCAGAGCCTTGACTCATTGTCTGTTCTGCGACACCAAGCAGAGGTAGATTTCTCTTCCGACGATCTGCCTCTAGCTTGTCACGTCTCCTCTTCTCCTCTCTCTCTTTCTCTCGCTTCTCGCGGAAAGTTGCAATATTCTGATCTAGCGCGAGTGGTTTCACTGGTTTTTGAGGCCCTGGTACACGCTTCTCAACTCTTTTTGGCAACATAGCCAACCTTGCCTTGTTGAGCTCGACAGATGAAGAAAGCTGTAAGAGAACGTCATCAGAAATGTTGCCATCCAGGTCATCTTCGCCGGACGCTCTCGGAGCAGCTGTAGCAGATTTGTCTAATGGTCTTGCGAAATCGGTGATAGATCTTTGCTTTTTGACTGGAACTGGAGCTGCTGGCACACCCGAGAATGACTCTCCATAGTACGCTTCCAGTGCCCTAACGAGTTCGGCCTTCTCTCGTTGTGTCAGAATTGTCTTAACCTCTGAAGTTACTGCTACACCGCGGATGAAATCAAGTGCATCTTCAGGCAGCTCAACGTTCAGCTCCCCTAGTCGGCGTAGAAGTTTTACCACTAGTCCGCCTAAAGTGGTGGCCAGATACTCATCCTTCAGACGAAGCCATTTGACCATACCGCTCATTGTGCTAGTCGGTGCTTTGAGAAGGGTCTCCTTAGCAGATTGAGACAAATTTGGTCTTGAATCTGCAATAGAAGCAACAAAAATGGGGAATTGATCAAAAAGTAGATCCGCAAACTGCATAGTATCCCGACAAAATTCCATCATAATGCTTCTATCAACCCCTGTGCGGTGCCATGTTTCTGTTTCATTAAATACGGTAGTTAAGCCGATCCATTGGTATTCCCAAAGCTTCTGTAGTGCACCAATTTCTTTATCCTCTGTTAATTGGCGAGTTCTCAAGATGCCCGTTTGAGAATCGCAAAGAACCTCAATAATATCGGCCCCTGTCTTTACCATTCTAGGTGCTGACGCAAAAGTTTTCATTTTTGCAATTCGACGATAAGACCAGCTAAATGCATATAAGGTTGGAGTCCAAAATGCTTGAAATAGATGGGATATGGCTTCTTTACGGCCAGATTGGCCGCTAACAGCTTTGATAAGATCAACCGCAGCTTGGTATGTATTGAGGTCGGCAGAGAATAAGGCGGAGATAGGCGCTAAAGGGGTCGTAGAATCTTGGAAAAGCTGATCAAGATGCTCAGGTTTAAAGTCTGCCAATCGTTCTAATATCGAGCAAAAACAGTGTGTTATGTGGCCAAACATAGTGTTATAATGGGTCTTTTCGGCGTTATGTTCACCTTTAGTTGGGAACTTTTCGAGCCCCGGGAGCGGGTATAAGCCGATTAATACTGCGCGGGAAAGCGCAACATTACCTTCATGGAGATGCCGAACAACTTTGTCCCAGAATTTTGGAGTATACGTGCTCACGTTTTGGACCATACTTTTCTGCTCAAGGATCATTCCATAGTCTGCCTTTAATGATTGGCATTCGAATGCGATGACGTTCCGGATGATATCAACACACAACGATGCGAGGTCACCAGATTTTCCATGCATCACAAAATCAGGAGGATTAAAAAGAAGATCTAGTTGTCCAACAACTATTTCTAACGTTTCCGACAAGAAAATGGTAGCCACTGAGCCTCTCCCAGATGCATTATCGGTGAACGTTCTTAGTAAAAGTCGCAAAACAGACAATCCAGCGTGAACACAGTAATACCTGACGCGCTCTGGGAACTGGGAGCCTTGAAGGCGAGAAAGAAGCTGCTGAATCAAGTATCTGCATGCCCGCGGGCGGTCTGCATCTATCAGCGACGAAACGAATGGACCCAAGAATATTAATAAGTCTTTTAAAGGTGAAGTCTCAAATGGTTCATCTTCATCGGTCTGCATTAGAAATCTGTCGTATTGTGGGTTGCCAAATATGCGTTGGAGGATAACTTCAGGTGGGATAGTCGACATTGCGTCACAGAATACCTTGGGCGCTTTTTCGAGGAGAAGGCGAATTGTGTTTAGTAAGGGTCGAAGGCAGGGTGCCTGAATTTCGAGATGGTTGAAACATAATTGATAGATATTGACCTCTAGAGCACGTAAGCTATGGGTAATGATGAAATCATCACACCTAGAAACAATGAGGTACAGCCCGCGCCACAATCTCTCCGCAACGTCAGGCATGTAAGGCGGAGAATTAGCTTGGACCAATATTGGCATCAGTGGCTCCTTGATAACTTGGTCAAACTCTTCTCTCGTTAAGGCTTGGGGTATTTTCTCCCAGGTAAAGACAGCCCATCGACTTCGAAGTGGATCCGGATCGAATAGAAACCGGATTGTTCCAGGGATATACTCGGGGATTCGGAGCCTTCGGCGAGTCTGTGCCATTCTGAATGGCCCGTCAAAATGCTGTCGAAACATGTCCTCTTGCTTCATGAACGCCTCGCAATTCAGTGCCTCAAAGAATGAACATACGGTTGGCCCATCTAAGACATCCGGCACCCTTTCGGATGGGTCAAGCGAGCCTAGTACCCTAGTTGCTGTATCCAAATGGTCTATGATACGGCTTATATCCCAGTCGTCCAGATATTTGCTGAAATTAGTAACTTCGGTGTCATCATAGTTCACTCTCAGCGTTTCCCATAACCATGATTTTCCCTTGTAGTATTCCATAATACATAGTTCACAAGTCTCAAGACTATGCTTAAGACGGTCTCGTATCCAGTCTTGACACTCAGGGAGCTCCACCCCGTCAAAGGCGAGTAGAGGAAGGCAGGACAGGAATTTCTCTCGTCGCAACCGCGACTCCTCCTTTGCTGTTCGAATTCCAGCAAGTCTTTTGCAGGCTTCTTCATCCTTTTTCTTGCATTTTTCTAAATCCACCTCCTCCTCCTTGTAGCGTGATTTATCATCGTCGTTCTGGCGTGGGCAAAGAAGATGGAGTTCACTCGGCAGGGCTCGAATCTCGCTGTAAATGAAGGCACAGAGCATCAGTAGAAGCATCCAAAGCGCAAAGCATCCCACTAGACGAGAGAGAAATAATAGACACTGTAACCATACCCTAATGGCTTTAACAGCTCTGCCATTCTGAGAAGCGCCCCCCAGAAAGCGGGCGTCTTCCCAGAACAACAACAGTGGACGACTCTGAGCGCCCAAGGAGCGATCTTTTAACGGAGCCCCAATCACTGGAAAAGTGGTACCCTATACTCTCCATGAAAACTCCATTATTTCAGAGCAGTGCGGTATTATCTCGAAGCTCACACTCTGGAAGATGGAAGAGGGAAGTGATTTTATACTCTATTATCTGTAAGGAAGCCCAAGCTATCCTGACTATTGGAAATTGGGAGAGTTATAAAGAAACTGTACCACAGAATTTAGATAAGGACAGGTCGGTTTTCTGTCAGGCTTCGATACTGCGACAGTCACAGCCGCGTCGTCCTCCGCTTGATCCAGAAAAAGGCAGAACGCGCTAGTTAACCACTCAATTAGTTAGTTAGTTAGTTAACTAACTACGGAGTAATTTTAGCGCGTCTCCCGGGCACTAGCGACTTCAATGACGAAAGTCTGGATGGCGGCATTATTTTGCAGCGCATACTCCGTCCATGGCAAGCTGGAATTTACAGTAGCTTGATGACCATTCTTTGGGTTCTCATATCAAAGCCCAAGGGCTTAGGTAGCAACTTGTTACATACATACATATCTTAGCATAGATACTCACCAACCTTCTAAAGCGAAGGTGCAGGCAAAACTTCATCCCAACATCAAAACAAGTCTGAGTTCCAGCAATCCCCCAAAAAGCGAAAAAAAAAAAAAAAAGGAAATGTAATGAAAGTGAGCCTGTATAAGGATTTGAAATGGCATTCACTCGAACCTAATCCAGGGCCACTAGAAGTACTCGGGAAATAGCGGGTTTTATACATGACTTTCAACAGGAGGCACCAAAAACAATTAGCAATCAGTATATATATATATACCATGGCAGTATTTGCCCTTCAATTTCAAATGACCTTGGACAAAAGAAAAGCGCGAAACGGAAAAACTTTGTCTGGGGGGTCCAAACAGTAGCAAATAACCGAACAGACGAAACTAGTAACCTGGTGGAACGCCTCTAATGTTTTCATGATAAAGCAGGTAAATGTTTAATAGAAACTTCATGAGAACGAGAAGTAAGGAAATAGCACATATAACTCGTAGAGATCCTGAGGGCGTGTAAGAAGGCTGGATATACAGGGGGTATGGGTTGAAAAGAAAAGGGGAGACGGAAGGCGATGAACGTAATCGCTGCAATCAGAGAATAGCAGTGGGGTGAAAAAAGAAGAACGCGACATTGAACTACGCCTAACTTTTAGTGTTCGGGTATCGGATTGGGTGTTTGGTGACCATATCTGCCGTGCGTCGATTCCATTCGGGCCAACATTGCAGCAGAAGTGAAATCATTGCTGGCTTCAAAGCTAGTCCTTGCACGTTCACCTGAGGGTCGTCCTTGCTCAAATGACTGTCGTACTCGCTCAACAGAATGTCGTGGATGACTTCGGAAGTCAAACGAGTGTCGAGTGCGATCGAGGGACTGCTGCGGCTGATGTCGCATTTCTAAACTCGCGGAATATCCGGTTCCATCGCTACCATTTTGGCTACGAGGGTTATGTGTGTTGGCTGTAGGCGCCACAGATGGGGGATAGATGGGGCGCTCATCCTCGGGGACGCCTTTCTTGCCATTCGTGTCCGTTAGCTTTGGGGGAGCTGCTCCTGAGGCCGACATGGAGCCGGCGGTAGGAGGGACATATGCTTCGAAATTGTCAAGGTGCTTGAAATTGCCAAGCGTTACTTGTTCGCGAATAATGTCCACGTCTCTGGGAGCATATATCTTTTGAAGAGTCTTAACAGTAAACCGCGGAGCCAGGCACATTGTGACTGTGAGCAGTGTCAAGGCCCAAAAGGCAAGGCTACCGAACACCTCGGCACCGGACTTATAAAAAAATCCAGACGCAGGGACTGAGGAGTAAACCCCTGTCCAGAACCAGATCAAAAGAGAGCTAATAACATTTATCAGTACGGTCAACCAATCCCAACGATATGTGTTCAGCAAAATATAGAGATTGCTGGAAACGACGGCACAGCATCCAACAAAAATGCCAATTCGCATCCTGTCACTGATATCCAGCCCATTTTCTGATACATTTTGGGCCGGCGAATAAAGCATATATGTCATGAAAAAACAGACAACCGATTGGTAAAAGCCATCAAGCATGTATAACCTTTTGATACAAGTTAATATTAATTTTCCTTGACAGACAGTTGGGTAATATTACCAGAATTTGCATTGGGTCCATTCCTTGCGCTCAATACCTCTTTTGTATAACTGTGGCACAGCCAATGACACCTTATCATCCACATCTTGGTCCAAGATACCCATTAGAATAACAGGTAACGAGGTAAACGCGAGATTGACCAGGATGATATAAGTGTAGTCAAAAAGGTAAGACCCATCAAAATTGTTGTATATACAATACCAGAATAGGGCAAAGGTCCAAACAAGATTCTAAATAGAAGATAAATCAGTTTAGCAAGGAGCCACGCTATGCGAAATCATACCTTATAGAAGAAATTGGCGATCGTTTCACCTAACCGGCGATAGGACCATCTTCCATGCACGAGCACTAATCTTTGCAAGAATCGAAATTGGCCGATAGCATAATCTGACGACATGACAGCTTGTCGGCCTTCCTCGCCAGCAATTCCAACACCAACGTCTGCTTCTTGAATCATGGCAACATCATTGGCGCCATCGCCAACAGAAAGTGCCATAATATTTAATCCTTCTTTAACAAGCTGCACGACACTAGCTTTCTGAGCTGGGCTGACTCGACAACACAGGACAGACCTGCACTGTTTACATAGCAGGAGGAATTTCTGTTTCAGCTCATCACTCAGCATCAGTTTCAAGGTATCACCGTCAACTATAACGGCATGTGTTGGGTCTGGAGGCTCATGGTTGTCTCGAGCGGCAAGGAGTTCTTCATCAGACCCAGTAAGGCCAAACCCGGACAAGTATCTATCCAGCTCCTTTGACGCCGACACTGGGTCGTTGCCATCAATGTTAAAGATAATCAACTCCATCTCATTAGTTAACAGATTGCATGAAAATCCGATATTAATGGCCGTCTCGACTTTATCTCCCGTTAACACCCAAAGCTTGATACCAGCGGTAGCCAGTAGAGCAATGGTATCTGGTACACCTTCCTGTAACCGGTCTTCAATTGCTGTGCCACCAAGCAATGTAAGTTGTTGCTCAATTGCACTGGAAACCTCTTCAAGCTTGGCATCACGATCAATGAGGGCCGCAGCTGCAAGCTCATGTGTTTTATTCCATGTCTGGTATTCATCTTCACTAAGTACCCGCTCAGCAATACAAAGGGTGCGCAGGCCTTCTCTTGCAAATATTTCAAGATGCTCTGCGGTTGTTTTCCTTAGTTCTTGCTGTTCACCGCGAGCGAGTCGGGAGTAAATTATGCTGTCCGCACCTTTGCAGAACAGCTTAATCGTACCATCAGGCAGTCGAATAATCGCGCTCATCCTTTTCCTGGACGAATTAAACTCTAATGTATTGAGAACAGTATACGACCTGTCCTCGCCCATAACATTCACCTTGATATCGTCCCCTGATCTTCCAAGCACAGTAAAACCACAATCTCGAGCTGTAGCAACTAATGCTGCCTCATCAGGGGACTGAGCTTTGAAATCAATTTGCGGAGGGTCGCCTGGCGTCCGCTCAGTGATAACAGTGTGACACAAAGCGAGAGCCAGCATGAATTCTTCTGTCGCCTTTCGTTGTTCGGAGCTAGATTCGCCAGCGAGATCAGAAACAAAGTCAGGAGAAACAAACGTTAGTTGATCGTCATGAAGATAAGGGTTATCATGGATAGATCGAAGTTGTTGGAGCATCGCAACGCGCGATCTTGCAATTTGGTCTCTAGCTTTTCTGGCAACTTCTTCCACATTAACTCCCTCTCGGCGTTGCATACCAGCCTGTGCTTCTGTGTACGCTTCTCCGTATGATACGCCAGCAATTGTGCATTTTCTGAACTCCATGACATTTTGGGTCAAGGTTCCGGTCTTGTCGGAAAAAATGTACTCGATTTGGCCGAGATCGTCAGAAATGTTCCACGACTTTGGCGTACAGGGATACTGTAGCTTTTCGTAATACATAAAATTGTCGCTGTGGATAAAAATGGCTTGAGCAGTGCGGACGATCTCGAGTGATATGTAAAGTGATATCGGTACAAGGTTCTGGAAGAGGATAATGGCAGCCCAGAAAGTAATGAACCCATCAACAGAAGGAGAGCCACCATAGGAACCAAACTCAAACCAGTCCAGTGAGTTGTCGCCCTGTCCCCAGGTTACGCCTTGTGCGATACCAGAAACAAGGCACATAAAGAATAAGATAACAAAATTGTAAATGACGTTCCAGTTAAGGTCTCTTGCTAACCTGGCACGCTTTCTCGGAGTTTCGCCAGAATTAAGCATAATTTTCGTTTGTAGCCCTGTAAATATAACAACACCAAGAACCCACTCGGTATTTCGAAGGTTACAACCCCGAAGAAGAACATTGTTGATAGTTATGGGTTCAACCATTTCCTCAGGAGTAGCATCCGGGTTTTTGGAGTTTCGTTGCTCCCACTTAATAGCACCGTTATATTGGTAGAGATTCGCATGGGGAGATTCGCTTTCAATGATGAAAGAGGCCTTTTCACAATCCCTCGCATGCTTGACACCACGTCCGCAGTGAAGAGCCTGTCGCACTTTCAAATTCGTTTCTCCATCAAGATTTTTGGTTTCCACGTAGCAAGCGCCATCAGGATCAGACGTTGACAAAATTACCACATCGGCTGGGATTTGCTCCTCGTTGTAAAGACGCACGAAGTCACCCACCTGGACATTCTTCCAGTAATCTCGGGCAAACCTCGCCGTTCCTGGCGTTTGCTTCGACTTGTCGAGGACACTGCCATAGCTTTTAGGAGCAATGGGGACGTCTGCCAAGCCTAGAGCTTCAGGGGCCAGATGCGCTGCGCTGGGTGGCAAAGTTCCATTCGAAGTGGATAAAGGTGGACTTTCATCCACGCGGGTAGTATCATCTGAGCCCCATGCAGTGGACTCAGCCCGTCGTCTGTCGAAAGACGGGGAAGGAATAGGCGTCATTGGTATGGCGCCATTTACGTCCTCAGTGCGATTCGATTGCATGGAAGCTCGTTGAGAGTATGTGGATTGTCGCCTTGACGTTGCGATGGAACTACGCCTGGTCGGCGCATCTTCTTCCTTCTTAGCCGGCTCTCCATGCCGAAGACGTTGAATAAACTTGTATAATTTCTTAACACCTCGAGTTGATGCTTTCTTTATCCGGCGCCACGTAGATATATTGTCCTCCGTGGAGTTTATATTATTCCAATCAACCAACCGATGTATTGGGGAATTATTCAATTCGTTGTCCAAAACTGTCCTGCGCCAATCCTCGATAGCATCTTTGATGGCGGTGATGGTGAGGATAGCGATTAAAGGTACGGCGTTCAACCCCGGATTTGAAGCGCCAAAAATTGGGAAAATCTAAAGCATCACGGGAAGTTAGCGTATTGCTGGATGGGCCTTACCATCAGTTGGGTAAGCTTACACTGAGAATAATGATGAAAAGAAAGTACACATTGGCGATATTATGGAACTGGAACCATAAATTTTTGGGGACAAAACTTAATGGGGTATATTTCGCAGTTCTGATTTTGTTCCTTGCATAGCTAGCATTCAAATTCCCATCCTCGTCCTTATCTTCTGGAGCGATAGGAGTATTGAAATATATCCTCCGCTGGTCAGAGTCATCTGTCGAGGCACTTCCTTCAGGAGATTGCCTGCCCTTAGGCAGACTACTGGCAGTGGACTCGCGTTTTTCCTCCTTCAAACTGAGTCTCTTTTGGAATCTGTCGACGATAGAAATTCGTTTCTTCAGCCCTCCAGAATCTGTATGTCGCTGCGTGGCCCATCGCATTCGTCGGACTGGCTTCGAGATATTCGGTTCGCCGTCCTCCCCAAACTGAACCACCGCCATGACGGGCTAGGTCGATGGGTGTCTCATACGGTTCTAGGAGCGGCGGGGAGCGGGTGGATTTGACATCCAGGGCAGATGCTGAGCTCAGGCGAATCAAATGGGGCGGAATGACGGAGCAAGGCGGCGACGCGACAAGGGCCAAGGCTGGCAGAAACGACAGCAGATCAGAGCAGACGGGCGAAGAAGTGGCACATGCAGGCAAAGTGAGGGCGGGCAGAAATGGCGACGTCGCCTCCGGGCGGGAGATAAGAATCGCAGGAGCGGGCTGTTACAGGCCAGGGTGGTCCGGGGGCAGGTGACGAGGCAGCGTAAGGGTCGGACGGGCGAGATAGACGACGCGGCAACGACCGCAGAACGGCTCAGCAGCCGAGTTCTTCTCGAGAGCCGTGGGTGGGCGATCAAGAGGACAGCGTTAGCGGATCAAACAGGCTGGTGGACGACGCTCAGCTGGAGTTGACACCGCAAAGAGCACTTAATTTACGGCGGAAGAACATTGATCCGGGGCCGGCTGCCCTGCAATTGGGCCGGAAAAGGAAATGTTGTTTCGTCATCCGCAGCGCGAGGCTGAGTCAGCGCACGTACCCGAGTCGACCAGGCAGCCAAATTCCCGATCGGGGCGGCTGCGACGGCGCCGTTGCAGGATTTGGGGCCAGATTGCACGTCGTCGTTGCAGCGTGCCGTGCGTGGCCGTGGGCGGACGGGCGGAGTCGCTGTGCGGAGTCGCGATGGAGCCTTGACCTCATCGCTGCATGGGTCCGGCAGTGCATACACGCAGACATACGCTGCGCGCACCCCGCATGGTTTGGCTCCCGCTGCGCTTACGGCCGATGGCTGGACCTTCGGCGCATCGGATACCCAACACAATTCTGTCCTTTATTCTCCGGCCTAACTATACAGTGCTTCGCGAGGCTTCACCGCCCGTCTCTGGGCGAAGTTGTCCTAGACAGCCCCAGCAGTGCCATTTTCGCCGGCGACTCGGTCATTTGTCATCGGACGGAAGATCGCCTTTACCCCTGCTCCTCTCGTCCCCTCCTCCCAAGTGCATGTGAGCACCTCCTCTCTTCCGTCGTTACATACATATCCTTCGCTCGTGCTAAGCCAGCTAGCCAGGCCTTTCCACGGAACCGTGTCACAGCTACCGAAACTTTTGTTTCGGGTTTGCGAGTAGCCGTGTTTCCGCCCCGTCTGCTAACTACGTAGTTGCGAACTAGCAGCGTGGCTAGACAGGGCTTCCCTCGTGTAACTCTCCGAAAAGCAGCGCCAATAGCCCATGCCCTTCCATTGTCTCCCGTCTTAGGGCTCGCTCGAAGGTAACTCGGTACAGAGTTTTCTGAAGAAACAAAGGACTAGTTCATTGTCCTTTGTTTGTGGCTTGTATCCCAGGCTTTTGTTTTGATATGCAGTCTTGTGCGTTGACTGTACACACCTTTCCGAAGAATTATCTTAAGTTTTTTGTTTGTGAATCAAGGATGGTTTTAAGCTTATAGGAAGTTCATAATCTCGTGCATCTGCAAGTAAGAACTTGTGTGTAGGCTTTGACTCTAGAGCTGACATATGGCTCGGAAACTAGCAAGGGCTTATGGAGTTCCAAGATTCTAGGTACCTTATACATGTTTAGTATACTACTCAGTACACAGCGGCATGCTCCGTATCCGGATGAAATTTATTTTATGAGAACCAGTTCCATATTATCCCATATATCGAGGGGCCTTTGTATGGTGCCGGTATAATACCCTCTGCCTTTTGGGTGGATCTTTCCAGTGCTTGGGCAAATTCATAAAACTGGAGCAGGGGGCATGGGTTGCTGAGGTTCCTACAGCCAACAAGACAGTCAATGGTTATAGCCTATCTGTATTCTTAAAAAGGTAAATATTAAAAACATAGAGCCCATTCCCGCGATAATTCATCACAACTCCGCTTCCACACAACCACCACAAGGCCCCCGCCAAGCCGGCATCCGGATGTTAACTAGATGACTAAAGCAGCACTGCACGGTGCACAAATGCTTGGCAGTTTGCTAATTGATCATGTGATTTCGCGATCGGCCTTGACGCGGCCCGGGACGACCATCGCGATCAAAGCTGATACTGGCACTTCAGAATCGTGAAGCTTTCTTCTGACAATGGCAAGGAAACCGGATATTTCCAGCTACTTCTCAGCAGTCAAAGGCGTTGAGACCCCTGCCAAGGACGATCCATCCCAGAGCGCCCCATCCTCACCCCTCTCCTCATGTCCATCAAACCTTTCCTCACAGGACTTTTTATCGCCCAAGACGACCAGAACTTCGAAAAGACCCCCGAGCCCGCTAAAATTTAACTTCCAAAGCAGGCTATTACCGTTAGACGATGAATCTATCAACCAGGACTCAAAACCTAATATTTCCTCACAACATATGTCGTCATTCGGAACTAGCTTAGGAAGCTCACAGCGGGTCGTCAAGGATGGCCAAGTCATTGTGACAGGCTCAGATGGGGAAGACACCGATTCTGTTTGTTCAGTTGGATCTCTTGATGACATGCTAGACAACTTCCTTCGTCGTGACCCACCAACTCTTCCCCCGCAGACAAACAATACTCGCAAGCGCAAATTACTGACATCTCCAAAGTACCACTTTTCTTTGGAAAGTTTAGTGGCGGATACCCTTAACGATAGGAAAACAGAAGCAAAAATTTCTGAGCTAAAAATGAAGCTTCAAAGTCCAGTCAGCAATCGTGACAGATCCAATCCCAACCGAACTCCAAAACAAAGGAGCAGAATGTTTCGTGAAGACATCCTAGCCTCAGCCATTGGCGAAGAATCCAACACGGATACACTGCAGAAGCTAAAAAATGCTGTTTATAGAACGGAGGCGTTTGATCAAGAAAAGAGCTGGAGCTTTTTTTCTGAGAAGATATCGCCAACTACCCCTCCTAGATTTCCCGAGAAGTCAGTTTCTCCTGGGTCTTGGGAGGCGGCTCTGAAAGGTCAGCTCATAGCAATTATATTAGACCTACAGGTTTTTAACCTATGCTACAGTGCCTATTTCTCGCGATAGAGCTATGCTCTCCGGCTTAGTAGGGGAGTCCTTGTCCAACAGTGTTCTTCCTGATGAAGTTCTCCTTTGGATACTCCAATCGTGTATGCCTCTCCGGCACTATTGGAATGAATTTTCGTTAATTGATTATCAGGCACATCAGAACCTCGAGACGATATCCGATTTTCTTTTTGCAGCGCCCTCAAGGTACGCAAGATTATGCATCGCACTTCTATTTGCCATATTCTAATTTAGTTAGATTGCGCCAGCAAACCGAATAGCGCAACTTTTCCATCCTGCTAGCATTGATCGAATATTTGGCGACCTAGGCGCACGTCAGGAGGCTCTTGCAACCGAAGACATTGTGGTTCCGACGTTCCTTCGATCAAAATGTGAGCTATTCTTGGTTTTCTCTCTGTAGTACCATTATTAATTGATGTAGGTCTGAGTGCGGGCGAGTGTAAATATATTCTCTCGGTTTTAGATCTCATCAGCTGCCTGTCTCCAAAGTACGCCCATCCATTTAATGTTGTGATGATCCCAGTACTAAAAGCCGGCCACATATAGATTAGATTCGGAAGCTCGAAATCACACTCTAAGGGTTCTTCTCCGTCTGACTCTAGATGAATCCTTTATGCTTGACTCTCTTTCGTCAATAGCGACTCATCGGGCGATAACGTCTCTCTTTGGGGACACAGACATTTTCGTCACAGATATTGATGTAAGGACTCTTTAAATGCCACATGTTACTTTGCTAATTATCAATAAAGCTTTATGAACTATCTCTGCACCTTTTCAAAACAATTCGGGATGTTGCGCTCCAAAGTCAGGTACTAAAACATATTCGCCATCCTGCTCCCCAAATCGCTGTGTTTAGGTGCCGGCTGGCCGCTGCATTCTTTTTCGATGACGAAACGCTCCTGACAAAGCCGATGGAACTTGTGTTTGATTTAACCCGCATGACTTCTCAACTGCGTGATAATCGCTTCAAGACCAACCGCCCAAGTTCTACGGGATGGCAACCTTTTGATTACTGGGAGCTTACTTCTTTAATTTCTATTTTAGATGTTGCTATCGACTCGGGCACAGGCGAAAGGACGTTCCCCGACAAACAAAGCGAAGCAGAATTCAATAGGAAGGTGGATAAACTCGCTGGGCAGATTAAAATAATATTCTCTGCGATACAAGACACGGGGGCTTCCCATCTTAAACGGTCAGAAGCAAAGGAATTTTTGCAGGCTCTATATTACAGACTGATATATGCCGTTCGAACCAAGCCACAGCCAAAGGTTTCCTGGTTTCTGTCTCCTAAGGGAAAGAACGAGATATGGAGCGGAATCCACAAAAGTGAGAATTTGATGGAAAAGTTTTTAAACCAGGGGAGAAATAACGGCTCCAATAAAGAGGGTTTAAAATAACTTGATCACAGACCGTCCTTGTGCATATACCCCATCTATATTATTTAATGACAACTGCCTTTATTTTCGAAACTTGACTGGTTGCTACTACACAATAGATGCAGTATCATGATCTAATCATGTTCAATACTTGAATATTGTCCTGTACAGAATACTCGGAATTACAGTATTTCGCTCTAGAAATTGGTAACCAGTGAAAGTGCCGCATTAGCTAATAAAGAGTACATTCCAAAAAATAATTGCCGTGCTTGAATCAAACCTCAGTCATAGAATTTGCGGTTCTCATTTTTCCCGAAAAGCAACTCTCGTACAACCGGAAGAGAGTCTGTTTCAAGTAATCTCAGTCGTTCCTCAAACGTATTGTTGATTTCAATTTTGCCGCCGCCACCGATTATGATGACACCTCCGGCACTGGGAAAGTATCCGAATTAGAATACACCTTCTATCCCAAAAATAATATATGGAAAATAAAAAAAAAATAGAACTTACGATTCTTCAGGGAGAGGATCAGTTTCGATAATGTTGACCGAGACTTCTCTTCCAACCTTGTCTTTGAATTCCCGCCCGGCCTCCTCACCAGCTTTTTTGACAGCATCGTAGTCCTTCTTTCGTGATCTCACCTGGATCTTTTGCTCATTCAGCGCATACATGCCCTCAAGAATCAACCCCTTCAAAATTTCTCCAATTTGCTTTCTTTCCTTCCCCTTGGAGTTTCCCTTTCCTCCATCTACACCACCACTCAAGCTTTCCCTCGCCCTCTCAAACAATTCGTCTAGTACGGCTTGCTTAGCAGACAGTACTCGCAAACGGCTCTTATTTGCTAGCGTCGAGCGTGTAATCTGCTGGGACATGGCGGCTTGCTTGAACTTCTTCTCATAGAGAGTATCGATGGCAGCTGTCTCTTGGCGAACGAGCTTGGATTTTTCAATAGCAAACTCTTCGTCGGCCTTGATTCGGATTTCTCGAGCTTTTTCTAGGGCTTCTTGTTTAATGAACGCGGTCATTTTGCGGAGCTCGCCCGCGACCTGGAAGTGGTTAGCTAGATAATTATGAATAACTACTCAACATACCTGATCGTCGGAGAGTGCATGGCTTTGCGACATATTAAGGAAAGCTCTGTGTATCACAATTGAATGCAAGGCTTGACGGCAGCGTCAAGTGGTGTGAGGTTGGGAGGATGACGACGAGGAGCACGGGGTCGGAGGATGAAAGCCACCTATGCAGCAGAAAAAGGGTTGCACAGTAGGAAATCGCTTTCTTTACGGAAGCCTGCACCAGCTATACAAGAAGAGCGAGTGTCAGATGATAGCTATGGCGGTAAATTGAAGGGATGGTAGGCATCCAGGCAGGTCTGTTATCGCGCTTCTTGGCGTGCTGCTTATGTCATGGGATCTGATAAGATCTGATAGTGCCGTTCTCGCATATAGAAAAAAGGGCAGCACTCCGAGAACGTCGATAGATATTAATAATATTTAGATTCGAGTAAGATGTGCAAGCCAGACCTCCAGTCTGCTGCTTCGAGCGTAAAAAGAAACTATGTTGTTAGGGGCTTGTGCTGCTGGCCTCGAAAGAACGCGTCTGAAACGCTGATGTCAGTCTGCACCAACATGTGGGAACGGGACGATCCAAACCAACACACCTGACAGCCAGAGTCGGAAGTCACACCATCCCCGCGACATACCGTCAACAATGATATGTGCTGTCCGTAGCTGCTCACTAGCTGGCACACTTCTCTCGATATTTATGTTTTCTGGGCTCAATATGGTGGCCATGTCCATTTTTTCTCGCTGAGGGCTTTTCCGCAGGGCCGTATTCTGGAAGCACCTCATGCATGAAGACACCCGAAATGGGCCAGCTCGGTGATATATCGCCTCAGGGGAGTATCGCTGTACGTATGGGCCATGCAGAGATTTTTTAATAAGCTGTACTGACTCTTGAGTCCTTGCAGATTGGTGTTTTGGTCGGATTGGTGTCAACCAGCCTCCAAGCTATCGGGCTAACCCTTCAACGAAAATCGCATATACTTGAGGATGAGAAATACCCTTACGACATTAGAAGGCCGCCATATAGACGAAGAAGATGGCAGGTATAGCTCTAACCGACCCCCCACCGGCCGGCTGCGACGGGACGCTGATGAGGGCATAGCTTGGCATGTTTATGTTTGTCCTTTCGAATATCGTCGGTAGCACAATTCAGATTACCACCCTACCACTACCGGTACTTTCGACTTTACAGGCAGTATGTTATAGGCCCTTATCTTCTATACCTGTGTTGGGATGGAAACTTATAAAGATAGTCCGGTCTGGTGTTCAACACGATCTTTGCAACGCTGATTCTTGGAGAGCCTTTCACCCGTTACTCTTTCGGCGGTACTATTCTCGTTTGTATCGGCGCGATTTTGATCGCCATTTTTGGGGCCATCGGTGAGCCCGCGCATACCTTAGATCAGCTTCTTAAGCTTTTAGGACGATCGGCTTTTCTCCAATGGATCGCAGGAACGGCGGTAATAATTGTGATTACACTTTTGGGTGCTCATATGTTGAAAGGTCCTTCGGTTTCTGGCTGGTCTGGTAGCTGGGGCCATTCGAATTCTAAAACACACGGGTCGCATCACCACCACTACCACAGCCCGCGGTTAAAAACGCTCAGAGGTGTTTTGTATGGCGCAGTTAGCGGTATACTTTCTGCACACTCGCTGCTTGTAGCGAAAACCGCCGTTGAATTGCTTGTTCGCACCATTCTTGATCGCGTCAACCAATTTAACCGATGGCAATCTTGGGTCATTCTACTAGGTTTGGTGGCCATCGCTCTCACCCAACTATATTACATGCATCGTGGCCTCAAGCTATGCAGCACGAGTATTCTTTATCCATTTGTGTTTTGCATTTATAACATTATTGCGATTTTGGATGGTCTGATTTATTTCCGGCAAACGTCGCGCTTGTCAGGACTACATGCTGGACTTATTGCTTTGGGGACTGTTATTTTGCTTTCTGGCGTTCTTTGTCTATCATGGAGACTGGAAGAACCCATGAGCCCTGCAGAAACAGGGGCAGCGCCTGCACCTAGTGCCTTGACCCCGGGACTTGGACTTTTGGAAGAACGGGCTCCGTCACCGACTTACTCGGGCCTTATTTGCCCGTCTGATGAAGAATCATACCCTGCAGAACGGCAACCGCTGCTATTGCAAACACCTAGCCAACAACGGACCCCATCTCGCCGTTACACCACAGCTCTACCCCCGTCATCGCAGGAGCGGCACAGCATGGGCCTAGCCAACGAAACAGCTCAAATCTGGGCCGACCTGTACGACGAAAGCAGCACCGGCAACGATAGCAATGCTATGGCCCCAAAATCCCCCAGCCAATGCCCTGCATCCCCTTCCACACTCCACCGCCAAGATCAAAGACAGCGAAGCACGAGCGGCACCATCCCATTCACAGCCAGACACCCCAACACCGCCCCCACATCCCCAGCATCTCTTTTTCCCGAGCGACGGAGGTCCATAAGATGGCAAGGCGTGTTGAGAAATAACACCAGCAGCAATAGCCGTCGCCTGCGCTGCGACGCCGGTTCTGGGTGGCGCCGTGCGTCGACACCCGTTGTGGGAAGAGGTGTTCGGGAGCCGATTTTTGCACTTCAGGTAGATGTGGGGGCTGGTGCGAATGCCGATGTTGCAGATGGGACTGCCCCCGGCAGGCCAAGTCGGGCTAGGGAACCCGAGGATGGTGTAAGTGTAGGGGAGCAGGACGACGACGATGAACAACGAACAGGGGCTCAAGGCACGTGGCTTAGTCGGCTCTTTCATACTCGTTGAATTTTAGAACTTCCCATTATAATAACATAGTTAACTATTGGCAAATTTAATGATATTCGTTCCAACATGGCTTACTAGACCGTTCCATCACAGAAAATCCAAGCCTACATCTCCAAAGCCCTAATTGAGAGTAGCGATTATAAATTTCAGTGAATAAAATATAACTTTAAATTCCATATGTCGTCAACTAGTATACGATAACAGGATGAGAAGTTCGAGTTTAAACCAGCAGGGAATGGAATTGAACAAGTGCACTCCCTATCCACCCAAACGTTTATCTTATCTGCTAATTCCTGGCGGATGGTAAAAAGGATCAATGAGTAAAAGAGGCAAGGGCCATATAAACACATAAGAGAAACAGAATAACAGCAACTATCGGAGAAAAAATGCATAACGCCACCCCATTTCGTTCCGGATTGAAAAAAATCCCCATATGCCAGGGTAAACACGGATATAACATAAAAAAGTAACAATGTGATATGTTAGTGAGCCTTTCTGCGCACAGCAGCAAGGGCCGGAGAGCGAAAAGGAAACGCTTATCCAGCTCAACCGAAATCTTCGAGGCTAATCAGGAGCAGATGTGCTCACATAGTATAGTTAAGAGTGACCAGGAGGGAGTGGGTAGATTTTCGGGCGCCTGGTCAATGTGATGAAGAGTTGTAATTAACGACACGCGTATGAGCACGTCGCAGATCGTAGGAAAATGGAAAACATGAACCCGCCACGGATACACCAGTAACACCTAAATCTCCGAAGGTCTAAACACCCGCAAAATGAAAGCCAGAGCAACAGTACTCGGAAAAGGCGAAGTGTTTTTTTGTGTTTTTGTCCTTCAATATTCTGCAAGAGGCCAGTTAGTGCCAGTGGTGGTAGGGTGGGAGTTCGAAGCGAGTAGCGAAAGAGTGTTTTAGACGAAACAGGGTATACAGAAGAATGTGTGGCTGGTGGATAAATCCTTAAACCAAGATGGAGGATAGTATAGAGCACCACAGTTCCAGGCACATCAGATATACAGGAAGAGGGATGTGTACAAAAGCGAAGGGACATGTTAGGAGCAAGGTATCGGCAACCGCATTAAAATAACATGGGTAAGGGATACGGCGGTACATGGTTGCTTAATAAGAGGGCCTTTGAGAAAAAGATAGGGAACGCGACAAGGCAGATCAAGCTGTGGGTTGGTGCTGTTGAGGTATACGACCACCAACTGGCATTCCTGGATACTGACCTCCAGCCTGTGCTTGCTGCTGTTGCTGTTGGAGATTTTGATAGTATGCCATCTGTTGCTGCTGGTCGGCTGTCATGTAGCCCGGATGCATTGGGCCGCCTCGGGGCATCTGGGCTTGTTGGGCACCTACAGCAGCATGGGCAACGTCGTCGGCGGATTCTGGGGCGACTTCCGGGGCGTCTACGCCGTTCTCGGCGCTCGTGGGTTCGGGGGCGTTTAAACAAGACTAGAGCAAGGGGCAGTTAGGACATGTTCTCAAGTATTACTTTACTGGTATGCTTGGGATGAAGAGATAGAAAATGGAAGCTTACTTGTATCAAATTCTTGCCCTCTGCCTTTGTAACAAGAGGTTGCAGCTTGGGAGTTGTGAAAGTATATACAAGACCGGTCTCGGACACGACAAGCAAGAGTACTTGAGTACCAGTGAGGACCGACAATTCGTAGGCCTAGCATACATTAGCAATTGTAGCAAAGAATCAAATAAACATGAAGCGGGGGATAGTGGCATTGTATCGGGGAGAACTCGGAGGAGGAAGGGGAGCCAGCAATTGCTGCGTCGGCAGTGGAGTCGGAACCCACCTTCTTCATGATTCCGGCCTTGCGCTTGGAGAAAGTGATGTGACGGCGAGACTTATCCTGAATGAACTTGATCTCAATCTTGCGACGCTCACGACCAGGCTTGTCTTCATCGTCGTCGTCGTCCTCCGCGGTGCTCAAGCGAGGGCGCTTGGTGCCGCGGCTCTCTACCACGCCATTGCCACCAGGGACGAGCTCGTCCTGAGCGGGCGAAGGGTTTTCGTCAGCGACAGCAGTGATATCGGCCATAGCTGGTAACAATAGCGACGCTGGGGAGTCGAGGGTTCGGGGTGGTCGAGCTGAGATACCCAAAGAGGTATGATGTTTGTGAGGATCAAGAGGCGGCCGAATCGAGTAACGCGCTGGCAGGTTGGGGGGGGATGACAGGTTTGGGTAAGGTCGCGATGGGGGGGAAGAGGAAGAGAAAAGGGAAAAGTGAGTTCAAGCCTGAAGGGGGAAGACGCGGAAAAATATGACCGCACGGTTACGCCGGATCAACGCGCGGGCCGGTCTTTCTGCGCATGCTGCACGCCCACCCAACATTACAATACCGCCGCCTCGTATTTGCTTTCTGGTGGGGCCTTCCTTCCCTGCTGCGCCACCTACCATTGGCCCCCGACCGCGATCGGCCGTCGGGCTGACTCGTACTAGCTCCGTACTGTCAGCTGTGTTTTTGCCACTGGTAATTGGCTGGCCCCCCACGCGCCGCGTAACACCTCGGTCAGCCGCTGACTCAGCCGCCCCGGCCTGCCTCGCTGGCCAAGCCTGCTTCCGCCTCTGCATCGGCCATCATGCTCTGTATATACACGCCCGTCGGCCCTTTTGGCCAATTCAGCACTTGCACCGGGGTTGCGCCTTCATGGCCCCGTCCGAATGAGGACCATAGCCCCGGGAGCCCTTTTCAACTGCGTGTTTCTACCCGTCACAAGGCCCAGACGCATCCGTCCGCTGGTCTCCCACGGCCTTGTGGCGCCAGGGTGCAAAGGCACCGCATCGGCGAAACTGTTCAGTTTGAGCCCAAAAATACACCCAACGGCCATTGCTTTTTCCCGTCACCAAGACCCTTCGGCCGGAGTACGGGGTACACGCTTTGTTCTCGTCGCGCGTTTTCTTACCTCTTGCATTTGCCGTCTCGAAAGCGGCACTTTTGAAACCCTCCCCCCAAAGACAACGAACAGGATAAAACACACGGATGCCTTTGCCTATTTTATCGCCATCGTCTCGACTCCCTGCAGTACCTACATACAAGCTCAAGGCACTGAATCCGTCAGCCTCGCTACCTTGTCACGGTGTTTTGAAAACGCCCCTCTGCCGCTCCTCCTATCCTGTGTTCGTCTTGAGAAATGCAACTATCTTGTCAAAACCCTGTGGCGCTTTGATCCAATGCCCTTCGTTTTCAGCCCCTGAGAATTCTTTCAATTCAGCCTCCATGCCGATCCCCTCGAGAAGTCGACACGCCTGCCGTCCCAAAGAAATATCCACCATTGCATCATCAATCCCGTGGATCAACAGTATAGGCGTGGACAGGAGAGCATCGACCTCATCCGTATTCTGCTCGAACTGCTCGCAACCCATCACTTCAACTAGAGTGGCTGGTATGTTAACACACTTTCCTCTGTCATCGAACCCGTGTTGCGACCTATACTTCTGGGTCGCTTCCTCGATGTGCTGCGTGAATGGCATCCATCCGCAAAATCCTACAAATCCCCCCAGTCTACTTTTAACCCGTACTGGAGAGCAAAGTAGTGTCCACAATGCCGTAGCCATACCCTGGCTTATTCCACCAAACACAATGTTCTCTGATTTTCCATCTAGCAGGTTTATTTCCTGCTCGAGCACATCCAGCACATGAAAGCATGATTCCCTGAGACCCTGAAGCTGAAGATCCTGTCGGTCGTCGGGTTCTGTCAGTGAGTAGATGTCAAACCAAGATGATAAATCTTCCTGGAAAATGGTACTCCATCTCTCGCCGGATGATGGAAATACCCATTTCCAGCTAGGAAAATGCGACTCTAGATTTTTCCCCATCGACGTCTCCGAGGAGAAAATATCCTCAGCAAATTCTGGACCGTTACTTCCTCGGCCGTGCAATAAAATCGCTGTGTGCGTGTGCGTAGTTTGCGGCTCAACAATATGCAGTCCCGGAAATTTTCGCTCGGCAGCGCTCATTTTTGCTCTGGTATTCAGTATTGTCTCTACTCAAGAGATAAGTTGCCCTAGTGGCTATCTTCCAACTATCTTCAAGAGTGTTTCGGGGCGAGATAGAACATTCAGCCTGCTACGCAGAAAAAGGTGGGGTTTTATAGGTAACTACAAGGTTGTTCTGCACACTCTTCGGGCTCACATAAATCCGCTGTGGCACTCCGTACGTATGGAGATTGATGCCCTAAAGCAGCAAAGCAGCCAGAATGTGTTAAAAAACCGAAGATGAACGCACATTCATGTTACCTTGCTAACTTTTTAACTATGTAGTCATGGAGTAACTATCATAGTCTTGGTGTCTATGCTTACTATTAGTCTAGGTCACACTTTAACTGTAGGAATTGGAGCGTTTAATTGTTATGATGCTACCACAACTGCGCCCTACCCAAACAAATAAGGACATAGACCGCCCTCGAAGTGCTTCGTGGCCTACTTACTTGCATTGCTTTCTGCGTGGATTTTCTTTTTCCCATAAACATATTGAGGGGTGTCACTTTAAAAGGTGAATATTTTCCTCTTTTCTCTCCAAATCCCATCCCCTGTTCAGGATCAAGTCTTGCTACTGGATCTGGGAGAATAGTTACACAGGCAACAATTAAGAAGGATAGTCTCTATCCTAAATAGTTGAATAGTTGGATGGAGTATATTGACACTTTTTCTATGATCCAGCCGCCCTTTCTTGATTGTGCACATTCAACCTTAAAGTTATATAAGACATAGGAGCCTTATTATTCTGGGTGCTGTTTTTATTATGGCAGCGAAAAACCGTTGGACGGAACATCGTTTATGTTTTTACAGATGACCACGAAGATCTACGGAGTACACATGAACTCACTGAAGCACGGAGTCCCTAAATACCCCATCTGCACAGGCATTTGGTGAAAAGGCATTCAGTATCTAGTTTTGCGCCATAGTAATTTGCTGTTACGGAGTACAAGTGATATTATTGACTGTACAGGTTTAGACGATTCCAGTTCGAATAACTCTCGATTTTGTGAACAGAAGCAAGTCATGTCACCAGATACAGAGCTTTCGCTATCTATTGAAATTGTCGAGAAGACACAAAGTATTTGACTGGAAAAGCTGCCCATAGCACTAATATTACTGATGTTGGTTGTCCGAAGTTCGTTACTCGAGAGTATAATACGAACTACCGTCCAATGTGAATACAAGAAGTAGGCTACAATACGTATTATGAAGTTGATGAACTCTTGATACCATCGACAACTATAATCAACCTGTAGCCTCTGGATAACTGAATCTGACCTCTTGATAGATCCTACCACTTATCAGTATCAGTGTGCTAAGAAGAGCCGCGACAGCCATGCTCCTGTGGGTTACGCTGGCCAATTCTTCAGATGTCGTAACAAAAAAACCCAGGGTTTCTGGACATTGGAATCAAAGGTCAAAAGTCATTTCTTCCTTTTACTACTCATGTTCCTCCACATGGCCAGGTCAAGTCTTCACCATTGTAGTTTGACAAGTCTGAATTATCCAATAAAGCATGCCCGCCTCTATTTCTGAGAACCATTGTCGAGTAGCTATAGATTATTAGGGTCTGGGATGCAGCGAGGGAATTTGTGATATGTTTTCTAGCAATGTCTACAAGAATTCTGATAGGAATTGATTGTAACAACAAATATGAGAGTATTGGTATAGTCTCTGTGTGGTGTTCACATCAAAAGGAGTAATTCAATGGTATTGTAAGTGCTACTTGAACATACATATATCTTCATGTGTTGCGGAGCAAGAAAAGCACCTAACTGGGACAAATATCGCAAATAGCAAGGCCTGAGACAAACAAAGAGTGTTGAAATGAACCCCATTCTAGCAGGACCAAATCTGTGGGTTAGCTTCAGTTCTGGAGCGTGGGTATCTTCGAGAAGCGGAGGGCCAGTAAATAGCAAATGTCTACCATTAAAGGGGGTGTGGCGCCATTATGACAGCTGTATAGAGTGCTCCCGCAATACTATATTTTTAACATCTGGGCTTTTAAGATTGATGTGTGGCTGGCAAAGCTCATGCGACACTATACAGCACTCAATCTCTCTGGATTGATCGCTGCACTTGGGGATCAATGTGCTCCGTGCTCACCAATCTGAGTCATTGTTTTTGACTGTACCGAAATTGCCCCGACGTTTATCTTTCAAAAGTTGCATATCAAGGAATATGTAACTAGTGGTGAGATCTGGTATTTTGGTGTCTGGAAGGTAATGTGACTTTTATTTTGATATTTCATAGGTACTTCTGAGTACGGAGTATTCACTATGTAGTTGTGTAAGATGCCACATACTCCGTACGTTGTAGTAAGGATGGAGAAGGGGCATTGGTGCTTGGTGGCGGCTCGGTTATCTGTCTCTGATATGAAGCCAAACAGGTTGCAAAGGAGTGGAACTAGACCGCAAACAAAAAGGGGAGACCAATAAGAAAATCCGGATAAGATGATATTTAGAGTTTGACGTACCAAGCCAGCCACGAGCAAACATAAGCAAACACCCAGTTCAAGAACAGACAGTCTCTTCTGCCCCTCAATGCTTCTGCTTGACCCTCTCTCCATGCTTTACGCACCAGTAAAGCCACAGCCCCGGAGGCAGAGCGCAGTAGGGCTAGGTATACTTGCTTTGAGCCCACGTTGACAGGTGCGCAGTGTACAGAGACAAATGTACATATGTATGTATGTATGTACCTCCCTGGTATCTGGCTAAGCGCCGGCTTATCCAGAAACCAGAGGCGATCTGAGACATGACTGGTCACACATCTGCCTCACCCTGGACTCGGGTGCCAGAGAACGAATTCTCGTGCGACGTCTTGCGGTCCAGGTCAAGATGGAAATATTACCAAGTTGTTTCGTTGTCCTTCCCGTCAATCTCCTGTTTGCTCTTCCACCATTTCGTTATGATGGGACGCATCATAGAGGAACAGCTGTAGACTCAGCTCTCAGCATTGCATTCTTTTGGCTTGAACTGCCTTGACACTCCTTCTATTATTGCCTGCCTGAGGCCTGTCGACGCTGGTCGTCTGTCTTTCATTACGCCCATTCGGATTCGTCTCAGGAGAACGAATGAACGAACCCTTCACCGCGAGAGTCCAAGAACGTCGTGATAAGAAAGATGCCGGACAAGCTACTTATCACCTACCTGCTTGTGGACGCCCTGTTTCTAGGTGGTGGGGTAGTAATGCTTACAATTGCTTTGATGGGCAAAGCAAAGATTCAATCCGAACCGACAATCGACAATGTTGCTGAGCGGTTACTCTTTGCTCACTGCCCACAACTAGGTGGGTTGAGTACCTTTCTCCCTTATTGGGGTAATGTTAGTTAGCGTTTCTGACGTGTGTCTACAGGCGAGATAATAAGTGCCGGATTGGTATTCTTCACATTCATTCTTTCAATACCTGGTATCCTTCAGCCCGGCGACAGAGTATGGATAAAAATCCACGGTTGGATGGTCGTCATTTCCGCCTTCACGACTCTGCTTATTGGCCTTGTTATTTGGTTCTTGACACTGAGAACAAGATCAATGTTAAACCTTGCATGGGGAAAAGAGCCTGCACGAGTACAGAGTTTACTGCAACAACGAGTAGGTCATGGCCTGCCCTTGATTCGAGATATAATGGCTAAATTTTGATTTTAGTTTAACTGCTGTGGATACCACAATAGTACTTCGCCCCCATTCCAAGTCGATGCAACCTGTCCAACCGACCTGGCTGCCGCACAAAAGCCAGGCTGTGTTGGCCCATTTTCGACTTTCGCCAATAGTTTTTTGGATGTTATTTTCACCACGGATTTTGGAATCGTTGGTAGGTTCCCCTTTTGCAGTTGAGTAATTAGCCGTGTCATTAACTTTTGTTTTTTCTAGCCGTCGATGCCGTTTTACTTCTATGCGTAGCTATGGTACTAAAGGATCGTAAGGAACGGGCGAGATACCGGCTGATTGACTCCAAGAATGGCTTCGGTACGATTTAAAGAAGGGCAGTGACTGCTTCATCCAACCAATTCTTCTTATCCCAATTCAATCCAAGATGGTGGTAATTTGGATGATTTCTTCCGTAGACATATACATGAACAACTCGTGTTTTGTGTCTATGTTATTTCAAAATTTATCAATGGCATATTATATAAATCTTGCTTGTTATATATTATTATTGGGTATCTCTTCTTAGCAAACAAAGACAATTAACAAATGAAATCTATAGGAAAAGGACACAGTCATTAAATATGCTTCCTGGTGCCATGTTCAAGTACTCCGTATCCTCTTATTTGTGCTCCCCTCGTCTTCTCCGTTTCGATCGACTTTCTCATAATCTTCAAGTGCCTCGGGCATCGGATACTCTAAAGCATCGACCTTTTCCCATTCATCATCTTCGTCTTTTTGAAATGTTAATTTGAAGTTTAAGGCCTGTTGAGAGAATTCTGGGTCAGAACACTGTTCCTGATGCTCTTGGTCCCAATTCAAATCCAGCTTGACAATCCTCGCACCTCCAGGCTTTAATTTATGATAGTATCCCTGTATCACCCCGTCCTGGACCCGAAAGCCCCGAGAGACGTACCACTGTAACGCTTCTTTGTTTGTTTCGTGGACATGAGCGGTTACTGTTCGGATGTTATAGTGCTTAACCAACGCGGATACTGGCGGTCGGGTGTTTGCTGAACCCAGATCATGTAAACCCGACATACCATCAAAAAGGAGCGAGTTTAGAAGTGATGCTGCAATGCCTTGCCCTCGGTATGGCGAAAGTAAGTGAAGAGTCAGGATGTATAGATTTGTGGCCATCCGTCCATCTCCATCAATGCTGGTGTCTAGCAACGGCTCCAGACGACACCGTATTCCGCCGATAACCTTTTCTGTGTTGCCAACTGCAGAAGTATCTCTTGCAAATTTGTTTTCAGCTAGGTCCGATCCCACCACTGGATGATTATGATATATCGCAACCCTCGACACGCTCGCGACGAGTAGGTCGGTTATTGTTGCTGAATAAAAGGAAGTCGGATATCGAATCGGCAGTAGTAATCCAGTGATACGCATCAATGAGGGAATGTGAGCTGTTTTCACAGGCTCTATAGTGACCTGTGGGTGTGGAGTTGGGAAAGATAGTGGCGCATGAGGATAGGGCGCGAGTTGCGACACGAAGGTGGGTTGAGTTGGGCAGCTGGGCTTGGAGGGTGTCAACTGTTGTGGAGGGGGTGGGAGAGCTTGTGGTTGCCATTGTTTAGAAGACGTATGAGATGAACCAAGCGGCATAAAGTACGAGGAGAGCTTGTGGTTTTTGGTGCTTTTGCTATTCGCCCGAGACGCCATGATGGAGGGTGTAGGGAGGGGTGAAGAGGAGACAGTAGTTCCAAAAATATGTGGTGCGATAGTCCAAGCCAATACACCAAAGCTCAGAAGTTTATAAAAACATGGTAATGAGGGTTGATAGCTGAGTTAATGTGTGAAAGGCCCTGGCAGCTTGCCACGCCCTCTTTGTGTCTGCCATCTGACGCGCCGCCGCGGTAAGTTAGTTAGTTGAGGAGGAGAAGGAGACTGCGGAGATCGATAAGATAAGATGGAAGCTATTATGTCATCTGCCTCGCTTGACCGCGGAAGCCGCTGGCAGCTCTGGAGCAACACATCAAGGGGAGCTCGAACAGTTACAGCGGAGGCCACACAGGCTGGCAATAATTGCCTGTTACTTGTTTTCTTAGTAACTCGAAGGTACCTCCTTGTCTACCTTTCCTGCACCTTTGAACCAAGCTTTTGCTAACCTCGTTGAGCTGCCTCGGCGAAAGCAGATCTGCCTAATATTCATACACAGCAGTCATTTTCACATTGCCGCCTTCCCCAGATATTTAACCGTTTCAGTGGCAAACGTATTACATCGACTAAGGCTTTTCTTCCTCAAAGCAACTCTAGGCTTCTCGGTGCCACGATCGCTAGACCCTTCCAATTGTACATTCTCGTCCATAAACCGCAGACCGAAAGCATGTCCGGTTGATACAAGCGAAGCTGATGCATGACGCAAACGGCCTGATAGTGCTAAAGTTTCTGGAGGTAATATTGGGAGTCAGAGTATATACATCTTTTTTTCAGAGTCTAATCCGTTTTTAAATAGGCACATTAGCAGACCAGAAAATGGCGGGTCCAGAGGTGGATAAAATCCAGAGTGAGACCAGCTCTAGTACTTTAGAGGCAGTAGTCAGTTACTCTAGACAGTGGCTCTATCTCATCGTCTAACACTATTTGCAGACTCGGGACATTCTAGACGATACGTTTTATAATATTATTCATGATATCGTTGCGAAGGTTCATCGGGAAGAAAAAGTGGCTCGAACTACATCCGCCGTCATCGCAGTAAGACAGATTGCAGAAAGAGAATTCATGACAGATGGCGTATCAAAGGATAATACCAGCAATGCACCATCCGGAGGCACCTTTCAACCTGAATTGGTCAAAGCAGAAACAAAAGCAGCAGTTTATGACGGCGGTCTTGTGTATTTGAAGGGCAACCCCTTAGTCACTACGAAAGAGATCCTTTGCTCGAACTGTCATCTTCCACGTTTACTCTACCCATTATTTGGCGAGGGCTCTCGTCCACCGCCAGACATTAACAAAGAATACTGCCGAAAACACCCACCTGTTCGTATGCCTGGCCGCGATGTCCATGGAAATCCGTTTGCTATTGAAAAGATTACCAAAAAGAAAAAGACACAGGCACCAGACAGCAACAATACGCCTGCATCGAGCCCTCCGTCAGGCACAGAGCCAGCTTCAGCATCCCACTCCTTCAAGCAATTGCCCGACAAAATGTATGTTCCGACAACGAAGTGTCCGAATTGCCCTCGGTACTTTCTTTTGACCAAGAGTGCCCAACATTTAGACAGATGCTTGGGCATATCAACCAGACAATCAAGTCGAAATAGAACTCCATTTGAAAATGGTACAAACACTCCCGCTAATCCGGCTCCGGCGTCTCGGAAACGAGCTCGTCAGGATGAAGAAGAGCCAATTACAGTTAAAAAGCGCAAGGAGACAGGAATGCCGGTCAAATTCAAGACTGGAAAGCCCGCTGTTCCTAGCAAGTTAAAGAACGGAACAACTCCCGATATGGCGCCTCCAGCTTCCCCAACGTCCGTTAATTTATCAAAAGCGACACCGAAGACGAAACTTAACAAACCTAGCAAAGACCGAGATTCGAAATAGGGTAATATCTGCACCTCTTCTGCGGGACTACCTGGTTGCGATCGTTGAATTTTCTTATACCCATTTCTCACTTTCTCCAAAATGACTGTCATGGTCGGATGATTATTTTGATTTCGCTGCTGACTACATTTGTTCTTGAGGAACAATGGAATTAGGATGCGGATATCAGGCTACTTTTTTTATTGTCTGTTTTTCTTTTGGCATGCGGGCTTTTTTAGCTGCCAGGCTCTCATCGATAACTCATGGGCGGGGCAAGATCATATTGTTTTTTGGGCAGGTGAAATGAGCATTTTAGGTGTTGAGAATACTCATTGTTATGTGCCCGCAGTTTACGTGCTTTGGAGTTTTTTTGTTTTTAAATCTGGATATTTCATGGCGTTTTGGGGCCGACCTGAAATGCCTGTGAAGATTTGAAGTATAGCATGATAATAAGTCTCAATTTACTTCCCCAAGCCTCTTTATCTCCAGTTTTCTGGAACTCCTCATTTTTCAACAAGCTCTTTGCTTCTTCTGGTTTTATAGTCTGAAGTAAGGCTCAATGCTCGCTGAAGCTTGGGTTATCTAAATTATGTTTGTGAAGCGACGAAGGCCCCCAGTTGACCTTTGGGTAAATTCTAGGATGTCGGCAGGGTTCTGATGCTTGTACTCCGTATGCTCACAGATCAATCCCAGCCGCGCTCGGGGTCTTTAGTACTTTGCATGCCGAAAAAGAGTTAAATTGCAAATCAGAGGCCGCTAATGCACGAGATAGCAAGGCTTCACACCGGCAATTCCTGCAGAAGCAACCTGGACAAACAAGACGACAATCACTGATAGTCATCGAACCCTCATTCGCCGACAATAGTGGGTGGCAAGCGGCATGCTGTGACTGGCCGGGCACAGCCTTGTCAACGGCTGGGCCCTGGCCAATAGAGATGCATGGCAGGGACTTTTGGCATGAAGCTTTGGCCGATTGACAAATCATTGCGATATCAAGGTCACGAGGTATGATAAGAACGGATGATTCTCTTTTCCGCCATTTTGTTGTCTTTGTCAACCCACTTTCTGGGAGCGGGATATCGGCACTTTGAAGCTGCTTGATGGGGTTTGATGAAGAGAAGGCCTGTGCCGGTGTGGCGTGCAGGGTTGCTTGGACTGGATTGCACATCAGAACGGAGACAACCGGTGGCTGAAGCAAGGTGAGCACTCTCAGTCACTACTTTGTTCCTGGCTGTTCTCCGAGGGCCTCTCCTCGTTTTATTTTCTGGTAGTTACCTTGGCCCGGACTCCACTAAATCAGCGAATCCTTCGCCTGGTTCCTCCACTGTCCGATATGAATTTTTCCGAGCTCTTCAAGATCCATTAGTGCCAATAAACCGACCAGAAACCGCTCGAGACCCCGCAAGTAAAGTGGCCCGAGCCCGTGCTATGTAATCAGCCACCGCTTTAAATCGCGACTGGCGATTTGATAACACCATTGTTGGCTTGCATCACCCCTCCAGGCATGCTGGGCACGTTAATCTCTCTCGCTCAAAACATGGGCCTCTTGCTCCCCATCCCTCAGCCAATCTGGTCGCAAGTTCTCCTGCTTGGCACTGCGGCCAGGGCGAGGAGATCGCAAGTGTATACGGGGCATTCTCTGCCCACCCCTTGCGTGACCGCATTTCAACCGCTTTGGCTCCCAAGGATCTGGTTCTGTGAGACTGGGTCTGCCGTACGTCAACCTGTTTACTCGAGGGTTGACTTTCCAGATCCATTGTTCCTTGGTGCTTATGGAATAGTTACTCCCATCTCATGACTTGCTCTAGAAATGGTGCAGTCAGGCTCGCCTGTCGTCTATTTACACTTCAAGAACGCTTTTCATTTTTCTTCAGGCCCTGTCTCTTTTTTCGTGTTATTCTATGAATGCTATACCAAAAGCCTAACCTGGACTCCTTGAGCCACTGGGGGGGATCACTCCTTATGGAGTTACCTCGTTGACTAGATCTTACTGAACATTTATGAATTTCGAATAACCGTCTGGCAACAGCGTTATTATTTGGCAGGCTGATTGTGGGTAATGACAGCATAGAGCTGTTAAGTTCTGCAGTTATTTGCCAGTTTTTGATCGGAACCATTTGAAACTGGCCCATCTATCTCACGCTCCCCATACCTCTTAGACAATCTGAAGAAGTCTAGCAGCGTATACTTTGGATAACAATGCCTTTATCGAGAAATAATGCTATTTTTTCTAAGTTTCCAACATGGGGTATCCATAAACTCTCAGCCGCGCTGGCGAAACGAATATTTATTCCCATTACGAGTGCCAGTACCCCCGATCAGATAGCGGCAAGCCAGCAAGATCCATGGATTGAATCTTCGAAATATGCATTGGGTTGGGTGTACTTCGCGATCGTATTACTCGTTTTTACCATAATTATACGATCGTATCACTTTTGGGGGGATAAAATCAGGGCTGCGTTATACAAAGAAGAGATCCGAGGATTTGATAATGCGCTTTCACCAGAGTCCGACTATGAAATGGGCACGCCTGCAACAGGAAATTCCACTCGCAGTTTTTTTCCATCTCATGGCACTCTACCTTCTAGTCCGAAGAGAGACTCATCCGTCGTGAACATCCGGTGGTTTAATAGCCTGATTGCGTGGGCGCGATGGATATTTTATCGGCCCATACCTGTACTAAAAATATGGAAAATTGAGATCGTGCCGCCATCGCTTGCAACAATGGCCCTAGTTAGCTCTGCCTTGATTTTCGTCACCCTTTACAGCTTCCTTCCACGTCCGCTATTTTATCAAAGCATCCGAGCTGGTTCACCACCCCTGGCAGTGAGAGCTGGAATGCTCGCTATCTCTTTAGTACCATGGATAGTCGCTCTTAGCATGAAGGCCAATCTGATTAGCTGGCTTACAGGAATAGGGCACGAACGGTTGAACGTTCTCCACCGATGGGGCGGCTATCTCTGTATGTTTTTGGCACTGGTTCATACAGTTCCGTTTTATATCACTCCCGTTTGGAATGATGGGGCTCTCGCAATATTTCGTCAGCAAATTAAAGGAGATTTTTATATCTATGGCTCCGGGATAGCGGCACTTATTCCGCTGGGAATTCTTTGCATCCACTCACTACCTATATTTAGGAATCGAGTATACGAACTGTTCGTTCTGCTCCATATCCCGATATCTATATTCTTTGTGGGCATAATGTTTTGGCATTGCGCAAACTTTTTAACCTCTTGGAACTATCTATTCGCAACAATAGCCATTTGGCTAACATCATATGTCTCGCGGCTATTTTATTCAAACTGGACACATCCACTGCGCATGTCTTGGTTGATTGGCGAAGAATCAGCAGTGACAATTCTCCCTGAAAATGCCGTGAAAGTCACAATACCTACTGAAGTGAAATGGAAACCGGGGCAATATGTCTACTTGCGAATGCCTGGCATTTCAATATTCGATAATCACCCGTTCACAATTGCGTCTCTATGCAGCGACGATTTTCCGTCTAGTTATGGGGAACAGTATAGGGACATGACGCTCATTTTCCGACCTTTTAGTGGGTTTACTAAGAAGGTTCTAAATACTGCTCTCATGAAGGGGCCATACAAAACCTATCGAGCATTCATCGACGGGCCCTACGGTGGGATGAGGAGAGAACTGTCGGCGTTCGACCACGTCATTTTCTTTGCTGGTGGGAGCGGTATTACAGCCATTGCAAGCCAATTGTTGGATCTTATCAAAAGGATGCGAGATAGCAAGGCCTTGACTCGCACGGTACGAGTAGTATGGGCATTGAAACGACCGGAAACAATGGAATGGTTTAAGGAGGAGCTACGGATATGTCGAGAATATGCACCCGAAGGCACCTTTCGTTGCCAGTTCTACCTTACAGATGCCAAGAGGTATAACGGGGAGCAAGCTACCCTCTCTAGACCTCATAGCGGTGTTTTTCATGACCGTATCAACGAAATTTTTCAGGATGTTGCCAGTAAGCGCACTTCCGCATATATTCGTGAAGAAGCGGCAGGGGATGAGGAAAGAGAGAAAGAACTTCGCCGTGAAAATGAAGATACAATTGCCGCTCTCCCATCTGCATACATACCGCAACAACGGCTCCCAGAATCGAAATTTCCCATCCCAGCTGCTGTCGAACAGAGCCACAATAATATGAATTTTGGCTTCCCTACAACTCCAACTATGCTACAGAAAAATCTAATGCGCTTCGCATTCTTTCCATCACAGAAACGAGATGGCTGGAGAACGGAATATGGAAGGCCGGATATCCCTTTTTTGTTACGGCAGTATTCAAGAGATTTTGGACGAAGGACATGTGTGTTCGTTTGCGGACCACCCAGTATGAGGGTGGATGTTGCCAACACTGTGGCAAGCTTACAGAAAATGATTATAAATGACCCAAACAAGGATGAGTTGTTTCTACATGCAGAAAATTATGCCATTTAATTTTTCCTTAAGCTCCTATCTCTTACACCTCTGTTATATTATACCCTTGTTTCCTACGTTATTCTTTTAATGTCTCCATATTTTGGAGAGCTTGGAAATATATAATACATACGTATGAGCACCGCAAGCCCCTGTTGAGCATGGTGAACTCCAACTTAATATTGAGGCTAGCTATATGATTGTGCTGGTGAACAGGCACCCAGTAATATTCCAATTGAAAGATAGTGAATATATAATTGCCTAAAGTATGAGATAACCAATTTAACACCCAGTTCCAACAAATTTATAAATACCCAACCTATTCCCTTCGGAGTCCTCAGCATACATAATCTTTCCATGATCACCCTCGGGAAATTCTCCACTCAGCTGCTTCCCACCATTGGTAACAATGGCCTGCATTGTTTAAACTTAGCACTAACCATAAACCAAAAAAAAAAAAAAAAAAAAGAAAGAAAGAAAGGAAAAAAGCCAGTTACACAATACACACCTTCATGCACTCATCCAAATTATCCACCATATAGTATAGGGTAATACCTGGATTTCCGCCTTTGCGAGTAGAAAAACCCTCGCTACCATCGCCCTGCTTGTATCGTTGCATCTCCTCTTCCGATACCAGACTCAGACCACCACCCAAGTGGCTAAACTTCTCGTCTGGGAAGCGGAAGAGAGCAACAGTCTTGTTGCATGGATTATCCTTTTCGGCTGCCTGCTGAGCATCGGTTTTGGGTGGCATAGCCATGAAAGTCCAGGAAAAAACAGTGGTGTAAAATGATTTAGCTGAAAAGGATGAGATGTTAGAATACAGATAGGAATTTAAAAGGGTATTGACAGGTCCAAGTTTATGGTTTACCTCGTTCAGGGTTTGTGACGGGAATTTCAATCCAGCAAAGGGTGCCGGTAGCTGGAGGGGTCCAGGTTGAAGCCATCTTTTTCAAAGTTATAAAATTGATATTGTTATTTGAATAAGATTAAATAGTATAGGGTGAAGGCGAATTTCAAGCCCCAGAACTAATCTTCTATGTGAAAGCTGTGGGCTCCGTAGAGGCGGGAAGGGCTCTTATATATCTCCATAAGAAGCAGACTGAGATAGATCATTGTACCCCGCTCAAGTTGCCATCGAAGGCGAAACTCAGCTCAAACTCGCTGAATTCTTCCGTATCCCGAAAATCAATTCCAATGAGCGCTGGACACCTCACTTTTGGCGGCGAGAAGAAGACGTAAGTTGGGTGGCTCGACACGCAGACCGCGTTCTAATATAACTGTATTCGGCATGGCGCCTCTTGGCTGAGACGCGAAGGAGACGCGAAGTCAGGTGAACACCCGGCATTGGGCAACTTGACCATCCATGCTTCGTATTTAGGGTTGCGATCATGGAAGAGATCAGTAATCAGTCCTTCATCGCTCATTCTAACTTTCGGTTTCATTTGAAATCAAAATTTCCTTCAAGTACTCCGTACGCTGACCAAATATTGATCCATGTTCCGTTTCCTGATCTTGAACCCAATCCAATGCGGTCTTCCTTTCATTATCTTTTGCATCCAGATCGGCTGATCTCACAATATTGTAGCCGTACCTAGGCATGAAACTATTTTTTCTGGGTAAATTGTTTTGTGCGTTGAGTGCTAGGCGGCAGTGCAGTTGTTTTGTTTTTTCATCCACTCTATTAAGAGACACTCTGTATTTGTAGTCTCAAACGGTTCTTTCCGTAAGGGTTACTGAGCAGACACGTTTTTCGTTAGATATTGCTACATAAACATTTGCACTTCTGTTTTATGCTCAATAATTAAAGAGGCCTGTAGAGAATAGTAGCGTTCTATCATATTGCCAACATACCTTTTTGACATTTGGGTCTGCACCAATGTCAACTCCTAGTCACCGTAGCTAACTGACGATTGTTGAGCTTTTTGTCATTCTGGTCCAGGACTTCTATTATGTTTAGGCTCTATCACATAATATAATTGTTCGCTGATGACTTTCTCCAAATAATATCGCCTCAAATTGAGAAGAATATCGACAACCTTTAGCTGTAGGACATACACAGCACCCTGGAACGTAGCTTCTAGGTCCATCGTGTGTAGATAGCCCTTAATATCTAAACCTTTAAAGCAAATATTCACCATCCCACCATGATCCCATTTAGCAGCTTGTCTGAGCGAAAGACCAGAAAAGCTTCTTTACCAGCAAATATCTGGCTTCAGGAACGCATGCACAGACTGAGAATGGGTAGGTATAGACATCCAAACTCGTACGGAGCCGTCTACCTCAGCGCACCTCTCTATTGGGCAGTGCGCTACAGGCTCATGGATTATGGTTGCTCTATGCAAAGGCGCAGCATACGTCTCTTTGTGGTATATTTCAGATCATCCGAGAAGACTTTTCCGGGTTCAAAAAGTGCTTTCATGACATCGAGGTCTTGTTTCAAGACTACCGAGTGTAGAGGGAGGCGTTGGATACGCTGATACCATGACTCCGTATCATCGGAAGAATTTTAACAATATTCCAAAAATTTGCAGACTTTTAAAGGAAGTTTCCCATTAGAATAGGAACCTAAGGTATACAACAAAACTGGCTGACAGTACCGTTGCAAGCGGGATGTTTCATCACCTGCAACCAACACTAAGGTCATATTCTCATCCTACCTCAAACCCCCTGGATTGCCGCTGCAGACATTCTATCTGAGGCTCAATATGGCCTAGCGAGCACTTCAATTGCTAAAATTTGCTGTGAGCGCCTGCTAGTTTAATGGTGTTGCTAGGCCCCAGCTGAGCTTTTGGCATTGACCAAGTAGCCTAGGTAATATCGAAGACTGAACATTGGACTATTGAATAGAATACGGCAAGGCATGCGTGTCACAGACGACTTGCGCGTAGCAAACAGGTGCACAAGCAGCGGTTGTAAGGGAATTGACATACCGTAAGAAGTATGGCTAGAGATTGTTGAGAAATCGAGCACATTTTGATTGCGTCCATCTTCCCCGTCTGTTGTTGACACGGTTTCGACGAATCAAACCAGTCAACCAGCCAAGTCTTGGCGCGCTTCTCACCGCCTTTTCAGGCCGCCGATTCTGCCGGTCTTAAGCTTCATTCAACAACCAGAGACAAGTGCAAAAAGCTGTCGTGGATCTGCCGTGTCCTGAAATTCGACCATTTTTTGGAATTCATTTGAGGATGTCCGCTTTCCCTAACCAAGAATCTTCACATTCAGCGCCTCTGCTATCCTTGACTCCTGCACAATTCGCCAGACTTCAGCCCCACACCTATGTCTACGCGCACCTGAGTCCCTCATCTGACCACCCAAGACCTTCCACGCGCATAAACGGACGAAGTGAATCTCAGTTTCGTGCTGCAACGGTGAACACAGGCTCTTTGACCCACGCGAACGGCAGTGCAGTGGTTCGTATTGGCGAGACAACAGCAGTATGTGGCGTGAGAGGAGAGATCCTATCTACAGATGATATCCCTGCGTGGAGCATATCGAATACTTCTTCAGGTTCCACTGCAAAATCTCCACGAGAGGAGAGCACTGAAGATGATGACGATACAGAGATCCAGGTATTCAACCTTCTGGTCCCAAATCTCTCGTTGAGCACTGGCTGCTCGCCTGCCATTGCCGCTAGTTCCGCCCCTTCCTCTCTCGCACAGTCATTATCCCACCAGCTGCTCTCTCTTCTTCACACGTCTCGATTAATACGCTCCCGAGACTTGCGAATCTGGTCCAGTCCGAATCGTACACCAATTCTATCTCAGGAACATTCAGACGTCACCATGGAAGATGCACCCGCATCCACAGAACCATTAGATGCCCCAGAAATAAAGGCTTTTTGGACTTTATACATTGATGTTTTAATAATTTCACTCGCGGGAAATCCCTTTGATGCAGCTTGGGCGGCTGTTGTGGCAGCATTGCGGGACACTCGCCTTCCAAAGGCGTGGTGGGATATAGACAACGAAATGATTCTTTGCTCGGATTGCGTATCAGAATCGACTACGCTGCAGCTACGTGGGATGCCCATATCTAGCTCTTTTGCCGTATTTGAAGCCGATCCTGTCAACGATTGGAGAAAGATCATCGTTGATTGTCAGCATGTAGAGTCTAACTCTGAGGACTCAATGAAGGATGACAACAAGACTGAGTCTCCAAAGAAAATAAAACGATGGATACTCGCCGATCCAGACGCCTTTGAAGAATCTCTGTGTCAAGAGCGAGCCTGTATTGTCGTCGATAAGTCCTCAGGAGCGTCGGATCCAGTAAAAATCATAAGGATGGAGAAGAGCGGGGGATTTTATATCGGTAAAAACGAGCTGAAAGAACTCGTAAATTCGGCCGCTGGCAGATGGGAGGAGTGGCGAGGGTTGTTAGATGGCGTATGAGCATTTAAGTATCATAGATGGGTTGAAAATATAGAAAATAAATTCATTTGTTTTAGTGTTCTGTTAGAAATGGTCTACTATGAACTTCAAGTACTGACCAAAACAAACGCCGGAGACAATATTCTAGACCATGAAACTCCAAACTTTCTTAGACACATTTGAAAGTACCCAAAATCGGGGTTCATCGAGTTCTCCTTTTTTTAACAGGGTTCTCTTCCACATCCTCAACAATAACAGGTGAGCTTAAGCCGCTATCTGGTATCGAAACGAGAGACTCGGATCCTGTCTCGAATTCGGCCTTGAACGAAGGTGATGAACCCTTATTGCCCCTTTTAGGAGGTAAGGAAATGGAAAAGTAAACAAGCTCCCGGGATTTTAACTCTTTCGTTTTTCGGTCCTTTTTATTTACTGATTCGTTCTCATCATCGGCCAGTTTGTTTCCGGTTCGGTTCCCTTTACCTCGCGCTGAAACCGGCTCAGGGCTGCCAAATATAAGATTTCTTAAATACTCGACCCATGTCCCTTGTTCTTGCTCCTGCAAGGTCTTTTCCTTGTCAGTGTTCTGGGCAACCTCTGCTGCTTCATCATCCTCATCAGTCACCCCATCGGAAAAGTTACACATGGCTGATATATCCCCATTTATGAGTGCAGCTGTCCAAATTGCAGAAAGTACGCCAGGAACGAGATATAACAATGCCGGTTGAGGTTGATTGGAAATCTGCATCGCGATCAGAGTGGCAAGCATTCCGAGAAGGTAGCCGGTCATTCCAGCATTGAAGTACGTTTTGCGAAATGACTTTGCTTTATGGAACGAAGTTTCCTTTACAGGGAGCTTTAAAGACGAGTTGGACTTAGTCCAAAGGCGCTCTCCCCATCCTCCAGTTGCGCTGAGATATCTGGGTCTCCGGTCAATATCAATTTCATTCTCTTTCTGGGGTAAAGATTGTCGAAGATAATGCAGATAGAGATCGAATCGCAAAGCTAGGCCAATTATCGTTCCAGGGACGACAATGTCACCCAAGCCAAGCATAGCCAGGGACGCCAGGTTTGGGTCATCTTTTGGCGATGGAGGCCGGGGAAACAGAAGTTTGACCGGTACATCCAGCTTCTTTGCAACCGTGACCATCATGGGGGTATAGAAAACGAAATAAATATCGTAAAAGAAGAGAGCCCCTAATAACAGACTTCCGGTCGAGAAGGTGGTTGGTGATAAGAATTGAAGAGCACCATATGAAAAGGAAAAGCCTAGAAAATTAATAAGCCACCATGGCCTGCCCACAAACACGGAGTATCCAGTTGCACTGAGAGCAATAATAATGCTCAAGGCGTCAAGGATTGTAAAGCGAGCTTTTATATCGAGAAGAGAACCGATACGACCGCGAAGTAACGCTTTTCCATACACAGCTCCACGAATGTGCCAAAGCCCTGAACTAACTGACTGTGGGAGATGAATGGTGCTGAATATCCCAGGAAGGGGGGAAGTGCGCGTTCTAGGACCCGTAGCACCCTCTACTGCGCCACTAACCTCCGTGAACACACGCTTTTCCTGGCCAACTTTCCACAAGGAGCCCGCAGATGAGTAATGTCTAGGGAAAACCAGGGATTTGAGTACGGCAAGACCATCCTTAACAAATGCGGTTGCGAAGACAAGGCCGGCATGCGAAAAATACCAATTAATAACCTTGTTCAATATTGCTGGGTCGAAATGCTTGAGAAGGAAATATAGGCCTCCTAGGGTTAGGGCAGAGAGTATAGGAAACATGATCGCATCCGAAGGTTCCAGACCCTCCATTTTCTGAATCATGCCTTGCTCATCATCGCTATCCTCATTATCTTCACTTTCTTCGCCCTTGTGTTCCTTTTCAGCTGGCTTGGCTGCAGACGACGGTCTTGATAGGGAGGCATGGGCACCGATATAGATGCAGAACAGAGCAGAGATCACTAGGTGAATGTATGTTGGAATCAGGGGCTTGGTAGTTTTAAATAAATGGAGAGCACCATCAAGGACTTCGAATACAGAGGTGGGCAGCGGCATCGTGGGCGGAGAAGGATCATATGGTGTTGAGGATGACGTTTTGTGTGGGATAAAGGTCGAGTAGAATATCTGACGCGAGAGCCGGGCAGATGATACGCTTTATATGGTCATTTTGGGTCAGGTGCAAGCTTCAAAACCAAATTATTCACTCTTTGAGATTCATGGCTGTTGAGTCGATGTTAATCCTCCTGAAGTTAGAAAGACACGATCTAGCAAACTAGCAAATTAGCTTTACTGACATCATATGCCTTCTCAAATCAACAATTTTTATCAATATCCAATTTCTCATAGCTACGGGGTACAATAGCAACAATGGCTACAGACATAGTGCTTGATACTACCATGGTAAACCTGGACCTCGATCGATGGGTTTGTTTTCTTACGTTAGCTTACATTTGGCATTTGCAAGGGCTCAATTGTAGTTGAGCTGTACAACGACCACGCACCGAAGGTACCCTTTCAAATTGTCTATTTTCCTTTCTATGGGGTGCTAATCTGTTCTCACTGTGCATAGACGTGCAAAAATTTCTCCACCTTAGCACAACGGGGCTATTACAACAATGTTGTCTTCCATCGTATCATTCCCAGTTTCATGATACAAACAGGCGATCCCACTGGTACGGGTCGCGGTGGCGACTCTATATATGGCGAGAAATTTGAGGATGAGATCAATCCTTCTTTAAAGCATACTGGTGCGGGCGTTTTGAGTATGGCAAATAGCGGACCCAATACAAATGGTAGCCAGTTTTTTATAACCCTCGCTCCTACGCCTTGGTTGGATGGAAAACACACGATATTTGGGAGAGTGAAAAGCGGGATGAGGGTAGTGCAACGGATGGGACTTGTAAAGACTGACGGCGACGATAGACCCGTGGACCGGGTTATGATCTTAAAAGCGAGGGTGGCAGAAGATGGGGTTGAAGAATGAAGTTGTTTTGAAATATAGATTCGGTACTACCGGGTCATTTCATATATTTAAACTTGCCCATCTGACATCGAAAGTCGATAGGCGTCAAAATCAGGTTGTGGTTGGCAGTCGGGTTGGGCAACTCCATGCTTGCAGACTGGCAGTCAATTGGGTTAAACCCAACTGCTACCACATGTGGCTGTTGATTATATTTAGAAAAAGTTACCGGTTACTACCAACTGCAGGCACACTGCAGTCTATAAATAATCAACATGTATCACCACAAAACGAACCGCATCGATCAGATGTTGCCATCTTGAGCGGCAGATACAGGGTGAAATAGTCCAATATCCCACTCTGTAAAGGTGATCCCAATGAAGGGTTCACCCTGTGACAAGGTTGCCAAAGGAAAAGAATAGCAGTTTGCCCACGCAAAGCGCAACGAGTGGTGTAATGGAGGAAGCAAGAGATTTCGTTCGGTGGCAGGAAGGGTATTCAATGCCAAGAGTATTTGGTTAGTTAACTAACTAACTAACTAGAGCCAATCCGGGCTAGCGCATCGGCCATGGAATAAATTCAATCTCACCTCTTCTCAATTCTTTCCTTCGACAATGATAGCGAGAATTCTGCAAATAAGCTCACGGGTGTTTTAGCTGAACCGTGACATCATGCTTTTGCCGTTCGCATAGGCTAGACAATCACTAGTGCTCCTGATCTCTGGGTTGAACTGCTCAAAATGCTTGAAATGAACACCTTGAATGATACTACATGGGACGTCTTGATTTCAGGAACAGGCCTTCCCCAGTCTCTACTTGCACTGTAAGCTGTTTTCAATAGTTTATTCGGACCAGCCATATTGACGTCGCTTAGGGCACTATCTCGGTCAGGCAAAAGGGTTCTCCACACTGACAAAAATGATCATTATGGTGGCCCTGATGCTGCCCTAAGCTTGCAAGAAGCCGAAGACTGGGCGAAGAAGGTAAATGAAGGTGGGTATACAAGTGTCTCTTTGAACTTAAGCTTGAATGTGTTACTAACTTTACGACACTAAGTCAGAGTCTACTTTCGGCCCGTTTGAGTGTGCTTCAGTATGGCGCTTACCTACCTTGGAAACAAAAGATAAAACATCATTATCTTTTTCAAGGGCGTACACTCTGTCATTGTCGCCTCAAATCATATACACACGTTCTAAGCTACTTTCTAGTTTAGTTTCCTCTCGGATTTACCGTCAACTGGAGTTCCAAGCAGTTGGCAGTTGGTGGGTATCTCGACATGGAGGCCATGACGGTGCACAGAGCCAAACAGAACCTCAATCTAGAAAATTGCAGCGTGTTCCTGGCAGCCGCGAGGACGTCTTTGCCGATGATACATTAACTATGAAATCAAAACGTTCCCTTATGAAACTTTTGAGATATTTAAGTTCTTCTGACGAAGGCGATAGTGTTCCTTCTGAAGAATCAAGCCTAAGCCTTCCAGATTTCCTTCACTCCATGTTTCAGATTCCATCGGATCTGTATGACCCCCTCTCTTCGCTCTGTTTATCCCTTCTTTCCTTATCCCAAACCTCTGCTGGATCTGCTATCCCCAAAATTAAAAGACACTTACAGTCAATCGGGGTTTTCGGACCGGGATTTTCTTCTGTCCTCCCTAAATGGGGTGGCTGCTCTGAGATTGCGCAGGTCGCATGTCGAGCATGTGCGGTTGGCGGAGGGATATACGCTTTAAATAAAAAGCTTGAAAGGGTACAACCTGTGGACGGCAGCCATGGGTTGCTCGATGCTTATTTTGCCGATGGAGAAAGAGTATCGACCAACTATCTTGTTGGGTCCGAATGGGATCTTCCGGCGGGTGCTCAACGGACGCGATTATTGACTCTGCAAAAGGTATCTCGTTGCATCCTAATTGTGTCTTCACCCCTGGATACAGTGTTTCCGTCTACGTCCGAAAATGGACCGGCTTCTGCGGCGACTGTTGTCATCGCTCCTGGAACAATGGATGAGCCTCCAGTATATCTAACCTTACATTCCAGCGACACCGGTGAATGCCCCCTAGGCCAATGTAAGTACCTACAACGTTTTCTACATGCTTCGAATTTTCTTGTACCTCTCAAGGATGATTCATTTTCCGAATACTTATCTACATTGTCTGTAACAACATTGATGATAAACCTTCCTCTGACAGCCTGATATGAGAGCACTCACTTTGTTATTCTGACAAGACATATTTTGCTGAAATCGCTGGCTAATGATGTTTCTCCAAAGGTATAATATACGGCGCCGTTTTACAGGCGCCTGAAAAGGGCCCGCCCCGTATTGATTCTGCAGTGAAAACCCTACTTGACTCCATGGATCCTACAGCTCGAGTCCTTTGGAAGTTACAGTATACGCAACTTGGCTGCTTAGATACCAGCAATAGCCGGCAAGATGTTTTGAGAGGAGCTTTCGATCAGATACTATTGTTTTCGCCACCTTATCTGGATCTGGAATTTAATGACTGTATGATTGATGAAGTGCGACATGTCTGGAAAGAAATTATGGGCGAGGATGTAGAAGAAAGCAAATTCCTCCTATTCGAGGATAGAGAAGATACTAGTGAAGAGCCTCCAGATATTCAATAATGAACAGCGTATTTGTGATTTGATTCGAATTTTCTCTTGTAACTATTTGTTCGGCGTGCGGGAAGCCTCGTTTTAGCAGCATCGTAAGCTCTCTTATCGTTGATCGCGTTTTTGTGAGAATTTGCCCAATCTGGCTTGGCAAAAGTCAATGCTGGCCGGCGGTCATGGCAACTTCGATCCCATCCTCTATTGAGAAGCCTTGAGCAAACAGGCACTATTTCCCTCTCTTCGACGTGTACCTATTTTACGTACACTCGTTTTTCGCCTTCGCATCCCCCTCTCAATTTTCTCTGGCCTATCTGCCTTCTTTCAGACACCGTTCACTCCAACAAAACGACCGGCCCTCCTCCCACAAAGAATAATCATGGGAGCTGGGGGATCCAAACCCGTGGAGAAGAGCGCAAGCTCAAAACTTGTCTTTCGAAGGTTTGATCTTCCCAATTGGCACTGCCCGAGAGTCCGTCAATGCCTGTACGGTTTATTTGCGAGAGCATCGCTAACTACAATGATAAATCATATAGTGAAACTCCAGTCCAATTCTCCCAGAATCTCGTTGAATCGTTACAATGTAGCTCGGAGGTAGCCTACATCCGGCCAATTTTAGACTCTTACTTGATTAACCAAATCGCCTAGACCGACTCGTCCCGCGCGCAAACCATAGAACTCCATATCCAAACCCGCGTTGCGGAAGAGCTCCAGCGCATCCAAGCTCGTGAAAGCCAGACACTTGCCGACCTGGAACAACGACTAGCTGACGCGACCTCATCATCGGAAACTACTGATCATTCGTTGTTGTCCCTTGATGCACCGCGAGTCCCACTCTCCAGTTTAGAGACTACTTCCCAGCTAGCAGACCAGAATATCCCTAAGCGCGATATAAACAGCCAGCAGGTAGCACAGAAGATTGAAGAATTGCGCCAAAAACTGGCCGAGAGACGAAAAATTAAGGAGGTCGATGCCGGCGTTGAGAAGGCTAGGGAAGGTGTTGTTAGTTGTTTAAGAGCGAATCAGAAACGGCCACTGGATTGCTGGGAAGAGGTAAATACTTTTAAAATGGAGGTTGCGAGGCTGGAGAGAGATTGGGTCAAGAAAGTCATTAATTGAATGACTGGTTTTCATTGGCAGATTTACTGCATGGGACATTGTATCATACACAAAGGTGGAAGCGCCATATAGACAAGGCGAAAAATATATTGACATTTTTTTTCAAATGGTGGTCGACTTTTGACGTATCATCATAAAGATATAGATATAGTTCCTGTTTAAGCTGAAATCTACAGAGTACCTGTCAAGCTGACCAGAAGCAAAGCCTCCCAACGTTTTCTCCAGGAGGTCTCAAGATACACAGCCGCATCAACTTTTCCTTTCCTAGTCGTATTAGGGAATCCTGTGTTCCAGTTTTTACTTGATCAATGGGGGGTATATATTTCTGTACTTTGTCAACCAATATCGCACCAACTCCTGTTCCTTTGCCAGCAGAGAGGTTATAATTTCCCGTTGTTATAAACCCAATAAGGTCGACCTCGTCTGGAACCGGGGGCGAAATTTTCTGACCCGGTTCTTCATCTAAGGCAGACATAGACAGAAGTTCTTTGAGAGATGGGACGTCGATCCGCTCTTCGGCTCGCCCCTTCTGTGTGTGTAATCGTTTTTGTATATTTGGCTTATAAGGGGATGACGATGGGCAGAGTAGCGAAAGCCACCGGTTTCGGAGCTTAAGGTCTGTAGTTGGAAGGCGATATATTCGAGATCGAGGGTAAACGTTTCCCCGGTTAAGGAGCCTGATACATACCGTCGCAAGAGAGAATTTTGAGGGTAACTGTGTTGATGGTTTACCGGGCTTGGTTCTCTGTTCTAACATATGTGAAGCAGTAGCTGGCGCGAGTTGCCGAATTTCGATGGGAGACATAGGGCAATTCGTGGGGAGATCAATATCTGTTGGAAGAGTCCCGTCGGTTTGCGTTTGGCTTTTTTCAGAAAGTCCACTCGATGTACCAATTGGCTTCTCCTCCCCCTGACTTGGAGTGCCAGTGACCAACCTCTCCCAATCGCATGCCCATCCACGGCCAATTTCGCCGCGCCTACCTTTGCCAAGGTCAACGCTATCAAATTCTACTCTTTTGCCCTTTGGTTTTCGCTGCCATTTGTCTTTCTGCAGCTCCCGTTGCTGAATTTCCCATGCCCATCCGGATTTTGTTCCAGGAAAATCACCCGGGAACCAGGGCATTCCAGACTCAAAAATAACTTGCTGCTTTTCGTGAACGCCCCCAAATCTCGGATTACCACCAGAGGCAAATGGGTAGTACATGATAGAATACCATACAGGACCCACACACTTCCAAGGTAATAGAATTGTCCAGTGACCAGAGGAAATTCCTTCAGATGAACTATCAGGCCGTGATGCAAATATAATTACGGGTATTTTGGGATCAGCTGGTTGCGGCTGCGGATATTCCCCAGGAGGTGCAAGTGCCTTTCGTCTATTGATTGCTTTTTGACTTGAAAGGGAGCGTGACGCCAATAGCCGCGAGGGGCGGCTAAACAACTCAGGGGCCAGCTGTGTTTTGTCTAGAGGCCAAGAAGATAGCAGCAATGCGAGTGCATTAAGGTTCTCTGGCGAGTTTTGCGGTTTCATGGTTCGTGGGGGATAGTGTAAACGGGGATCGGATGCACTGAACGCCAAAATCGCACCCAGTGGCAACGAAGCAGCGTTTGTTACGCCTGCAAGAGACCGCCAGACATCTTCAGGGGCTGGCTTATTCTTGTTCTGTGGATTTGGAATTGGTTCCAGCGCAGCACACAAAGCTTCTGTGGCTCCAGGGCCAGATATTTCAATGCTTCCAATCTCAAAACGAAGGTCTTCAACCATCACTGGAGGCTTTTGGATTTTTGACACTCTTAATAGCTCCTCCCAAAGTTGCAAGAAGGAAGATGGGTGGACCCGCAGGAACATCTTTTGTTTTGGCCGCTTCTTCGCTACCGACGTCGCGGCATCTGACATTCCAACGTCTTCAGGATTCTGGGCGGCCCATATTAACGTAACGGGCGCAATAGGCGATTTCTCACCATCTCGCTCAAACAACCAGGTGTCAAGAGTCCTAGTGCCCAGCCTCCATTTCTTGCCCTTGCTTCCCCAAGCAGTATCTCCGTCAACACCCATAGATTTCAGAAGACCCTCGATACTCTCCCTAGCGCCTTCAAGGCCTATTGTCGACATGTAGCTCATGTCCCACGCAATAGCACCTCTGGACCCACTGGCACGGTGCGTGGGCCTGTAGCATTTCTCCGTGGGTGTCAAAGGAAGTGCAAATCGCCATAGTGGTGCTTTTGGCTCAGTCATGCGTGCCCGTTTGGCATGAAATATATGCGTTGGCAACCATGTCTTTGTACGCTGGCGTCCTCTATACTTTGATGCCGGTTTCTCAGGGTGTGAAATCTTATTCTTTTTAATTTTCGGAATACGGGGCGCAATATTTACAGTATGTTCCGCAGAGGGTTTTTCCTTCTCTACCGCCACTTTCTTTGCCTGTCGCTTTTCTTTGGAGCGAGTATTTAAAGACTGTAGCCGTCGTACTCGTTCTAGACGAAGACGGAGGTGTGTTGTTGGTTTACGTCGTCGAGCAGTCACCGTAGGCGTGTTATCCTCTATCATCTACACCAGAATCAGCACTCAGCAGTTAAGGCGATTGCTAGTAGTAAATCAAACAACTCCAGCTCTCTTACCTCCCTCCTGGCCCTTGCACGCAACCTGCTCGGCACTCGCTTGACATTATGGCTAGCGGTTCTCCTCCGCAGGTTTCTGGGAACCTTTTGAAAAGCGCGAGTTGTCAATGCATTCCTTGCACTCTGTATACCGGCCTCGAGAGCTTTAATCTCGAATTCCCTTGCTGCAACAAACGCGGAGACATCTAGCTCTCCGGTCTTGGAGAGTGCGGCGTCAGAGCTCTGGGCAGCCAGTTTACGCGCATCTTGAATCTTAACGCGTTTTCGTGCTCGACCAGCGGGGTTGGTAGAGGTTTTGCGCTTTTCTCGGTTTGTGGGCGGCCGCTTCTTGTCCTGCAACGGAGCGCTGGGAGGAGCCATTGATTTGGCGAGCCGGTTCGTTACATGCAGACGGGCGAGGAGTGGAAGCTTTTGCGGGTAGATCGAAAGTTTTGCTCCAAAGCTTCGGTTTCTCAGCCTAACATCTAGCACTACATAATAGATAGTTATGCAAGCTTCAACGAAAGTATTGGCAATCCAGCTTGCTAGTTGGCCAAGTGCAGTAATATCTATTTGCTATCCAGAGCAAAAACATTAAAGTCATTGTTCTGTTCCTTTCATCTAGACTGGCCATGGTTTTGTCTAATCCCAGTCGGCGTCATTACACGCATCTAACTATACAACAAATTCATGATCTATACAGCATTCAGTAGTGAATGTGGGGCTTTTCAATGATTATTCTCAATCTACAACTTAGAAAGAACAGCATCGGCACCCGAAACCTAGACAGATTCATCAGCATATAGTTCGGTCGGAGACATTACTACCAAAGTTATAAGACTTACAGTAACCTCACGGCCAGGCTCGTTCTCGGCATAGGTAACTTTTCCGTGGTCAATGATCATGGCATATCGGCCAGTTCGGTCGCCCAAGGTCCAGGCGCTGTCCTTGGAGAACTTGGCCTCTGGGTCGCTCAAGAAGAGCTATCAAAAATCTCCTGTTAGCAGACCATTCATCCCAGCGCCAGGAGGTTTCTCCCGGCGGGGAAAATATGGTGTATCTTACGACATCCTCTCCAGTGACACCATTGGCCTTGCCCCAAGCGCTCATGACAAAGGCATCATTGTAGGCAAGGAAAGCGACAATATCAGCACCCTTGGCTTTCAATTCAGAGAGTTTGGCAAGGAATCCGGGAAGATGGCTGGCGGAGCAAGTGGGGGTGAAAGCACCTGTTGTTCCGGCCAGAAGAGTAAGTACTTGAGAGAGTTGAGGGTTAGGAATTGGTCGGGGGAGGACGCACCAGGGACGGAGACGAGGACGACCTTCTTGTCGGCCCAGAGGCTGGAAGCCTCGTAGCTAACGGGCATTCCGCATGATTTGATGTCTCCCTTCTCTTCGCTCCAGGGGATGTGGCTGTTGTTGACACCTCATTAGCTTCAGTTCCAGCATGCCGCAGCAATGGACGTCCACTCACGAGAAGACGACACCAGCGGGGAAGCTATCTCCAGCAGCAAGAGGCGCCATTGTTGCGTACGATCGAGGAAGATTGAACCGGTTGCGGTGCAGAGGCGAGATACGCGGGAGCTGTTGGTGGGCGAGGAGTGTGGTGGCAGGTTGGAATCGACTGCAGTTGAGGGATGACGGGAGAGAGCGGCGGGAGAGAGCGAACAGCGTCAGCGCCCGGGAAGAAGCCATGATATAGCTAATTATAACTAACAGAGTTTACAGCGCACGGCAATCCAACGTAAGTGATGGCACGATACTGGAAATGGGTGATTGAGTTCTGCCCCTCCTTGTCTCTGGAAAGTTACGCTGGGTCCCGCTGTGCGGCCGCACGCCCCGCGGCAGAAGTACTGATAATGCTCTCAAACAATCGCACGCCGCCCGCAAAGGGGCCGGATAGTATGTAGATAGCTAGCTATAGCAGATGCGAGTAAAACAGCCACATCGCCTGCAGTACAGAAACGCGATGCCTCACTACTCATTATTGCGCCCGCTGTCTCTTCTCCGCCTGGCTGGCGACCAAGGCGCCCAAGGCGGCGCCCACACCGCTCCCGTCCTTAGCAATCCCAATCTGGATCTTCTTATCTCCCGCGTCGCCGATCTCAGGGATCTCGCGCCATGCCTCACGGATGTAGTCTTGGTAACCCGGGTAGAATTCGACCAGGCTGCCATCAACGCCAATGTCGATCATGTCCTCCGTCGCCAGCTGCCCGCTGGAGATGATGATGGCGGCGAGCGGTACGGCGCTCAACCGTGCTGCTCGTCTCCCGATGGCGTGGGTCATGATTTTGATGGCCCGGCAGTCGTCGGTGCTGGCGTGCTCGATCGCGAGTTCGGCCTTCAACGCCTGCTTGACGTCCCGGAGATCATCCGAAGTATCGCCTTCGACTGTCGAAAGGAACTTCGTATCGATACCCCAGTTCTCATAGAGCGCGGAAGTTTTTGGGATCACGCTTGGCCCACCGCACAGTTCTAGACCGGCGTTCTTTGTCATATGAATCATAGCGCAACGAAGAATCTCACCCAGGAACATTCCCGATACCCGCTTTTCAAACATTTGGACACCCGGATTATTGCTGATACGGTCGAGCTCGCGGTCATGGGGAGTATCCGGAAGCACACTCAAAGGGTTGTCGAAGCTACCCCATTCCGTGTTGATGACCATCTCGCCGGTGGTCTTATCAAATGAATTGCCGTCTTCTTGCTCCAGCTTCTTGATGCGGTCCAGTTTCTCTACATATGCGCCGTTTGTCCCCGTTCCAAAGATCGCGCCCACCAGAGCCTTAGAACAGTCATGACAGGAATAGGATCGCGCCATCAAGGTACCTACGGTGTCATTGATCAGGGCAGCGACTTTAACTGGCAAGTGTCGCTTGTCAATGGCGTCTTGTAAGAACTTGCACACATCTTGGCCAACCACCTCCTTGATATCATACCCTTTGGTCCAACGATATAGACTGCCCTTGTTGATAGCTGTCTGGAATACGGGGAAACTGAAGGTAAAGCCCAAATCAAATGTCTCCTCGTCTTTGCGGTTTACTTCGCCAGGTTTCTGCTTTGTAACATGGGACGCATAGCGCTCTTCATGGTGCTCCTTTAAGAATTGTTCTATTCTCTCCGCGATGAAGTCGAAAAGCATTGAACCAGACTTGGCCACCATCAGCTCGTGCGGGACCACTGCTTTGCTCTGCACAATGCTAAACGTCGAATCTCCATTCAAGTGGACGGAACAGACGCGAAGATTGGTTCCACCCAGGTCAATCGCCAAATAAACGCCCTATGCCAACCAAAAGAACAAGTTAGCACGGGACTCATGGGCGGAATTGAGACAACAATCTTGCTCGTTTTTAGGAGGCACTCTTAACGGCTCCAACGGACTGCTTTCAACTGGCGGTCACACCTTTTCACTGCCATTGGGCACTGAAGTGATGTAGGATGGGATTTGGCTCAGGGTCGAGTTCTTCGATGTCAGTCCAGCTTCCATTTCGGAGAGGAACTCCTTCACGCCCCGATTGACATCGACTGCGGGGTACTCGAACTCGGTGGCAATCTGTCTGGCGGCGGCAATCACTGGAGGATCGGAAGAGAAGGCCATCTTGCGATGGTAGCGGGCACGTAAATCACTGTAAATGAACGGGAGAAGAGACAAAAGAAGGACAAGAATGGATGCAGCGACGAACGGGCCAAACGCCTCTCGGTCTCTGAAGGCAAGCACTTTGGCGCTGGTGACGTAGTTATGTAGGTACAGTAACCAGTAAGGCTGGGCAGGAGGATTCAAGCTGAGAGACGGCACAGCCAGCACTGGATTCTGGCGCTCAACAAATAATAATAATGGCGAGAGTCTCGCTCAAAGCCCATCGGGCGTCCAGAGAAGCGATCCAAGAGCCCCCGGAAGCGGGGAAGGCCTGGGGAAGGGAGTCAGACCACGGTTGAACCGCCTTGCGGTTTGGTTCAAAGTCAACCCCAGCCTTAGCAGGGGCGGATTTTTTTGCCTTGGCTGAACCCACGGTCTCCGAGAGGACAAACGCATTTCGCGGACACTCTATTGGGCCGTCCACCGAGCAAACTGTCAAGGTCGCGATGTCTTGAAGCCCGTGTTGGGGGTAGCTATGTTATGTCCTCGCGTGATTGAGTCAGCTGGCGGTTGGCGATGCAGGCATGCATGGGTTGGCGAGACACTTCGACGGCGGCGGCTTAGGCGAGGCTGAACGGAGACCGCCAGGCCAGTGACGGCAAGCGACATACATAAATACCCTTGACTGAACCAGCGCGACCATCTAGCTATGCCTGCTGGTGATTGACTGGTCTTCCATGCCGCTGCGACTAAGCGCGGTCACTGACATCTGTTTTCAGCCGCAAAGCTCTCATAGCTACATAAATAGCGCCCTAGAATGGGCAGAAGCTCGAGGACACGGAACTGGTGTCGCCAGAATCAAAGACCTCTTCGACTCGACTATTCAGATCCGCCATCATGGACAAGCGTTGCTTGATACCCCCGTTCTCTGCACCCGATGCTGGGCTATCCCGCCCGGATCTAGGTGTGCTGGACTCCCTTCCTACGATATCACGAACCCCAGCCCATGAGGCTTTTCTCACGGAGACCGATGTCAATGCGTTTCTACGTCGAGACCTGGACCTCTCTCGCCTCAACAGAATACACGACCAGCTATGGATGGCCGGGCGACCGATGAATGCCCGCCCGTTGCACCGGCAGCGCATGATGGGCGTCGAACTCCTTCCCACCGAGCAGTCTGATCTCCATCTCCTCAAATTCTCAAACCGGTTGCTCGTCAAGCCGCTACCAAGCTACATTCTCGACTACGACTTCTGGGCCGAGCATCTCTGTGGCTCCAGCGAACTGCATGAGTCTGCCAGCGGATTGCTCGTGTCGTACATCTGGCTTATCTGTTCTCCGCTGGATTTGAAAATCGCCCATGACTACCACTTGTTTCCAGACCAGCTTGACTGGACCTGGTGGAAGGCCTTTGTGAACGACGTGTTCGATCATATCAACATCAATGCCCTCGACACCGTTAACAAGCGTTATCACTTTGGCGAGCTCCGTCTTGGGCGCATAAATACCATATATCGCATCAAGTACTTTTTCACCCACTTCATTCGTGGCTACCTGTACGGCTATAATCGCTACCTGGTGTTCTTCGAGCGCAACTTTGGCTGGATAATTGTCGTTTTCGCATACTTCTCTCTGGTGTTGTCCGCAATGCAGGTCGCCATGGACGTACCGGGCCTGCAGGACAACAAGTCCTTTGTTAATGCAACCTATGGCTTTGTCATATTCTCCATTGTCTTAGTGGCCTTCTTTCTGGGCCTGGTCGGTGCTATTTTTACCTCAATTTTCCTTTACAATATGGGTGCGGCCATCCGGGACGATAGACAGAAAAGGCTTGAAAGGGAAAAGCTAGCAATGGCCAGCAGAGCTGAGACCTGATGTTATAATATTTTGGATTTCAATAAAGCGGACAGGGTTCTTTCCGCCAAGCTTAAACGCCTAGGAGGTGCCGCCTTTTCAAGCTTATGTATATACCCAAGAAGCGTTGGGAAATTGATATAGTTCACATGTGGTTCATGAATTGACGTACTTTTATATTATGACATGAGTTCATTACATCGCAAGGCATTGTCATTATCGCCATGCCCACGTAAGCCTCCATCCAAAATCCATTTCTCATTGTCCTCGTTATCGTCCTGCACACGCCTCCATGCCTGTCTCTGCTCTCTTTTTGTCGTTTGACTGCTCCCTGAACCATCATCGCCACTGTTCTTAGACGCAGCTGGCTTCCATACTGGCCTCACCAAGCCGGCGCCCTTGAGCAAAGGGTTCCGCGAAAACGTACCATTCGAACCTTTCTCCGATAAACCTGCACCCTCTGCTTCGTTCCATTCATCAACTTCCTCCTCCAATTCCGCATCTGGCGTCCGGGGAGTCTCTATCTTTTCAAAAGTCCGCACCACTTTCCCTTTCTTAATATCCAAGCTCAAGACCACACTCTTTTTCTCCCACTCTGGCCGGTTCTTCTCTTCCATCTCCCGCAGTAGCCGTTGTTGCTTTTTCAGCGCCAACGCACGCTGTGCCGGTGTCATCCACTGCGTCGATGCACTAGTAGGTATATCAAAGTCCGCTGCCTCATCCACGATCCGTGTTCGTTGTGCATTTTGTGACTGGAATGCAAGTAGCTTGTCACGATGAGCTTTGGCTGCTTCCAATTTGCTGTTGGCAGTAGGACTATTTGATGAGTCCACTGGCATGGGCCCACTGCCACTATCACGCTGATGGCTCTCGTTATGTGCTCTCATCTTCTCGTTTCCACGTTCAGTCCGTAGTTCTTGGATCATATCCTGCATCTCCGTTGTCGATAGGAGCGGCGTCCCACAAAACGAGCATGGCTGTAGCCCTTCGAGCGCACATATTATCTTTCCACAATACAGGCAGTTCGGGGCTGGTGTGAAGAGCGGGTGGATAGTCGCACTGCAATTGCATTTGCGTTGCTTGCGGTCTTTGGGGTTTGTAGATACTTCAAGTGCCGCGATCGCGGCTGTGAGATCAGATATGTTGCTGGTCGTAGTGGATGCCCCTACCGCACCCGTTGCCTTGGTTGATTGAGTGTTGCCCCCCCGCGATACTGCATTCGCCCCAGTAGCTTTCGCCTTTTTAGACCTCACATTCGGTAGATACTCTGATATTAGCTGTCCAGATGCAGACGGCGGAGCTTTTCCTGCCTTTTTCCCCGAGGAAGATTGTTGCTGAGCTGAAGTTGCTGGCGATGGAGATATTTGGGGTTGAGACGGTGCTCCAGGTATATAATCCTCTGCCTGCCGGGATTTCACATATCCCCCACCCACATTACCATGTCCATCTGGCCTCCTAACAGCTGCTGGAGTATGTATTGAGTTCTTCTGTTTTTTGCTGTTTCTGGGGCCCGTGTTGCTAGCATTCGACCCATTCCCTGACCTCCCAGTCTGCGTCCGTGTTTGTGGCTGCCGTTGGGGGCCTGCTTGCGTCTGTGCTTGTTCTCCACCTCTTCTTGAATTAAAACCCGAAATAAACTCTAGTGAGGCAGCCGAATCGTCCAGTAGATTCCGCAAATGATCAGCGCTCTCTTCCTTTGATAAGGTGGCTGTGTATGTGATGATTTGCTTTAGCGAATCGTCGTCAAGGGGGAGAAGTTTCGCGAGACGGGGGAGAGCCCAGGTTTCTAAGGATGCCGGCGACATGAGAGCAGGTTCTGTGGAGAGGAGGAATAGGTATGAGAGGCAGAAATATGATAATGATCTTACAAAGTGCAATGCTGGGCCCAGTGATGCCCCGGTCCTTAGGTTAATTAACTTTAGCTTGTTTGTTAACCAGTCAAAGCACGCTAAGATTAGGCAGTTGGGGGGCACAGACAAGCCTTAACTAGGGCGCCCTGAGCGCCCTGACAAGGCCACAACCGACTCCTCACACGGGACTCCGTAGTTATGTACATGCTTATTATTGCAGAAAATTATATTTTGGACTGTGGATTTCATAAAGTTCAGTTATCCTGTCAAGTAACTGTGATTAATACTCTTTTACAAACCACCTTCTAAAACCATATTCTAAAAAGCTTCCCTTCCCAGTCATTTTTTCATGGAACGCCATTTTGCTATACAGGATGCATGCACATAACTAAATCCACCCCGTGGCTACCGCAGAACACCTGGAAGTTTCAATCACCAAAACCAATCAGCACATGTACAAGAAGGGAAATCCTGAAAAGCCATGAAAGAGTAACAAGACCACCAATACCCGGTGGGGATTGAATGCAGGTCAGTGTGATATTAGAAATGGTACGCGTCAGCCGGCTCAACCCAACCCTTGTCTCCAAGCCAGACGAGCTCAATGACACTGTGTCCGTCCGTTTCTCGGAAGGAATATGTTTGATGAACATTGTTGCCGATAATAACCGAGTCAGAGAGCATCCATCGATCCTTTTGGATGCCATCTTGTACGGTCGGCCTCAGCGGACCTAGTCTGGCTTCAAATCCCTTTCCATCCTCGTTCCATGTCTTCTCGGTACGGTCAAATCCAACACTCTCTACCGTCAAGCTGGGGTCCATAGTATATCGAATAAGGGAATAACCATTGGTTAGTACCCAGAAGGTGCGTTTTTCGACTCCTGTATGGTCCAATGCCACTGTCTCGTTGAAGAGCCAGCGACGGAGCACAGATCGACGCCCTGCCACCACTGCCACAGAGCTCATCTTAGCGACATCTTTCTTGTACCATGTGTTCCAGTGATGTAATGAGTCAATCTCTCGTCCGGATTCAAAAATTCCATCGGGAGCTCCCCTCATGTCCATTTGAAATAGAGAATCCCAAGCGGTTAATCTTGTTTTTGCGTATGTTTTGATACACTGTGACAGTTTCTGGTCTCCGTGCTTATAACGGGTGCCTAGACACCTTTTGTACACTGGCTGTAGAGCATCTAGCAACCCTCTTGAAATAAATATGCCTGCTCCACCAAAAGCCATTTCTCCAAAGGTTCTGACTTGCCAACTAGCCTCCGATAATGCGCCGATGTAATGTTTCTCCGAGGCATCTAGTGTCGCTAGGCGACTTGCGATTCTGGCCACAGAAAGAAAGAAGGTATCGTCGTCTACAAAGCTAACCCATCTTGTATATGGGCGTTCTTCATCAATGAACTTTTGGAACGCTTCCACCAAGCCAAAATAACGAGAGGGAAATGGCAAGGGAGAAGGTCTGAGTCTGACATCAAGGCCTCGGTTTCGAAAATAAGCCTCCTGGGCTTCTAGGTCGTCTCTATTGTCAGGAACGAGCACAAGGATAGTTGCACCGGTATTTCCGTATGAATACAGTAAAGATGGCAGAAGTTCATCGAGTCGTTCAACAGTTGTTGCAAGCCCAAATAGCAATTGAGAAGTGTGGTCGGCAGGAATATCAGCAACAACGTTAACGTCGAGGATGGGCGAACAAGGCCAGTGTCCACTTGAATTGGATACCTTTAAACCGCGGTTGACGGGCCGAAGTGGAGGCAGGACGTAACCCTCAATTCTTTCTATAGGCCCGAAAGCTGTTTCTGCAGATTGGAAGCTGGGGCGGATGTACGTGCGGCTATAGTTCTTGCGGGTGAGCCATTCTCCCATCGTCATAGCTGGAGCAGTGGCCTTGTCGTTGTGGCAAATTTCATCGGGGGTTTTCTGCAGGGGGTCGATTTGCGAGTGGTATATTTGTGGAGGAGCCAGTGAAGGTCTTGGACGTTCAATTTTGGTGAGCGCGGCATACTCACTCTGATCAACCCGCCAAAAGAAAAAAGTAGCAGCAGCAATAGTGATGATGGGGATCAGCAGGCGTACTCTCATGGGAGCCATGATAGGCACACAATAGAGAGCGCGGTTTTAAAAGCTGTGAATAATTTTATGCAAGCTCTCTCTAGTTAGGTTATGAACAACATGTAGTATAAGAGAGGAATAGAGTCCTGGTAAAGGAGTTCCACAATAAATATAGTTTTTGAATGAAGAAGAATAGGCCAAAAGAAGGATGAGGCGAAAGGCAAGAGACGTGAGAGAAGAGATGGAAGACGCGTCGAACAAGCCGGGAGATTCTGATAGAGAGAGAGGCCTCCTGGTTCAGGGCATCACTGACCAGCGCACGTGCGGCCCGGGACAGGTAAGTCCGCAGTTTAGTAGAGGAAAAGACAGAGAGCGACAGACTTGAGGCCGTTGGGGTTCGGGACACCACTTCTCGACGCAGGAACGAGCAGCAGCAGCAACAACGACAAGGCGCTGCTTCAGCAACTCGGCTCCAGAGATGCTAGGTACCTGAGGTCCGGCCAAGATCTGGATCAAGCACTGGTCTGTGCAGCTGTCGTCAGGAGACACAGCCCCGGGTGGATAGCAAAAGGAGAGAAAGGAGAATGATAGATAAAGAACTGGCGCAGCTGTCGCGCCTCCGGAGGCCAACAAGCAACTGCAGCGATGCGTGGGATCGAGAAGGAATGAGCCAGCTCGGTCTCATCGCAAGGAGCGAAAAAAAAAACCAGCCAGCTCGAGCAGAGATTGAGTGTTTCGCCTTCACGCGCGCCCCCAAAGCCTGCAGCGACGGCCTTACGTATGTCGCCATCCCTGACGATCCCCCCGTGGGCCAGCCAAACGCCAGCAGCCCCTGGCCGGTAGGCTTTGCAGCGCACTGCGACACGCAGGGAGCCACACTCCACCGGCCAACCTGTTTGCTGCGGCTGGGACCGCGTGTTGAGTCGAGAACGACGCGCCAGAGCCTGCAGTGGAGCAGGGGGCTCCGCCGGCTTCATCCCGGTTCCGCCAAACATCCCCGGCGCTGCGCCAACTACTGCGAAATTGCTGATCAGCACTGCCGGTATTAACATCAGAGAGTATAGGTCGCTATTCCTCACACGTGCGCAGCTCAGCCAACCATGGCTTCTTGTATGGCGTGGGCCTGCGGAGTTGGATGCCAGTCCTCCGAAACATGGCCACACAAACTTCGCCAGTCTGCTTGCTGGTTTGGATACCTGGGCTGGCACCGCAAGCCGTCATCGGAGTATAACTTAACTAGTCAGTTATAGCCAACTAACTTCACTCCTCGGCTACCGTCAATTCACGGCGTTTTTCCACGAATCCGCCGCCACATCCAGGCCTTCTCAGCCAACCAAATGCCATTGGCCGGGTATTTTCTCCGCTTTCACCAGGCGGGATGAGTTCTACGAGCTCTACCCCGCCGCACTGATGCCGTCAACACGTTGTTGGTCACTTGGAGACTTCAGTCTACTCAAATAAACGCCACGGGTTTTGATATTGCGGAAAACAAGTCATGGAGACCCAGCAAAAGAGAACGATAGTTATTGTTGGGTAAGACCACAGTTTTCATCGAATAACTACTCGCTATCTCAAGGTGTTATCTATTCTAAGCTTCTCACAGTGCCGGGATCCTTGGCCTTTCCTCCGCTTCCTTATTGGTGAAGTCATCCCGGTTTTCGAAATACCGGATCCTACTTGTAGCGGCGGACTTTTCCTTCGACGGGCCCAACCTTGGATATGCGAGCACGGCAGCCGGTGCGCACTACCGCCCAATTCCAGCCACAACGCCGCAGTTGAAATATGAAGCGGGGCTCGCTAACACCACGTGTGAGCGGTTCAAGAAGCTCTCGTTGGAGCACCCTGAATCCATCATCCAGTTCATGGAGGGTATCGAATATGTCTCCGGAGAGGCCGCATCAGCGTATAAAACACTATTGCCTGAATATGCGCAGTTAACCGGGTTCCGTGTGCTGGACTCCAATGAGACACCTACCGGCGTTGAGTTTGCAGCTCGTTATGACACATACACTGTGGACCCTGATGTTTACCTCTTTCATTTACTAAGACGATTCAAGCTGGATGGCGGTGAAGTGCAAAGAACGCGACTCTCGTCTTTGCAGGAGGCATTTGACCTGCAGGGTCATGACGTTTCTCTGGTTATTAACTGTTCCGGGATGGGGTTTAACGACCCTCACTCATTTATCATCCGGGGTGGGTTCCGCCCGTCTGTTTCTATACCTTTATCCCAAAAACAAGTTAACTGATTTTCGCTATCTTTATACAGGCCAGACATGTTTGGTTTCTAACACTTGCAATAAGACTATCACGCGACAAGATAATGAGGGATGGAGTTTCCTAATTCCCCGGCCCTTGGGGGGTGGGACTATCGTTGGCGGGACAAAGCAGCCAAACGACTGGAGCGCTGTGGCAGTCGAAAGCACACGAGAAACATTACTTGCGAATGCCGCGAAGCTGTATCCTGCCATTTTGAACAGCGAAGGGAAGTTTGACGTTATACGTGACATTGTTGGTCGCCGTCCCGCCCGTGAGGGAGGCCTGCGACTTGAAGTCGAGGTCCTGCCTAGCACTGCTCCTTTGGAACGCAAGGTAGTGCACGCCTATGGCGCCGGCGGACGTGGTGTTGAACTCAGCTGGGGGGTTGCGGAGGAGGTGGTGAAAATGGTTCAGGATAGCTTGCCGCAGACGAGCCACAGCCGGCTCTAACGGAGCTGCTGAAACTGGTTAGCTTATACCTCGATTGAAATGAGAAGCTCCAGACTGCACTGAGCAGGAGAAAGAAAATTGAAAAATACATTGGAAAATGGAGGAAAAAAAATCAAAAAGTGATTTGATAGCATGTCTTGGTTTCGATCCAAGGTCCTCCGGGTTATGAGCCCGGCGCGCTTCCGCTGCGCCAACATGCTGGCTGGTGGGATTTTTTCCCAGCAGAGCTGTTGATGAGTGGGTAGCACCAAGTGGGAATAAGTCACACGCTAACTCTGAGTTTGCCGCAAAAGGAAATATGCACCACCACCATGGAAAAATTTGTTTTTTGCGCATTCATCTTATGGATAGTATCTAGTCCACACAAGGCGAATTGCTAAAGGCTCAATCGAGCACTTTGCTTCTCGATTTTGTTTCAAAGCGAAGGTTTGGCTTTTGGACCCAGTAATGGTGTGCAAGATCAACCGTAGCTTGACTTTATGCTAGTTGAGCGTTATTTCCAGCGATGGAATTCCATGCATAGGCAATGCCTAGTTGCCTACCAAGATGATAAACCTTCTCGCCGTCGATAAGGGTCCATTGGCTTCTTGATACAGATTTGGTAGAGGTAAGCTGCCTTGGAGTGAAATCAAGATATCGTGTCTCCTTGAAAGCTTCCCTGCGTTCGTCGACTGTGTAAATGCACTCAAGCGCCATATTCCACTTGGCTCTCTCGGCCATAATTTCCCTATATACACGCAACTCACCGCCTACAGGAATCTATTCGGCGAAGTTATAAAATATTTATTCGCAGCTCCATTGCGGGATCCAATCCACATGCAGAGTACTACTTAATAAAATTTTACCCAATTTCAACAGATAACCTCCCACTAATTAGAACTTACTATAGGCATGCAATGACACCTTTGTTTTTTTTAAAAAAAAATGAAAATCCTGCTGTTTCTATATAAAATTCAGGATCTTGCGAGGAGAATGGGAGTGGAGAGCTTATATAGTGGTCTTTTGGCACTCAAAGCAAGAGATATAAAGCAAAGGAGATGAAGAGGACGTATATAGGCAGGAGTGATACTTTTCTACCTGGACCAACTACAACAAGAACGCACTCAGACCTATGATGATAGTCATTACCACTCCATTTTCAAAGCCTGCCTTTGAATATCATCAAAAATTGCCCATAAATGAAGGTATAACATTCCAGCCTCGAATTATGAGAATTAAGACGGAGCTGAGGAAGCTCAACACTTTCCAAGATCAAAATAGGAAACGAAGACTTTTGACTGAACCCAGAAATGCCGAAGTTATTCTGGAATATTCACTGTTTCCTTACCCAAGGATCAAGCCGCTCAATGATATCTTCAACTGTAATCTCGGAGATTTCAGCAAGTCCATCTCCGGGGGTAAATGGGAGGGAGTGGTGATGAGGGTGCTTTGGAGGAATCAACACGTCGTTTACAATATGGACGACACCATCCTTAGTAATAATATCCGGACTGGCAACTGAGATAAATCCGTTCACTCTCATTTTCTCAAAACGATCAAACCCAGAAATATCGACACTTAAAGAATGGTCTTTAAGTAGCGTTGGGAGGTCGATCTGATAGAATTCTTAGTACCCAAATTTGAAATCAGGCCAGGCAAAGCCCAGATTAAAAGATCTCACATGAATTGTCTTGCCTCCGCTTCCCTTTTTCTCTACCTTATGATATGCATCTGAGTACAATGTGCGGCCAAAAACGATGTGATATTCAAGTAAGGCTCGGAGATACTTTTCTCCCCATTGAGTGAACAAGAATGCGTTGACCTTTGCACCAAGCTTTCGGAATGCGATATTGGTTGGGGCAAAAAATGTGCCTCCCGTATGGCTCGATGTGTCATTTATCATTTTATATAGTCCTGTTTTCGCTAGGCCAAAATCTAGAGTGCTGAAGACCGAAGGGACGAGACTTAATGTGTCGGAGGATTGGAAGGGAGGCAGTAGAATGTGATCGACTATATGGACGAAGCCATTATCTGCGCACTAATTTCACTTAGGTTACTGTGGTTCATGTAGTCAAGGTGCTCAGCAAGACCAACCAGATTTGACTTGTATATACGGGCCATGTAGTTGATAGTCATGCCCAAGGCGGTAAACTGAGTACTGATCCGTTGATCATGGTCTCCCAACTCATTCTGTTCGAGTAAGGTAGGGATGGTTCTTGAATGGAATATCTGTTTCGCCGTCTTAGGTTTCTGCAGAATGTGATATTCAACAATTTGTCTCGTAAACTCTTTTCCTGGATGAAATTTCATTGCAGCTTCCATGGCTCTATTACCTGGGACCAACACTGTATGATGTTTGTCAGGGGAATCCAGAATCTTCACGATGTCATCGAATTGCGAAACCGATTTTGCAAATAGACTAGTGTCTTTGTTAGAGGTAATTATCTGGTAGACCGTTTTGTTATTAGAGTAATGGTGATCATTCCAGTGACCACAGCTCTCAATACGGGCGCCTAGGTCACAAGCGCTAGCTTCCTCTGCCAGATATGACCGGTGAAGCGACCATGACGATGTCAATTCTAAGTTATTCGATAATTCATCAGCGTAAGACACCATTGAAGCAAAGTTCCCTTGTGTTTCGGGTCCTGGGATTGCCCATGGAGGTTCAAACCCATCCTCTACCACTGAGCCAAGTAGATTTTGCTCGGGAATCACAAAACCTGCAACAGCAGATACAGCATTTAAAACAAATAATGACTTCATGTTGGCTCCTTTTTTTTTCAAAAACTGTTAGGGGTATATATGAGTTATGTCTGGATTAATGTAAAGCTATGATGTGATTAAGAAAGAGAATCAGTTGATCAGACCGAGAGGTCCATACTGGCCACTTGCGTCAAGCTGACCCGCCACCTAGTAGAGTTGGTACAGTTGAGCTAAAATCTGGGATTGAGTATCCAAAAGGCTGGTGGAAGTCTCTATCTCAGCTATGTGGCACTTAGAACTTCGCACAAGAAACAGGTTGTTATCGTTCTTGTCTGTTGTCATGTTGGAACAGTGGTTGATGACATCAAGTTCTGAAGTTTGAGCCGCAAAATCGATCTCTGACTAGTGGCTTGGCCGATTTAGTTACATAAGCAGATAGCTTGTCTTGGCAACGCTGTTTCTATCTCAACGTCCAAACATCAAACGAAAACAGTCCAGCTCATTGCGTCCCATCTTTTCTTACCCATACTGTTTGGTAATGTGGCTTAGGATTATCTGTAATTCCAGTTTGTGCAGTTGTTCACCTTGGTTTGTATCTATATGCTGCCTTCAAGATTTTCGTTTTGTCCTTTTTTTTCTTTCTGCAGGCTGCAAGAAGCCTGCCTGAGAATATAAGATATTGAGTCTTTCAGCCCAGAGGCTTGTCTGACCATTTGGTCAAATAGACTATTCTGAGGATTTGCGCAATATGTATTTCCCGCCCAGTCCCCCTGGTGGTCAAAGAGTCGATATGTTCTCCGACTGAACCTCGAAAGCCTGGTTCAATCCACAGTATAGCTCAGTTTTGGATTTTCCACTGGAATACTGGAAATAGTGAAGTGGAATTGATATCGCGCTGGCAAGCTACACGGTTTTTCTTCTTAGATGTAGTGCAGCAGGCAGCTGAGGCACTTATGGAAGAAAAACTCCCCGTAATTGTTTTTCTTTTCTTATACTTTTCAGAATCTATCTGATCATGATTCAATTTCATTCTTCCCTGTAGAGCGTTCTTTCTTGCGGAGCACCTTTTCTCGATTCTGATATCGGGGTACGCCGCGTTTCGAGGCCATAGAAAACGCTAGTGGTTGTGCAGTTTTGTGTTTTTACAAGATACCAAAACCTACCCTATCTCTTATCAAGCATCCAAACACGGTTCTTGAAGTTATTTATTTTCTCTCGAATACAAACAACCTTCGAAGGTAGGATAATATTTCGTCTCACGCGAAAAACACGCCATATCTCCTTCTTTACATTTCGTATTATCTGCAATTCTGAAGAACGTGCACCCCCCGCTATTTCTCATCTCCCGCGTATCGCGTGCCCGGTCATAATAGTAGATCATTGACCTCCACCTAGCCGCCTCTAATTCTGTGATTCAGCCTTTAGGCTCAATTCCTATAGAAAGGTATTTCCTAATCATCCAAAACAACGAATTTCCAAAACTTGTTGCTCTGGCCATTGTTGACTCTTTTTTTATTTGGAGTAGTTTACAAATGACATATATCTATATTTCATATGGAGAAGAATGCGATCCATAGCCGTCGTCAATCGAAGCGACAACCTCTTTGCGACGCTAGCAATCGGGCCAATATCGCTAAGTCATTCAAAAGTGAAGCACGTCTTGAAACGCTCCCATTAGACAAACAAATGAAGTCTTCAAGTCTTCTCGGCTCCTTGAACGAGGTATCTTCGCTTACAACTGCAGAGAACAAACGCGTATCTGCAGTTATAGACTACCACACAGATTCAAAACGTAACTCTGCCATCTCGACAACTTCCACTGGCTCCGGAAGGCGAAAGACGCATATTGGTCCATGGCGACTGGGAAGAACTCTTGGGAAAGGCTCGACAGGCCGCGTCCGTCTGGCGAAACATTCTGTGACGGGTCAGTCTGCTGCTATTAAAATCGTATCTAAGAAATCTGCAGCATTATCCCAAAGCCAGAGCATTGCTGCGATGGATAAAAACATTGGCACTGCACCGGGTTCTCGTACAATTCCTTCTGGCATCGAAAGAGAAGTTGTTATCATGAAGCTTATTGAGCATCCAAATGTTATCAGCTTACTCGATGTTTGGGAGAATAGAGGTGAACTGTACGAATTGTGGTGTAGCCCGTCCTAGAAAGGCAGTAGCTAACTCGCCTATAGATACCTTGTTCTCGAGTATGTCGAAGGCGGCGAGCTATTTGATTACGTCTCGGAAAGCGGTCCTCTTCCAGAAGTCGAAGCCGTCAGACTTTTTCGACAAATTATTGCTGCATTATCGTATTGCCATCAATATAATATCTGTCATCGTGATCTCAAGCCCGAAAATATTCTGCTCGACTCCCAGAGAAATATCAAAGTGGCTGATTTCGGTATGGCGGCTTTGCAGCCGATGGGTCACTGGCTAAATACGTCATGCGGGAGTCCCCATTATGCGTCACCCGAAATAATCTATGGACACAGATATCAAGGCAACAAAGCCGATATTTGGAGTTGTGGGATAATTCTTTTTGCTATGCTGGCTGGATTCCTCCCATTTGACGGTGGCGACCTTGGTAGTACTCTGAAGCTTGTTAAAAAAGGAGAGTACATACTTCCTCCCTGGTTCAGCCGAGAAGCCGTGGATATGATCCAACGAATTTTACAAAAGAAGCCTGAGAACAGGATTTCTATGAATGAAATGTGGCAACATCCTCTTCTGAAAAAATACGAGACTCATCCCATCCTCGCGGATTATCCACTAAATGCTATAGGACCCCCATCACCATTGTCGTCCAAAGATTTCAGAAAGATGGTGAGTCATCGTCGTGATATTGATATGGAAATTTTAAGAAGCCTCCAAACACTATGGCATGGAAAAAGGAAAGATGAACTAATGGAAATGCTGTTAAATGACGAGTAAGTTAGCCGAGAGTTGTATCGTCTGTTTCTCCTATATTTTAACATTCTGTTTCGATAGAGCGAACCACGAAAAGTTGTTTTACAAAGCATTGTTGAAATTCAGGGAAGAACAGCTTGAAAATTACGAAGGCCCACCACTAGAGTACTCGTCCAGTGACTACCATCACATCTCAAGGCCACTCTTTCGACCACACAAACGGATATCAGGCAACTACAGTGAAAGCAGTGTGTGGAAACGTTCCAGATTCTCAATCGCTACAAACACATCTAGTCTGAGGGAGAATTCCGGTAAAGGGCCATTATCCGTCAGAACAATTGCCAGCTATGACCCTTATAGATCATCTCAAACCGCCATTACCGAACCAAAGGTTGAGTATGCAAATGTTGTCATCCACAGGCACCCTTCAAGTGGCTTTAGCGCCGGCGTGCCTTTGGATATGCTCAACGTCGGGACTCAGCCTGTCGGAGAGAGAGGATCTTCACTTATCCTTTCATCGTCAAACGCTGCACCATGGTCCTCATCAAGACGAAGCTCTATCGCATCTTTCCAGTCGCGTAGCTCAATGGGGAGTCTGCGCCAACGCCGAGCTTCCACTCGTGGTTATAAGAGAAATGTTTCTTTCCGACATTTGCAAAATATGAAAACAGCAAATCAAAGTGCCAACACTACCAAATCATACGCTGAATATTCATTGCCTCCAGAGAAAAGGAGACCCCAAAGGCGTCAATCTGAAAGGGCCAAAAGACTATCCACTGATAGATTCAGCAGCCCATCTCTGCCTTCACCGCCGGCCTGCGTACAACGAGCTTCAACCAAGGAAGGGGAAATTCAAGTGGAAGTGAAGCCACGTCAATCTTATCAATACTGGAAAGAAGAAGCCCGAAAGGTGTCGCAAGAGCTCGAACAAATCTGCGAAGAGGCTTTCAATAGCTCGTCTATTTCATCTTCCCAGACAATAGACGCTGGATTCAAGTATCCAGAGTCACCTGTGACTTCCGTCTCTACCCCTGGAAATCTTGGCAGATATTACGATAAGAAGAACAAACGATCTTCGCGAGAGCAAGATTTTGAGTCTTGCAGCTCCTATGCGACCAAGGAGTTGGTTGAGACTCGTCGTCGATTGATAGAGCATTCAAGCCAGGCTAACGCGGACAACTTGCCCTCCTATCTCTCTGAAGTCATCGCTCATCTGGATCGCCTGATTGGAGGTGAATTGGCGCTTTCCGCAGCAACAAACTCAACTTTAGTCAAGGAACCCACCCGGTTATCACAGAATTTCGACAATAAACTACCTCCTATCTCGGAAGAGAGGCCGCCTGTGCGAGATTTCTTATCCAGTGAGAGTAATTTTGGCCGATCAATCTCAAAGACTGTTCCATTGAGACCGGATGACTGGGAAAGAAAGAAAACAATCCGAGTAGTACCAGATTCGACCAACAATCTTGGTACAATAAAACCGCTGACCATAAGAAAGAAGCGCACGACACTCGAATTCCGAACTTCAGCCAGTGACTCAAGAGACTCGGAATCACAGCGGAGTGCCAGCGAGTCAGTTCCCCCTGATCGGGCAGCAGGTCGAAGAAGCACGACTGCACGGTTTTTCAGCGGGCTTGAGCCAATTGAAGAAAATCCAAAATCCCCAAAGAAAAGCGAAGCTCGCAACCCTGCAGAAAGCAGGAAATGGTCCTGGTTTAAACATACTAAATCTGCGAGCTATGCAGACGTCGGCCCTCCAACGCCACCAAAGGACAATCTTCCATCTGGCAGGTCTTCGCTCTCCAATATTGCAAACGTTAGCTCTCACAGCATTGAGGGGCTGAACACGGTTGAAAAGCACCCTGAAATCAAACGAGTTTTCCCAAGCGGTCCTGCAGAGACGGGCAAGAAGCTGCTGAAACTCTTTGGCAGAAAGAAACATGAAAAACCAATCCATGAAATTGGAAGAGGCAGTAAGTGTCTATCTTGAATCATTGTAGAAACGGTTCTCCTTTTGTTAACTTGGATCGTCTGGCAGTCAACGACCCCGATTTCTCTTTTACGAGTCTAGCCAGCGTAATCGACAGCGGCGGCTCGGACTCCAATGAACACACCATTCCCAGCCGCGAAAGAAAAGCCGAACGATCAGTCTCTCCGCCGCCCAGCCAGAATTGGTTTATGAAATTCTTCCATATCAAGCCTGCCTCAAGAGTCATTGCGCTGAGTCTCTCCAAATCACGCGCAAGAAAGGAGATCCTCAAGATCATCCGTGAATGGAGAAAGTATGGCATAGAGGATATCTATTATGATAGACCGAATGGCGTCATCCGCGGGAGGGTGGGAGAGTTGAATCGTGAGTCCCCAACAATATTTAGTACCGGACACTAGTTAGCTAACTAACCAACTTTTCTACTTTCCAGTCCTCCGTCTCCGCCCCGTCGACTTCTCCGCAAAACTGTTCACGGTGCTGGAATTCGGCCGCCAAGCCGATCTCAGTCTGATCCGGTTCAAACAGGAGCGTGGCGCGGCGTCGTCTTTCCGAAAAGTGGTGGATACGCTGACCACGGTCCTCAAGCAGCGCAACTTGCTTGTTGAAGACGCAGTCAAAGCCAAGAAGATGGCCAAACTCCTTGAATTCGCGCCTCAGTAGGCAGGCAAGGATGGGATGCTCCAGGTTGAAGAAGAAGAATAATAATAGTTAGCTGGGTTGGAGAACGCGCGTGCCGTTCATTCTTCCTCTGATTGGAGTCTGCGGCAGATCTTGCAGAGGATTCTCAAAAGCTTGGACTGGATTTTGAGGGCCTTGTTTTTTTGTATTTTTTTTTTTTTTTTTTTTGTTTTTTTTTTGTTGCAAGAATGCGGCGGCTATGCTTCATAGCTGCTTCGCCTGGATTGTTGCGCTTCCACCACACCACAGACTTGACTATGTTTGATCACCGGTTGCTTAAACTATTCCCTTCTCGAAAAAAGTCATCCTCGGCTCGCGTTAGGTCGCTGGATCTGAGTCTCTGAAAGTTCCCCATACTGCAGCCCGCACCGCGCCCCCGTATCCTATTTTAGCCTCCCCACACCTGTTCCAACTAATAACAAGCCCAACACCAGCGTTGGCATTGTGTGTAGTTATGTATGAGTGTGCATCTATGTATCGAGTATATTCTAGCCCAAAAAACAGACCCGGGATAAAAAAAGAGAAAAGAAGAACAAGATGGAGACGGCAGCATCAGCCGCGAGAGCCTTGGGCCATCCTACCATCATACGACCCAAAATCCTCACACACCAAGCCATAGTTAGTGATAGGAATGTACATTGAGGCATTACCAACGCCATCGGAAGCAAAGGATCCAGCCATGCCACGCCGTCACCCGTTGTCGGGGGGAAGCCACAAGCCAACGCGGGCCGCAAAAACACCTTGAACCTGGCCATCTAGTCACCTAACTAACTACTCCATAAGGAAAGTAAGAAGTAGTTACATAGCTCACTCATAGTTACATTCGCAAAAAGAAAACCCCAGTCGGAGGCAGAAACAGCCACAAGTCAACTAACTCGTCTACCAACCAGCTAACTAACTATCATACATGCACAGGGGCGAGACATGGTTTCCCCTGGGACCGGGCCCCATCTCTCTCCCATGCAGCCACGCATCTGCCGCACACATCACGACTCCATCTGCGCGACCTTTTCCTTGTAATTTTCTCATCTGCAACCAAACTGACTAGTTAGTTAACTAGTTAAGTTACCCTCGAGCCTCCAGGGCCAAGCGCCGCGGCAAAAAAAAAGGCAAGCCACCTATCTATCCACCAGGCAATTAGCTAGCTTGCTGGCTGAGTAGTTACTAGTTATAAAATGTGTGTGGGGTACAACTAACTAACTAACTAACTACTACGGAGTAGATACGTAAGAGCTACCAACCAGCACACATCATAAACCTGCATTTCCCGCATGCACGTCACCGGTCTCGTTAGTTACGTAACTAACTAGCTAATTTCCCTACCATATTCCCGATCCGTCCATACTACTCCACCATTCTTCTTATCCTCCTCCTCCTCCTATAATCTTTTTTTGTTTCCCGTTTTAGCGCTTGCGCGCGCGGCAACGGCGGGCGGACGGGCGGACGGGCTGGGTGGAGAAAAAAAAAAAAAAACCTCCGACGCGGCCGGGGAGCGGCAGCGGCGGTGATTGGCCCGGACGCCGGACGGACGGAGCGGGGGGCGGGGGCGCGGTTGCCGGCGGGCGGCGGGCGGCGGAACGCAACCTTAAAAGGAGGATGTTTATCCGGGCGCCGAGAGCCCGCCGCTCCGATTTACTACTAGTAGTAACTACTTACTACTACTGGGGTGGGGCGGCGCGGCGCGGCGCGGTCGGATTCCCAAGCCCCCTTCCCGGCTTTATTGGCGAATCCTGCGCGATCTGGGATGAGCGATCTCGGAGCCAGCAGAGCAGGGACCCCCGTTGCGCCGTGTCAGAAACACAACGGGAAGGCAGGGGGCGGGAGAATGAGCGAGGGAAAAAAAGTACATTCATACTATGTTTCAGTCCGGCTGCGTGAGAGAGAGAGAGAGAGAGAGCAGAAACAATAGCATACACTAACAATTCTCATCGAGACAAATTCAGATAGCCACCCGCCCATCCATATCCTAGTATTCATTTCCAGTTTGCATTTCACGCTCTCCAAACGTGGTCTGTTATGCTCCACCTGCGTCGCTTTCAAATGCAATCTATTAAGAAAAACCAAGAACCGGAGAAGACTTCGCAGACGTAAAAAATATAAATAAAAACAAAGTTGAGCATCCCAGCCGTCCGCTAACAGATCAAAAGTTACGGGAGAAAATGATAAGATATCCGCCCGCTGCAATGCAAAAAGAAAACGTGCAAAGCGTGAAAGAGGATATTCAGATAGCCGCCCACCTCAGGCCCGGATAATTGCCTGCTTTTTAATGCAACAAAAACATAACGCAAACAGAGCATGGATCGTAAGTATTAAGGGAGAAAACAAAAAGAGTCGGCAAGCCACTCGCAGAGACAGCAGGGGAAAAGCAAGGGGAAAAGGCAAAAAATCAAACCCAAGACATAAAGGGAAAACGTTAACAAATTAGTGGGTTGCCCCGGATAGTTTATAAATCTTTTGTGGAGAAGGAAGCTGAAGGCAGAAACATAACTCTATAAAACGGCTCAGAAAAAAAGTGAAACGCTGGAGTAGTAACGTTGGCGATCTAAAAAAAAAAACGTCATAGCCGCGTGAGCCGCAATTGCTGCCGAAACTTATTGGCGGGTGAGGAGTCGATTGGCGGTCGGCATTCCATGGTTCGAACTTTGGCCCGCAGAACGCACGCGAGCATACATAGATCTTCCAAACACAAAAGGTTCTCCTTCGTCGAGAGCCTTTTTCTCTTTTTTAGATTCAGTTCTGGAATCGTCTCCCTGCCCCTCGTCGTTGATCTTCATGTCTCCACAAAACATCTTTGATAGCGCATTGTCGTGAGGTAGGCATCCTGCCCATAAAAACTGCCCCGCCACTGCGGTACGCATGAGAGTCTCTTTTTTCCAACGGGATATTCGCAGGACACCGTCCATACTGCCAGCCGTTTCACAAATTATCCAGGCGCCCATGACCAGCATGGATTATTCTAATCGTGCAAAAAACAAAACTTGTCGCTTTTCCGGGCCATCATCTCCATAAGGCATACATATCTCTTGTAAACTCATTACTCCTCGTAGTCTTATTCCGCGCTCAAGATCGAGCTGAGCCGGGGTGGGGGCGGTGCATTCGCCTAGCGGTTCAGGCCTTGCCTGTCGAGCGCGCTGACCATACGACTATCTGCATCGCTGCGGAAGCTCTGTGGTTCCGCAGGAACGAGCATGTCCGTCACGCTAAGCCCGCTGCGTCTCCCATTGGATGCTTGTCCGGGTGGTGGAGTGCGATCAGAATCTCTCCCACTGGAAGGAGATTGGGGCGGTGGTGGTGGCTGCTGAATACTTGGGTACGGAAGGTTCGGTGCTGGAAGGGTAGCGTTGGCAGGCGGGTTTGACTGGTCAAACGAGTAGGATGAATGAGAGGAAAGCCTCCTTGACTCCGACTGGGAAGGGGAGTAGAACGGTCCTTGGCCGACGGCAGCGGGATGGGGCGAATAGCCTGCACCAGAGGTGGCAGCAGGCACCGGAGGGAGGGTAGGAGCTCCAGAATAATCGTACCCGATAACTGATTCACGGCGTCCTTGGGGTGCTCGCTGTGGAGAGGAGCGTGAGGAATTAGAGCTAGACACGGATGGAGAATGGCCAGGGGATGGGGAGAGTGCAGCCTCGTCAGGATGGGGGCGTTTGCGACTCACAGGATCATGAAGCAAGACAGGATGGGCCAGGGGGATAGGCTGGCCACTTGGTAGCGTCACTGGGATGGGTCCTGACCTTCCGTACGGGTGTGGGTACATTACCGGAGGCATGGGCAGCGTGCTGTCCGGTGCATGGCCAAGATGGGGTGGTGGCAATGGTTGGCCGTGGGCACCGTACAAGATCACAGGTTCTCCTCGACCTCCAATGCGTGGTCCGTTGGGCATGTTGCGAAGATGTGGGTATGCTGCATGAGCAGGGACGAAGGCTTGTGTCTGCGAAGACACTGGAGTAAACATGCAATCTTGGTTAAATCTCACACAGTTGCTGCATCGGCCATCTTGTGACGTGTCAAATCCGGAGCATCGAATCTAGAACTTCGTTAGGGGGGAACGGAGACATAAAAAACCACGACTGGAATAGTCCACACACCTTCCGTCTGCGGCAGTAGCGACATGCGATGGCCGTTCTTTGTCGGGGAGCAGCCGTTGGGTAGACGACTGGAGGTACCACGGGGGCAGCGACGGGAGGTGGAGGACCGTACATTTCAGGGGGGCGCTGGAAAGCACCGGGATTGGGTAGACGGTAGGCATCGGGTTGGGGGTGCTGGGGGTGCTGAACGGTAGCCATTCCGGCGGTGGAAGGTAGCTGTGGATCTTGATGCTGTTGTTGATACTGATATGAAGACTTGGGGGAAGAGCCCTTTTGGATTGGAAGTTAGACGGATAAAACAAAAGCGAGAAACGTAAGGCAGCAAAGTAATTGCAAAAACAAGTTGAAGGACGCGTGGGTTGGGTATCAGAAGTTCAGAAAGGTAAGGCAAGGCCAGGACGAGGCGGAAGTGGAGACGCAGCAAGGCCAAAGGAGTCAAGGCAACGGACAGAGGGAGGGAGGAGGGCAAATACGGACAGAATATTGCGGCGACGGCGAGAAGACAGGCTGCGGCGGCGGCTGGGGTTGAGATGAGGGTTGCGACGGCGTTTGGGGAGGTGGTGTAGGTTGTTGTTGGCCAGCGGTCCAGGGTGGCGGTGGGAGCTGTCCGTGACGGTGGGACTCGTTGGACATTTGTTGCGGCCTGGTGGGACGGATTGGGCGGGGGGGGGCAAGCAAATCCTTCTTATAGATATAGCAACCTAATTTGGTCGGCGAGCTTGTGATGCAATTGGGGGGGCAGGGATGAGCTGCAGGATTTGCCAATCTGGGCCGTTTCCCAACGACGGCGCAGCTTGGAGGATGACGGCACAGCAGAAAAAAGCGGGACGCTCGGGACAAGGGTCAAGACCAGGTGGAGGCCGTGGCCGGGATGGGCTGGACGAGGTGCGTTCTTGGGCTGCTGCTCTGCCTCCGTGGCAAGGGCCGCAACGATTTGGGGGGGATGGGCGCGATGACTCGCGGGATCTCGCATAGCCCGCCGGGGCTTGGGACACGCAGGGCCTGCAACGGGGGAGAGAGACGAGAGAAACGCGCAGCAGCAGAGTGCAGCAGGGCAGCAAGTGTGTGCCGCGGCTGAGTGGGTATGCCGGGCAGCTGGAGAGGGCGTGAAGGGAGGGCCTGGCGTGCTGCACGTCAACGCAGAGGCAATCCCGCTAGCCTCGCCGAGGGCAGAGGGCGCAGATGACGTGGGCGGATGCAGCTGCAGCTTGCGTTCAGCAGGCTGGGGATGCAGGCCGTGTGCAGGTGCCTTGGGGACTGTTCTAAGGGTTATTAATATTATTTATCTCCACGTCTTTGTGCTTGGCCTGGGACGGGTCGGCGGGCGTGGCCGTGCTCTGGGGACTGACGGAAAACACGGCGAGCAGCGCAGGCGAGGGTGAGAAAGGAAGAGAGAGGGAGAAGGGAGAAAGAAAACGGAAGCGGCGAGAAAAAGAAGAAGAATGCAGGCAGCTGAGACACCCGCGTTCGCGCGGGCCAGGGGAGCGGTGAGAGGGCCGGTCGCTGCGGACAGTCTGGAGCAGCACGCGCGCCAATTGGCCGGGACGGGCTCGCCAACGGGAAAAAGAAACGAGACGAGACAATCAGAGTTTACGCATGCAGCGCAGCGGACAAAGAGGCGAGCAGGGTGAGAGGGAGAGCAGAGAGGGAGAGCAGAGTGGGAGAGCAGAGTGGGAGAGCAGAGAGGGTGGGAGAGGGAGAGGGAGAGGTGGGAGGTGGGAGGAGGATGAGGGGGGGGAGGGTTACCTAAAGCGGTCAGCCAGGCAGCAGGCGAGGCAGGAGGCGGGCAGCGCAGAGCAGCAGGGGCAGCAAGGCAGGGCAGGGCGAGCAAAGCAAAGCAGAGCAGGATCCTCGCTGAAATAGCGAGCAAGGCCGTGTGAGCCAGGCATAGCTAGTGAGTTAAACCGGCTAGCTCGCCGTCTGCCAGCGGGCGTGCAGCGTGCATTGGCGCGCCCGCAGCGGCAAAGCCCAACCATGGATGCGCGGGCGTCGCGGCGGCAGGCTAGCGAGGGATGGGATCGCGAGGGAGCGTTGCGCCGTACCGTACGGTCAGCCCGTGTTTCCGTACGCGCCCCCCCCGTACCACGCCCCGTACGCTCCGTACCGCACGCAAGGTACCGCTGCCTTGGGCCGCGCGCCACACCGACCCGCCGCCGTCTGTACAACATATTATATTCTTCTCGCTTGCCCATGTCCTCTACCACTTCGTCTGCCCTGCTCGCTCGTTCGCGGAGGCAAAAAAAAAAAAAAACAAAAAAACAAACCCGTCGTCACACCCCTCCCGAACACCCAAACCAACAAACCCAATTCGCCCAGAATCTGGCCCGAACACGCCGCCGCCGCCGCCGTCACCGCTATCGCCGCCGCCTCCCTTCCCTTCCCTTCCTTCCCTCCATCCATCGTGTCGAACCCAGTTTCAACCCGGCTGCTCCCTCGTGAGCGAGGGGAGGGTCCCGCCCGCGGAACCACGGAGGCGGGTATCGGATCGTCGCCCAGCACGAGGCCGCCGCGCCCGGAGCGACGCCCCGTCGCTAGCTGCGTTCTCTCACTACCACTAGTACTGCTAAAATATTAATATAATCTCAATCAAACGGACCAGGCGCGCCCTTTTGCGCGAGCCACCCGTCGGCCCAGCGGGACACCAGCCTGGCCGGCCATGTCGCCGCCCAACAGCCAAACAACCGCCGCCTCCCCCCCATGACGCCATGACGCCATGGCGGGCGGCTGCACACCCGCGGGTTTCAACGTCACTGCAGCTCCCCAACGCTTGTGTGAGTGACCGAGTGGGTGTGTAGGATCAATCTATATGCAACACTCTTTCTCCCACCCCCAATGTTTGATCTGCTCCCGGATCGCCGTCCAGCCGCATTTGCTGCCTGGAATAGTCAACTACCGGCACCGTCTTATCACTACAACAAACAATGTTTGAAATAGAAGCAGGCACCCGACACCTGCCAGTAATAATGGGGTTTGTTCCCCGCGTGTGTCGCACATATCGTCAGTGCATGCACGGCGGCGTTCCCCCTTTTCAGCCTTATCCGTTCTGCGGCGCGCGGCGCTGCAGGTTGAACTACGTACATGATGCCATGGCTCCGACGGCGAACACCGGGCCTGCTCGCAAGTATTTTCATAAGAAAACTATGCCGTGGCCAACACCCGCGGACACGTAAGTACTGTAGCTGCGGTGGTACCGTATTCTTTCGTCTGGCGAGGCAAGAAACCATTAGTTAAAACTAAACCGTGGGGCTGGAATGCCAGGTTTGCCCGGCCAGCCCCCGGGCTTGTAGCAGATATATGATCTCAGGAGAGCCTCCTCAAACTGGGCACAAACAAAAAAAAAAAAAACGAGCAAAAACAAAACAGGGTCTAGAAGGAGTGTGGGACCAGGAAAGTGAGGGGGCAGATTTTTTGTTGTGTGCACTCTGCGACAAAAGTGTTGTCTCCAGACAGTCGAACTGGCTGGAAGAACAGGACTGGCTGGCTGGGCCTGATGGACTAGCCGTAACAAGCAGTCTGCTCGTTCAGAGACGACCACAGAGTCAGTCCCATTAGGGTTCCCTTCCAAGCAAATGATAATGATGATGATATGATGATGCCAGTGACTACTCCGCACAAAGTCCTTACACATTTATTCAAAATCTAAAAGAATGACAATCTTACGGGGAAGAGGCGCAAACCAAGCCTCTCGCCCCCCTCCCCCCCCAAAAAAAACCACGGCCCGCCCGCCCCCCCTTGCATAAACCTCATCCGGCGTGCAGGTGTCAAAAAAAAAAAAAAAAAAACGAAAAAAAGGTGGTATCAGCCGACGCACTCCGTAAAAGGCGAACGATAAGCACAAGGCGACGCCATCCACGTCAGCAGCCAGCGCCGTTTATGATAGGCAGGCAGGCAGGCAGGCAGGCCGGCAGGGCGGGCGCGGGAAGGGCTGCATGTCATTCGGGGCTTGGACGGAGGGCCGCGCCAGCCCTGTTCGCTGGGTTGGACTAACTAACCACGGGCGGGTTATCTCCGTCCACGCACACCACTATAATAATAATTTGCTGGCTGGGTCATTCGGCGCGTGGCAAACGGGCCAGTGGAACCGGTCCCAGACAACAACAACATCAAAAGAGAAAGAGAGTTCGCCCAATTGGTATTTTATTTTAGGCCGTGTGCGGTGCCGAAAACGCGGCTCAGGATATTAGTTAGTTAGTTAGCCAGCGAACTAACTACGGAGTTACTAGTGGATGGTTCCAATTGTCTGCCGCAACCGAACATCTGGGACCGCCGGGCGGAGAAGAGAGAAGAGGAAAGAAAAAAGAAGTAGTGGCCGTGGCGGGAAGGGAAGGGAAGGGAACCGGCTAGCTGCGTCTTGTGTTGCTGAGCGGCGCGCGCGGGTTTTGGCTTTTTTTGCGACGGGACTGGGGTCTTGATTAAATGGGGAATTTTTATATTATTTTATTTATTCTGTGAAGCTGCCGTATCAGCGGGCGGAGGCTAATTTGCTCGATCCGTCACGGGGCCGAGCCGGCGTGGATGATGCAATGGCAAATAAAATAACAATATTCAGACGGGATTGGAGGCGGTGTACGGGAAACCAAAAAAATAAAATAATAAAATAATAACATCCAGTCTTATTATTCCCCCCCCCGGCTGTTTGCAGCTCTCAATTTCCAGAAATAAAACAAACAATACCAATTAATACCTGTCCAGCTTTGCGCGACGCCTCCCGTCCGAATCCGCTCTCGACCAACTAACTGCCCTCCCGTTGCCGTTTCCGGCGTGTACGCCGGAGTCGAGATAATGATTAGTATACTGTTAGCATTCAGATAGCATACAAAACGTGGAGACCAGGATGATGGCGACGGCCAGACATGCGGCGGTCGACGGGATCCCTCTCAGCGCCCGCCCGGCTAGACTCAGCCGCCGCCCGCCCATCCGCATAACTATCCGTCATCATCGCCATCATCATCGTCACTACTCTAATCAGGAATGCCACCAATCGGCGGCAGCCCTGCCCGTCCGCGGGCCTTGCCCGCCTTAGTTAATTCTCGCCCGGAGCGTGCAACTCTGGAAATGAAGTAGCAGTGAAAAATTAATATACCCTCGCAGGCGGTGTTTGGCTACCTACCTGCCTACTTACAGTCGCATGACGGCCCCCGGGACGGATGCACGCCCGCCCGTTTTGCGGTTACATCGCGACCGCAGCCCGCTCCAGCGATCGCGACGCAACTTGTTGCCCGGCCACGTATCATCATCATTCCTCCTCCGTCGCACGACACTCGCAACCCGGCGCGGGACCGCGTCGCGCCCGGTCTCGTGTTCCGGGGCCAGGCCACAGACGGACGAGGAGGAGCTGCGACCTGCACACCCGCGCCAGCGCAGTCACAGGACCGTACGTGTCTGCGGTTGGAATGCCAATAATCGAAGAGAGGGGGGGGAAGAACGTCACCCCCGTCTGGAGGCTACTGCACTCCCCCTCTCGCCTTCGCCCTGGCCCGCACGCACGCACGCACGCATGCCCGATCCCTGCCCGCGGCACCCGTCCGCCTATCAGCTCGCGCGCGAACCGCCGGGCAACACTTAACTATGTCGTTACTTGCCCACCCACCGACTGGCCGCAGCCTGGCTGTCTGGCTGTGTGGGAGGGGCCGATCCGCGCAGAGCATCGGGTACTGGGCCATCGCACGTAATCTCCCGTTTGGCTGGGCGGCGTGTGCGCTGTTGGGATCGGAACTGAAACCAGGCACGGCCGGGATGAGGAGAGAGAGAGAGAGAGAGAGAGAGAGAGAGAGAGGAAGGGAAGCCGGCTGCGGACAGGTAGTTAGTTCTAGGGCCACAACAGTAACAAAAACAAAAAAAACCAAAAGAAAAAAAGGAAAGGATTGCGGCCTGGCAGGCTTGCTTGCTTGCTTGCTTGCTTGTGCGCCCGGACAGGCCCGTAAGGCTTCCGGGAGCCGGGGATATCTTCAGAGGGCATCATGGGCCGACGGCGATCGCCTAGCCCACAAGCTAACAGCTAACTAGCTAGCTGGGCGGGAGGCGGGCCGCGCCGATTTGAAACGGCGATCTCGGGGGGGGCTGGTGCTGTGCACCGGCAGCGAAACCAACAGGAAATATTTTAAATTATTTATTATTATTGAGGCGAGAACGGCGGCGTGCGCGGCGTGCAGCTGCACCCCCCCCCCCCACCCCACCGGCCGGATGCCGATGCTGCGGGCTTGTTTTGGCGGGCTGGCTGGCCACCGCCCCAACGGGCGCGCGCGGCGGGATGCGCGAGCTAGCGATGCATGCGCGGCACGTTGCATTGCGCTGCGGTCATGTGGCCGGCAGCGACGGCGAGGCGGATGAGAAGAATAAAGAGAGACGAAAGAGAAGATGACACAATAATAATGACGACGACGACGATGATTGCCATTGTGATTGCGACTGCGCGCCCGCCCGACGAGCTGCGACATGCGTGTCTGAGCCTGGCCTGCCCGTATCAGGAGCAGGCCCGCGCACCGCCAACCGTCGCGGACGGGCCTGGTGCGACGGACAAGGACAAAAAAAAAAAAAAAAAAAACCGAGCGCGCGACGGCCTCTGGCATGGCATGGTGGTGATGATTGACCGACTTTGTTGTTGGGCGACATTGCGATCGATGTGCTGCGGAATTCAAATCCACACCGCTCCTGCGTGAGGGACTCACTAACTAGTTAACGGGTTCCGACGGGCAGCAGCAGCACACGCAGACAATCATGCGCGCCCGCGGTGCACGAAAAGCTCCATGAATGAGCGACATAGCTAGTTCGCCCGCGGACGGTGGACGGACGGCCTGACTGACTGACTGGCAGCGAGCAGCAAGCAGCGGGTGCGGACGCGGAGGGCGAAATACGAAGCCGGGGGCGCGGCCGTACGCCGGCGTGACGGAACGGTACGGTACGGTACGGCGAATACGCGGTTCGGCCCACGACACGGCCGGGGTGGACGCAGGCCCACGTTGTGGTGTATTATTGGTATTGGAGTACGGCGCGGTAGTGGCCGACGGGCAGGGCCGGGCAGGCGAGGCAGCAGCGCGTGCCCAGCAGGCCAGACAGCCGTCGCGCAGACGGACCGGCCCAGCAGCGCGCAGAGGCAGCGGAGCGGGGAGCTAGCCAGCTAGCCAGCCAGCTAGCCAGCCAGCTACACCGCCGGTTGCGCAAATAATCATCCCTGGCGCGGCGGCCGCTTGACCCGCATACGCAGGCGGTCATGTGCCTTAAGCTCGGCCCAGTCAGCGTGCGCGCCGCCGCGGCCTGCCCAGCGTCTGGCGCGCCCCGGCCGGCTGGCTCTGATCGGCCTGGGTTGCACGCCATCCCTGCGCCGCGCCAGGGGCCGCCCTTCGCCCGAATCTGCGCCGCCCTCCCACTACTCCCTTCACGCCCGTGCCTGGCTGTTTCCACCGTCACATCGCCCGCCTGCCCATCCTGCCGCGCGGCTGTGCGCTCGAGAGCAGCGACGGAATGACGTGACGCTCACCGGCCGCCGTACCCATCGCGCTCGCAGGGAACGAATTGCCTAAAAAGGAGCTGGCACCAGCGCAATCATCACCATAATCCATCCCATCCCACCGTCCATCATCCCTTTTCACCATGCCCAGCGGCCAGCACGCCGTCTTCGGCCTGCGAGCCTTGTCATTCAAAGCACCCTAGCTCATCCAGAAAACAAGAAGAAAGAAAGAAAGAAGAAACAACCGAAAAGACACAAGAGTCACTCCGTAGCTATCATCGCCCACCGCCTTGGTCCCGTCCCGCCACCCGCATCCATCCCTCGATTGGGCCTGGCGGGTAATTTTTTTTTTTTTTTTTTTTTTTTGTTCTGTCCTGACTCAGGGGGCTGGCTTTGCCAGGGAAGACCGCCGGACGACCCTCTCCCCCCCATGTTTCCGAAAAGGGATGTTCCCTCTTGCCCAAGGGCTGATCCGCGAGCCGGCCCCTCCCATATGCCTGTTTCAAAGGCGTCCAGGCCTGCCTGGGGCTCTGTGTGGTAAGTGGTAGTGGTACTACTACTACTACTGGCGGGCAAGGGCCTTATCGCCGGACCATCAAACTTACGCTTTTTTGCTTTTCTTTTTTGTATGTTTTGTATTTTTTTTTTATTTTTTGATTTTTTAGCGGAGGACTCGTAACCGGGCCATATTCCGATGTTTGGTACGCTCCGTTTCATGTCCTCATGGCCACCGACGCTAGGCTCTTCTCCTGTCTCTTAACACATTTATTAGGCTCAAAAAAACTTGGTACGGAGTATACACACAAAGAATCAAATGACCACCGGCACCAATCCAACTCCTGCGTAGCAGTAGTCCCCCCGTCACCCAGGACCGGGACTGGCCGCCCGGGAGCCGAATCATATGCAATGGATTTGGCGGGAGCAACCTGACTGACGATGATCGCCGAGGGAATCGCAACCTGGCTTCCCTGATCCTCTCTAGTCACCACCACCACCTACTCTCTCTGCTTCTCACGCCGCCCGCCCCGGGTTATCTCCGTCGTCGTTCCGATTCAACTCTCCTCGTCCGTTTCTGCATCGGGCATCACCACGCTGTTCAGATATGTGACCTGTCCAATCAGCGTCTAAAGCAATAATAATAATAATAAAAAAAAAAAAAAAATGAACACGGCATGCTAGTTAGATATCAAAGAGGGTGTGTGGGGGAAACATAATAGATAGACTTCGCGACCGGCACGCGTATATACTTTCGTTGGGGCTTTTTCTTTCTTTTTTTTTTCCTTTTTTTTCTTTGGCTGACGATGCCACATCACATGGAGACACGCCTGAAGCACGGTCCAGCGCAAAGAATCGTGTGGCGGGCGATGCGATTTGAAGGTAAGGCAGGGGTTGGGGGGAGCAATCAATCTCGGAAAAAGGGCCCAGATGGACGCGGGTGTGGATACCCAACCGTCGCCAAACTGAAAAGGGACTGGGCCTCTTCCAGCCAAGGAGCACCCCAACCCCCCCCAGAAATCTGTATGCAAAGTGGCCGGAAAAAGCAGACGCAAGTCCGAACGCTGGTGTGCCCAACAACGAGGCCCCCCGTCCTTGCAGCGTGAGGGATGATGCACAAGACCAAAAGACCGCTTCACCTGCGAAAGGCCCGTGCAAATCCCCCGAGCGAGAAGAAGAAAGAAAAAAAGGAGGGAAAAAAAAGAAAGGGACGGGGCCTTGGAAAATAATAATAATAATAATAACAATACACGGAGTACTCACAAAAGGAACCATAGTCTCGATTACTGCCGCAATCCCATCGAGCGCGGCGCCGCCCAGCACCTCCCGGTCTCGCAGCTTTTTGTTGATCGTGAAACTGCGCAGGCGCAGCAGGTCGATGTTCGGATTGTCCGAATCGTAGCCCTAGAAAGACCAAGGAATCGGTTAGCTAGCTGGCTAGCCCGCCTTGAAAGGAAGCGGTTCTTTGTGTGTGTGTGTGGTTCTTGGAATATGGAACCGGCAAAAAGGCCCGCTTGCGTTGCAACGGTCCCGCCGCGAAATCCGGGCCCCCCCCTCTCGAGCAAGAGCAGCGACGAATAACGAGCCTATTCGGGGTCGGCCAGGTAGTGTGAACTCTGATCAGGGTTGTGGGCTCAGGGGCCTGCGTGGCAAACCCGCGCGCGCCCGCCTGCCGGCGGAGAGAACGGGGGGGGGGGGGGGGGGGGGGGGGGGGGGGGGGGGGGAGGAGCGCTGAGACAGCTCTCTCTGATGATCGCCCATCCCCAGCAGGCGCTGCATGCAATCGGCATCACGGCCGGCGGCCATGGCACTGCTTGACCGTCCTGCGCGCCCGCTGGCCGTGGCTTGTTGATCATCGCGGGATTCGTGCGAGAGACGCCCCCAACCTAACCCTGAAGCATCGACCGCCAGCTGAGACAGCCAGCCGCCTGTCTACAGGCAGTGTGATGAGTCGGGCGATGAGACAAGCCGGGCTCTGGCCCATTGTCCTTTATACCGTCACAGTGTCTCGACGTCTTGGGCGAAGAGCCAGCCGCATTGCCCAGAGTCCTGTTTTTCCCTTCGGCGTAGGGGAGCAGCAGTGAAAGGGCCGGAAAACATACGGAAATCTAAGAAAGAAAGCAACGTTGCGACTCGAGCTCGCAACGTCAAGAGAGGTCTAAGAAATAAACAGCTTCTTACCTTGGGCTTCGTTTTCAAAGCGTTTTCTTGGTTTTGACTGACAAACGACTTGACTACCTTCTTCTCTTCATTAGGAATGCCGTCGAATATGCTTTTTCGCACGTCTGGGTGACTTAGAACGAGCTTGATGCGTTCCGATTGACTGTCGATGTCCCGTCTTAAACGTGCCAGTCTGCCGCCATCTGGCATCCATAAACCTGACCCTGGGGAGACAATGTTATTAGATGGAGAGATCGAGACATTAAATTCGATCTGGGTAGTCTTCGAGAGCCGTGAGAACACCATTCCCCTGGCCCAATACTATGGTTGGTCTCTGTCCATCTGTGCGGACGCACATAATTGCGCGGACCACCAATATGAAAACAATATAAATGAAAGGTGGCAGGAACGTGAAATACATGCTAGCATGGAATCGGGAACGGCCTTCGCTTACCGATGAAACACTTTCCCGGTTCCAAGTGGACATAATAAGCCGCATAAGGGCCTTTGCGGCCAGTACGGGACCTTTTGGAGACGTATTAGAATCGGATAATATAGACTGGGGGTTACAATCTCGGCCTCACCACGCTGCTGAGAAGTGTGGCTGACATCGTCAGAAAGCACGGCCAGAAAGGCGGTTCGAACAACTGCAATTTGAAACCAGTTCAAGTCGTCACGTACCTTGTACGGTGTAGGATCATTTGTGAATCGAACATCTCTATATATCCGGAATACCTGGTCATGTCAGTGTCCCGGGAGAACATATCCTATATCTTAGATTCCTACTTACTAGGTCTTTAACTGGTAGTTCAGGAATAGTACTATCTTTCTCGATTATCTTTTCGCTTAATTGCTCCACAAACGTGTCCCAGTCCTTCTTTGACGTGCGGTAGTCAGAGTCATGACCTGGCATGTATCAGTTGGAGGTTTCGAGTAAAGAATGAACAGAATGAGATGTCTGGCAAGGAAGGAGACTGGCTTACGCTTCAGCCATTCTCTGTTGTTGTTTGCCTTCAGGTCCTCCAGAAACAGAAGCGTATTTGGGTGAATAGTATGATCCTCGTATGGTATGTCACCAGCGTCTCTTGCTTGCGGAAGTTCGATAAAGACTTCTTTTCCAGGACCCAGGCCAGTTCGTACACCCTCTCTCCATAGCTCTTTTCCCTTTGATATTGGTATTCCTTCCAATTCCTTCCCTTTGCGCGGTACTCCCTTGGGAGTTTTTATATTTTGCTTCCTAGCTGTTGGTCCGTTTTCAGATTCATATTCCTGGTCATCTTCATCATCCAGAGACTGCTCGTTCTCCTCTTCGTCGTCTGTTTCCGGGACATAAGAATCGGCGGCGGTAGCGGTCTCTGCAGAGGTCGGGCTGGAAGCTACGTCCGACCCAGATGCTGAAAGCTCGTCGACGGGGTTTTTCTTTGCGCGTTTGAAATACCGGCTCTTCTTGGGCGTCGTTCTAGTTCTGCTTCTCTGCGGTAAATTGTCTGTTGAACGAGGTCTTTTTGTGCTCTTTTTTGTGGAGCTGAGGGCACAGTCCAAATCGCCTTGATCGGGTGACGTGGACACGCCGGGGTTAACACGGCTTGATCGGCGAGGCATGGCAGGGAAGTATTTAACTTGCTATATTGTCTTGTCTGGCTATGGTCAATTCGGGTGGCTGTCAGACGTAGTTATATACACACAGGCCAGAAATACTAGTGTTAAAATGTACCTTCCCTCAATACTAGGATCCGCTATTCACATCCAGCACTGGCTGCTTGCATACGGAGTAGAGAGCGTCGTTATGAGGTGGCCGTTCACCTCGAGTCTTCGGAGAGTTGGTGGTTAGCGCGAGACGGTGACGTTGAAACAGCGTTCATTGGCAGGGAACCGACCGCCATCAGATCATGTCGGCCGCTGAAATGAAGCACATAAAGACTTTGGCTTGAACGGCCTGTGCTTCTTATGGCATTGAGATATTTCAGCTCGATCTTGCACGCGAGTTTAAAAAAAAGGTTGATTTTGAAGAGATTTTAAGCGGAAAGCCCGACGGCACTGCTGATATCGACACGAAATAGTCGAGTGAGCCCACATTGCCCGGTCGCGAAGCTGATACCTTTAAAAAAAGATCTTGAATGAATACGTATGGACCTGCATCAGTGTGCTGCACTTGGCAATGAACCATGCTAATATCTGCATCAGCTGTCGTCAACGGTTGCCAGCCATGGCATCCCAGTCGTTTGAGTCCAGGAAGCAGAAAATTCTTGAAGCTTTAGCTCTTCCCGACGAGGAATATGTAGATTTATCTCCCAAGGGCTCTGTGGATGCTGGGATTCTCGATCTGATCCGCGATATAAATCGCTTAGACGGCCTGGTTACAACAAGTAGTTGTGCTGGCCGAGTCAGTGTTTTTGCCGAAGGGGGAAGCACACCTACGGAAACCCCAGAAGATGATGAGAGACAAGATGATGGCCCAAGCGGTGATGCCGATATACGCAAAGAGTCATGGAAATTTGCTTCTACGGGTGGGAAAGGCAGTGGGACATGGCAATTTGTCTCGCACGACCCCGTCACTATTGGTGATTCGGAATCCTTTCTCCATGATCTATTCGGCCTACACCCCGGAAACGGGGCTTTCGATGTGGAAAATAGCAAGGAGTTGACCCTTGTGCGCTTTCATTTTGAGCCGATGGTAAGCTACGCTGCGTTATGTCAACTAAGAACTTGCTCGCTGTTAACATACGACAAAAGATTCTCCATGTCATGGCAAAGTCACTTGTACATGCTAAACCTGTACTAGCTGCAGCCTCCAACGCCGGATTTCGTGAAAGTGGTATTCAAAGTTTGCGCTGCTTGGATGATTCGACCGCTTGCCCCATTGTCGCTGTAAGATCATCCGGTTTAGCACTGGAGTCGATAATTGGCTATGTTGAGAGAAGCAACGTTTCTCACAAACAGGTTGCCCACAGCCTTGTTAGTGAATCATATCTCCGAATGATGGTTTCAATCGCGAACCAAAGATTCCAAGTCAATCTTGAGCGCATGGGCAGGTTTAGAACAAAACTATTGGCACAGTCCCTAGGGTCATCAAGCCTTCAACCTGGGCATACAGCTTGGGAGGATTCCAGCCTTAGGAGGGAGAGGAAGCGTGCTGAGGGATTAAAAAAAAGAGAAATGCTCAGGCAAGCTGCTAAGCCAGGCTCTCCTACCCACGAGAGCGAGGACGGCCTACCTCTAGCTTTTATGGCCGCTTAAGTACGGAGACTCTAGGACCAATCAATGGCATAGGAAAGCAGTGAAGAAACGTTACTTTTTATTTTTATTTTTATTTTTTCTTCTATCTTTCAAAGTCAAACGCATTTCCAGCCGGGCAGATTACGGGCCCTTGCCCGGACTGGCACTTTGAAGAGAGCCCATCCTCCAACTAGAAGAGGAAAACATAAAAAGAGAAGGAAAAGCCTACGGAGAAATGCTTCCCCCTTGCCTATAACACACCTGCATGGACTGCCGCCATACTTCGTCGACCCTATCGATACCCGCAGCCATGCAGGGTGTTATAGGTAGGAGGTCAGCGACAAAAGAAAAATGCAAGAAGAAACACTTTTTCCAAGGTTTAAGGCCTTGGAGACCATTAAGACCTGGAAAAGCCAGGAACATCAAAACTAGCAAAGAAAAGGGAAAAGAAAAAGACTGCCCCTAAGGGCGACGAGCCATGCCATTATTCCCCGCCGCTCTGGGGGTAGAAGAACCCCTTTGGGGCCCTTCGCGGGTGGCCTTAAGGCCCTCGAAGACTACCTCCCGCAGGACCTTCGTTTCATATTGGATGGCCATGTCCCACTTGAGGTGGGCATGGCCACGGCCGAACTCCAGCCAAATACAGCCAAAAGGAGAGCTAACCCCCTGGCGGGGCACCCAGTTGTTAGCAAGAACCTTGTTGCCTGGGTTCTTCTGTCCAACGCCGGCGGCAACGAGGCGAGCAAACTTCTAGAAATAGAAAAGCATTAGTCAGCCAAATTCACTTGTACTAACAGCAGCTCAAAAAGGTAGCTTACATTCACTGTCTCTTCATTTGCATTTGACTTGCAAATGAGGGTATCAAAGGGCCAGTATTTAGCAGTAGCAGGTGTAGCATTAAAGGCATTCATGTCGCCAGCAGCAGCATACAAAGCAGCCTTTTGACGATCTGAAAATGTCGGGCAACGGAGCCCAGCCGCAAGCAGATCTAGAACAAGTCGACTATCCAAACCAAGTGTCTGTTTTTCCGCAACACGAGGTACCAATGCCTCAAGCTGACGATAGCAAGCATAGTAAAGCGCGTTACGATCTTCGACTGTGTATAGTGCCGTTGCATGCCAGGGAAACTGTTTTAACACGGATATAAGTATATGTACATAACAAAGAAGTGAGTGCGAGAGTTACCTTGTATAAAGTACTTGCAAGCGATTCGTATGTCCTTTGAGGACATTTGCTAGCGAAAGGAGCCTGTGGTAATCTCTGTTAGATTTAAAAAAAAAAAGGAATTAGAGGCAATGTGACATACTCGTCTAGGCATCTCGGCATTGCGAATCATGCAGTAAATCTCTTCTGTAGTAAGAAACCCTTTAAATCCTACAGAGTAGGGATCATTGTTGGGAGTAAGTATTGGCCGTCCATTTTTCCAAAGGATACAATTAGCACGGGGAAAGAGATCTTTTAACAGTTCATCCTGAGAACTTATTTCAACATCAACAACACGGTCACCAAGGTGAGGGGGTGATGATGGGAGGCCGCGATTCAACCATTCAAGAGTTTCCTTAGCGTCTGCAGAGGTGAGAAATTCAACATAGCAATCCATAGTTTTCGCAGTAGATCGATCCATAATGATATGAACTGGAGTACCAATACAAGAAGGCAACAACCTGGCTCGTCGACCCATTAGGTGTAGAACTTCTTGCTTCGAAATACCATAGGGGATCTTCAAAGAGGTATCAGCTTCACGTCTCTACGATGGCAAAACAAGCAAAATAAAACAAGAGAAATTAGGAGAAGCCTTTTCAAGGCTGATCTATATTTAGCAGGGCAAAGCACCACTTACATTCATAATTTTAAGAACACCAGCGGTAGGGATGGAGCTTTGTCTTGCTCCATCATCAATGGGAATATCAATAACTTTTCCGTTAAGATTGATAGTACTGCTTGTGACAGAAATATTGTTCACTGAAGCTAAGCGAGGGTCTGTGCCTGAAAACGTATTTGGCGCTAAGGTGTAAGCTGATGGTGCAGTTACAGTTTGATGGTGTGCTACTTGTAGGCGTGGAGCTCTTTCGTAAGGTTCTGTATGATGAAGAGCTTGATGAGTATTTGCACCAGCAATAGATGGGACTGATTTTGGAGGAACAATCAAGGGACCTTTGTATTCTCTTGGTGCAGCAGACGCGTCATTTTGCAAAGCAGCTGGCTGGAAACTTCCCTGAACACAAGGGGTTTGGTGGACTGCAAGCGTTGAGATAAATTGGGTCTGATATCCTCGAGCAGTTGGGTTGGCAGAGGACGAATTCAATTGCTGCTGGGAAACAACTGGTCCTTGGGGTTGCATCTGCGTAGGTAGACGATTAAAGGTTGCTGGGCCATGATATCCGTGATTCGGTGCGGGAGGAGCCCAGCTTTGGCAGTTGCGGGCGTCTGCAGTAGGTGGAGCCATTTGTGCGTAGCAACAGAACGTACACTCGCAGCGGAAAGGCGTAAATGCAGATTCTTGAGCAAAGAAGTAATAGGCAGGGATATCAAAATTGCAAGAAGCTTTCAATGGGCCAAAAAAGGATTCAGAGCCAAAGGATGGGTGGGCTGGTTGATAGGTAGAGAGGGGCGCGTAGGAAGGTGGTGGGAGACGTGAAGGAAAAGGCGTCAACTGCATAAGCGAAGGCTGGTCTTCCGGAACCGGCGCGACTTGTTGTCGTTCGTTGCTAGGTATAAAAGGGGCGGCATTGGGGTTCATGTGACTCCGCTGGTGGAAAACTCCGCCTGTTCCTCCATCTAGACACCTGGCAACGTTTCCACCCCCTAATATTGGTATCTCACTACCTTCTTTATCATTTCGAGAAGTCGATGATGTCGGATGCAAATGCAACAGTACTTCCAAACAAGATACCGGCATAAACTTCTTCACACCTGACAGTCGGTGATGTTTCTTCTTCCCACGAACTCGGGTCTTGCGATAACGATGTCTCGCCATGGCGACGAAGGTTAGAGAAACAGGCGATTCGAATAAGCCAAGAGTTTACGCTTATATGACTGGCAATCGCGTCTCTTTTGACTTATTACCCTTCAAGATAAAACACTGGTCTAGAGGGGATAAAAACGAGGAATTGAACGAAGCAAGCTGCGAAGAATGAATGTGAAATATTGATAAACAACAGAGCCAGAAAAACAAAAGAGGAAGGAAGAAGAACTGGGGGAAATAATGCACGCTTAGTCGTTTGCGATTAGTCGTTGATAATGGAACGCTGATGCTAAGATAGGCCATTCATAAGGAATCATAGAGCAAGTATCATGACGACAGTGAACAAGAAACTGACGCTTGTTTCTATTGCAAGTTCCACTGGATTCTTGGATACAATAAACATATTTGTGACATGTCTATGGTGATTGAAAGATAGCCAAACAGTATATAATGTTCGAATTCACACATGGAGAAATAGCTTCCTCTTCCACAGATGGACTGCAAGTTGCCTTTGGAAGAATGCTTAATGCAAAAATATATCTTTAGTAAGGGTCGATATATTCAATATAAATGCTGGAAAAGAAAAAAAAAGAAAAGAAAACAGCGATTGTCATGAGATCAGCCTACGCTCTCATAGGTTGAAGGTGTCGGTCCCAGAAAATGCAGGTAAAATCCAGTTAGGCCAAAGGGCTATGTCAGATATCCAGAACGGCAGGACATCATGAAGTGCACACACACTCATCTTGGAATAATCGGGAAAAATGAAATAGGTATAGACTCCCTAGAATTTATTCCAATGCAGCTGTTGGGTGATGACGATTGCGTCCGAAGATAATCTGACAACTGAAAGGTGTCTCAGGACATTGTCACTTGGGTAATTGCAGTGTTAGAAAGAATCGTGGCTATTTTAGATAAGGAAGTAGCAAGAATTGATATCCGGTAATAGACAAAACTCTATACACGACTCCGAAGGTTGCTGCCAAACTCCGCAGACTGTTGCCCGGAAACCTGGAATATTCAAACAAAAACGCTAATCAAACTGCAGGTTATCAGTATATGCATGTTAAAAAGGTACTAGGAATACTGACTGGAGTTAAAAAGGATTCTGCCACAAATCTCGCTCTTGCATTCAGCTAGAATTTGTTAGCATAGCAAAGGAAATTGCGACCTCGACACTCTATGAGAGCTATAGATGAACGTACAAAAAGTTTCATCTCAGATATTTCCTTATCCACCTCTTCCATGAATTGTATTATAAAGTCGACAAGTTTATGTTTCAGCATCGCTTCTGTGTGAAAGTTGGTTATTAGGAATGATATATCATAACCCTAAGTTGCAACATGTTAAATTTTGCAATATAACGCAGATTGGAATATGTTTCTGATACCTTTACGGGCTTTCTTCTTAGGATAAAAAAGGCTTCAGCTCGTTGGGTTAAGAAACGTGTGAACTTGTGTACTAGAATATGTTCTATCTCATCGGCCTGCTTGATTCGGATACTAACTCGAACACTGTTTACGCTAGGCTCAATGAAAACTTTTTCGTTTTCGTTTCGTGCAACTGTGAGAGGGTTTAAAAGAACTTCCGGGGATGTAGCGGCTTCGATTTCTGGAACATTGTGTCTCTCTGATGTCTGCGAAGCAAAGTTTGATACGGCAAGTGCAGCAGTCAAGGAGGATCGAACGCATTGAAGATAAGGGCGTAAGGATTGAGACTGCTGCGGTGTTAACTACAGGCTTGTTGTTACATGCAGAGCGACTCACCATGACGAAATGAGATAACCACTGATTCTTATAGACCAGCGCAGTTTTCACAGCAGAATTAGTAATTTTTTTTGAAATCTTAAGAAAATGCTATACAGTAGAGACGAGGATCAATATACTGTTTATAAGTGGCCCGTCCCTTTCCGCCAGCTGGGTTCGATGATGTTGAATGCTGCGGCCTTCAAAAGTTTGCACTGTTTACATCACAACCCCCGCATCCACCAGTCGACCTGATTATGTAATCCTTCTTACCTGAACCTGAACTCTAGTTGTTGTTTCTTTCTGTTCATAACTCCATCCGATACACAGTTGTGTTAGAATCAACATGGCTACTATACCTGGTAAGTAATTCGCGCATAACATAACTAGATATTACCGACTAACCTGACCATTTCGAATAGTTGTCGTTAAACATCAGGGCAAACGCCTAGATGTGGAGCTCGATCCGACCGCCAATGGCGAAACCTTCAAATTCCAGCTATACTCGCTCACAGGAGTAGAACCGGAACGGCAAAAAATTCTTGTAAAGGGTGGGCAGCTCAAGGATGACACGCTGCTCTCCACGATAAACGCAAAGCACGGCCAAACGTTCATCATGATGGGAACACCCGGATCTGGTGATGCTGCCTTAGCGTTAGGCAAGCCCAAAGAAGCAACTAAGTTTGTGGAAGATATGACTGAGGCTGAGGCTGCGAAAGTCGAAGGTGCTACCCCAGCCGGCTTGCAGAATCTTGGGAATACATGTTACCTCAACTCAACACTACAAACTTTGAGAGCGCTTCCTGAGCTCCAAGAAGAGCTCTTTAACTACAAAACGTCCTCACGTCCTCAAGCTGCTATTTTTGGATCCTCATCCTCTACAGATCTCACAGCATCGCTGCGAGACTTATACAAGCAGATGTCGGAAACTCAGGAGGGGTTCCCCCCGATGATATTTCTGAATTCGCTGAGAACTGCTTTCCCCCAATTCGCGCAAAAAGCTAGAGATGGCCATGGATATGCGCAGCAGGATGCGGAGGAAGCCTGGTCCCAAATTGTTTCCCAGCTTCGTCAGAAACTAGTGATCAAAGATAAGAGCAATGATGATGAAGGCGCTAATAAAGAGGTGTCCTTTATTGATAAGTACCTTTCTGGTAGGTTTGATACGGTACTTCAGTGTGATGAGCCGGCTGCGGCTGATGCAGGTGATATGCCTATTGAATCAACCGATATCTTTCTCAAATTAAATTGTCATATAAGTAAGGACACAAATCACTTACGGGATGGTATTATGGCGAGCCTAGAGGAAAAGATTGAGAAACGCTCGGAGGCACTTGACAGAGACGCAGTGTTCACCAAAAAATCCCGTATTTCCAGGCTACCAAAATACCTTGCTGTGCATTTCGTTCGATTCTACTGGAAGCGGGAGACCCAGAAAAAAGCCAAAATTATGCGCAAAGTTACCTTTCCCCAAGAGTTGGATGTTGTGGAGTTTTGTACGGACGAATTGAAGCAACACTTGGTTCCCGTTAGGGATAAAATTCGAGAAATTCGAAAGGACGAACACGACATGGAAAGGGCTCGGAAGCGCCAAAAAAGAGAGCATCAGTTGGAGCAAGAGAAACCGGCCGATACATCCGTGAAGGAGCCCCTACAGAAAAAGAAGGAAACAGAATCTAAGGCCGCGGATGCAGGTCAGAAAGAAGAAACTGACCAGGTTGAAGTTTACAAAACTGACGCCGAATACGAAGCCGAGAAAGCGGCGGCCCTTCTGGCAGCCAAAAAGGAGCTATTTAGGCTCATCGACCCGACTTTGGCTAGTGATGAAGGAGCTAACAAGTCAGGGCTGTATGAACTACGTGGTGTAATTACTCATCAAGGTGCCAGTGCAGATAGCGGTCACTACACTGCCTATGTCAAAAAGCAAGGAAAATACATAAATGACCCTCAAGCACCCAATGGGAAACGACGAGAAGAAGATGGGAAATGGTGGTGGTTCAACGACGAAAAGGTGTCTGAAGTAGGGGAAGAAAAGATTGAGATGCTTTCTGGTGGAGGTATGTGGTTTTCCTTCAGTTGTCCTGCTCGTTGGCCCTGCTCTTACTGAACCGCCTTTCCTGTAGGCGAGTCACATTCTGCCCTTATACTCCTATATCGCGCTATCGACCTACCAACTACCGAGGAAATCAAGGAATAACGTACTTTGGTATCACATTGCACCATTATAGATAACTATAAACTTCCAGAGACTTACAGCTTCCTACAGTATTTTAGTCCAGTGTGATGCTGCCCGCCGGATTAAATAATACCCCTTGCTCTATGACACAAGACCTATTCTATAAAAGTTTTCTGAATGCTAGAATAATCGATGGAGTTGTTCCTCGAGATCCGTTGAATTGAAATAACTAGTTGCATGTCAGATAATCTACTCTGTACGGAGCAATATGCCAAGCCTGTAGTTTTATTATGTAATTTCAAGATTACTAATATGCCCAGCAATAACATCATTGGCTCAGCCGCTCAAGCCCACTCAAGCCGCGGCCCGCGGCTTAAAGATACATCAATATCAACAGAAATGAGGACAGCCAACTGCGGCCTCATACCAGATATATTATGGCTGCTGTTCTCTGTATGAGAGGTACTCTGTCTATTTCCAACTCTGTACCGTTTCCTCGAATTGTCCGCCCACGGTCCCTGCACACCTTTTGTCATCCAATTTCGAGAAGACGCACTTTCTCAACTTCACCCTCTGTGCCCACTCAAAAACAATCCAATTGGCCTCGTCACCTTCGTTCGGTTTTCTACGCTTTAGCATTTGGCTTTCTCGGCTATTCTTGCAGTAAAATGGTTGTGGACGCAATCATGGGCCCTGTCGCCGAACCAGATACCCCCGAGGATGTAGAAAACCTGAGGCAAATCCAAGAGCAGTTCGACAAACTGCCGATTGTAAAGAAACTCAGAGCCAGTGAAGATTATGTGGAATGGGAAGCGTATAGTAACTTCTCTCCTGAGGAGAAAGCTAGGAGACTTACGACTGGGCCATTAAGAGGAAGTAGAGGCATTTCCACGCAGGTGAGTGGCCATCTTTCAATTTGCCAGGTTCTTGGTTCCATGGTTTTATCGTATTACCTACCGTGAAACAATGCACACTATTTGAAGTTGAACTGCAAACGTGTCCATCAAAACGGAAGATCGTAAATCCAACTAACTCGATTTTGCAGACAATCTTCTGGAACGAGCAAGAGAAAACAGCTACATCAGTCCTTTATCTTGGTGCTGGGATTGGCGGCTGGCCCGGCCTGGTCCATGGTGGCGCGCTGGCAACCTTGCTTGACGAGGCCATGGGCAGAGTCGCCCTTCGGAGTTTTCCGGCCCGTACCGGTGTCACAGCCAATCTAAATGTTAATTACCGAAAGCCCTTTTTTGCAGACCAATTTTGCATTATCACAGCAAAATGTGAACCGGAACAGAGTAACGAGCGTAAGGCTATAGTCAAGGCAGAAATCCGTGATTCGGCCGGCAGCCTATGCACTGAAGCCAGCTCTGTTTTTGTTGTACCACGCAATATGACCCTAAGGAGCCTAGCCGATGGGTTTTGAGGATGCCAGGGAAAAAATGGGCTGAAAATAACTATAGACTAGGATACCCGATTTTGGCAAGAAGCCGTGTTCCACTGTATCAGCTGATAGTCAATAGAATTGACCTAGACTGCGCCATATACCATTGAATTGGATAGTATTTGCAGTAGCAGCAGTAATTCAAACGATGCTACATGTTTGGCCAGAACACTAATATTGCATTGTCACTGGCAGTTGCTGTCATTCCAGCGCCATGACACCTGAGCTGGCTGAGATTAAAATGATAATGAGAAGTCTGGTTGTTTTTTTCTGTGATGTTAGCGTGGATCAGATACATTATCTAGGCAGGATTGTATTAATCCTCTTGTAGTATGAGCACTTTATAGAACTTAACTTAGAGTATCTAAGAAGATATTGATCTAGGAGGGCACAGAAGTGCTGGCATTGTACTAGCTATCCACCAAAAGCATGGCTATCATTAGGATCTTGTTCCCTAGGAAAGCCACTCTACCGACTATCATCATAGCCGGGGATGTTGGTCAGCTGGTGACTTAGGAACCTTAAACCTGGTCCCAATATTACACTTGATAATTCTAAACAGGTGAGATGGTGTTGAAGGAGGTAAAAAAGAGGACTAGTATAGCCAGCTCATTCTTTTGCTTAGCCATAGGCACTGATCAGAATTAATCATGGACAGAGCCCAGCAAAGTTCCTTTTGTAGCTGACCAGCTCTAACACAGCCTTAGTTTAAATAGCTTTATAAAACTGTTGTTGTAAAGTTAATTGATATTCGAGAAACACAGGCCAAAGCCGCCAGGCACAGACGTAATAATACCGAAATACGCATTCCTCTCGTAGACGGGTCACCGACCACTGCCAATAAATAATATAACAGCGGTGTATTTAGAGCAGGCCAACCCTTGGATCGGCAGGGAAAAACTCAATATCAGGCAGGGTCCAAGGATATACTTTACTCAAGCTGTCGAGGAGATCAGCCTCCAACTCCGACCAGTCACACACTGCAGCTGGCGGTACGCCTATGATAATAACAGGTACCGCTTTACGCTCTTTTGTGCCATATTGGTGAAGATTTAGATAGCACCAAGCGTTGAAAAGTCGCTTATTTAGTACCGGAACAATGTCGTATACCGCCTTTTTAAACTGCTCTTGAGCCAGAGGATTTGTCATTATGGGGAACGCCGATGAGCAAAAGCATCTAGCCTCGTCCACGATTTCAACATTTATATTCTTCAAACCTTCTGATTCTAGTAGAAATTTGACTTCGTCTCTCACCGACGCGAACTCGCCCTGGCAGCTATCATCATCGACAAATAGATATAGAATGTCGATGCTCCGCTTTTTATCTCCAGCACTTGGTCTAGAAACATTGTGTAGCTCAATATGGCAGGAACGGAAGCAAGTAGAAACAAGCTCCCGAATCATCGAGATGACTGGTTGAACCTTGGCTTGAAGCGTAGAGTCTGAGAGTTCGTACTTTGTTGGGTACGGCACTGCTTCTTCAACAGTGGACGACCTAAAAGGGTCAGAGTGCAACAGATATGCGCTGATGGACATCTCGCCCCTGGCATGAGTTGAGTCTCGAAGTATTCTGCGGACAGACCTGGCATACGACGAAAAAAAAGGGTCCCTTTCGTCGGCCGAACCAAGAAGCTTAGACTGGGAGTGACCCATGGTAGGGTATTATTTTAAGATTAGCTTAGGTAGAAGAAAAACGAACGTATAGACTACTTTGAGACACAAAAAATAGAAAACCCAGATGCTTATATATGCTGGGTAAGAATATGTTTGCAAGTATGAACGAGACACCAGGGAATGCGCAGCAGGGATGCGGTCCTTAAAAGGGGCGCGGATGCCTGTCACGGTTTTGGCAATTCCGATCCGACGATCAGGAAGCTGCGACTGCGGGTCGTCCCGAACTCTGATGTCCAAGCGCATTGGTGTGTATGGATCATCCAGGGTTCTCAAAGCACGCCCTCAAAATAGAATGATATTAAGATAGTAGAGGGTATGAACAATAAAAGGGACTTCCAGCTAACATGGATTTAGCAGTTATCAGGGTATTCTGTGGCTAAAGCACATCTGCTTAAAGGTAACAATAGCATTCTGAGAAGTCCCATTGCTTCTTAGGAGTGCTTGAAAAAGGAAAACTAGGAATCTAGGTTCTCATAGGAATAGTTTTGCGAATTCCGGCCTCCTCACTGCGCCCTTTGCTGGGAATCAAGTTCAAGATACTCCTTTTCCTTGTCACTTAACTCTCCAGCTTCCCTGGCTATTCTCAACAAAATCGCAGACGCAAGATTGGCCTTTCTCCCATGTCCAAAGAGTCGGTACTGAGCAGGAGAGTTCACGCCTAGATATACTGCCATAAGTAACCTGGTCGCTGCAACAGGGTTGGAAGTCATTATTTTGGATAAAAGACGGAAAAATGTGGGGTTGGCGCCGATATCTTTTAGAAGGTCATCGCAATAGGGGAGGTAGCGGATGGTAACTGCATGCCTATCCGACTTGACAAACTGTAGCATCGATGTTACTAAAAAAATCAAACCTGGGGCGAAATAGAGGCATACCCTTGAGGCAATATGGCCTTGAAATCTTGCTATGGATGCATACATGTTACTAGCTGAAGGCAGGTTAACTCGACCGGCAATTACTGAAGTTGCCCATCTCACTTGTGCTTCGGAAACGGGTATCACGGGTCCAGCCAGTTCCACAAAACCAATGAAAAATAGGTTGGGGAAATCTGGCGAAGCGACCAATTTATACAAATCCATTGAATTGCTCGTGTTAAGGATTTCGTTGTATTTCATCCGATAGCTCTCCTCTGGAACGTATGGAACGCTAAGATGATATCCAGTGCAGCAGATAATGACATCAACTTCGATAGACACCCCATCAGTCAAGACCATTGATGTCTCTGTAATTCTCTCGACACCGGCTCGATGTGGAATGATACGACCAGTCTTGATGTTTTCGACTAAGTCACTTCGCATTGTAACGTTAGCTTCCATTAGCCCATGTTCCGGCTGTATTGCACCAGGAAGTTTGCCCTGGGCATGGTTAGTTATCCGTGTTTGGCACCATTGTGAGAACCTGTGCGGCAGCAATGTTTCAAAAACTCTATCTATACAATGTAAGTTGACGACGCAGGTCACTCATTCTACTGGGAGTCTTACTGTCATATGCTTCGACGGGCTTCCCAAGAAAAAATCGAGGTATGACCCATCCTCCTCTCCGAGTAATGAGATGAACTTCGCTCGCCTGGCAACAAAGCTCCGACGATAAGTCGGCTGCAGAGTTTCCAAAGCCAATTATAGCAATCCTCTTACCTTCGAAGCCGCTTGGCCTTCTATATGTGCGGCTATGGAATACCCTACCTTTAAATGCCTGGAGGCCCTCGAATTCAGGTACAGCCGGCTGATATAAAGCACCAGAGCATGCAAATACTGCATCGTAGGCATCTTCTATAGTGTCTGCTCCCTCTTGGGCAATTTTGACATCCCATCTCCCATCTTTGCCTTGCGAACAGGATAGAATCTTCGTACCAAAGCGAATATGCTCTCTGAGCCCAAAATGGTCTGCGTAGCTTTCTAAGTATCGTAGCATTTTTAGGTGGCCGAAATAATCCGGGTATTGCGCTGGATCAATAGGAAAATCGCTGAAAAATGACGTGTCCCGGCACGAGTTAAGCAACACTCCTGGGTAAATTGAAGTTGATGTTTTGCCCGTTACTGGATCTGGTTCTTCAAAGAGCCATTGGCCGCCGATAGCGTGGCGGGTTTCGAACACAGTCGCATTGAAGCCTTCCTCGAGGCAATGTTTCAAGGCGGTCAAGCCGGAGAGACCTATCCGAATTCAATTAACCTAGGATCTGATAAATTCTGATGCTGCTCACCAGCTCCCACGATTGCGACCTTCGGAGCCATAGGGTACAAGAATGCGATATTAATATCAAGGATAGAAGAGGAGACTGTAGCCTGGTCCTTGAGGTGAAGGTCATTAACTGAGGCGTGGAGCGTGAACTGGCAGGGGCTTCATGGTATTATTGTAGTCGGCCGGTCGGTCTTCCTTCGCGACGCGTAGCGCAAAAGGAAGCAGCACAGGCCTCAGGACCTTTCGTCGATAACATTTGTAGAAGCTATTTCTTGCTCCAGGCAACAAATAAAGCGATACGATACGGTGATCTGCAAATAATCCAGCAGAATTCATTTTTGTCAGAACTCCAAAGAAAAAGTGTAAATGAAAACCATGCCAATTTTGAACTACCCCTTTGGTCCGTGATGTCTCTACTCAATTTACTCGTACACTACTCGGTGCAGAGTAATTCAAGCGCTTCCAACTGCTACTCTTCGAGATGAAATCCCCGTGGGATGTTTGAAAACATAGGATTTGTTGAGAGGAGTTCAATGTTAGAATAGTGACACAACGAGAGCCGTTGAAACCCCCAACTCTGGTGGAGAAAAGGGCTCTCTATAGCTTTGAAATCCCATTATAGTTTTCATTTTCTCTGCAATACTATTGTGAGAAAGTATTGAATTCATTCACTACAGACCACATATACCAGATTTGACTGGCTGCTGCAAAAGTCCCGTAGCTCGTCATCTCATCTTTGTAGGAGAGGCACAAGTTCTCTTTTTCTGTCTTTCCCATGCCGGCATCGCCCATTTGACAGTGTACTCACAAGCTAAGAGTTGTTCAGCAGTTGGCCTTTGTGTCGGTTCAAATGACAACATGGCCCCGAAAAGACTCTCTAATGCTTGAAACTCGCCGCCTGTAACATCCCATTCGCATGTTTCTGGCGTCTCGCCGCGACCCATTTGCCAGATGCGCTTGGGAAGGCGCCGGGAAATAGGGTCATTAAAGCGTCGGAAGTTGGCAACCCATGAGCTATCTATCTTAATAAGTTCGGAGTGATTGGCCCAAGCATTCCACCATTTCTCAGGCGGCGGTCCAAGCATATTGACCATCTCCCCAATGATATCACTTGGACACCACGTAAACGTTTCAAACAGTGGACGTTCGCCCAGAGCATCATATAAATTGACCGCGAGTGTCCATATGTCAGCCGCAGTGGGTTTAATGATGGTATCATCAAAGAGTTCCTCTGGAGGAGCATAAAGGAGTGGGGTATGAAGTGTCGGAGAAGATGTCTGGGAGACAATAAATGACGTTCCGTAGTCAGATATGACAATCTCCGGTTCTGCCATTGCATTTGCAGGCATGTTCCAAGCCATGGAACAGACAGCATGCGGTGGTGCATGTGGCTTGCTGGGTTTCCCGTCTAATCGTTGAACTAGAGCCTCGCACGGCTCTCCATGAAGCTTGTATAATTCATCTGTGCTTAGATCGTCAAAGTTTGGAGCCCGTAGGAGCAAGTTATGAAGGTGGAGGTCTGTTCTGCTTGAGTATCTGATAGGTAAATGGTTTTAATATTCAATGTGAATTTTATTTACCTCCATGGCATACATCATTTGCGTGTAAGTATGACAGTCCCATCAAGCACTGAGCCGCGATCGATCTAGCCGCCTCCCGCGGAAACATAAAATTTGTGCTTTCTTCTTTTGATTTAGCCATGCTCCAGCCAGCAGGCTCTCCAACCAAGCACCGATGACGCCCGTTGGGCCCGTCGAAATCGAATTGGTCTAATAGGCGAGGTATAAATCTCTTCCCAGGATGGGCTGGGTCTCCCTTCGCTAAAACACGAAGTATTTCATCCTCACAAGTTTCTCGTGTTGCGTCCGCATCCAGTATTTTCAGTGATACATATCGTCGGTTTGGTCGGTCGCGTGCTAGCCAGATCGTTGAATAGCCGCCAAAGCCAAGCTTGTGGACTATGGTGTAGCGGCCTCCACAAAATGTGTCGCCGATAAGTGTTGGATGGAACCCACCGGGCGTATACCTTTCGAGATTCTCCACGTCAAATCCAGGGTGATATATGTTTTGGACGGGAGGTGGTGGCGTAGAGCTAGCTACGGACGTGTGACGCCTGAATAGATATACCGCTGTGGGCGACGAAACGCTGTGAAGTATGTGCTGGTTTTGTGTAAGCTGGAAAAACCTCAATCGGTTGATGGGAAAATGTCTGGGGCTACATCTCATGGTGTTAGCTGTCGGGGGACCAATGGTGCTTCAGAAACAAAATGGAAGCCTCAATTCGCCTTTCTCAGCACCAGTGACCCATGTACTATTTGTCTAGAATCATTTCAGTGTCAACAGCGTGCAGGGTTGAGATGGACGGAATTGGCCCAATTAAATGGTAACGAGCATTTGGTATCGGTAATTACCGGTTGGGAAGCTCTGAACAGGCTGTTTTGGCGGCAGGGCGGCGTACCGGGCATTACATACCGTACCCGATCGCCGGGAATACTCGGGCTGGCGTTTTGCTTCCAATCGGCGACACAAATCGCGATTCAAAAACTCTTCCTGGTCGATTGTATGAGAGCTGCGTCTGCAAAAGTTATAGACTTGCTGTTGGTGTTGCGTTCTGTTAGACCCTGTACTATATTATCTCTCTTTTTTCCATACAAATTGGGTTTCCAATCTTTCACTTTGATACAACTTCCAGCCAGGCCATGCTTAATTCCACATCCCGCAGCTCTCTCCGGGCAGCCGCCGCGCTGCCACATGCTTCTAAGCCGTTGACCTTTGCCCGATGGAGCCCCTCAGCTGCCAGTCTTACCACCCTCCGCCTGTCCCGTCGTACGATCGTCTCGACTCGCTCTTCGACGTATTTTCCCCATCCTTCGTCCTTCTCTGTTAGCCGCGTGCCCTGTGCATTTGGCGTGAGAACTTTCGCAAGTACAACGAGCAACATGGTGTGTCGAGTCGATAATTGGATAGGCCTAGCGGGGTAGCTTTAGCTGACAGTATCTTGTTAGGCTTCTGGCGTTCGTGCTGAGACCGATGCGTTCGGTGAAATTCAGGTGCGTTTATGAGTCCATGCCACGTCAGTTGCAATTGAGGCGTTGACAGTCGTGACTGGCACAGGTCCCTGCCGACAAATATTGGGGTGCGCAGACGCAGAGGTGAGGGGAAATTCGAGAGCTTGATGCAAAGTTACGAATCGATGTTAAATGAGAAACGCAATGACATAGGTCTCTGGGCAACTTCAACATCAACCAGCCTCAAGACCGCATGCCTCCCCCGATCGTTAGAGCCTTCGGTATCCTCAAAGGCGCCGCTGCTACTGTGAACATGAGATTCGGCCTTGGTATTTAACACATCGTGCCTTTTACGGAGAATTAGTTTGGGCTCATCGAGGTCTAGATCCAACGGTTGGAAAAGCTATCCAACAAGCCGCATCCGAAGTTGCGTCCCTTAAACTTATCGATCATTTCCCGCTCGTTGTCTGGCAGACTGGTTCCGGTACTCAATCAAACATGAATGCCAACGAAGTTATTTCCAACCGCGCCATTGAAATTCTCGGCGGAACCATGGGCAGCAAGAAGCCAGTTCACCCAAATGACCATGTCAACATGTCGGCCTCCTCAAATGACACTTTTCCTACCGTTATGCATATTGCCGCCGTGCTCGAAACGGAGGAAACTTTACTCCCAGCTTTGAAAAGCCTCAGAGATGCACTCCAAAAGAAAGTGGAGCAGTTTGATAAGATCATCAAGATTGGCCGAACCCACTTGCAGGATGCGACCCCGTTAACCCTTGGACAGGAGTTTTCTGGATACGTAGCACAGCTTGATCGAAACATAACACGGGTTAGCAATACTTTGCCTGACCTGCGATTGCTTGCTCAAGGCGGTACCGCTGTAGGAACGGGTCTCAACACGTTTAAGGGATTCGATGAGGCTATTGCCGAAGAAGTCTCGAAAATGACCGGAACTGAGTTCAAGACCTCTCCTAACAAGTTTGAGGTGCTTGCTGCTCATGACGCAATTGTTGAGGCTTCCGGTGCACTCAATACACTTGCTTGTTCCCTCTTCAAGATTGCCCAGGATATCCGATATCTTGGCTCGGGCCCTCGATGCGGTCTTGGAGAGCTGGTTCTCCCCGAAAATGAGCCTGGATCTTCCATCATGCCTGGAAAAGTCAACCCTACACAGTGCGAGTCCCTTACCATGATCTGTTCCCAAGTGATGGGTAACCACGTTGCCGCGACGGTTGGTGGAATGAACGGACAATTTGAGCTCAATGTCTTCAAACCATTAATGATCCGTAACCTCCTTCATAGCATCCGTATTCTCGGTGATGGAATGAAGTCTTTTGAAAAGAACTTGGTTGCTGGCCTTGAGGCTGATGAGAAGAGAATTGGATCTCTTCTTCACGAAAGGTAGCCCTCATTTCACTGTTAATTCTAAATCCGTCTTACGAAAAACTAATTTTCTTTTTAGTTTGATGCTTGTTACCTGTTTGAACCCTGTGATTGGGTATGACATGGCCTCGAAGGTGGCCAAGAACGCTCATAAGAAAGGCTTGACCCTGAAGCAAAGTGCAATGGAACTCAAGGCCCTGAGTGAGGAAGATTTTGACAAATATGTTCGCCCTGAATTGATGATCAGCCCAAAAGAAAAGAAATAGACGGTACATTTTGAAATTTTAGAGGTTTTCCGCGCCGAAACCTCCTCAATATTAGCGGTTTCTCATTTTCATTGCGTTCTCAATTGTATATAAATGGTTGACCTGAGAGTACTTAGCTAATTCATTATCAGTCATAGGCTGATAAAGGCATATTTTGTCGTCATGGAGGATTTGTCGAGCTTGGTTCCATACATGTTGGCTTTCCTGATACACATATTCGCATCTAGACGTACTGGTTGCATATGACGATCTTAAAGCTATTTATTATTCTAAAAGTTATAACACTCAACCGCATAGGTTGTGGGGGCGGAGTAACTATGCACCGGGTGTTACTTCTGTGCAAGGTTTTGCTCTTTAAGCATTAAATCTCCTCTCCAGCTTCTGTTATGCAGCAAAAACAAGAGCCTAGTGAACCGCTCTATACACCATAATAGACCAGCTGGCAATTAGTTATCTGTTTAGAAGACAACAAATCTAGCAGCATTGATACCACAAATGTCCCATTTCTGCGACGCAGTAGCATCCATCCATGATTGCCAATCGCCGGCCTGACAAAGCAGCCCTCATGGCAAGGCTCAATATACTCCGTATTGCTCTAAAGAAAAAATATCCTATGACATGCCAAGGAGCCCCTGATCCTAAGAATAGAAATCGATGCCAAGCCAGCCACCGAAAATGGAAAAGTGCCAGTACCCCTGTCTTGCCAGGAACGACCAAGCTCTCCAAGCTTGCTGTGCCCCTCCTCACTTCAAGGCCGCTTTGAGTCCTGAAGGCTTGTTTTAATTCTTCAGTCCCCTCGTTTATCTTTCTCTTTCCCCCCTGGTAACTGCCATTAGTACTGTTTGATCTGATACCCGATTCCTTCTACCAACGCCCAGCTCGCCTGGTAGGTTGAAACGTTAATCTCCCACCCACATCTTACCATGACGATGACGTTCATAAACGGCACATCAAACGACTCTGCAATGCCAAAAAATAACGACGAGAAGCCACTCTTCTCTATGGATTTGATTTCCCCTGAGGTTGTTGCGCAATTACCACAAGGGTATACACTCCGTCCTCTTCGTCGATCGGACTATCACAATGGCTATCTTGAAGTCCTTCGGGTCCTAACAACTGTTGGCGAGTTTTCTTTTGAACAATGGAGCGAGCGGTTTGACTGGATGGCAAAGCGGAACGATGAGTACTACCTACTCGTTATCTGCGATGAGGACAAAAGAGTCGTTGGAACAGGCAGTTTGATCGTTGAACGAAAATTCATTCATACCCTCGGCCTGGTAGGGCATATTGAAGATATTGCTATCGAGAAAAATCAACAGGGGAAAAAGCTAGGGTTGAGGATGATTCATGCCTTAGATTATGTCGCCGCAAAGGTCGGATGTTACAAGGTATAACTTTGTCTCTTAAATATTTTCCCCGCCACTTTTTACTAACGAATTATAGAGTATACTCGATTGCTCTGAAGCCAACGAAGGTTTTTACATCAAATGCGGGTTTAAACGGGCTGGCCTCGAAATGGCTCACTACTACAACGCCTAAAGCCGACGTGATGTCACCACTACCACGGCTTTCACGCGATTCACCTTACACTGTACCCTATTACCACAGTTCAACCTTTTACTTTCTGAATATATGCGACTGTTTGCTTGGAAAATAATAGAATCGGGTTTGAAGCAGGCCTTAGCTCCACTTGACACAATTCAAGTGCATAGCCGATTAATTCTTATGATCAAGGAAGATTTAGACCAGAGCAACCATTGCGACTTAACCGAAGTTGCTTTTGTTGAAGAAAGCCTCGTGTCCGTCGATTTCTTGCCATAACTATCTAATCTTGGGTTTCTGAATCTGAGGTTTCCTTTGGGATTGGGTGTCCACATTTGTCAATGCCACGTTAGACTACTTGGATGGGCGTCATTGGATGATGTGGGTTTGGTAATTTTTATAAATAGACGCTTGCAGCTGGTTTGTTAAAAAAAAAATAACATGGCTACCAATGCCTGGAGTAGAGTTACGGCTATGCGCGCCCTTCCATTTACGTGACCAAAAATAGGTCAGTTGTAGGTAGAACGAGGCATGGTCATGGTACCATTTCAGGGATTACCATTCCACTGAAAGATTCGACGGATGTTGACTGGATATTCAAATGGCGTGAAAAAGAATCCTTAGCAAAATTCGGTCTCCGGGTTTGTAAAAACTGGCAGCAAAGCTTTCTTTGAATACATATTTTGAGCAGTATTTCAGACAAGCGTAATTCATATTCATTGAATATCATGACGATACGCCTTTCACCCGACCAGGAATTCCATGTGTTTATCTATTTATCACACTGTCCCGATCGTTCCTCCTACCATGGTAAAGAGCTCTCCCACTCCATGTCGCTTCGGGGGTCGGCGTATCGCCTAGCGTGCGTGCTTATCCCAAGCAAATCAAAGTAACAAAACCACATGGACGAAAATTCAAGGAAAAAGCGGATCGAACGCAAAGTGGCGTTTATGATGTTGGGTTGGGGTTCATCTGCAAAGATATCGATGGTCTTATTAGACATATTGCTCTTCTTTTTCGTCAAATCAAGTTTTGTACGCACCTTGCGCTTGCCACCAGTCATGGTAACATTGACGAATCGTCGAGTGTATTGAAGGCGCTTCTTAGCACGGCCTTTTGGGGTCTTCTTTTTCTCTTGGGGTTCGACCTAATTTCGAATACTCCGTCAGTTCCGTACGTTCAAACTTGCCAATAGCCCTATCCGCCATATTTGATATCGCATATAACGCTTTCCCCTTATGATGACTGACCTTTGGAGTCTGAGACTTGACTTTACCCGCACGAGCGAGCGAACCGTGAACCTTACCCATGATGCGCGATCGGTAAGTGGTCGATGAGTATTTGCGTTATCGACGACGATAGGATCACTTCGAAGTTGACAAACTGAGGTCTGGTCTGTGTGAAGTTGGGGTTCAAAGATGTTAGCGCCACTTTTCTGGTGAGCTGCTTAGATAAGCCGCCTAAGCGAGGATGAGAGCAGCATGTGCACTTTTCAAGAAAGTGTCAACGGTAAGGTCAAGTGGATCACTTACAGCTTTGAGCGATGTGTTGGAATCAATTCAGTGAGCGTGTTCGTTTCCTGTTCATGTGTCACTGAGGATATTCCAACCCGCTTTAGCGACCGCCAAGGCCGTGGTTGCAATATGGTATGAGTCAGCAGGGCTTTGCCCTAGTACCCGATTTGGCTTTTATATCCCGTCTTTCAAGAGTAGTACTCCGTACTCCGTCCTGAAGACAATGAAAGAGAGTACTCTGATACCAACAACCAATACATATGCCTAGTTAGTATACGCAAGTCACATATCCTTAAAAGGTGAACAGCGGAGGGTTATTAGTATCCAGCGAGAGCTATTAAGAAACCTATGACACTGATAAGAAATCGAGAGATACGATAGTAGTATTCGTGGACGCCTCTTGGCTTTGAGGATACGACAATGTTCTTGGTTCCATGCGAGAATAAGGCATGATAAGCTACACAGAAATAAAAGGCATCCAGACCGTTCCCACGAAGAAAAAAGAACCATGACTCAAGTCTCTCTGTCGTAGAATCCATCATCCCACGCGTACCCGTATTGCAAGGAATTGAAATCCCCGGCTTATTTAGACCATCCGGGCTCTTTAATTGAGAACAAACATCAGACTTTTCAGTCTCCGATGATAAAAAAAGTAACACCTCTCCATTCTCCTTTCGATTTCATTCCATGCTTAACGAGATTTGGCGGCGACTTTTGGTGCCGAGCCTTTAGCACCCTGCTTGCTCTGGATTCTGGAGGTCTGTCCCCTAGCCGATGCAGCAGCGACTCGGGCCTTCTCTCTCTTCTGCTTCTCCGCGGCATGCTTCTTCTCCTTTCCTTCGTTGATGGCGGCTTGACGGGCAGCGAGACGAGCTTCAGGGCGCATGGATCGGCGCTCCTTAATCACATCGAGGGAGGCGCCAACGATAGCACGCTGGTGCTTGACAGTGCGGCGGGTGCGCTTCTTAGCAACTTCCTATAGTTCACGTAAAAAATACACTGTCAGCCCACTCTGCTTATTCTTGATGTATCAAGTTTGGAAATGGTCCGTGTCTTTATATCTATAAATCTCAAGGCGGACCCCGCTCATTCGAATCACGCAACCGGGATTGTTTGTACTGACTTCAGAAATACCCTTCTTGTGTTGTCTTCGGTACAGAACGGTCCAGGCAATTCGGCGAGGGTTCTTGCGCTGAAGGAAGAGCGATTCGGATTTTCCATTCTGGAATCTGAAGATCTTGCTATCACCGCGGACGTACAATTTACCCTATATCAGCCGAGAAACCGTCAGTTCTGGTCACTAATAGCCCGTGTCCTCTCCGTTTCACTTGAATTGCGCGTATCGGGGTGTAGCATTCAACTTGCAACGGATGGAGATCGAACTTGAAGGCTCAGGCGCAGGTCTGACATACCTTGCCAGGGTAAATTTTCTGACCACTGAAGGTATCGTCGTAGGTACGCATCTTGGATCGTGAGGATGCGCAGCGGGCGTGGACGAGTTGGAGGTAGGCGTTGTCGTTGAATTACTCGTTGCGTCAAGGGCCCGCCAAACTTGGTGAGGTTGGTGTGGCACGCATTTTCGCTAATGTGTGACACGTGACCGGCACTGCCCTTGAGCGAGTATGGACCATTGACGCAAAGAACAATGATAATGCTCCGTACAATCCTACAACTCGCTCCATATTTCCCTTTTTTTCTATTTAATTTTTGGCCAAAATGTAGCTCACCTTCAATTCCAAAAAGTCTAGCAGGGTAAGATGGCAGACAAGCTAATAACCATTACCACGAAATAGTCAACATATTAACAGTATATAAGACTGGAGTTCTGCAATCCCAAAGAGAGCATGACTATTATGATGATAGTTTATATGCTACATTTACATGAAAAATAAGAGCTAGGGGCTTGATTTGCGTTCAAGCTCAGCACATAGTATGTATGGACATACGCAAGAGAGTGATATAAAAGATACTTGGACGCTGAAAACAGCAAAAGAAGGTGGTAAGGGAGACAACATAGACTAACCCGCATTGCATGGGATTTAGAATGGTCTCCGATTCTTCTGAAACTGCGATAAATGATAGCCGCGCCTACTCTAGTATGTCCGCGGCACAGTCGTTCAGAAAATAGCTCCTCAAGTCGATCGTTTCGACTAATCGCTATGTAGTATTTGGCTCGATAAAAATATCAAATTGACAGTTTTGTGGGTTAATCGTTTCTTTCAATATCTGCGCGTTTATCATGCTGGCGAAGCATACTGCTTTGTCCACTCCCTAGCTGTTTGAATAGCAGCTGGTTCATCTTCTTTCCAACGCTGAGCAACATCATTTGCGAGTGGATCATCTGGGTTGGGAGCTCCTAGTAGAGCTTGAATAGATAAGAGAATTGTGCGGATTTGGAGCGCGGGAGACCAATTGTCTGGGAGGCGAGTTAGCAATACGTTCTTAACAGAAAGAAATACTTGAGACTTACTTTTCAACACATCAAGGCAAATTCTACCTAGTCTGTCTATATTTGGGTGATATATCTTTGTCAAAAAACGAATTTTGGGGGGCGTCATTGGATAATCGTCAGGCAGAAATAATTCTAATGAAAATATGCCACCTGCGGTGATGTCAGATTAGTGGGAAGATAAAGGCCATTTAAAAAAAAAATACCTTCGTACGGAGATTGAGAAGGGCCATGTATTTTAACATCGAAATATCGCAAGTTATCTTCATGGGGAACGGCGTTGATACCAGGAACTCTTTCAGAAACAAACAGATCAGCGCGGACTAAGAAAGAAAAGCACTGTTATTTATATAGTTCCTTTTTGCTTACGGTTCAGCCATTAAACGCTCAGTCTCTTTTATTATCCTTTTTGGTAATGCCATCTTGGGTGGTAGGGGCCTGATGACCCAAGCTTTCGGGCTAAAAAAGGATATATGCCTCGTGTGCAGGTTTTCCGGTACAGATATCGATTTCGACAGTGCGTAGGGTTCGCTCTGGAGCTGGTGAGGAGGGTGTTCCTGCCCCTCGTGAGAAAATGCAACTGTGACGATCACTAAGGGGCTGGAAAACTAGTCAACGAATGCAACTCCCGGCCAGAAAGGAGCGTAGAAGACAATCAGCTTAGTTCAGCATCTAAAAACAGAGTAGCTGACAGTATCAGACTTAAAAATTCAATATTGTAGGGGCAGCCGAGTTAACCCACTGCTCAACAATATCAACCCCGCAATGATCCCACAATGCCGCCAAGCAAATGGCCTGCCTGATGAGAATTCCGGATTTCGGATGAAATATTAAGCCGATAGCTCTCTAACTAATTTACGCTAATCTCTTTTAGGAATTCTGCCATTAGAGGCACCAGGCGGTGTAAGACTAGGAGCAGCTTTCCAACATCCCTCAACGGCACCGTCGCCTCTTGTAACATGCCCCCAGCCATGGAACTAGCATGATAACCACTCAGCTAGCTATAGGGATTGCTTCAATTGCAATCCCAATCTCAAAATGAACCCGAGAACGATTTGCAAGACTACCTATACCTTACCTGGCATTCTTCCATCTATCATCACGCCTACATGACATCAATTTTACCTGACAAACGGCTTATTTTTTTTTTTTTTTTCATCCTATCTATGCCCCATCCGGTATATGTGTGGAACGGTGAAACCTACTAAACGGAATAATGGCAACCCCCCCAGTGACACGAGTCTTAAGCTCCGCTTATGACAGCCCTACATTTGGAGAAGATAGCTCTTTTCATGTCGAGCAGCCAATTGGGTCAATGTCAATATCCCCTTGTGGGAGGGATGTTGTCCTTGCCTCGTAAGTTATGAAAATGCCATGCATACGGGAGCCACCGCAACTGACCGTGTTTCAGAAAGGAAGGTCTCCATATCATCGATTTAGATAACCCGTATACCCCCCCACGCTATCTTGCGCATAGGACCCCATGGGAAGTTGCCGATGTCCAGTGGTCACCTTTTGCCGCTCGCGATATGTGGGTTGTGAGCACTTCCAACCAGAAAGCTCTTGTGTGGAACCTTGCAATGGTATCTTGCCAAAATTCGATTGAGCTCGTTTTGCATGCTCATTCCCGAGCCATTACGGATATAAATTTCTCTGCACATCATCCAGATATACTAGCGACGTGTGCAGTCGACAGCTTTGTGCACTGCTGGGATTTGCGAGCCCCTGCAAGACCTGCCATCTCATTCTCCGATTGGTTCGCTGGCGCTACACAGGTCAAGTGGAATAGACAAGATTCCCACATTATTGCCAGTTCCCACGATAGATTTCTACATATTTGGGACGATCGACACGGAGCGTTACCTGTTCGATCTATTGAGGCACATAATACCAAAATCTATGGGCTAGATTGGAATCGAATGCGCCCCGAAGCTTTGGTGACTTGCTCCTTGGATAGAACAATAAAGTTTTGGGATTATTCTGTAGAAAGCGATCTCCCGGAAAAGATTATTCATACTCATTTTCCAGTATGGCGGGCAAGGCACACCCCGTTTGGATGGGGTGTTCTTGCTATGCCGCAGCGGGGAAATAGCGATCTACATTTATACAGTCGTACATTCAAAAATGCAGCCGAGAATCCCGATATGCCTCCGCTAGTATACAGTTTCCCTGGTCATAAGGGCCAAGTCAAAGAATTTCTCTGGCGCCCTCGCGGAAGCGTTATTAATGGTTTAGATCATCGAGAATTCCAACTTGTTTCTTGGGGAACAGATAGGGAGCTACGGTTGCATCGTGTTAGCCCTGAAATACTAAAAAGTGTGGGCTTCGAGAAGGGGAGATCGTTCAACCCATCACTCAACATAACGCGTGCAGGAGCAGTCTATAAAACATACCATGATGAAAACTCCGGCGTAGGATCTATGAAACGACCCCCCGGAGAATCTAGTCGTTCCTCAGCTGCATACCGTCGTGCATTATCAGGAAAAAGTGGCATCACCATGCCTTATTCTCGTCAATGGCAGGGTGGCCCTAACGGCCACTTCCGTGATCATGGAAGACAGCCTCTCCGAACCGACATGAATCCTATTTCTTGGATGCGTGGCGTTAAAGTCTCAGGCTGGGAAGTTGAAACACTTGGAGACGAAATTACCCATGTCGGCGAGCGGTTTACAAAAGTATCTTTTGAGTCTGTCAATGTCAACCAACGGAAGGCGACTGTGTCACTCCACGGCCCTTGGGGTTCTGAAAATACAAATACTTTCCTTCGTGTCGATATCAAATTTCCGTCCAACTACCCGAGATCTGCGGCGCCCGCTTTTACGTTGCAAAAGAGCTCCACCATAAGTATACACGCCTCAGAGACAGTGGCGAAAGGTTTACATAGTATATGCGAAGCATACATTTTGAAAAAGAGACCAAGCCTAGAGGGTGCTCTTCGCTATCTTCTTGGAGAATACACGGTGGAAGAAATTGTCGATATGGTACAGGACGAAGTCTGTGAGGCACTCAAATCGCCAGATATACTCGGAGACGGCGAATCTAGTGACGAAGATGAGGAAATTGGCCAGTATCAAGGCAATGATCTCGCTATGAGCTCCTCGGAGCTTCTCCGCCCAGTGAACGCGAACGTAATGGTGCCTATTGCAAGAGTATGCGGTGCAATCTGGACACATGATGGTCGCCTCGTATGTTTCTTTCCTCATAAGGAAGAGGTACCCGCGTCGTTTTTGGATTCCGTAGGCCTTCGCGAGATGACAAGGCTTTCTCGGTCCAACAGAGTGTTTGAAGCCTTTGGTAGATTTAAGACTAATTCTCCTGGCCCGAGAAATCCCCTGGGAATGGGGGCAAGCAATGACCTGTTAACAGATGATGATGCTTCGGAATACTCTGACAATTCTGACGATTCTTCGAGCTCCTCAGGCTCCTCAGACATGTTAGGAGCACTTCCACAACGATTCCATCTTCAGCGGACGAGCAATATTGGTGTGAACCGTGCTAGATCTACTGACAACTCACAAAAATCCACAACGGGCGTTTCTGCTATGAGGTCAACTACTGGCAAGCGCCATAACACCATCTCTATCCATAATCTAACACACATTCTTCCCTCAAAACCATATTTAGCCACCAAATATCGTATTCATGGAGCCTGCTCCGATGTTTGTACACACAACATGAAAGTTTCGGCCGACTTTGGGCACATGGAACTAGCTCATATCTGGGGTCTACTGAAATTGGTGTTGGAAAGTCTGACGCCCTTCCATAGCACTCCAAAACGTGAAGATGTGTCTCACATGGTTTATCAAGCTATGGGTAACAATAGAAGAAAAGATAGCGGGGTGGATCTTACTTACGATGATTGCTCAACTGAGACATTACATATGGGAACAGTTGGCTGGGGATCGCATCCCCTCGGGTCGAAGTGGCTTCTTCCAGCTCTGTAAGTATCCGTATCTTGCATACATCTTCTGTCGCGTCTAATTATTCATTTCAGGTTTGAGTATTTTGAGCAGTTGGGCGATGTTCAAATGCTAGGCATGCTGTCCTATATTCTATCCGAACCGATTTCCAATAGTTTCAACCAAAAAGCGGATCAAGTACCCTCAAATCTACAGAATCCAGCATTTGTGTTAAGTCAAACATCACCTCCTTTGCAGATTCGAAGAGAAAATTCAAGTTCAGGAGGGCCTATTGTATCCCCCACGAAAGACTTGCCTCTCATCTCAACTTCTTATAGTTCTGCATGTTCCTCTACGGATATATGGCCTTCTGAAACTCCTCCCTTATATTCTACTGGAGCAACTCCTCCTAACGTAGTGCGAAGCGGGAGGACGAGTTTGGAACGGAAATCCTACAAGCTCGCAACGCCAGTTTCAGGCTCTCCTGATCAACACACTCACCTTCGCACTCTAAACAATGGCCTGCCTCTCTCTTCCTCGCTATCTCAATCTCTTCCAAGCGAGCCACTAGCCCCATCCTCACTAAGTGAGAGCATTAAAAAACGACCTAGTCCCGCCGGCAGTTTGACCGCAGCTAGCGGATGGGCAGGAAATATTTCTCTTGTCAAACTACCCTCCGCCATTCCAGATCATATCAAGACTTCCACTGCTCCTCCTTCCCAGGTTCCCTCGGATACTGAGAACGAAGCACTATCTGTACAGAAACCTCTTAAGCCTTCCATCAAGTCATCGTTGAAACCACGTTCGTCAATAAAACCATCACGAGATGTACGAGTGGTTTTAAAGAACCAGAAAGAATTTGACGCCGAGGGTATTGGAGATCTACCGCCGTTTGATAACAAACATCAACCACTCTATCCAGTCTATCGTGCCGCATACGCCGCATTGCTTTTTGCTTGGGACACCCCGGTTGCCGGAAGGGAGATCCTGAAAACCGAGCCTTCGAATGACAATCAATATGCTGTATTGAGAGTTGACACCAAACGCTCGAAATCTGCTGCAATATTCTCCTACCCAAAGCCCGAAGAATCGGACAACCTAGAAGGACTGGGTTTTCAGCAACACTGTTCCACATGCAACTCGCCTCTAGATTTGGCCCCAAAAACCAAACCAGAACTCCAGAATGGAAAATCACAAGCCGAAAGATTGGCTTTGACATGTTCTACTTGCAAAACGGAAAACCCACAAAGGAAATTCCCTTGTATTGTCTGTGACAAATCTCCTGCAGGAACATTTGCACCATGCTTAGCTTGTGGACATATTGCCTGTCGTTTATGTCATGAGAAGTGGTTAGCATTCCAGGAAATATCTGAAAATGGCACGACCCCAGCTTGCCCAGCGGGCTGCGGCTGCATTTGTACCGAACATATCACAAACCACGTCGCCGTTCCTCAACCGCCCAAAATAGTGGTTGAGGGAGAACTTAAGCCTCGGAAAGAAGATGCTCTTCGACGAAAGTTCAAGCGTGCGTGTGATTTCCTGAATATATACATCAAAAGGCCTTCTAGCCATATACATCTTACTGGACGCAAATCATCGAGGTCTTGCCTCAAAGTACGGTCGCTAGCTGCGGCGCGTGGCCAGAGCCGCATCAACTTCGAACGAGTGCATTTGAAACCGATTCTAATTGATGGAAGGACGGGCAACTGAGATCGACAAATATATGTTTGTGGATTTTCCCACATTGCGCCTGTGGTAATCGCAGGTCAGCTTGCACTGCACTTTACGGGGCGCCCAATGAGCAAAATAAGCAAGTCTCCGTTTAGCCAGTGAAGAGTAATTCATTCACCAACTACTCGTATGGAGTAGGGAATTCAGCATTCCTCCTAATATACTACGCATTTGATCTGGTTGACCAGAAAAATTTCACTGTACATACTTCCTTGATATATACTGCACATACTACGATTACGATTACATGAAGCTATATAAAATGTTGCTATATGAGCCAGATTGCTGCTAACATATGAATATAATTTTTTTCATACGAGAGTGAGAGCCGATCCCCATGACTGTGGCATGGGGCCGCGAGAATTGTGTTTGCCATGGTAATTTCTAGAAAGACTGATCTGATTCAAGCTTTCCCGTCTTCCTTGCTTTGACACAGTTTTGAGGTATCACGAAGTGCTACCAGGCCCGCCACTTACATACAACAAGATGTTCCGTCATCATGAGCAATTCCAAATACGAAACCCCGAGCCAAGGCCGTGAAAAACAGTCTTTTTCTTTTTTTTGTGGATCTGCCTGGCTTGAGAGCTGTTCTAGTCCTTGGGAGTATTATAAATGCTTACCGAACAAGTACAAACCCGCCTCCTTCATCCTGACAAACAAAATAAGTATTTCCAGGGAATTTTATATGCAGTATTGGTTTTTCTATGTGCATCAGCTTCTGGTTGTTAAACTAGGATTATTTTCAGCGAATATCCCGCACTTCATGGCCCAGCGGATCGGTTTTCATCAATCGTGGGATGGATACTGATAGTTTACCTCGTGAAGCAGGGGAAGCTTCAATATTGTATTTCTCTTTACTCACCAGCGTGACAAGCTTTCTCCAGTAATACGGAGAGATAGGCGTTAGGTATAATATCCCTACCTCATATCTATGAGCCATTAGCCAGCGCTAAATGCCGGACAGGCAGGCCAGCTGTAAAAGTCAAAAAACAAACAAAAATACAAGAAAGCTTTTTGCCCTTGTTTATCCTGTTCTTTTGAGTCCACGTATATTCACCGATGTTGTTGTTTTTTCTTTTATAGAAGGTTAGTCTTTTACAACACTTTTTTTCGTACTCGTCGCGTCCACGTAACTCCTTTTAGAGCCCGCAGCCAGAATATGCAACATACCCTTGCGGCTGAGCCCATTTCTACAAACAACAAAGCACCAAAGGATGCAGCTGAGGTGCCGTAATCCCGGGATTTTCCGAATAGAAACGGTCTACCTGTAAAAAGCAAAAAAATAAAAATAAATAAAAATACAACCCCGTACTCCGTACTGAAAATGGAAAAGAAAAAAATGTGGGCGTGAATTCGAGATTCTCGATCTTTTCACGGTGATTCGACGGAATATACGGAGTATCTTACGAAGTCTCTCAAAAGAATTTTATAAACCCACTTGGAAGTGGTGGTAAGGGGGTATTTGATTATTGGAGAATAGGCCAGGCTTGGCCGGGGGCCTCTCGGGTTAAGATATGTAACGGGGGGGGGGAGTCAAGAAGACGTCCAGCGGGGCGGTAAGGAGGTAAAATTATGTACAATTGTATGTGTGTGTCCAAAGAGGACAGATGTTTTCCACACTAGCCAAAGACACTTGGGGGGAAGATGCAAGCTTTGCTCATTCTCCACTCTTACATGATGCAAAATGCTCCCCTGTGCTGTCTTGTTTTTGTTTTTTTGTTGACATAAAAACTTTGCAAAAGGCCAGGTACGAAATTAAGTGACAGTAAGAGGGAACAAAAGCTTCCCCTTGTTATGGAGTAGAAGGTAGTGAGAAAACAGGAATACCAGCCATGGTAGATCGATGAGAAAATTTGAGCCTTTTGTTACAAAAAAGGATTCGCAAAAACATGAAAAGTACTCACGATTTACACGACAATGGCTGGAATTATGCAATGTGAAAAGAGGGTATACAGTTCAAGGGAAACTTTCTCACACAAGATTGGGCGAGTGAGACTGACAAGCCGTCCATAACAGAAAAAGGAGATAAGCTGTTCCTATAACGAACGGGGGAGCGTAGAAAAGGCCAAGTGCCTATTCCACCATATCCACAACATTGTCCGTCGATGCATTGGTCATGCCCCAGAGGAATCTGGCAGCTTCTCGCCCACAGCAAGTTCGTTTCCTCGCGACCTCATTCTCCCGCGTCAACGGGGTCTTGAGAGAGCCAAGAGGTCCCAGCAATGGGGCCGCCTGGCCGACTGTACACTTTGACAGCAAAAACGAGTCGGCAACCCGTACGTCGCGAGCAACAAGGTTGCCATCATCCACGTTCTGTCGGTTTTTCAAGGCTACCAGATGGCGGACGTTGTGGTGTAAAGAACCGTCATTTGAGCAAAAGCGGCCCCGCTTTTTCGACACTCTGAATGGCGAGTGCATGACGGACGATGGGGTAGATCGGGGAATAGCACCAGCCAGATCACAGAGGCTCTGGGCAGCTTCTCTTGCCAGATCCACGGGTGATGCCAGAGAGAAGTTAGACATGTCTGGAACATCAGTGCTAGTAGTGGACATGGCCTCAGGGGAGGCGTAGATATCCGAGTATTCTGTTTCGTTGATCGGGGAAACAATCACGGGGGGCTTCCAAGTATCCTTCATGTTGGAGCGCCGACGCGTCGTTCGCATCGCCAAATGAGGGAGCGAAGTCGGACACGTTCCAGACGCAACGGAAGAAATGGAAGAGGATCGAGAAGACCGGCTTGACCGCGATGAGGTCAACGATGGGACGTCAGATACCATAGACTCCGGAGAGGAACTAGACGAGCGAGCCAGGGAAGAGCGACGAGTGTAAGATTCAAAAGAAGTCGATTTCATCATATTCTGGCGTGGTAATAAACGCTGATCGAGCATGGTACGCTGGGAACAAATCGTTTGGGCGTGACGCATCGCACATGACATAGAAGGCCCACGAAGGATCGGAACAGCACCCGCTGCAGGGGTAGTGTTGGGAATGGTCTGCGGGCTCAGTTGTGGGCTCGAGAGGTCGGAAACGGGAAGGACCGGTAACATTATTGGCGATGAAGGTTCAATAGAAAGGACGTCGAGACCCGAAGTCGACGTCAGCGCATTAACAGTACTTCCACTCTCATAAACGGGAGATCGGCTTGGAGAAGGCGAAGGGGAGGGCGAAAGGAGATCCTGGATCGAGACAACGCCCCGAGTCGGGCCGAGTTCGAGATTATCGAGCTCTGGAGTCAGAGTCGGGATGATGGAGCGCCAAGAAAGACCTTCACCGTTGAAAGCGCTGTCGGACGAGGGCGTGTACTTCAACACAATGTCAGTCCAGCGCTTAAAAACAGGCTCAGAAATGTGCAACTTCCATCCAACAGCGTGGAGGAAAGTCAGCTCATTCTGATTGATTTCTTCGGTACTCAGACCAGAAATCTTGCTCCAAGCGCGAGCTGAGTAGTTCCGATCCTGAAGGTATTTCGATGCCAAAATAAGGGCAGCGAGAAACATGCGCCTGCCACACTGCATGGCACGTTGGCACTGCGGAACCTGCGACTGTTCCATGGTAAAATCAAGCCTTGGAAGTCGAGGTCTGATCATAATAATGTAGTATAGAGCGACCTGGAGCGTCGAGTAGCTCGTTCGAGAGCGGCGAAGCGTCTCCTGGATGAAGCCGCGCAGAGGCAACACGCCTTTGCAGCCCATCGCGGAGTCGCTCCTCGACGCGGCGGCAGAAAGCGGCCATACAGTCTGGACGATCTGCGACGCAGAGTCTTGACAAAACAGAAGAAAAAAGTCAGGCACTAACGAGAAAAATAGAAATATAATATTATGACTCACCAACAAGATTGTCGACAAAATTAACTCTGCGATCAGACTGGCGCACCAGAGAGGGTTTCACTCGCGGGTAAGCAGCGTCGGTGCCTGGCTTGGAGCGGCGCGGGTGCTGGCGCAGCTCTGGCGCCACAGCATGTTCCGCAGCCGTAGCCGCAAAGGATCCACGCGAGCATAGTGCGCTGCCTTCTTTCAGCTGATCGGTAATACCGTCTAGATTGTCCGAGGCGACGTTTTCCCAGACGACATCGCAACCGGACGAAACCGAGCTTTGCGACGAGAAAGAGCCGAAGGAAAAGACCGAAGAAGACGACGAGGACGACGCAGAGGAGACTGAATCAGAGCACATGTAAGGCTGCTGAAAGACTTTCTGGTTACCTGGGTTCGCAAGATTGAAACCCAGGTTGTCCATTACTGACATTTCCAATCACAATCACGCTCACTCGGTGTCAGGATAACCAACGTCGACTGAACGTAAAGACGGAAATGAAGGGTAGTGGACGATATAGATTCCGGGTACTAAGGGGGGAAGACCGTTGGGAGAGGACCGTGTAGGGGCAGCGTTGGACAGAGCCCGTCTTGGATACAAAGGCGACGGGGGGGCCTCTAACCGAAGCGACCAATAGCCAGGATGGATATCAGCTGTGGTTTATGTGTAGAATAAGAGGGTTTAATAAAAAAAAAAAAAAGGAGAGGAGCAAGAGGCTACAGAGGATAGGATATGGTTCAGGAAGGGAGGGTTATCGTTCAGTGTTTGGGGTTGGGTGGGTGGGAGCAGGAGGAGGAAGACGATGACGCCGATCACCACCTGCAAGATTCCAAGGGATGCAGCAGCAAACAAAGCGGAACACAAAGGAGAGCAGTAAATGAAGGAAGGGCGACAGGGACGTGTCTGGGACAACTACGCAAGATATATGCCGAGCAGAAGGCGCGGGCAGCTCGGTCACAGAGGTGGAGTGATTATTGTGGCGTGGCGAAACTCAGCGCGCTCAAGTGACACACACAGGTCGAGCAGAGGACTCCCGCCAGGCGCTCTAGGCAGCAACAATAGCAGGCATAGCGATGGCAAAAGGAGTCGAGACAAGTGGTTTGGAATCTTTGCAGGTGGTGATGGAGTCGCGGGTCGGCGCAGGGAGCCTCGTCATTGTTGGAGCGAAGGGAGAGGGGAGCCGGGGGCGCGGGCTGGGAGTCAGCACCAGCAAAGGCGGGCGGCACCACGCGAGTCTGACGGCAAAAGGAAGGCGAGGAGAGGCGGGTGAGGCTGGAGGGCGAGAAGGAGAGGACGAGGTTTGAGGTTGAGGTCACGACGGCATTCGAGGGAGTCAGAGGAGGGCGATGCCAGCGAGCTAACTAAGTGGCTAGCGACGCTGGAGGCGAAGAGTAGAGAGCGGCGAGAACGGGGATAAGGAGGACTGGTGAGTTAGTCAGACATGGCTGCGAGGGAGTAGAAAGAGAAAGAGAGAGAATGGGAGGGAGGCGAAAGAAGAGTTTGCTCGCGATGACTCGACGACGTCTGAGTTGATGGTGGTTGCGGTGGCGAAGTGGCGAGGGCGAGTGCCGGGGGGGACAAGCCGACAACGACGACAAAGACCACGTAGATACGTACCAGAGCGGAGAGCAGGGCAGACAGCAAACAGCAACCAGCAAACAGGCCGAAACACACAGCGCAAGGATCAACGGAGTGGCGAGGGCGATGATGACTCTACAACAACAACACAGCGCGGGCGGGCGAGCGTGCAGGTTAAGAGCACGCAAGCGGCGGGCGGGCGGTTAGGCAGAAGAACCGCCTCGCACAGGCAGCGATGCAGGCCGGGCGGCGCGTGATGATGGGCCATTGGCGGGCGGCGATGCTGCGACGCCGTTTGGCCAGCCATCGATCAATCACTCAGCAGTATTATTATTATTATCGCCGTCGCGCTCGTTGGCTAGTTAGTTACCAGCCGCCACCGCCGCGTGAGTCATAGCTACTAACTTGCCCGTTCGAGGCTGATCGGAGCAAATAATGGCTGCCCCCCCCCTCCTCGCCATCGCCCGAGGCCGGGGCTGGTAGGACTCCGAAAGCATCCTTTGTTTTAGCACTTCGTGTTAGTCAGGATTCCCGGCAGCTGTCGTATAGATCTACCCATGGTGTGGAGGCCTTAATTAGAGATGTAGGACGCGGTGGTATATACAGCAAGTCTATCGCAGTATGGGAACAGGAAAACACCTTCAGAAAAGCAAAAGCACAGAAAAATCCAGGAAGACCACCGGGCTGGACAGCCTGCCCGGGCAACGCAACGCAACGCAGGAGAGAAGAAAAACCGATCCGACGAAAGCGATATCTGTGGCTCGCCCCGGAACAGCCTGGGAAGCACCAAAACTCTCTCGTGCGAGCCCATCCATCGTCACCAGTAACCACACCCACCCAGATCACGCAAAACGACCAAATCGGGGAGCCCTTCCCGTCAGCCTGGCACATGACGAGGCTCGGGGACTGGCGTCGTCCCATGGACCGAAAGGGGGGCGCGACCCCCCTAGGCAGCCTCCGTCCATAGATCAGTTATATACCAACATCCCCGTCAATATCACAGCGAAGCTGTCACACGAAACCACAGCTTGCCAAAAAAACGGAAACAGCTTGTAGCATGCCAAAAAAAGAAAAGGAAGTTGTCTTTCCCAGGAAAAAACAACGCCGTCCATCGCTGTGCGCCGAAGATACGGATAATGATAATAAAAAAGGAGACCCAGATAGATAAAGTGTATACCGAAACCAAATTCCATCAAGCATTAGGGTATATGTAGAGATATTCGACCTCGAATAAAGCGTAAAATCCGCCAGTCCCGGAGATAGATAGACAGCCCCCGATTATCCCCAAAAAGAGAGATTATTATGTGGTGAGATATGTCCTAGAACGCCGCTGCCGCTATACAAACCCAGCCAAGCCGGCGAGAGAAGAAAGATATATATAAAGTTTGTCTTTTTTGTATTGTTCAGCAGACCGCATCTCGGTCACGCCCCCTCCAGGTCCTGCACCAGGTGCTCGAGGAACTCCATCAGCGAGCGGTTCTTGCACTTCCCGATGCCCTTGGCGCAGTCGCCGCACACGCGCAGGCTGCAGAAGGTGCAGCGCCAGCGCGCCAGCTGGTCGGTCTTGAGGCACGTCATGCACGGCACCGAGTAGTACGCGTTCTTGGACGCCATGAACGACCGGTGCGACTGGTAGCAGGCGAAATGCACCTTGGTGAGCGGCGGCACCACGTCGACCTTGACCACCGGCAGCAGCGCCTCCGCCGACGAAGACGCTGAGGATTGCGAGTCGCCGTCCGATTTGGCTTTGTCGTCGTCCGCCGGTGTCGTTGTCGTCGTCGTTGACGACATGCCCGGCTCGTCGTCGCGGGTTTCGGCGGAGTACTCGCTGCCGCTGCGTATCGAGGGCGCCTGCGACGGTGGCTGCACGGCGTGGTGGGTGTTGGGGCTGCGGTCGCGGCGGGCATAGCGGGCGGGCGCTCCTCGCTCCGAGCCTCGCGAGGGCGGCAGTCTTATGCCGTAACTACCATTGTGCGGCGGCGGCGGGAGATACTCCCACGGGCGGTCCGTTGACGGCGGTGCTTTGCGCATCGGGGGGTGGTGTGATGCGCCGCGGGTCTTGGAGGAGGGGGGTGGAGGGCCCATGTTCTCACCACGCAGCACCATTGTCCTAGGGGGTTTGTGGCCGTTCAGCTCGACGGCGACAATGGAGATGTCAGGTCGTTCCATCTCTGCAGGCCAGTCTGGGGTGATTATTGGCGGCGATATCGAGGAGAGGCGGCCGGGGTCAGGGCTGGGGGGACTGCAGCAAATGGGGAGGGGGGGAAGGCTTTCTATCACGTAGATTGCACGCCCGCCTCTTGAAGGGGAGTCCCTTGATTATATAGATACGAAGGGCCGCAGTCGCACCAATGCAACAGAAGGACAAATAAAAATAAAAATGGGAAACAAAATAAAAAAAAAATTAGAAATAATCTCTGGGGAGCTAGGACAGGCACAGCCGTTGTGGCGGTTTGACCGATGCCGAACAGCCCAAGGAGCCCATCCACACGGCGGGCCAGTGCGGTGCTCTTAAAAGCCTGGAATTAGCCTATCCGCCCATTAGTTATGCCAGCATCAGCCAGAGAAACAAAAAAGAAAGGACCTGGCAGGCACACCCACCCCGCAAATCACGGCGCAGCAGCCAACGGGGATTGACCCAGCCCTTTCATGGCCAGCAGGAAGCGAGAGCAAGAAAAGCAACGGGCACTGGGTGAATACGTGGGACCAGTCGAATCCATTGTGATCAAGGCTATCAAAGCCACCGGGAACCTAGCGGATTTGGCAGCGCAGGACATTCTCGCAGCCTATCATGCGCGCAGCGGCGGGGGAGGGGGGGGGGGAATGCCAGTGTGCGGGCCAAGCGTGGGATGGAGACTCGGAAATCCAATCTCTAAGATTAGCCAGGGACAGGAGTTAAAGCGGTTCAGGCCCTCAGGATCGCGACTATTGTCTTCGGTCGGGAGCCAGGCTTGGTCCGCGCCGGAGGCTGTCTGGTTATACGGGCGTGGTCGATTGGGCTCCGGCGGGGGCAGCGGTCCAAGAAGACAGGCGAGGACAGTTAGTTAGCTAGCTAGCTAGTAGCTAGCAGTAGTGAGCCAGCCTGGCGACGAACGACGGCGGTTCTGGCTGAGGGATCCGGGGCTCCTCGCGGCAGGCAGGGAAGACGGACCTGACACATCGAAGGCGGTTTGGCGTGTTTGCAAGCGAAGGCTCCGCCTGCATGAAATTGCGGTGGCGAGTCGGAGGCTGGCTAGTAGTCTACTCCTATACTCCGTACAGCAGCGTACTCTTGCTGCCGTACAGCATGCGAGGAGAAAAAGAAACAAAACCTGCGCCGGGGCCCTGTGCGCTGCTGTTGCTCGCCGCCCGGATCGCCATCTGCTTCACCGCGCCATCATCACAATATCACGCTCTCGCAACCAGGCCAACGAACTACTAACTAGTTAGCTAGCTACCTACAGCATAGTTATCGAGACCGGCGCTGTTTCAAGGCGGCGATGGGCCAGCACTGTGTCTATCATGCGCGCCGCATGCATCTCACTGCGAGGACAGCAGTAGTAGAGCAGTGACAACGACCCCGTACCCGCCCACGACCAAGAGGCCGCCATGGCCCTGTGCTCCACTGTGACAGCAGCGCATGCCCATCCTGCTCCAGCCAGGCATATACTCCGTACAGACAGACAAGACGTCGACGGAGCGCTCCGCACCGATATGGGCAACTTGTCCGCGCAAGTGTGGCTCTCTGGCCATTTTTATTATTCGAGATCGTTCCTCATACGAGGACCCTCGACCTTCTCGAAGCAGACATCGCCTGACACGCCGTGTCGCCGACGCGTGCTGCGTCGCGGCGTGGTTCCGTCGCACTCTAGTTAGAGAGTAGTGCGCGTCTTTGAAGCAGCGAACTCCAGCCCCGGCGGGTGGAGCAGGTCTCACTTCTTCTCGCTCCGAGTCAGCGATCCTGAATAAAAAAAAATAATAAAATAAAAACAATCCAACGGGCGCGTCCCTTGGCGGCCAACAGGGCCCGTGTGAGAGGGCTGGATAAATGCTCCGTCTGGGTTGCTGAGATCTCCCAAGCCGCGATCTCCGCTCCCTGGCCACCCGTCGCCCGCGCGCAGCCCTACAATGTGTAATAATAAAATTCAAATGCAATCCTCCCGTTAGTTAGTTAACCGTATCGAGCAGGACCCGGAGTCGCCCGTCCGTCCTCCCAGATCTCTTGCGCCGTACGGAGTACTAAATACTACTAAACTAATCTTCTTCTCCACGTCGAGGAGGGTCTCCATGAATGCATTATTTATTATTTCTTTCTGCTTGATCGATCGTGCGGCTCGCCTCCTGAAACTGTCAGGTCTGCGTCTGTAATCATGTCCACCGCCCGACCCTGTCATTATCGCAAGCGTGCCACAGCGGCGTCGCTGTGATCAATAATCAATCATCCATCCGCCCTCGCACTACCTTGATGGGAGCAGCTGTTCCTCCTCTTAAGGGATGCGCGTTCCTTCGGTGCAACCGCGACATTTAACTAGGTAACTAGTAGTTACTCCAGACAACCTGATAGCAAATCTTTCCATCTCCAGCCTAAACAATGCGGCTGCAATATTAATAGTATAACCATATCCAAGTACGTTTCGAAACACCCGCTGCCGCTCTCTCTCCCGCAGGGGGACGATCGTCCCAATACCAGGCTGGCATGCCTTCTATTGATGCTGACAATTACTTGCACCGATACGGATACTCCGTATATTATTATTATTATTACCATCATCATTATTGACGCGTTTCACGCTCCCGCTCGCTCGGCATCGCTCGGTTGCTTCCGATGGGACGGTCAGATCTTCACCGCAACAAACCGGCCACGCTGCCAGCGAAGATGTAATGTACTTCGTACCTCCGTGCATTATACATATGCGCTCCGTAAGCCGGCCTTCGAAATTAAGAGCATGCAGGTGGAGATTAAGCGACCTACGTCCCGGCGTTGGCCAGGCGGTCGATCAACGCCCATGTCTGCGCCGGGTCTGGTATCGGGCCACTGGGAACCTGCCCGTCTCGCACGGCACGGGGAAACGCGCATTGAATGGCAGTGAGTCGAAGAGGCATTTGCAAGAATGGCTATAAAAAGGGTCAATCATTACGGCCGATCGCTGGATGACGAGGTGGCTGGGCCAGTTGTTCACATCGCACCGCGTCGCCCACTGCAGTTCATGCTTTCTGACATGATCGTGTAACTTGACTGCGGGGACAGAACACTGCCAAATGAAAGGATCTTGTTAAATTGGGCAATACTCAAATGACGTCCTACGCAGTGCAAATCATCTTTTAAGTTTAAAAAAACCCCCAGACGAAAAAAATTTGACCGTGCCAGGGGTCGAACCTGGAATCTCTTGATTTCACCGGTGGGAGGACTCGTAGTCAAGCGCATTGCCATTATGCTACACGGCCAATTCAAATACTCAACGCCCACTAATATTATCATATCCACTTGCCCATCTTGTTTCTCAAATCGTCCAATGATAATTCTACCCTTATAAATTCATAACGTCTCCAACCCCCCATACAATGTGTTATGGGGTGAAAGGGACCTTACCGGCGGACTGTTAAACGAGGTTGTCAGTCTGGAATTACAAATTTGAGGCTAATCCATTGCCAGGGGCTTAATACATGGATCTGGCGATAATGAAAATAAACACGTCTTCAGTATTATAGAAACATTGCATGAAGCAATACTCAAGCTTCGTCGAAAACCTTGTTTTGAATCTTGTGCTGATATTATTGAGCATTTTGCTGGGTTATTAACTTATAGTTGAGGCCCACTTTGTTCATCTAGCAAAATATAGCAAGAAGTATTACGCCTCTCTTTGATCTGTCACCTAGATTAGTGACCATAACTTCCTAGAAAATCGAAATGGGACAAAAGGGCATATCAGATACTCCGTATATGCCAGAGCTGAAAGGCCAAAGATATGAACTGCGAGCGTTCTAGAACTTCTATAGGGAAGCCCTTGCTGGAGCCTAGTTTGCTAGCCTCGGCAATAGCCACACAACAGGATAAAATATTGCTAACCAGGAATATTTTACCTCCAAAGGATAAGGGTAATCCAGGGCCATCCTCTTGGGTGGCACCACACTCTTCGAATCTCGCCGAAAAAATTCCTGAAGTGAGGCTGTGTGCTCCTACCGACTCCCGAATTCTTCCTGGTCTCTCCTCGCGATCGCGAGAAATTATCGTCCGATCTTATCAGATCATCTTATCTGATGGCCATGCGCCGCGCCTTCCAGACGCCTCGTGACATCGAGCATGACCACCGCCTAACTACCTGCTAGCCGCGCGCGCCGTCCCTGACACCACCACAGTCGCTCGGCTCATCTGGCATGGTCAAGCAGCCCGCTGGCCTGTTTGTGCAACCTCGTTCTCTGTCATCCTCGCGTTTGCTGTGCATGTGCGGTTTGGACAAGCTGGTACCCCACTCTGCACCCCTCGTGCTATCAATAGCTTGACTAGTTTGCTGGCGGGCATTAAAACTATCGCAACCCCCAACTCCTCTTTCTTGCTTGCGAATTTGGCTCAGCTTGACACTTTCTTTACGTCTATTGCATGGCCTAACTGGCGCCTCGAGCATGATGAAGCTTTCGTGTCTCTCTTTGTTCCTTTCCTTGTGCCTGTACCTTTCTCCCGGAGCCTCTTTTCCGGTTTCCCCTGCCATTAACAACGCGCTGCGCCGGACCCAGCTCCCTATCGCCCCGGCAGACCAGTTCCTTGTCGAATCGAAACCTGTTGACGACTTGACCACCATCAAATATGACGATAACCACCAAGAATCCCCCCTCTCCATGCCCGACTGGTCCACTACCCACCTTCTCGCCCGAAGACTCCTTGCTCGCTCCTCTACAGGAATCCTATCTACCGTATACCCCAAAGCCGGGCGTGACCCGTCGTTAGCTGGCGTGCCCGTTGGCCTGCCCGATTATTATGCCGATTGTGCCAGCCAAGACGACCCAGAACTGCATGACCTTCTGGGTCTGGGAAACCCGTTGATACTGGCCTTGAATCTCGGCACCTCGTTTCGAAATGCAAAGGCGGGCTCGAATATATCTCTGGCTATCGACTGGTGGCATAAAGGTCCCTCGAACAACGACGGGAGCCTGGACACGTCTCCCTCGGCTTTGCCGCGGCTATCATTGATCGGGTCCCTCCAGCCCATCCCGACTACTTTGCCCGCCGCCTCCAAGAAAGCGATCGAGAAATGCTTCTTGGCTGTCCATGCCGATGCTAAACATTGGCTTCCCGGGTCCCCCGATGCTGCACACTCTGGGTACTGGGCAAGAATCGTTGTAGAAAAGGCTTTTTGGGTCGGGGGATTCGGAGACCGGGCGAGGATTGGATGGTTAAATCCCAGAACCTGGAGAGATATCGAGAAGAACGGCAAGGACGGTAAAAGAGGATGGGCTGATGTTAGGCTACCTGGAGAAAAACCGTAGGAAGAAACGGCCCATATTACATTGAAGATGACGTGGCATACATCCTTACTCTGCATATCATGTTTTGACGACCTTTTATGAATTATGGCGCTCATTAGTTGGAGCGTGCGAATGGAACACCACGGGCTTCCCGTTTGAGGACCCTCGTGCTCGAGGGACTTCAAGTGACGTATGTACATAGGTAACAACAGAGCAGTACGTTTGAACTGGATATTTCTAGAAAATACCATGTGAGCGTAAATCAGTTTGTTCACTAGGTTGGAACGCCATCCTTTAGACCGAAAGTAGGCGGCCATGGCATTCCTTCTCCTTGTTAATATACTATCGTGAGTCGTGGTTTCGTGGTGTATTTCCAAGGCAACAGCTCGATCCAGTTTCATAAGCTTATGACCGGAAATAGAGAGCCGTGCTCTTCATATCGAACTTACACGGCGTTGCCGAAAGGTCGCGTAGAAAGGCATGAAAATTGAGGGGAATATTGGTAGCTTTTAGGGTGTCGTCCATTTAGGACCAAGGACTCAGCCCACTTGCTACGTTAAAAAACTGCAGCGGTTTACGCAGAAATAATGTTGTCCTGGTTCAGAAGGCCAGCTTGGGTGAGGGCCGCAACGGCCTCGGCAGTCCATTCCTGGCAACGTCTGACCTTTTCTTCAGGATATAGTTTGCGGGGCCCGTCAAACTGTTTCTTCGGGGCTTCTACAGAGCGGCAAACTTTCCTAACTTTATCAGGATGTGAAGTTTCCTTGACAGTGCCAACTAGGCTTTTTCCAACAAAGGACGGGTCGTCCTCTGGAGGAGAGGTAGCAGGTTTGTCTTCGTAGACCATGCCGTCCTGGATGTTTCCGGTAACTTAATAGGCGTGGCCGCAGCCGATGGAGCGGCTGTTCGTTTCGATGAAAATAGCATGGTGATCGCGGGGCATGCCAACAGAAGAAACACGGTAAACGTTGTAAGACATCTTCAATTTAAAAAAAAAAAAAATAATTTAGCTCTGGTCTTTTATGATGTATCGATCCGGGCTGAGAGCTCAGTTCTATAAAGTATGTGTACGTCATTTTATCGTGGGGTTAACGTACAAGGTGCGGGGAGCCGACGATCCACTTGAATGTTTCTCAACGAATCGCTAGAAGCTGGTATGGCGCATCAGGCTCTAGTATACTTGCTGACGACTTCAGAAAAGCAAGGCAAGACACCAGCGCCAGATTATCCGCTCAACAAATGCTGTGCAGATGCTGAGGGATCTAAACGATAGAAACCGATAGATCTTATGCTAGAGTGTCGAACCCATAAGCGTGACGATGCATTCGAACTCTGGTACGAGGTATCGTAGTCCATATTCCGTTTTAAATCCCACTTGACTTGCAACGTCTCTGATCTCCTCGCGAATGAGAGGCTGCCGAGTAAGAATGAATGCCATTATATGACACAATATCAGCTGTCAGCGTCAACATGCTATAGACACTTTGGTAAAAGTGTTTTAGTTTTGTTTTCAGCGATTATTACAGCGAACCCCGACTGTTTCGAGACTCTTTCAGAGCCTTGCTAACACTGGCTGAAACACGTCCAACTTCACCGCCGTCTTTTTTTGCAGCGTTTATCCCTCGTAGTACTGCCGGCTGGAACTTTTGCGTAAATACTCTTAGTCTATCTTCACGAGACTCGTACATTTCGCCTTCTTCATCCTTTGGTCGACCAAACAGATCGAGATATGCATACGGAGAGGAGCTCATAGGCAGCAGATGCTGCAAAGTTTGACGAAGTGGAAATGCCGTTCCATAGAAATCACTCCCAGCAGCATCCTGGGCTTCATTATCAGGAGCACACAACCCCTCGCGCAGGAAATCAGCGAAAGCCTGGAGCACCCTTGCCATCGGTTTGCCATCACTACCCGCTTTTCCAAACGAAGCTCGATTCGATGACCACTTTGCCGATTCTTCTGTGTGCCATCCAAGAATAGAAAGAAAGCAGTTTAGTGTTTTGATCCATCCACCAGCACACGCTACCACTTCTTGGCCTGTGACGGACAGCAACCAGGAAAGTATGTCAATGGCAGAGAGGCGAATGTCTGCTGCGAGATGCGTCATTCCAGCACGGATATATGGAAGTAGAAATGACGCATGGCCTTCAATATCAGCGGCTGGAAGTACTTTGAGTAGCTTCACCAATTGTGTGCGTACACCATTGCTGCCGTCCAGAACCAGTGGAACCAGAGATGGCAAAATCACACTGACAGGCTGAGGGAGAGGCGAATTAACTGGACGAGAAGAAATAGCTGTTGCCAAGTTTGCCAGTGCCTCTTTTCTTTGGGTATCTGATTTTGAATTTAATAGTGACAGGGAGTGAGAAAATTGAGCTGTGGCGGAAGGGGCAGTGGTAGAAAGAGATTGCTGGTTCAGAACAATGGCTATGATCCAATATTAAAAATTGACACGTTGCCATAGCCAAACTCCGGCATTTATACTTACATCTTGCTTTGAAGCTTGTATCTGTGAAGTTTGAAGCTTGAGGCCTGGCCTTGCCAACCTTTAATTTTGGTTTCTATGAATTGTTAGAAGTGGATGTCTAGAGGCGACAAACACGCATACCTGGAAGTCTTTCTTTTTTTCCTTCTTTCGCTTCTGGCTGGATCCCATACTGGCTTTAAAACTATCATATATTCGTCTAGCTAACCTCGAATTGCGGAAGGCGCAAAAAAACTTCAATATAATTTTCGTCAAATGTTGTGCTTAGTCATCATGCTACGAAGAGCTGTCATGAAAGGGATGTTTTGCCCGACCCAGAGATCTCAGAATCTAATATCTGGCAAAAGCTTGAGTGTCAGCTTCATACCGGATAGGAGCGCATTGTATTACTAAGTCCTGGATCACCTTGACGATTCGACAATGGCCGAAACTATATCTGTTTGTTGTGATAGTCCGCATCATCTGAGCTTGACCTTGCTAATGTTCTGCGACAGGCTTCCCAAATCCCCCAGCATGTCAGTGCACGGTTGTCGTACCTTACCTCACGTCCAGGAGTACAGTCTACTCTCATTCTATCGCGAAAAGATGGCTCTATCATCCAAGTTGCCGGCGAACTTGCCCCACGACCCACTCCTAATGGCCCAAACTTAGCAACCCCAGCATCGGATACAGAGGCGATATCTTCAGTTGGCTTAGAGCCACCGCAAGCTCCGCCACAATTGGAAGGGGAAGCAGCTACTTCGCAAAATGTCCCATACAAGCCCAGCCAGGCGGAGACCTTAGCTGCCCATATTTTCGCCTTTGTCTCCTCAGGGTCAGCGTTAAGCAGAGTGTTATCCAATCCATCCGCTAGAGACATAAACAAAGCTCCAGAGTATCCGAAGCAGACAATACCAGATAATGGACAGAAGGGTGATAGCACCGAGGAGTCTCAAGACAGCGCGAATAATACGGATTACGACGAAGACGATGAAGTTAAGTTACTGCGGTTAAGAACAAAAAGTCACGAAATAATCATCTATCCTGACCGCAACTTCCTCCTCTGCGTCGTACATGATGTTTCTGCCGGTGGGGGACCCGGAACAACACACCGCTGATTTCGGACTCGTGGAAAGAATCTACTTAAGATAGGGTGTTTTTTCAACTCCTGTCATTCTAAGACTATGCGGGGACTCAAACAATTCTCAATTTAGGATCGCGAATGAATGTCTTAAGGAACACGTTACGAATCGATGGATGATTTTTCTTGACCGAACTGGAAGTCGTATACAGGGCAATACTGCTTCGATGACATGGATGCCATGTTAAAAAGAGCATTTATTATATTGATGATCGTTCTACCAAATAGGCTCCAGGACCTATACACATCAATCTTTAAAGCCAAGGTCCCGAACAACCACCGAAGATGCGCTGTAGGGCAGGATTACTTCTGGCCTGCTTGACGTATCAGCGCTATACCTCTTATGTATCCAATTAAACCACCTACCCATTCCCATAGCCTTTGATGCAGAATCGGTTGCTTTGGTCGCAGACTCCTTAGCTTGGTTGACTGCTCCCTCGGCAGACTTCTTCATGCCCTCCGGGCCGGACTTCATCGTGTCGGAAAGTCTCTCCGCAGTATTTTTGGCATCGCCTACAGACTCGTGTTGATTCGTGTTAGTTCACGGTCTGCGGGCGACGGTATAATTGTACGCACCTGGCTGCTGGGCGCCTGGTCCTCCTTTGTCGGCCATATTGAGCGATTTGTAGATTTCCTGTGATTTGTTAGAGCGATTCAGCGTTTCCCCAGTGTCCGTACTGTGCGGATACCTGAGATGTTTTTAAGAGTGCTTTGCTTCAAGATGTTGTGGGTTGTAACGAAGTCTAGTGTTGCTCCCGCACCTCCGCATGGTTTATATAAGTCAACCGATGTCATTGACGTAAGTACTCCGTATCACAGCAACTCTGCCTTACCCCGCAAAAACCCGCAAGGCCACACGACACTGCGCCAGCGAACATGTGCTCTGTTACACTTTGCAAAACCGGCCTGGTGTGATGCAATACTGGTTTGTCGGTGGCGGGAATAGGGTACATTTGGAGAGCTTAGCAATTCATTACTTTCATAATTTCGTATGACCAGGACACAGAAAGGTACAATGTACGGAGTATAAAGCAACAACGCCATCGCCCAGACTCCTTTTAGCCTTCTTCACCACCTACATCCCCGCCATCAAGGTAGTCTTCTCGTTCTGCGGCTTCATATTCGCCAACCAAATCCATAACCACAGCCCTCGCCTCATCGAATTCGCCCAGTCCATCTGCAAAGGGCGCCTCTTTTTTGTATTGTTCCAAGAAGGCATTGCGTTTTCGTAACCTGTCATATTGACTTACGATTCTTTTGAAGAGAGTTGCCACTGACGTATGATTGGCAAGCATTAACCCACTTACACGATGTGTGTTTGAAAGATATGGCGATTTTTTGGGAATTGCAACTTGGATGCTTGCAGGGCCCCATGGAATGAAAGTGGCCAAGTGGCGTTCTCGAATGCGCAATAATGATTTATGCACATCTGTTTGGTCGGCTTCGCCTTGTATGATATTAAGAATGCTGATATAACAGCTTGATTTGCTTGGGTTTATCGAAACCATACGATTTTTGGGTTGGAGCAGTCTGCGCATCACGTCTAGAACAGTGGTCTTGCGAACAGTCTTGGCTTGCTCAACGATATCTCCAGTGAATGGAGTATACGATGTTATAAGGAAATGCGATCGGGGGATAGGAATAAGGGAGGCGATGACACTACCAAGGTCGTTGTGCATATAACCAGGGTAACGCAATGTTGTTGTAGAGGCCGACATGACGGTAGATACCTGCTTACTGTTAGAGATGCAGACATTAACCAATGGGAACTTAACTTACTAGTTGGTTAGTTTGCTGAAAAGAGGGTTCCTGTACATGGAGCCTATCAGCAGCGATTCTCGACAGGGCACCATTATCAAGTACGACCTATAAACAAAGTAAGCATTCGTATACCAATTACTCTAATTGAAACCTACCACAGAGTCAGCATTCTGGGTTAATCTTCTCATTGCCAGTAAACTGTTATAGGGGTTGACGACGACATCGGCGGCTTGGGTATCGGGAAAAACGGAATAGGTGTGTATTAATTTTTTCGGGAATCTGTCATTCATGCGCTCAAGGAGAAAGCTTCCAAGGCCAGACCCAGTTCCTCCAGCAATTGAATGTAAAAGCATAAACCCCTAATGCCAATGTTAGGAAGCGCGCTGGCTTTGGTATCGAATTCGTCACATACCTCTAATGAATCGCTTCCATCTGCTTCTCTATCAATCATATCAAATACCTCCTCGTGTACAGTCTCCCCGGTGGCATATCCCGCTGCCCAGTTATTCCCAGCACCAATTCCTTGTTTCCCTACGAAGAAGTTCTCCGGGTTATATATATTGCGATATGGACCAGTCTGTATTGCGTTGATAACCTGAAATCAAATAAGTTTAGATAGAGCACGCGTAAGTCTATGTCATTGATCGACTCATACCCTAGGCTCTAAATCCAGGAGAATAGCACGGGGGATATATCGAGTATCATCGCTCTAGTGGAAACCGCAAATTAGCATTTGAATGGACCCAAAGGGTCAAAACAGCTGAAATTATACCTGGTAGAAGAACACATCTTTGCGATCCCCTCCTTCTGTAGCGAACTCTTCTAGGTTTCCGTCTTGGTTTATTCCGTGCTCAAGGCATAGCTGCTGCCAAAACTGGGTTCCAACTGTAAAGGCACGAAATCAGCATGAAGAGCTCCACGACTCGCATATTATCACGTTGTCCAACGCTGCGACATAACCCGACACAGGTATTAAAGCCCTGAACTCCACTTGGGTGAGCTGTAAAGAGGCACGTACTGTTGTTGCCGCACTGGCCGGCTTGGATCGTTATTATCTCCCTGACACGTCGATATTAGCAGATATTCATGGGCATGGTTGATTTGAAGTGGCACTTTATCCATACCTGGGCATTTCTTTAACATTGCGGTGTGCTCTGTGTTGGAGTTCATGGAGACGCGTCGTGCCTGGATGAGAAGCATTTAGTGAACTTCGGGCAGTTCTTGGCATCGAACCCCTTCCTTACTCAAACTCTAAAAGCAGATCTTCACCATGGCAATTTTTCACGAGTATCACAGCTCTATTGGAACACATAACACGGCATCGAGAGAATATGGCATCATCTACTATCCCACTTCATGCCATAAAAAGTTGGCAAGGAGAAATTCTACCATACAGCCCAATCTTCCAAGTAATCGGCGTTGGATCAATGCTATAAGTATCCCATTCAAACTATGTGCCTCAATTTAAATAGGCTTGCATGCTTGTCAAAACTGGTGGCTGACAACATAGAAACCATTACAAAATACCTTTTCATTATGCCCCTCTTCTCGGATTTCCACATCCAGCAATCGAGTCTGACTGGAATCACGCTGGGATTGTTCTCCGACAATAAGGTCATGTGGCCCCAATTACAGGCACTCGTACGTCCTCAAGGGGTTTGGAGATCGCATACACAAGGCGAAGAGCCATAGAGAAGCCTTTTTGGTCGAGTCCTTTCTGAGAGGATATCTCAGTTAGGGTGGACATGGAGTGTGGTCAATTGAAAACTGGCTGGTGGAGAGAATGGGAGAGAATGCCAGTCAAAGCTCCATGTTAAAGAACAGCCAGAGGCTTGAAAGTCACGACAGGAATTGGGACCACTATTGCCGGGACTAATGATCCCATTGGGACCACTGCTGTTGGGGCTAGTGGTCCCCGTTGGGAATTCCCTATGGCCGGGGCAGTCCCGTCCCAGCTCTGCCCGTCCCAGTACCATCCCATTCTTGTCCCAACTTAGCACCGTTCACAAAATGGAGCTGGTCCGTTACCATCGGCATCACCGTCGCCTTCAGCTTCAACTTTTACCTATACTATATATGAGAAACTGAATTAATGAATACATCCTAAATTCGGATTTTGAGAATAGCCTCCTATCCAAATCAAATAATCATCTCTTTAAGTTCCTTGTAATATCCCTCTCAGCTGAGTAGTAGATCCATGAACTCGTCCGCAAGCAATCTAGGCTTTCTTCAACTCATGATAGTAGCAAAGAAAAGATACAGGTTAGATTTAAGATGGGTAGAGAAACAGCGAGTGAAACAGAAGATAGCTGGGGAGAGCAAAATGACAATAAAGACTTTGGCGGAAGCTTTATAGTGGATGGCTACTTCGTAATTTATAGATAATCATGAAGCGGTTGAAAATTTCTACTATAACTATTATCGAGTTATGGAGTAATAAGTAGTGATATACACTCTGTAGGCTATAACACGTACATCGCTTCCTCCCTGTAACCCCCTAAGCCACCAGCAAAGTCAGTCCCGAACAATTATTGAAATTATACTAATAGCTCCATTAAAGGCGAGACGAAAGCCATAGTCGCAACCCTTCGCCCTGTTGTGTTTGAGACCAGTCCCCGACCATCCTCTGAACGATAGGGGCGTCATGGGCCTCATTTTTACCAATGATAAAGGTGAGATCTGGCACCACGGGCTTCATTGCAAGAGAATCCGAGTCGTCAGTACGTTTTCATAGGATTTAAATAATAGGACCGGAAAAAAATAGGGGGGAAATACCTTGATTTTCTTCACAAACTCCTCAATACTAGAAAGTAGAATTTCGTCGGAGCCTGCCAATACAAGCAGACTGTTTGTTTTTAGGCCTTTCCACCATTCTGTCGGGGCGAGATATGGCTGGTTATAGTAATCTTTCGCCTGGCCGCCTAAGTAATTCAATCCCCATCTTGTAGTAAAATCTTCTCTCAGCATGTCTTTAGAAGCATTCGTCTTGACTGATGGAAAGTCATGCGAGAATGTGACCCATGGAGCCATTGTAAATGCACCCGCTAATGGAGTCGAGATCTCCAGTGGAGCGATAGCACTATGCGGGTGAGATATATGAGAAAGTACGGCCAATGTGAGATTACCACCTGCAGAGTCGCCGCCAATTATGATATTAGAAGGGCTGCGGCCCGTTGAAATAACATAGCGAAGGGCCTCCACGGCTTGTTTCATCTGCGTGGGATATACCGCATCAGGGCAGAGACTGTATGAGAGCACAAAAAAAGCAACATCTTTTCCTGAGGCGTTGAGTCCATCCAGTATTTCACGGAAAAATTGAAAGTGGGCCGGGTAAGCTGAGAGGGCAAAGCCACCGCCTATAGGAATACCAGTGAGTTTGATACTGTGGTAGAAAAGAATGAAGGGTAGTGTACCGTGAAAATATACGACTACATTCTTTGCATCCTTATTTCCAATCCAATGCCCTTGGCTACCGTCAACTAGGTCTACTGTTTGAGGAGTGAAGGCATTTGCTTTTGCGAAATCTTTATAAACGCTGCTAGTAGCGGGTTTTATCGCTCTTGGGTCTTTGTCAATGATCCACATAGAACTAATTCACAATATACAACGCGTGGCTGAGGATTAAAACATACTGATGTTGCCTTGGGGTCAGTCTCCACAGACTCTGGCGAAGCACAGCATAGCAGACGTGCTTCGGGTACGAACTTGCTCCCTCTTGGCCGCGAAAGATACCGGTGACAGCAGCTACAATTGCAGTAGCAGCGAGAGAAAGGCCCGCAGGTAAGAAGTCCAGCTTCTCGAGTAGGGTGAGCTGTGGGGAGTATATGTTCGCCATGCCCAGAAATCGTTCGAACTATCAGCAACGAAGAAGGATAACAAGGTCTCAAGCTAACGCAGGAGACACGATATTGGGTAATACACGCTTTGCACAAGCTAATACAAGAGCTAGATACTGCGTATCTCGTCAGATATGTACGGTAAAGAATTGAAGCCGATTTTGAAGAGCTTCGAGTGGCAGCAGCCTCTTCGCCAGCCTGAAATGTGACCGACACCACATAGGTTCTCCCCGCATTATACACGTCGGAACTATAGCCGCGGCCCACCAAAGCTTGTGAGCCGGCTAGGCTGCAGTTTAGTGGGGACAAGCGGCTTTGTGCCATTTCCCCGTCTTCCTTGTGACGATGAGGCGACGCCCATACTCCGTCCATTCAACTAGTTAACTGCCTAGTCAGTTAAGTCTGAGTTTACGGAGCAGATCAACCAGATTTCCAACCAGCCCAGGCCAGCTGTTAGAAAGAACGGAGTATAGAGCGAATATAACACGCAGAATATCAAATATCTGCCGACGAACAAGGGACTGATATCCGAAATGCGTACACCTGATTAATTCCAGCCAATCGGCGCGTGAGATCGTCAGATTGCACATGCTGAGGCAAACAGGGCAAACATAGGGCCCAGTGACTCAGCTATCGCATGCAGGGGAAGTACTCCGTACTCCGCATGTTCTATGAGAATACACAAGGGCCGCGAAGGATGATCATCCCTGGCACAATATAGTTACAGTCGCCTTGCTGTTTAGCTGTGTCAAAAACACTTTGTCCAGGGGTTCGTTGTCTCAGTTGTTCCAACACACGTCTAGGATGCTGAGTTAAGGGGGTCTGAGGACGTGCAGATCACCAGTATGTACTCCTTCTGTGAACTCCGTACTATTATTACCCGTGACTGGATACCATCCGTCGGACTAAATCATTCAACTCATAGCCAGTGGCATTCTACATGCATCGTTATTATGAATGGTCAAACAAAATAACCCTCTAAGCAGCCGTCTTGTTCCCTTCTTCCAAATGAATTTCGCAAAAAGCTTTAAAGGTCGTAAAAGGGGCATCGTCTCCTGCAACCCCGGTATTTTCTAGGACACATTCCGCAGTGGCCCCAACAAAAAAGACGTGCCCAGCCTTGACTTCTTCGCTTTTGGAATCTCCGATGCTAATGCGGCCACTGCCACTGGTGCAAATGATAATGCTTGGCCCGCTAATAGGCTCAAAGGTAGCCTTTGCGCCCGCGCGGTTTAAATCCGTCTTCACCACACTGAACTCCTCGATTGGGGGATCATAGAGCAGAGACGAAGAGCTACTAGTGTATGAGGTGGTATTTAGCGTCACATATGGGTAATCGGTGGGGTGCATTTTTTGTTCCTCGATTGGCGCATACGAATACGTGAGCATGCTGGTGAGAGTGGATACATCTTTAAATTTTGGGGTGAAGCCTGCTCGCACAACATTGTCAGAAGATGCCATGCATTCAATAATATCGCCACTGATATATGCGTGAATATCATCGGCCTTCAGAAACATGGCTTCACCAGGGTTCAGCTTGATGAAATTGAGAAAGAAAAGAACAAAGAGCCCAATGTCATTGGGAAATTGCCCATTGAGTCGAACAACAAGCGCTGCCAGCTCAGGGGGATTGCTGGGGTTTGTGGCTGGTGAACGTTCAGAAACAGCAAAGGTGTCAGGTGAATCCTTTGCGATTTTGACAAGCTTTTCACTGGCATGTTTGATGGATTCTGGAGATGACTGCATTAGTGTCGTGAAAAGGACACGCAATGCGGCCCTATTTTTTTCATTCGCAGCAGAATCTCCGGTATTAATAACTTTTGCAAAATCTTCAGCAGCTTTCTCACCCACCAATTGGCGCAGGGGCTCAATGGTTTGGAGAAAATGCACAATTTCAGCCAAGGGACGGAAACCGCACAGCCCCTCGAAAGGGGTGATGGCAATAGTCATTTCGGGTTTATGGTTGTCATCTAAGCAAAATATATCAGCACTATAGCAAGTAGAACGCAAATGGCATATTTTAGAATATAAAACGTACCTGGATAGTTTTTGGGGTCTCTCTGATGGAGTATTTCGGCAAGCCTCTTATTAGGGTGCGCTTGGATACTAAGAGCTTTCCCAATGGAGAGAACCTTAAATAAAAACGGGAGCTTTCCATTGTATTTCTCATAGATCTCAGGGCCTAGCAAGGCTTGGTTTGCCTGGACAAGGTCGGAGAGGGTTCGATCGGTCTCGATGTCTTTAGAAGGGAGGGAAGGATGAGTGCCCATCCACAACTAATACCGGTATGAATCAGTACATAGTAGTGAGAACAAAGAACAGGAATTGTGTACATACCTCTGCATAGGGCTTGTCATTCTGGACAGAGAAACCGGCGGGGGGAGTGGCCGCAGCGTACTTCGCCGCCGCAGATTCGGATCCAAGTTTCCCTATCCAAGCAAATCAGAGACCAGCTCAGCTAGACAAAGGCGCGTAGCCACATACCCCAATCGTAACTATTGACACCTACAATGCAAGAATGACTGTGAGCTTTTGTTGACATCTCTGACAGACACTTGGGCTCACATACCGCACTGCAGCTTGAAGAGTGGCACCTGCATTTTGAGCACTGGTTCTGAGCAACAGCAATGACAATCCAAGAAGAAACAAACACAACAGTCTTGATTGCTATCCCAATGCTTCTGTGTTGTGTGTGCCCTGTTTGACCAGCAGCTTCACCCCGCCAGACCTGTTTCGCCTCTGCAATTCACGTGCCTCAGCAACGTCCCAAGATGGCCAATCATGACGAAGATGACGCCGAGCCGCGATCGGGCCGTGCGCTAGCCATGGCGTCCCGGGAAAGGCGGCGTCATCAGGACGTCACTCAAGAGCCGCCGACATCCGCAAGCGCAGCAATACCGGCGGTCGCGCAGAAGAAAACCCAAAACGTGTACTGGGGCTACAATGTTGGCGAAAAAGCCGCCGCTAATCCCGCTGTAAAAGTCTCGCCGATACAACCTCTAGACTCCACTCCACGCAAGCTCTGCACTCGCAGCAAGGTGCCCATTCTGTACTTTGACGAAACCCAAGGCGAGTGGGAAGAACTGAAGATCAAGGCCGAAAAAATGTCGCGGAATCGACCACGGGGCGGCGCTAGGGATAATGGCCAGGCCGCCAACGAAGAAATCGAAATGTGGAACCGGATTCGCGCCGATCTGGCAAAGGCAAAGGAAAAGAACGACCGGCAAAAAGTCCTAAGCGGCTTGATTTCTTATCAAAACGAGCAGATTGCGAAGAATGGGAGCAGTATGTTACAATCTCCCTAAGATCACCCCTTGGATTTCACCATTTTCAATGAGTTTTCATTCTGAATCGAGTTCCTACCCAGCGTGCACCTTTCATTTATTTCATGTTTTGCCCTACAACATTGTCGGAGTATATTTCATAATATAATACATGCTAATGCTGCATATTAGAACCGAGTATTGAGGAAATTGACCAGCTTGACAAATGGCACCGCGAGTTGATGAAACTTGCGGAGGAAGAAAACGACATCCTGCGAAATGAGCCCGCAGATGTGATCAAGAATGTAGAAATTCTCATGGCCCTGCGCTCCGCCAGTGAATCCGATCCACATGGCCGCTCTGCGGCGGCCAAACCTCGTAAGAGGAGACCTGATATTGACGGTGGGGCTGCGGACTCTCCCGGCCCCAATGCTGCTACCGTGACGGACAAAATGAACCGTCTAAAATGCAGCGGTCAGCGGAGCACCAGCGTATCCAGTGCCCAGACTCGTGAATCTACGAAAGTTGAAGAAGGATCTGAAGGTGTCAAAAGTTTCAAGGGGACCGCCCCTGGCAAGAGCGGACAGCTCTACGTCGGTGCTGAAGTGGTTTTTAAACAAAATAAGAAACAGCATGGAACCGAAGGTGAAGGTATTCAGTGCATTATTAAAAATATCACCGGAGATGGACACAAGAAGCGGTGAGACTGAGCCCCCTCTTTCATATAATAGGATAAGCCTAACATCCTTATAGCTATGATGTACAAGACCCAGAACCAAATGAGAAAGGCGAGCAGGGCGCTGTGTATCGCACTACGGCCGCATGTCTCATTCCCATCCCAGAAATCGAAGCACCTCTCCCTGTATTTGCGCCCGGAAGGCAGGTGCTGGCTAGATATCCCGATACAACCACCTTTTATCGAGCCGAAGTCATGGGTGCTAAAAAGGACGTATATCGATTAAAATTCGAGGGCGAGGATGACGATAAGGAAATGGACGTCGATCGCCGTTTCGTCCTAGACATTTCTGGCAAATAGTAGGACGACTATCGATGCTTTGCATAGCGACTACATTATGGCGAGATTTTAACTGGCTTAGCTCTGGCGCTCAAGTTTCTTAGAGATTGGACCCAAGTTAGCATTACCAGGCGTACGGATTAGGCAGGGGATTTTCAGGCATGCTGTTTCAGTATTTTGAACCTTTTGGATTGAGCTTTCGTTTACTCCACGTTGTAGTATACTGGGACTATATTCTTGCACTAATTATTGCTCTTTTTATATTACTGCCTACTATTCGTCAGCATTAGCGCACTGACTCGTCCCTGCAGTATAATCACCTCCCCTGTCTTATTCGTGAAATCAACGATGTGATGTGGAGCCGCCGTCGTGCTGATAACAAATCTCCGCCCGATTACTCAGCTTCCGGCCGAGGCTCTTTTGCCGCACCGAGTCAAATCTCACAAGACAATCAGGGCTTGATCATATGCCATAGAGACCACGTCTTTTGTTTGTCACACCTGGGATACCTTCAATAGTCGGATTGTTCTGTTAATTGCTCTTTTGATGACGCGACCGAGATGCCCGATTTCCCCTCCCATGCTTCTCCATATCTCGCCCCGCAGCCGGTCCACGGGAAACGGCCATTCACAGAATATTCGCTAGCAGACGGCTCTCCCGCCTCCGGCAGCGATTCGAACACCACTACCGTTCCTAGAAGTACCAATCCTGCCGGCGACAGCGAAATCTCCAGCTGCAATGGCTCCGACGCAGCGCCGACGCCGGCTCTACCCAAATCCATCATCTCTCCCGTTCCGACGCCGCCCTTGACCCCCGGCGGCATCCCTCCCTCTCTCCTCTCACCACACCCGGGCTCGAAAGACCGCGGCGCGGCGCTCAGCAAGCCCCCGAGATTACTGCCCCGCTTACCGCACGTCGAGTGCATCGTGCGCGCGCGCATCCCTACGACGGGCGGGTCGGAGATGTTTCTACACCTGTTTCAGAACGACGTGGATAGCAAGGAGCACCTGGCGATTGTTTTTGGAAATACCATACGCAGCCGGAGTCTTGACAGGGTACGGGAAGGGGAGACGGAGATGGACCGCATGATTCGCGGCGCATATGTGGGGAGACTACGGCCGGGCAGGATTAGTAGCCGGGTCGACGAAGGCGAGGGGCAGACGACGGCTGCTGCCGGCGCTGAATCTTCGTCTTCTTCGGAGGCTCCTTTTCCAGAATCGAGTCCTGATGAGATACCATCAGACGAGAGCGCGGGCGATGAGCAGGCTGCGGCTCCGCTCGTCCGAATACACTCAGAATGCTACACCGGCGAGACGGCGTGGTCGGCGCGCTGCGACTGCGGCGAGCAGCTCGACGAGGCAGCGCGGCTGATGTCCGACCCGTCCTCCACCGGCGGCGTCATTATATACCTGCGTCAAGAGGGCCGAGGGATCGGCCTGGGCGAGAAGCTCAAAGCATACAATCTACAAGACTTGGGCTCGGATACCGTGGAAGCCAACCTACTCCTTCGGCATCCTGCGGACGCGCGCAGCTACGGACTGGCCACCGCAATGCTTGTCGATCTGGGGCTGGGCGCTGGGTCGGGGAACGGGGGGATCCGGCTGCTGACGAATAATCCGGACAAGATCGCGGCGGTGGAGGGGCCGAATAAGGAAGTGGTGGTGAAGGAGAGAGTCGCGATGGTTCCCCTGGCCTGGAGGACGAATGGGGCGGAAGGGATTCGGAGTACTGAGATAGAGGGTTATTTAAAAACAAAGGTGAGTTATATGTGCCCCCTGTATTGCACTATTGGCTAAAGTTTGCTCTAGATTGGAAAAATGGGTCACTTACTGGGCTGATTTTCCACGCATAAAATTTATCAACTTGGACATGATGATGGTGATGGTTTTATACGTGCAGCGTTCTTGTTACCATAATTTAGTTGTAGTATTTAGATCATTTCTGTTTAACATGCATCTGGGAGCTTTATGTGACAGTATATATGCAGTTCAAAGACATCGACGGGCAATGATAGGTTCTATATCATACATCCGACAGCGAAAACCGCGCAAGGCCTTACTTACTCCTTCCGCCCACGGGAATAGAACAATTGTTTTTCCTCGCCCAAGTGCGCAAACTCGCGGGGAATTTTGGTAATCTCTTTATGCAAAACGTATTCCACATCCTTGCACCCCGCAGAGGCGAGAAGGTTCTCCATTGTCGCTTTGCTAAAGCCATGGTGAGTAATAGTATGGGCGGCAGGAGCACTAGCGGCGATCCATTGCTGGCCGTCCTTCGCGGCATCAAAATCGATCACCACCAGCGTGCCGCCCGGGCGCAGGCGTTCCACAAGTCGATTGACTGCGCGCTGCGGGTCCTCAATGTGATGCAGCGCCATGGACGTGATGATCAGATCGAAGTTGGCGAGGTCTTTGTTCTGGATCAGCGAGGCGTCGGGCTGCGCTGCAGCGAGATCGCCCACGACGGCGCGCATCTGCGACTCGGGTATGCCGGCTTCGCGGGCGCGGCGGTTGTATTTGTTGACCATGCCTTCGGCCAGGTCCACGCCGATGATTTCCGAGAAGTACGGGCGGAGAGCCTAAACGAATAAGAAAGCGCATCGGCGTATTAGTCACCACACTCGCCACGAAGATGGTTAAGAGAAATAATAATGAATAATATACATGAGACAAAAACCCGTCTCCGCAGGCAAAGTCAAGCATTCTCTTCGGCTCGGTGGTCTGGGCATCAATGCCTATCCACGGAAGATTTTCCTTCAGGTGCTCCTCGATCTGCCGCATGACGGAGCGAATCCAGTCATGATCGAAGGCGGTCTCTGCGTTTTCACTGTGTAGCCAGACGTCGCGTGGCGGTTAGCCTAGACTAGTTACATGTGCAACAGCGTATGGATCCTGGCATTGGGGTTGGAATACCTCCAATAATCCTTATTCGCAGCGGCATGGCCTTGGCCGTGGGCATGGTGGGCATGGTGGTGCTGGTGGTGAGCGTGGTGGGGGTGATCAGCCATGAACGTTAGAGCTTCTCAGAGACCGTATCTCCGTGGAGAATGTTGGTTGAGAGCGCAGGTCAGTTTGACGGGCCGGCAGGCGGTACTTATAGCCCACAGCCCCGCGGCGTTGCCCCTCGTTGTCTCTGGAAACGATTGCGCGGGCGGCAACATCTGCGGCGACTTTACGGAGACATTTGGCTGCGTTTGCACCTTTGGGGGGTGGCTGACTAACCCGGCTCGCCTGAAGGCTGAGTCAGCAAGGCTCCGGGCCAATCCGCGCGCCGGGCCGGCGGTAGCGCCGTACACGCGGTCCTCCGCTCGGGCACTGACGGATGTTCCGCGTGGCAGGCTGACTCGCTGGCGGACGACGAACGGGCAGCACGCGTGACGGTGGTCGTCGGGCGCCTTGGCAACCCCAGGTGAGCGGAGTTCCGCCCCCGGGGCGGAGGGCCCACTGCCGGCGTGCATGATCCGATAACAGCCGCATGCATCTGGCTCCTTTGCTCCCCTCCCCCGTCAGGAGTCCAGCGGCACAGGCAAGAGAAGGTGCTCGAACCTGAGCTAAATAACAATAATATATGCGTCCTTCTGGGCAGACGCCGCTAGCTCCTGGCGCGGGGCTAACGACTGGGGGCGCTGGATCAACTGCCGCCTGAGCTCCAGGCCTCAGTGTAACGCGAGTAGGGAACATGTCAGAGGGCGAAACAGTGCCCACCGGCCGGGATGGTGGCAGCAAAACCGGGAAGTTGTTGGCGGCCGGGGGGGGAGGGGCGTGCTAGGCTAGGCTGGAGCCAAACAAAAATAACCCGCAGAGTTCTCGCCGGGGCACGACTGGCAGCGGGGAGCCTTAGTCAGGACATGGGGTGTTCCTGGGAATCCTGCGGGAGGGTACAAGTCAGCACCGAAGGATTGATGGGCGCGGTGGCCCAGCGCTTGGCCGGCTGCGCGCCCATGCTCAGGGGGGCGGCGCGATCGGCCGCCCAGCGCGGTTCTTCAGCGCAGGGCCGCCAAGCCGCCTTGCCCCATCGGGCGCGCGCCTAGCCCGAAGCGGCCGCGCGCTAACCGCCGCCAGCCTAGCGCCGCCGCTTTGGGACCAGCGCGCCCGAAGCGGCTACCGCGCCGTGGCGGCCCAACCGGCGCGCGGCCAATCAACGCGCGAATCCGCCAGCCCGCCCACTGGCACGGCCGCCCTGTCCGCAACGGCCGCCCGTCGCTGTTGTTGGGTGCTCTGACGCTTCTGGTGCTGCGCTGCTGCTGCTACTGCGCTGCTTTTGATGCTCGTGCTGCCGCCCGCTGCTCCCCCCTCCCCTCCCGCCGTGCAGAGCCAGATCTGCCCTGCCGTTCGCACCCCCACGCGCGGTTAGCCCGCGCCCCACTGAGTCCACGCAACTGCCCGTCACCCTTTTCCGCACCGCTCCCAGGCCTCCTCGTTGTCGACGACGCCACGCCTACATAACGGCTGCCTCAGTCTCGCGCGCTCGCCGCTGTCCTGGCTGCTCCGCCCCTCCGTCCACTCGCTCGCCATGATGGACCTCTCGCCGCACACCTCCAGCGCGGCCTCCCGCAGCCAGACGCCCTCGCACGCCTACAGCCTTCCGCCCGCCCATCCGCGCTCCATCGACCTGCCCACCGCCACCGACTCGCTGTCCAATGGCTCGCTCGCCGCCGGCAAGAAGCGCAAGGCCACCGGCCCCTCGCGCGGCGTCGCCAACCTCACGCCCGAGCAGCTCGCGAAGAAACGGGCCAACGACCGCGAGGCTCAGCGCGCCATCCGCAAGCGCACCAAGGCCCAGATCGAAGCCCTCGAGCGCCAGGTGCAGGAACTGACCTCGCAGCAGCCCTACCAGGACCTCCAGGAGGCTCTACGCCAGAAACAGGCCGTCCAGGCCGAAAACGAGGAGATTCGCCGCCGCCTGGGCTCCGTCATGGCCATCCTGCATCCCATCCTGAACTCCGGTAGTTTGCTGAACGGGAACGGCAGCATCACGCTGAACGGCACCGCCGCTAGCTCTGCTGCTGCTGCTGCGGCTGCCGCCGCTGCCATCGGCTCGCGCCCGCCGCCTGATCCGCTGGGGGTGTGGGCGTCGAGCCTTGAGTCGGATATGCCGTCGCCGCCCGCCGGCCCGCTCTCCGACACGTCGTCGCAGCGGCGCAGCTCGCTCTCGCTCGAGCAAACCGTCAGAACCCCCGTGAGCCTCGAATCGTACGCCGGCTCGCCGCAGGGCATGCACAGCCCGTCGCCGTCGCTGTCGGGCCCAATCAACAGCTATCGACAGAATTGGCCGTCTCAGGTCAACGACAACGGCCTCTCCGCCTGCAACCCCTTCGACTTCCAAAAACGAAACCTCGTTCACGGCCTGGAGTTTTCTGGCTCTGGCGAGAGACTGGGCTTGAATTTCTTGCTGGATTCTTCTCGGCAGGTCCCGAAGATTAATGAGCTCCGCCTCCATGCGGCGTCGCCGTCCCAGGAGGTCCAGCACCGTTATCAGAACCATCTACAGATGCAGATACCCCCAAATCTATTTGATACGTCGCTTCCACCGTTTGTCATCCCAGTGCGAAACGTCGAACCTACTTGCCCTCTAGACAGCATTCTTCTTAATTTTCTCCGTGGCCGCCAGCGACAAGCTGCTGAAGGCGTGTCCAAAGGCCAGCTTGTCGGCCCCCCCTATCCAAGCGTCTCCTCCCTCCTGAACCCCGAGAAAAGCGACATGTCCCACCCCCTCTCCAAGGTGTTCACGGACATCATCAGCAAATTCCCCGACATTAGAGATCTCCCAGAAAAAGTTGCCGTCGTTTACGTTATGTTCCTTCTCATGCGCTGGCAGATCTACCCGACGAGAGAAAATTACGATCGCCTCCCCGAGTGGATTACGCCGCGCGTTTCGCAGCTTGTTACTCCCCATCCCGCCTGGATGGACTACCTTCCTTGGCCACGCATGCGCGACCGTATGGTGGCTTCCTACGCCGACTACGACTTCGGCAATTGGTTTATTCCCTACACCACGACCCTGAGCATCAACTGGCCCTACGCCGATTCGGACTGCTTGCTGGCTATCCCCAACTCAGAGGAATATGTCATCAACCCGGTCTTCGAGAGCCATCTCCGAAATCTAAATAACTGGTCCCTTGGGCCAGCCTTTGCGAAACATTACCCCGGTTTGGTCGACACTTGCCGTGTGAAGACTGACCCGTGGGACACTGCTACCAATGGCGCATAAAGTCAATCTTTTGTGGTGCATCTTGCCCATTCTCTCGAGCGTTTCCTATGTATCTTGTGCGGCGTTGATTTGATTATAATAGCGGGAAAGGGGTTGGTGAGGGGTGCTTTCGGATACATCCTGTTTACTTCCTATTACCCACGGGCTCTGAAAATTCCTATTTTCGCCCACAGTTTTTTTTTTTCTATAAAATATTCTTCTATGTATGCTAGATAAGGTGTCTATTTGTTGACATACCTTTTCCTCAAGGAATAAAACTGTTCAAGCGTCAATACTACCTGTCTTAACAAAGTAGCTGCCTGTTGCCTAGTTTCTTTGCATCTTGTGGTCTTTGAGACCATTATTTGCGTTGAGGTCAGGCATATCAGCCTAAGCCTCATCGGGCGACGCATCATCATCGCTTCAACTCGCAGGTACCAAGACAGCAACAGAGCAGACGAGCTGCTTTCGACGCCCAATTTACTCGCTATCTCCTCCCTCTAACTCCTATTCAATCACATTAAAGAAACCCCATAAATCCTCTGCAAAATGGCGTCGGATCCCCCAATTGGTACCGCGCCCCTCACCTCTCCAATGTTGACTTGCTGTTGACTGATGCTTGCTTGAATCGCAGTTCTCGATGGCGGAACGGGGTTTTTAAAAGTCGGATATGCAGGCCAGGCATGTTTGCATTGCATATCGAACAGGATCTACTTCGGCAAGCTAATGTCCAACGCAATTCCCAGAACTTCCCAGAGCACCAGTTCCCATCGATAGTGGGGCGGCCTATCCTACGATCGGAAGAGCAGGCTGGCGACATCGTTGTTAAGGATATCATGTGCGGTGATGAAGCTGCTGCTGCGAGGTCGATGTTACAGATTAGTTATCCCGTACGCAACGCAGAAACCAACCCCTCTACTGCCTCTGGTGGGAATGCCTGACGTATATCTTTAGATGGAGAACGGAATCGTGCGAAACTGGGACGATATGCAGCATCTATGGAATTACACGTTTTATGAAAAGATGAAGATCGATCCGACCGGCCGCAAGATCATGCTCACTGAGCCGCCGATGAACCCGCTGAAAAATCGCGAGCAGATGTGCGAGGTGATGCTCGAGGGATATAATTTCGGCGGAGTCTATGTTGCCATCCAGGCTGTGCTGGCGCTTTACGCACAAGGTATCATGATCTGGGCGTTTGGGACTGGAATTTCCTGGCCGCTTACACACATGCGCTCCGCACAGGTCTGAGCAGTGGCGTGGTCGTCGACTCCGGCGACGGCGTCACGCACATCGTGCCCGTCTACGAATCCACCGTCCTAAACCACCTCACCCGCCGCCTCGACGTCGCCGGCCGAGACGTCACCCGCAATCTCATCGCCCTCCTCCTCCGCCGCGGGTACGCCCTCAACCGTACGGCTGACTTCGAAACGGTCCGCCAAATCAAAGAGAAACTTTGCTACGTCTCCTACGGCCTGGAGCTTGATCAGCGGCTGTCCGAAGACACTACCGTCCTAGTGGAATCCTACACGCTCCCGGACGGCCGGGTGATTCGCGTGGGCAGCGAGCGGTTCGAGGCTCCGGAGTGTCTATTCCAACCCCACCTGGTCGACGTGGAACAGCCGGGCATTGCCGAATTTTTGTTCAACACGATCCAAGCGGCGGATGTCGATGTTCGGAGTAGCTTGTACAAGGCCATCGTGCTGAGCGGCGGAAGCAGCATGTACCCCGGTCTCCCGTCGCGGCTGGAGAAGGAATTAAAGCAGCTGTGGTTGACGCGAGTGCTGGGTGGAAATCCGGAGAGGTTGAATGTGAGGAGTCTGGCGATTCCTACTTTTTGTATCGACTCCACTAATTATAAAATCCCTTCACCCAAACAGAAATTCAAAGTGCGCATCGAAGATCCTCCTCGAAGACGGCATATGGTCTTTTTGGGCGGGGCTGTGCTAGCTAATTTGGTGAGCAATACCCCTGAATCCATTCACATCCCCGTCTTGGTCGATCCCATCTAATGCACTTTCTCCAGCTGGCCGATAAAGATAACATGTGGATATCCAAGCAAGAGTGGCAAGAGCAAGGACCTCGAGTTCTTTCGAAACTGGGTCCAAGATAAATATCGCGCAAAAGCATATATATTGACTCCTACAATATACAAGATGTCCGTCCTCCCAAGTATTTTGCAATTGGGTCCATTCTATGTCTCCACCACCGCCTGAACGTCGACGGGCGGCATGATCTATCGATATAGCCGTATCCTCCCCTGTAAAATCGCCAGAACATAACCAAATATATGTCCGTACTCCATAGAAGTCGAGAAAGAATAGCCGCCCAAGTCATTCTCAGCTCCTAACAATCAAGGAGCTGATGCACAAGGTAACAAAAAGGAAATGACAAAACCATATTAAAAGGTTATGCAGTAGACACGAAAATAAGGAGAATCGAAAGTGTAAATGTATGTACTTTTCGTCAAAAGCAAAGGGAAAATGCGAGTAAGATCTTCCTCACTCGTCACTGTCTGTATCTGATCCTTCTTCCTCTAATCTACGTCTTCGTTCTTCATCCAACTCCCTGTATGTACTCCAACTCAACAACAAGAAAGCGATGATGATGAGGATCCCGCCTGTTATCGAAGCACCGCTAATTTGTTTGTTGTTTAATTTCCAATCGACCAGGGCAACGATGAAGATGGTCAGGAGAGCCGCAACGGACGAAAGGACAGGCGACGTAAGCGAAATAAGAACGAGAAAAGAACCGGAGAAAGCTGAGGGAAGAGAAATTCTGGTTAGTTATCATACATTATACAAGACCGCGACGGGGATAATTGGGTGATAAAAAAACATACTAGCATTTGAAAGTGTTGAAACGAATAGCAGCCATTTGGCTTGACCCTGCGGCCATTCAAATTTCTCCCATCCCAGCATGTGGAGCAGCGGCAATGGAATCCAAAGGACCAGGAGGGTGAAAGCACCGATAAGACTGCCAAATGTATTTGCAAAAATGACTCCACGACCAGGGCTTGTACCTTCCGGAGGACAAGCGAATCTTTTGTACAACACCTCGTAAAGACCGTATAGCACGCTTCCTGCACCAATAATAAGATTCCCTAGAGTGCGATTTGAAGCCTTTTCGGCTTCTGATTCGGACGGAGCGCCGCTAGGGTGACCACCACCATACGCGACGATGACGACACCAATGATGGCAATTCCGACAGAAAAGACTTTATCGAATCGCAGTTTATCGTTCAGTAGGGGAATCGAAAATGCATACGCAAAGAACGCAGAGCAATTGTAAATGGCAGTCAAGTCGCTGCCTGTCGTCAAATTGACCGCGACATACCAAGAGCCTCCAGCGATTGTAAGGGCGCTGGTGACAAATGCGGTCGTTTTTATTATATACGCGATCGGGGACTTGTGGGACTCGCGGGCGCTTAAATGGAGGTCTTGAGACTCTACCATTTGGGCAGTAGTTCGCAGGAGGTAGACATGCCGGCGCCAGAATGCGGCCCAGGACATATGTCGCTTTTGGATTCGGAGAATCAGGAGTTGGACAGGCCATAGGCACACCCACGAGCCGTGTGTCATATAGCTATTTATACATTAAAATTAACAATACTATTCAGAAGCATAGGATAAAGGGGGAAGAAAGCCTTTCACGGCGTCTGTAAGGACTCACAGCATGCAATATGGTTTATCCCATCCCAACACTTGCTGAATATAGACAGCAGTCTGCGTTTGCACGGTGAAACTGATCAAACTTAGGACGAGAAAGAAAGAGGCAATGATGTATTTGCGACGGGTGGCTCGCGTGGCATCATAGTCTGGTGTTTTGCTCCGAAAAGAAGATCTCCTGCTGGCACCAGAGACACCTCTGCCGTCCGCCGACCCAGCAAACGTCGCACTCTCTTGTCTGCCACGGCGGTCTTCCTTCAGCAACGGCACGTTACTCTGGCTTTCTACCGGTCCGTGAAGCGATGGGCGTTCAATCGTCATGTCTTCATCAGTTAATTCGTCTTCCGAGTCCCTGTCCAAGTCCCTTCCTTGAGTTGTGTGCGACAAAAAAGTGGATGGGGCGTCGGGTGGGCGATTGCTGTCAAATTCGACGTGTTTCACCGGCGCAGCCTTTGACGATGACGGCAAGACAGAAGGTTCTTGTTGGTCTGAAATACGCCCCTGATACAAAGATGAACCCTCTTCCAAAGCCACCCGACTCGCCTGTTGTTCTTCGTATCTCTTAACAATATTACTGGGGGATTCGGGAACAGGCTTCATCCATACGGGAGCCAAGTTAAGGCTGCAGCGTATGGCTAATCACCTGCTCGCTATAAAAAAAGCCGTAGCGGCATTCAATCCTCAAATGACAATCGTACACGCATTTGGCGCCCGATGCGAAAAAGAATGTCGGTCTGGGCCGTGTTCGATAAGGTGTGTAGATAATTTGGGTGGACTAGCTTCGGATAGGGCGTTACAACTCTGGTTGGAAAGGGAGCGAAAGAGAACCTCAACAAGGCCGAGGGTCATCGAACCAAATGTACAGCCAAATTCGCATGAAGCCGTGAATCGCGAATCGCCATCGACTCGGCAATGGCGTTGGCCTGCAAGGGGGAAACGAGACATTATGTCACAGACCCGCTTACTTAATCCATCCAATCGTGTCGGGATGTTTCGATTAGTCAGCTAGTTGAGGATAAGCTTGGCAGATTATATAAGACATTCAACGGCGCTTCTATCGGACGACACAGGAGCACGTGATGATCATGTGACTGAGCGTCTATAATATTGCGTCTGGTCTTGCTCCTAATGAACAAGACACAGATACTTATAGATGAACATGCTATAATCAAGGCTATGGGAAAAACATATGAAAAACCCCTAGCAAACCTCTGCCAGCTCAATAGACAAAGATAATGAAATTGATACTGTGGTCAAGAGAAGAAGATGATGAATCTATGATTCTCTGATTTCTTCTTTGAAGATCTGATCATCTGACAAGTCATCTGACTTCTGCTTAACACACTTTTATAGCTTTGACAGTGACATAGACAGTGAATCTCTCTCTATTAAATAATCAATATTCACAAGTCTCAATTACTTAATGAATTTTTTAAATTTCTGTCTAGATAAGATCTTTGTTAAGCCATCTGCAGACATATTATTACTTTCAATTCAGATAATATTTAATTTCTTATTAGTAACTGCTTTCTGTAATCAGTGGTGATGAATATCAACATAATGAAGCTTGATAATTAGTTGCAGAGCTGCTGAAATCAGTAACCATATCATTTATAAATTATCACATAAAATATCAAAATCTCTTCCTAATTTCAACATAATATTCTTAAATAAGTGTTTCCACCACATGATCTCTTTTGCTGTATAGAATAGTGCTAAAAGCTCAGCTTCTGTTGAAGACATTGTAATGATCTTTTGTCTGAAGAATTTCCAATCAATCAAGTTTTCAAAGAGCTTGAATATGGAGCTCTGAAAGAAGTGTCTAGAGCCCAAATTGTCTGCAAAAGAAAAATCACTGATGATTATTAAATGAGTGTTTATGACATTGTTATTATCACTCTGAGTATTCAACTCCTCCTCAGCACAGAATTCAAGAGCATAATACTTTGTTGAAAAAGCATATGAGATAACTCTCTCAATTGCTGTATGATGTTCTGGTCCTGGGTTAATCAAAGCCTCACTTAATTTTGCAGTAGCAAACAAAATATCAGACTGTGTTACAATAGCAGTGTAGAGAGCTGAACCAATCTTTTGTTGATAGACATGTATTTGTTGCTTATCTTGCACCTCTGTATAAGAAGCTATATCTGCAGTTATCATTGATGTATGTGATGGCTTCAACTCTGTAAGATTGAACTTATTAGCAATCTTCTCAATATAACTATTCTGACACAGCCAAAGCTTCTAAGCATCTCTATTGTGTAAGACACAGATATCTAGAAATCATTCTAGCTCTTCAATCTCTCAAAGCTCATAACATGTTCATAGATTCTTCAATAACTGCTCAAATGTTTCAACATTCTTTCTGTGATATAAAAATACTATGTCATTCATGTAAAAGAAGATAATAATATTCTTATCAACAAATAGACATAGTTCTTCACAAATCTGATGAAATTTTAGTTTCTGAAGTGTTGAAGTGAGGTCTTTGTATCAGAGTCATGAAGATTTGAGATGACTGTATAAGACATGTAGAATCTTTCAAACACTTCTTTTCTTATCATAATTCTCTGCTGGTCTGCAATAAACAGATTTATCAAATGAAGCATTAATGAACACATTAACAGCATCAATCTGAAAGATCTCCATTTCAAAATAAGTTATTATAGTCATTAAAAGATGAAATATTCACACAGCAAGAGTAGTGATATAGATGTCATGTTTATTATTGATATTCAGATCTCTGTGAAAAACAAGTCTTGCCTTATAACATTCCAAAAAACCATTAACATCAAATTTGTACATATAAATTCACATTAAAGAGATTGAACATATTTCTTCCAAGCTCTCTACTTCTTTAAAGCATTTCTTCATTCATAGCTTCTCCATTTCCACATCCATTGCAGTCTTAAAGTCACCAGCATGCAGATGTTGCAACATTGAAAAATAATGCTTTGAAGACTTCAGAAGATTCTCTCTGTGAAGTTTAAAATTTATAATTGTAAAAACTGTTAAATAGTCTCTATAAAAAGAATTCAAATGTGCTGTTTGCTGCAGAATCACTGTATAAGCTGTTTGCCTGTCAATTTGATCTGTGTTTTGGTGCTTTATTCTAGCACTTTGCCTAGAAGGTTGCTCTGTGCTTGAGCTTGTGCTGACTGAGTCATTCATCACTTTCATGACAAAATGATTGACTGTCAAAATCCCATCATTAGTGCTCACCATCTCTGTGGCAGAATGATTGACTATTAATTGTCCATCATTTGTGCTCACCACCTCCATAGAGCTAGCAGCAGAAAGTGTAGTAGATGTTATATCTTCAGACAGCTCAACTACAACACCACTCACTGTCTTCATAGCTTTCACAGTAGAATGATTGACTGTCAATGAAAGTTGATCCAGCATCTCTATTTCAGTTGATGATGTTGTTGAATCATCTGAAAGAAATTGAATGTAGATGTCTGAAGCTGATGACTCTGATGTAGATTCTGATGTTGGCAATGCACATGTCTCTTCTGACTGATCAGTTAGTGTCTTAGTCATTGTTTCCATTGATCTTATTGGCTGATCAACAGTTTCATGACTTTTATGTGGTGTATTCTTCTCAGAGTCTTCATCTTCACTGTCATGCTTGCTCAAGCTCATTTTGTTAATATCACTTACTTCAATGAAAGATATTGTATCCAGCACAACAAAGCTCTTCTGTAATAAAAGCTTGCTGCTAATCTTGTTAGAATCAAATAGCATATCTTTGTTGAATATAATGTCTCTTGTTAATATAATCTTTTGTTGTACTGGAATTCAAATGTGAAAAATATTTATTGATTTGTATTCAATGAGATATTCAACTTCTGCTCTAGAAGTCAGCTTCTGATTTCTTTCATATCATGCATTCTTAATTAAAGAATACACTCTACAGCCAAAAACTCTTATATGCCTAATTTCAGTTAAAGGAGTTGCAGTTTGAAGATATTTCCCTAAGAATTCAAGAGAAGTGTTTCAATCAAGATCTTTAACTGAAATTCTGTTTAAAATATACACTGCAGTCTTGATGCATTCTGACCATAAATTCTCAGACAAGTTGGCTTTAATTCACATTGTATGTGCTGCTGTTGTTATTAAAGCTCCCACATGTTTCACAGCTTCATTTTGAGCCAGCATGTAGAGTGCTGAATGTTGAACAACTATATTATATGTTTGAGTCAATGCTGTCAGTTCTGACTGCATAGAGGTCTCTTCATCAATTCAAATAGTCAAGATAGTTAATTGATATAAATTGAGAATTATTCTTATCATTTTTGCTATGCACATCAAACTTTTAGATTTTTGCTGCATTGTTTCCATGTAGTGCAGATGAATATAATCACAATATAAATGAACCACCCATCTATCTCCATTATAATCTGGAGCAAACTATATGAGATCAACAGACATCTTTATGAATGAGTGCATAGATCTTTTCAATGGCATTCTGCATATGATTTGCTTTGCTTTTGAAAGAGTGCAAGATCTGCACTCCATTATTAGAGAATCTCAAGAGATCTTTGCAAATTTCACATCAGTAGACATTTTTGAAAGATGAGTCAGAGACTCTCTTTCTAGATGATCAAGTCTCAAATGCCAAATATTCATTATTTCTAGCAAACTGAAGGCCAATGCTGTCAATGGTTTTTTAATCAAATCTTCACCCAACAAGACAGTAAAAACACTCTTTGTTATACTGTCTGTTGCAACATTAATAGATCTGTATTCAATGACCATTTTTCTCTCTTTAACAGTCAAATTGAACAAGATATTCCTTGTACTGGTGTAGTAAACTGTAAGAGACTTGTTGTTCAAATAACAATTCTTCACACACAGCAACTCATGTGCTACTAGATTTATATGAAAGCCAGAAATGTATAGAACATTCTTTAGTAATATCTTGCCAGCATCTGTCAGTGTTTGAGTATAAACTTCAACATCACCATATTCATGGATTTTACAATGAGTATTTCCAACAAGCACAATATCTGAAGAACCAGCATCTCAGTAGTTTTGAAATCTTGTAAAATCATTGCAAATATGTGCATCTGCACCCTCATTTAATATGAAGCTGTTCCATAATGAATAGGGTTCATATTTATCACTCATGTTAGTGGAGTTAAAAACTGTTATGGAAGCAAAGATAGTCAGATTAGAGAATGTCTTGACAATGACTTTGTTAGCATCACTGTCTGTTGCATCACTCAAAGCATCAACTTCTTCATTAGCATTTAAATTCTTTGATTTCTTTCAATTTGCAATCTTTTTCTTTAATTTTCTGTTGTTCACTGAATTCTTCAATGCTTTCTTAATCTTATTATCAATTTTTGGATCCAGTTTCCAGTCTGTTGGTTGAACAAGTGGATTAAAATATGAACAGTATGCTCAATCATGATGCTCTCTGTAAAGACATGCAGAGTTCATATTTCCATTATTCTCTCTCAACAGCTTATTTTGAACTATCTTTTTGATGAAATATGCTGATGACTTATTCTGTTGGTCTGGCTCAGAATTCTCCTTTAATGTCTGCTGAAATATTTAAATATATCTATAAACATCCAGCTCATGCTTCTGATTCAAATTCTCTTCAGTTAGAAGCTTTGACAGATACATATAGAAGAACTCTCTGTAATTCTGAGAGATTGCTCTCAGAAATTGTTTGAAGGCAAAAGACTCACAGATATATTCACACATATTGTACACAGTAGCTCAATTTAATGCTTCTTTGTAGTTCAGTAAATATGCTTCAATCACTTGATTCTTTGATCCATCTTCTAGAATTTTGAATCTCTCTACTAGTCTAGCTTTCAATTGAGAAGCATTCACCACATTTCTAGCATATAGAGCTTTCAGATGTTCTTTTGCAGTAGCTTCTACATTACTCAATTCACTTATTGTAAGAATTCTCAGAGATGAATCTACATAATCTCTTATTGTCTTCTGTAGCTCTTGCATTGCTAAGACTCTCTTCTTTCAAGTTCTGTACTGATCTCTTTGCATATTTCTTGCATGTTTTGTATCCACAGAAGTCACAGTTTCTTTGATTTTTTCAGAAGAAAGAAAATTCTCTATAATGAATTTCTGAAGTTTGGGATGTGTTTCTTTTGTCAGATTGATGTATGGTCACAATTGATGAAGATTTGCTAAATGTTTGATGTCTTCAATTCATTCTTCTCAATCATCAGAACTATTTAGCATAACAACTCTTCTAGACAATTCATTCATTTTTAATTAATTATTAAAGTGAGATGTTGACCCTAGATTATGGTTTTCTGTAGACTTAGATTGATAAATATATAGATGTGTTAGATCTCTGTGAACTCCACAATTAAGATTTAAGCTTAAATAGAGGGTTCAATGTATGATCTCAAAATACTTAATAGTGACCTCTATTTATATGGGTAACAAGAGTAAAATAAAGTATCTTGAACATATCTTTAGATAACAATCAAATTCTTGAAAGAGCTCAGACTCATAACTATTGAATGACACAGAAGCATGTGATGATCATGTGACTGAGTGTCTATAATATTGTGTCTGGTCTTGCTTCTAACAAACAAGACATGGATACTTATAGACAAACATGCTATAACTGAGGCTATGGGAAAAACATATGAAAAACCCCTAGCAAACCTCCACCAGCCTGATAGACAAAGATAATGAAATTGGTACCATGGTCAAGAGGAGGAGGTGGCGAACCTATGGTTCTCCAGTTCCTCCTTCAGAGACCTGGTCACCTGACAAGTCACCTGACTCCTGCTCAACAGCTTCAAATCTTCAAACTCCAAGAATAAATATTTCCATTATGCTGCAATTCCTAGCCCTACACGTACTATATGGAGGTATCTAGAAGACCAGCATCTTGTCTTAAATGCGACCTTCAGATAGTTTTACTCCCCTTCTAGGAAACCAGCAATAGGTTCGAATTACACCAGTTGAATATGGACTCTTCAATGGTGAATATTACATGCGCGTTCCTCAGTGTATGCTGGGATAAGCTGAAATATTGGATAATTCACGCCATCCAGAAAAAGAGGGCCAACTTATTTATATCTTATATATTGCGGGAGGTAGTCGTCAGCATTCCTTCTCGACCATGTGGCAATAATATTCAAAGAATAATACCTACTGAATCCGAGAAATGCAACCTCAGTGTCACAAAGGTGAAGGTTTTATTCATTTGCGTTACAACTGCTCACTTTGAAGAAGCAAGACGGCATATATGAGAGGTATATTGGTCTACCATAGTACTTCACAAGGCAGTCAGCCCATGCCGGTACCCCTCTATGCTTCTCGATTAGAAAATGAATTACGATAATACTTCCTTATACCTTTCTGGGTGCTAGCACTGGCTTGTTACAGTACAATATGGAACGGTTCGTTTACTGAAGGTGACAATAGAACGGCCCTTCTCCATAGCCAGAGATCGGGAGCGGTTGGATTCCGCGAGCGCGCCAGCTATTTTTCATCAATAGCGAACGCAGGGTCCCATCCTGGAAGCATTTAAAACGAGTCAGTATATATTGAAGAGTATCGATATTGGGCATGTCTATAGAGCTTTGTATTCGGAAATAGCTGGGAATTATATTCTACTGCTACCAGAACAGCATCAGTGCATTACAAAGTGTGTTGCTCCGACAGCGTAAGTTGGTACACCTGATAATTCACTTGACTGCTCAACAGGTCTGAGGGTATGAGGCAACAAATTCTGTCTGAGCGGCGCCGCACAGATCCCGAGATTCCTCCCTGAATTTGTTTCCAGTTCTAGATTAATATCGGCTACAGTTCTATCTGCTCACCGGCTCGCTTGGCGCAGGCCGATTTGCGAAGGTCTTGTTTTTCTATCTACCTCTGCCGGACAACGATCCAAATACAGCTGTGGCACTCTGAATGACGAAGAGTATATTCTGGAATCAGGTGTATTATACTACAGAGAGACGTTCATGAGCCAGAAGGGGGGCTTGTTATTCATATTTTCTGAATACAACTGCGTTATAACTAATCATGTAGCTAGGGGTTTATGCTGATAAAACATGGATCTGCCCCGCGCGCGCTCTCCCCAATACTACCCGGATTAACTTGGTGTCCCGTTCAATATTTCACTTTCTTTTTGGAAATGATGGCTTGTTGCGTTGACCCTCTGGTGGTACATTTTCGTCGACTATTCTCAGAGGTTGTCCATGGCCACCTTGCTGACTTCAACTTGGAATGCGGGCCCGAGGATAACCTCGGTGAAGAAGCCAATCAAAATTAACAGGCAAATTTTCGCAGATTAATGTCACTCCTGGGAGACCGCAAACTCGATAGTACGACACACAGCTGGCTTCAAATATGAAAATCATTGAGTTTGTTATTTTGATACCCTCCAGCTTTAAAGAAGCCCCTTTCACCTTGGGCATATTGCTCAGCCACATAGCAATATCTTCTAACTCAACATTGTTAAAGATCTTAGATACGTGAAGACTAAAGGTAGCTAGCATTCCAGGTTCCTGAGGGTGTGAAGTATTTGCAGTACTTGCCAATCCAGGAAATAATGGTAAAGTTGCTGAGCCGGCACCCAGCCTGCTTGCATAACCAGGCTTTTTCAATGGTGAGGTTTTTCGAAGAGTATCCATTACATCCGCCATCTCGACAAATGTATCTCCTGCTTGTGCCCGAGAATGAATTTCGACGAGCAATTTAGACGTGAATGAATTTCTTACACCAGCAGAAAAGGCAGCAGCATCATTGTTGCTACCAGCTGTCAAAATTTCAAAAACGCGTGACTCCTGTTTGAGGGTGCGGCTTGCTAAAAAGCTGTAACAGCAATCAAGTATCATAATAACATCCACGTGGGTATCAACATTTTCTGATGGAATCATATATCCGATTATTCTTTCCATGGCGATATTTTTGCCGTACCTACTATGTAATGCCAGCTCATTAAGATTATTTGGCCCACCGTGTCCAGAATAATGGATCATAACAATGGATTCTCCTGGCGCTGTTTCTGCGTCTCGGAATATTTTGAAGATTCTGTCCGAAACTTCACGCCCTGGAGCCAATGTGCCGTCAGGGATAACATAAGTATCCACAACAGGGAACCCCATCAATCGAGCCATATCCTCAAAACTTTTCTCATCGCGCTCTGCTCCCGTGTTGTCGTCTGCCCATCGAAAATGGAATGCAAAAAAATTTGAGTAACGGCATTTTCGGCGGTTTATCGCCGCCTCCAAGGTTGCTCTGAACTCGTCTACTGTGACTGCCGCCATCTTTAATTATGTTTAATTTTTTTGGCTTGATAGTAGGGTTGAGGTTGTTCACAAAATAAAAAAAAAATCGTGGATTGGAAAGAAGAAGAAGAAGAAGAAGAAGAAGAAGAAGAAGAAGAAGAAGAAGAAGAAGAAGAAGAAGAAGAAGAAGAAGAAGAAGAAGAAGAAGAAGAAGAAGAAGAAGAAGAAGAAGAAGAAGAAGAAGAAGAAGAAGAAGAAGAAGAAGAAGAGGGCCAAGGAACTGGATTTATATTACCTCATGTATGATTCACAGCTGTACTCTTTGTACGGAATAGGCAATTCCCACCCAGCTCCAGGAGTTGCCTGGGACAGAGTTAAGGTTGTACCAAACGTACTCTCGAGGTAGTGACGTAGTTAACTAGTTAACTACGCCCCACTGCGAGTAACTACTCCTCCTAACCAAATAGCTACCTACCTAACCCCGAAACTTCGCTCTCTTGAACTTCAATCAACAATCCGCTTGCTGTCCATTGTCTATCATGCCTCTTGTCGTTCCTCATCTCGGACCCCGGGTCATCCTTGGGCTGATGACCTTTGGCCCTGACGAAAAGGCCGGGGCACGTATCACCTCTCTAGACGAGTTTCAGAAATGCTTAGATTTTCTGACGGCGAATAATTGTTTTGAGATTGATACTGCTCGTGTGTATGTTGAAGGTCAACAGGAAGCCTTCACTGCACGGGCTGGCTGGAAGGAGCGCGGTCTTCAGATTGCAACCAAGTGGTACCCCCGAAACCCTGGCGATCATAAGCCAGGCGTTCTCCGGCGCAATCTGGAGACCTCTCTGAAGGAGCTGCAGACTGACTGCGTCGATATCTTCTACTTGCATGCCGCTGATCGTTCTGTACCGTTTTCCGAAACGTTGCAGGCGGTAAATGACTTGCATAAAGAAGGAAAATTCGTGCAACTAGGGCTAAGTAATTACACGGCCTTTGAGGTTGCCGAGATCGTCACCATGTGTCACGAGCGCGGCTGGGTGCGCCCGACAGTCTACCAGGCAATGTATAACGCAATCAGTGCGCGCAAACTTCCTCTTACTATTCCCCATACTCAGGCTGACACGATCCATGATAGCACGCTCCATCGAAGCCGAGCTAATCCCGTGCTGCAGGCGATATGGAATGGACATTGTTGTATATAATCCCCTTGCCGGAGGCATTCTTTCTGGTAAGTACAAGACAGCCAACATTCCGGCGGAGGGCAGATATAGCGATGCCCATGGCGTCACCGGAGACCTATATCGCAATCGATACTTCAAGGATGCAACTTTCGACGCTCTCAGGGTCATCGAGCCGGTAGCAGAGAAACATGGTTTGACTTTAATTGAAATTGCTCTGCGATGGCTATGTCATCACTCTGCCCTAGCTATCAAGGATGGTAACGATGGCATCATCGTCGGCGTCAGCAGCCTAAAGCAGCTCGAGGAAAACATGGCAGACATCAAAAAGGGCGGCCCATTGCCTGATGATGTGGTCGCTGCGCTAGATGAAGCATGGCTCCTTGCAAAGGCTACAACAGCAAACTACTGGCATTTAGATCTTAAATATACATATGATACAACTAAGGCGTTGTTTGGCTCTTAGTAGACAGTCGGGCCGCGTTCAGTCTTCTATGTTTCCAATGTTCCTCTACTTTGTCAATATATTATTCAATGAAGCTGCTAGTTCTCTTGACAACCGATATCCATTCGCATCCTTTTCTCGACTGCCACCTTCTGTCCGACTGGATTACTCATAAGCTCAATGAAATTAAAACAATGACGTAGTTATGTAGGTATGCTTCAACCCTTCGGAGTACATAATGCCTAAAAGAATATCATAATGACCTGGTGGAAATATCAATTCGATCTTATATCTCGCTCGTTATCGTTAATCCTGCTACTTGCCTATGCCTATTGAACCTGCCCACGTCTCAAGCATCCAGTCTTCGAGATCGAGAATACCTGTACCATCTAATTGGCCTCCACCACAGCCACCTAGTCCTTCGACGCACAGCAATGAAGCTCAGAGAGACCCGGAATTCCAACCGCCTCCGGGCTTGGATCTTAGTAAATATGACCGAGGCTGGCGGAAGATAGTCCGCAATTTTACTCCTTCGTACGCCTTCGTTATCCTGAGTTGACAATGAACAACTTTAGCTAATAGCTTCTTTTGCTCATAGGTGGTTTACTGTCGTTATGGGAACCGGCATAGTTTCTATTTTACTCCATGACTTACCGTACAATGGCATCTGGCTGTACTGGATTTCAGTTGGTATTTTTGGACTAAATGTGCATCTATTTTGCCTCGCCCTAGCCATATCCACGTTGCGATATACTCTTTATCCCAAGATATGGATGGTCATGATAAACGAGCCATTCCAGGCCATGTTTCTTGGGGCATTCCCCATGGGATTCGCAACAATCATCGACATGATGGTCTCTGTTTGTGTTCCAGCCTGGGGTTCCTGGGTTGCCGTTGTTGCATGGGGATTTTGGGTTGCTGATTCCGTAATCGCAGTGCTCTGTGCTTTATGCCTGCCATTTCTTCTGTAAGTTTCCTATGTTGAGAACTTGTTTTCGATGGTTCTGCTCTGTGATCGATCGTTGTCACGTTTCTAGAATGATACCTGGAAAACAAATCGAGTTGTCCTCAGTGACTGCTGTATGGCTGTTACCAGTCATAAGCACTATCGTTGCGGCGGCGGCAGGCTCCGTGGTTGCGAATTCCTTACCCAACTTGCAGATGGCAGTCTGGACACTCATCAGCAGTTACATTTTATGGGGAATGGGAATCTGCCTCTCTATGATGATTTTAACGGTGTATTTTCAGCGTCTAGCAATGCATAAAATTCCGCCTAAAAGCGTAATCGTGAGTGTATGTTTACCACTTGGGCCAATGGGCCAGGGAGCTTATGCGTTAGTATCCATTTTTCAGAGCTTGGTTGGTCCAACGTCTGCTGACATTGAGAAACTGTGTATTTCTTTAGAATCTTGAACCTTGGTGTTGGCGCAAAGAGAATCTTTCCAATAACCAAAACATTGGACCCTTCTTCTGGGGTGTTACTTGAGTCTATTGGATTTGTAACTGCCTTAGCCCTATGGGGGTTTGGGCTTGTTTGGCTATTCGTTGCTGTCGTCTCTCTTATACGATGCAAACGGTTTCCCTTCACGATAGGATGGTGGGGCAGTATTTTTCCGCTGGGGGTGTATTCGAACGGAACAGTCCTTTTATCGAAAGTGATTCCATCTAAGTTCTTCAAAATCGTTGGAACGGTATGTACAAATGCGGGAATTTTGGCCTGATCAACTTTGGTTCTGATTTTGGATAGATTATATCGGTATCGGTTGTCATTCTGTGGCTCATTGTGACAGCTGGCACTATAAAGGGTATTGTGACCCAGAAAATATTCTATGCACCTTGCCTTAGCGACCTAAGGGTTAGCAAAAGTCAGCGACGCTCTGTGGCGAGACGCCTCGACGCCGGTTAAAATTTCGCCCCCCCTTTGTCTGAGATGCTAGTTAAACAAGATCTGCAAAGGCATAGTAATTCTGCCACACAAGAATATATCAGCGGGAAAGAAATTCCAAATACAATATACGTATGTGCGCAGCCGAAAATTAGGGCCTTTCTGGCGTACCATGGCCATGTGAGACAACGCAACCTACCTATCGGAGAATGTTGAGGCAATCAAAGGCCAGGACGGCTCTCTTCTGATATTGATCATATCCCGTAGCTATTGTTGTTAGTAGGGTAACATACTGCGAGCATGCCAAAAAAGTAAAGCGATAAATAACGATAAAATAGAGAAATTAATATAATCATCCCAGGTGGTCGGGGCTGAAATTTCCCACACTATCGGGTCTATTATTGCAACGCAAAACATGACGCATATAAAGATCAATTGGCAACGAGATATTTGGAATGCTGTAGAGGCAACCAAGCGCCGTTTGTAACGTATAGGGCGGCTTCCGGGAGGGATGTCATTGCCGAGAATCAAAGGGTGTCTATGGCTCGAGCAACTTCGAAGCAAGTAGCCGTTGAAGATGCGGCCAGCCGACAATCATATTAACAGGACGGGCTGAGAAAATGGAAAAAGGTGGTTGGGCATTCTGGCTTTCGCACCACCAGAGCTTGCAAGCAATGGTTGTCTCAAACAGATTCAAGCTTCTCGGACGCCCCCAAGCACCTAAGGTGACTTAAATTGGTGCTTAAATCGTTGGTCAAGGGTCGTCTGACACTCACATCCCCCGCAAATCTAGCCGTAAAAGCTTTGATTAGCGAATCCTTATAATATAAGCGTCTCACGCCGTGTGGCCAGTTACGGTCATGGGATCGTTCTGGAAGAATCTTAACCACACAAAAAGCAGAAGTTTGCTTATCTCTGTTGGCTAACTAGCGCTGCAACCTAAGAATCCGTTACGGGGCCACCAGCCGACGGGTACCCCGGTCTTGAAACAGATCGATCCTCGATGTCACAACAAACTGGCCGATAGCGGGTGGTGGTGATGGCCGTGACAGGTGGATGCGCCCGAATTTCCAGTCAGCTCGAAACAAATAATGAGCATCCCCAATTAACAGAGCATTATTGTGTCACCCTCAAGGTATCGCATGGGCGCGGTAGCTTGCCCGCAGCGCTTCGCAGAGCAGAATAATAACTACCCAATTAAGAGTCTCATGACAGCTCGCACTTGTCGCCTATCCAGTGACGAGGCTCCATTACCCGAGTCCAGCCACCATCCAGAAAAGCCAATTGTCCCGTAACTATATACAACAGTGGAAGGTTAATGGCTTGCTGCAATTGATGGGGAGCTGCTGGCGGTTTTGTAGATGTGAGGAGTGACATCTGTCATTTCGCTTGGAATCCAGGTGAGTGAAAAGCCGTGCCGCGTCAGAAACTGCCCGCTCGGGGTCTTAATTCGAATATCCCCGACTCGGCTGTCCCGCTGGCGCGCTTGTATACGGAATAAAATCCCGAAGTCCCGTATACACACACGTGTAAGGCAAGATTGCGAAATGAAAAATCAAGCATTTTCTTCCGCAAAGGCCCGGAACTAAAAGGGGAGTGTCTGTGTGTGCATATACATAGCCATGTACCATCAATTGAACCTGCCTGGTTAATCAACAGATGGGTAGATCGTAGAGAGAGTAATGTAGGTGACGGGCTGCAGAGGTCCAAGTCCGAATCGGGCTTGAAGACACGCCTGCTATACATACTCCCGTGATGGCGCCACAGACGGGTACTTTCTGCTGCTTCCTGCGAGATGGCGGGCTGTTTTCCCGCGTGCTTGCTCGAGAATCGTCTCATGGCTTCGTATTATTAACGAGTTAACGCGGTCGGCAAGCAAGGTAGGCTCGATTCATTTCAATCCTAGCTAGAGGCCATTGCAGGCTGCAGGCCAGCCGACGGGCAGTTCGAGTGTTCCAGGGTATCCTCTACTGCCAGCCCAACATCAACACCTCTCATCGATTGGATTCACAAAACGTGAAGACACAGAGTTGGGATAAGCTTTTACCGCCGAGAAACCGCCTGGCCATCTCGTCGCCAAGTCGCAACGATCACTGGAAAGCTGAACTGGCGAGTGGGTCGACATGAATCATGCGAGAGCGAAGAAAAGCTTCTGTTTGCAAAAAAAAAAAGGGCTTCTAAAAATACGGAACGCTTGCTTCTGTCTCGTCTCCTGCATCCGCTCTGGCTCTGAGGCGGGATCGGCGGTGGCATCACATAAAGCCTACGCGCCTTTCAACACCTCGCAGGCCTGTGGCTGGCACGTCTGGTTATGCAGCTGCTCTCGGGGTAATTCCCCCATCCCCCCGGGGCGCCATTGGTCCCCAGACATGAATGCGAAGCCCGATAGGCGAATGTTGCGAAAACACCTTCGGCACGCCGCTCTGGGAAGGTCGGTGTTTTCCAACCCTGGAAGCATCTTGCTCTGCCCTTGGGCCGCCATGCCCGCCGTTCACCGCTATGATTGGGGCGTGTGAAATGACGCTGCATCGAGTAATTTGACAGAAGCTTCATCGAGTCCCCCGAACAAGCGGCTCGTAGCGTTTCCTCCCAAGCCTTGGCTTCGGAAGGGGTGTCCCAGCAGCCATCAGGGATTGAATCTTTCTAGAAACCTGCCTTGTTCGGTGGGAGGGCTTACGAGGTATGTCACTTGAAACATTCCGCCAGCAGGCCAGCACCCAGCTCTAGTGGTTCAGCACGAAGCCGGCGTTGACCGGGGAGAGGGAGCTACAGCCGTGGTGGTCTCGTGGTCCCCGAGATTCGAAGATTCATTCGACAGCAGTGGCTCGTCGGAGCGCAAATGAAAATTCTCCGCTCCTTCGCTCCGTTCGCCAGCTCCAGAGTTTCATTTAACTCAAGAGGCTGACGACCAGCCTACCAAGTCCTTCGTTACACTAACGGCACAACCCCTGCTGAGTGCTGGGGCCGGGCTTAGTGCGATGCGGTGGCCACTGTAACCTTGAACCCTCCCCGAACCCTGGGGCAGTCGCATGGGGGGAGAGGTATCAGTACTTCGTTCCGGGCTGAACGAATGCAGCCCATCGTCTAGGCCCTTGATCTTGCTCCCGTTAATGCTGGGCGTCAGGCCTGGAAAACTCTGGAAAAAGCCGGCCATATATTTGCTTATCAGTATGCAGCCATCACGCTGGGATTTGCTGGGGGCTGCGTGTGCGTTTGGATCCGCGGATGTTTTCCTTGTACGACGCGCAGCGACGATCCTGGATTCAAGTGTCGGCGAGCGACATAAGAATAGCATCCAGGCATGGACAGGACGTACGGAGTATACATACGGGGTACGAGGTCTTTCTGTCCGTGAATGCGCGCTGGCCGGTCCGCCGCCAGTTCCTGCAGCCGTAGGACAGAAATGCCTCCCGCGATGTCGCCCAACCGTCGCTAAGAATTCAATAGTCTTGTGAACGGCAAGCTAAACAGAGGATCCCCCAGTCTCAGCGCTGGCTTTAATAAACAAGCCTGGTATGGCCGACCAATCGTGGGGTTGCCGCACCCCGGTCGAGATGGCTGGTGCACAGAGCCACATGTATGTATCTGTACCTTCTCCGTCTCTCCATTCCACTGGGTGGAAACAAAATGCCGCGCAGGGGTGTGATCGAGAGGGGAAGGCCGGATTAGCGTTGATGTTGCAGCGTCCCAACTCTGTTGCCCCCTTACCGTATCTCCGCTGCAAGCAGTAATAATGCAATTTATATCGGGCGGGCGGACTATATAGGGATGATGCGCGCCTGCCTTAAGCCAGAACCTAAAGAGAAGGGCTCTTGCTTCCCTTTCGCCGCCCAACCTCATCGCATCCCCGGGGAAGACCTTGACGAGAGCGTGCGTGGCCACTCGAGACCTCCCGAGCATATCGGCGCACTCTTCTGGCCTGTCTCTCTAGGCGCTGCACATCGCCATGGAAAACTCAAAGCTGGAATCGACGCCTCCCTACGAGTCGCGGACGGAGAAGGAGGTTGATATCAAGGAGTTGAGATACGGTGAGGCCGCCGATGTCTATGGAGACTCGGAGGCTGCCGATCGATATGGTTATGTCTCTCGAGGGTGGGTTTCGGTTCACAATCTGCTAGCATTCAACCGGACTGTCGCTGATGGTAATTCATAGATTGAAATCGCGTCACATTCAGTTCATTGCTCTCGGAGGAACTATTGGTACTGGTCTTTTCCTCGGTATTGGACGTGCCCTTACTCAGGGTGGTCCTCTCAGTATCCTACTCGGTTATACCATGACTGGTTTTGCGATCTTTGGCATGGTAGGAATAGTGCTGCATAGAAACTTATTATAAAACGATAGCTGATTGAGTCTAGATGATGTCTCTTGGAGAAATGGCAACCTGGCTTCCTCTTCCCGGTGCTATCCCCCAGTTCTGCACCCGTTATGTGGATCCTGCCATGGGCTTCGCTGTTGGATGGAATGTGAGCAGAATCCCTTCCACTCAGAATAGTTGACATGCAACAGTCTGGTTAACAATTGTGTAGAACTGGTACCAATGCTCCATTACGCTCTGCGTCGAAATTGCTGCTGCCTCCGTCATCATCCAGTTCTGGAACGGAGCAGTGCACATCAACGTTGCCGCCTGGATTTCTCTTCTCATCGTTTTGGTTCTGTGCCTGAATGTCTTTGCTGTCGCTGTGTACGGTGAAGCTGAGTTTATTTTCGCCAGTATCAAAATCGTCACCATTGTCGGCTTGCTTCTCCTTGCCCTCATCATCGACCTGGGCGGTGTCGATGGTGACCGCCGGGGATTTAGATACTGGAAAAACCCCGGAGCGATGAATGTGTACAAGGGAGAGGGCGCGAAAGGGCGCTTCCTCGGTTGGTTCTCAACTCTCGTCAACGCTGCATTTTCGTTCGGTGGCGTGGAGATGGTGGCCTGCGCGGCAGGTGAGGCCGCAAACCCCAGACGCAACATCCCCAAGGCTGTACGACGAGTTTTCTGGCGTATCTTGTTTTTCTATGTCCTTGGGTCCCTGGCAATCGGTGTCCTCGTCCCGTTCAACGATGAACGTCTTTTGGATGCTCAGGAGAAGGATGCGCCTGGTGGTGCTGCCTCCCCATGGGTCATTGCTATCTATCGCGCTGGCATCCCGGCATTGCCTTCGATTATTAATGCTGTGATCTTGACTTCTGCTTCTTCGTCCGCCAACGCTTTCTTGTACACTGGAAGCCGATATCTGTATGCCCTTGCTCAAAGTGGACATGCTCCAAGATTCCTTTTGCAGTGTACCAAGTCGTAAGTGGCCTTTGAAACATCCTATATTTCTTAGACTCTAACCCTTCTTGAAAAACAGTGGCGTGCCGATTTACTGCGTCCTTATCACCGCAAGTATCTCGTTGATCACATACCTGTCTTGCACGGCCGGTTCCAACGTGGTGTTTATCTGGTTCCAGAACCTAACCACAATCGCCTCCCTTTTCACCTGGTGCTCAATTTGCGTTGCCTATATCAAATTCCACGCTGCACTAAAAGCCCAGGGCGTCGACCGCAATACCCTGATATTCAAGACACCATTCCAACCATACACCGCTTGGGTGTCTCTCATTTACTTCAGTATTATCATTGTTTTCAATGGTTTCTATGCCTTCATTCCATTTTCTGCTCGCTCGTTTATCACGGCATACATTGGTATCCCTATTTTCTTCGGCCTTTATATCTTTTGGAAGATCTTCAAACGCACACCGTGTGTGTCTGCTGCCGACGCGGACCTCTTCACAGGAAAAGCTGCCCTGGATGCCGTGGAGTGGCCAGCAGAAAACCCGCGAAATTTACTTGAAAAGATATGGTTCTGGATTGCATAGTGGTCTGTATATCGTGGGTTGCATTTTCACATGGTGTTAGCACCGTTTGCGATTGATATCGCATTGGTGGTGTAGTTAACAAGCTGCAGATTTCCTGCCCATTTATTTCACCTCGACTGTTTTATGTATTTGAAAGCCCCCCTTAGATAAAATCAATAATGAAATATGAACCGAGAAGTTATGTGAATGCTGGTGTTGTGGTAGCCCTCCTGGAAACCATTATTCTTCCAGCGAAATCTCCGGGTTACGGAGAGTAGTCAATCTGTTGGCGGGTCCCTACCGGGCAGGTGGTCCACAGGTGCTCTAACCGGTAAATACTGGCTCCAAACACTGGAGTTACCAGTATGCAACTGGCTTAATGTGAGTTGAACTGTCTCTAGGTCTTGCACAGTGGCTCAGCAGGTCTTGACCTTGTATAATCAGGTTGGGTTACTGGATGCTGCTAGAACTATAAGGAGATTCTGGAATGTAGAAACTGTACCAAAATAGTCACTTTTAAGGATACTTTGGTGTGGTGAGATGGCAGGTGGTATACCGTTTTACTATCTGATTGCTAGTCAGAATAACGGAGTACTCCGTAAGAGCGTTGCTAATGTTGAGTGGCAGGTATTATTGCAGCTATGAAAAACTACCGAGTGGAGTTTTAGCGCGCGGCACGGCAGTTTCCTGGCCCGACAGACGCCTGGCACGTGATTCAATACCTTCGCCATAAATACGTAACTACGTAACTACAGCCCAGCTCCCTTTCCCACCTGGGACAACAGAGTCGATCCGAAACCAAATTTAGAGACCCCACTTGAATCAAATGCCTTTGGAACTTTATTGCCATGTTAGTTGTTTGAAATCCATCTTTTCTTCCCCTCCTAAACCATCTGCCACTGTTGTTGCTGGTACATTTGGTGTCCGAACCCATGCCGCTGGACATCGTCTAGGAATGGCCAGCGGTGACCAAGTGTAACCGTACCAATCTTCTGGCAGTTTTGTTCTGTTACCTCATGGTACCGGGAATGAGACGGCGCGGGCATTTCACCGAAGCGTTCGATGCTTCCGGCCTCAGGGACAACATGAACAATTGTGCAGTTGGCTCATTTCTGACCTTTCCAGTCGCCGCCAAGATGAACTAGGGGGGCGTCTTCCCATACCTTGACCAACTAACTATGCAAGGAAGTCTGGAGTTTGTTTTTCTGTAGAGAAGTACTCCGTACTCACTCTTAAATTTCGAAGCATCTGGCATTCTTAGGCCAAATTAGATTCCTAATACGGACTTACTTCTTTTTCTGTATAGTACTTATAGAATTCGCATGAAAATTTTGTTAACATGAATGATAACCGACGTTTATGCCCAGAGCTAACCTTCAGACGCCAACCCGTAGTTTGCCCACCAACCAACCAGCCTTGAAGAGGGTATCAGCATGCCATAGAATAAACAAGAAAAGAGCCCTTCAACGCCGCAATCAGCCGTTATCGAAATGTACCCTGTCCCGCCTAGTGGCCCCACTTAACAGAGCCATGAAAATTACCATGCATGCCATTATTCACTGCCACCTGGAACATTCTTGAGAATTTCCCAACCATATTCCCGCTCGGGCTTTTCGGGTTCCATACCAAGGGCGTTACGAAGGGCGCGCACCTCGTTCTGGAGGCCAGCGACGATACGGATAGGAAGCTCGTCCTCCTCACAGCGCATACGATAGGCGGTACGGATCATTTCTGAACATCGCAAAGTTTGAGCATGCCAGTAGTCCTTCTCCAAACGGCTCTCAAGATGGGCGTCTTTTTCATCCTGGAGGATTTTGTTATAGTGACTTTTCTGGGCCAGGAAATGGTCATTGATGTTGCAACAGTAGGTGCGAATCTGTTCAGTCATAGTTCCGACGGCATCCTCGTACTCTCCAATAAGTTTCATGTTCTCGTCCTGCTCATATTTCAAGATATCGATAATCCGTTTCTGCTTGGCGACTTCGTTCTCAAGGTCCGCGATGCGAGCAGCTGAATAGTAGTGAGCTAAATACAATAATGCCTTTACTCATAAGTTGATACTTACAAGTGAGCTCTCCATTGACGTTTTGCAAGCTGGGAAGAGTACCCTCGGCGGCGGCGCGTCGCTGAACCCGACATTAGTACAAGTTAAGTTTTTTATGTGAGAGAGCGTTCAAAAGTAAATGATAAACTTACTGCAATTTCCTCACTGGCCCGAATAATGTTTCTAGTGGTGTCGCGATTGTGGGCGAGGACCTCACTCAACTCAGTGATCATTTGATAGACATAATTGAGATCCATTTCTTGTCCAGCATTCATAGGCATTCCTGAGTTCATGTCCGCCATTCCGCCAGCCATACCGTTCGGAGCGGCGTGAGGGTTGCCTGCAGAAGAGCCTGGGCTTGGGCGCGGAATATTTGGCATATTGGCGCTGTTGTGGCTACCAGCGTTGTCGAAGAGACCAGAAAACGCGGGGCCGGTGCTAGGACCAGTGCTCGGGATATTTGCGTTGTTGGAAGTGTTGGTTGAAGCAGACATAGTCAGGTTAGCCAATGCGGCGTCAAGTACTGGAAGCTGTTCCCGTGCTTCGCGTTGAACTTGGATGTCGCGTAAAGTTTCACGGCTGACCCCTAAGTAACCGGCGCGAAACTGCTCCAGATCTTCTTGGGTGACCGAAGCACGGCTACGACGGTGGCGCCGACGGAAAGGCTCCCCCGAAACAGAGCTACTGGAGGAATCCACAGCAACGTCGGGATCGAAGACAGGAAAGGCTATCAATGCATTTCCATCATTAATTGTTCCAGAACATATTTAAAGAACAGAAGAAGTCAATTTATTCACTGATGTTGCACTCACTTTCTGGACCATCATCATCGGCCATTTTGTTTATCCGAGCCGGTAGCTTGTTACTAACCTGCCCAGGTTACCTAAAAAGGCTCCTTGCAAGGCAGAACAACAGTTTAGGGTTACTGGAAGTCAGGATGTAAGAATAGGGCTGGGATGTGCAGAGCTGTGATGGAGAAATGTGATGGTGGAAATGAGAGAGGGATACATGGTTAAGTGATATTTATATTGAACATCGCTGACTGAGCGCACATACATACTACATGCAGTGTCGGCGTCAACAAGAAGCTATCAGCTGCTGCTCGGCAGCAAGTAAAAGTATTCACATATTTTGCTATAGTGTACAGAATGCATCTATGCAGTGCTATCTTTAATTGTATTGACCCTTCGGGGCAATGGGGTTGTATCCGACAGGTTCACAAATACGGAGCTCGTAATCTCGAATAGCGACTCCTTGAAACCAGCAGCCTTGACGATAGGTGAGCGTGACCCATTTCTAAGGCGATTTCCAAGACGATTTCGTGGGTATGCCTGCGCAGTATTTCGGCTTCTGGAGTGGGGGTTTTCTATTTGTTGGTGGAGCAAAAAGTGCGGTCGGACGTCTATCTTTTCTAGTACGTTCCTAGAAATAGAGATCCCGTAGATCTTGGTGGGGATCTCCTATTATGTGAGAAATTCCTGCTGCATTCCAGCACACTAAGCCCACGTAGGGGAGAGGTATTTGACCGTCCGCTACGGACACGCGGAGCGACGAACATGGGAACGTCCTCAGGTCATATCTAAAATGTTGGCTAATTTTGCGTCCATATCGACCGAAGTATTGGCCTCCTTATTCATGATGCCATCTTGTGGTTCGATTTGATTTATCCTACCGGCTACTTTTGCCAGAAGCATTCTCATTCGACCCAGCTCAGCGGCCAATTGGCCATCCTTTGTGACGAGGTTTTGCTGGATGTTTGTTTTTGGTTCCCTAAAGGGTTCTAGCAAATTTCTTAATTGTTTATACTGAGCTAATCGCCGTTGATGTTGCTTCCGCGTTGTGGTCAACGAGATGAGTTCCGTACGCAACTGTTTGTACCTATATATATTTTACCATCAAAATTCGTTTTTGGTGCGTAAATAGCTGTGGAGAGATAATCGATTACCTTTCAATGGCACTAGCATCAACGTTTTCCCCTATCCACTCTGTTGGAAGCCTTTCGATACTCCTGCCTCTGAGTTAATTCGGGAATCCTAGTAACCCAGCGAATTCTTGTACATACTCTGGAGCGGTAAGATCACTTCCTTTTACCAGCACAAACTCATGTATATGTTCCTCTCCTAGATCGGGATCAACCGCATTTAAATAGAGTCTCTCAATCTGCTGCGAAACATGATGAACTGCCTGGGTTGAGAATACGGATCGCGTGTGCTGGGAAAAAGCGACATTGACTATATTCATCAGCGAGCTGGAAAAAAATGATATGGAATAGACTTACATTTCTGCAATACACCTTCTACCGTTTTGTCGGAGATATCGTGTTCAGTCTCCGGGCCATAGTCTCGCCATTCTTCTGACGGCTCTAATGGAGTAGATAGCAGCCGTACTTGATCCCGAAGGAATGATAATTTTATTTCTGCAATTGTTCTTGTATGAGCCATAGTCAATTCTATGGCTCTTGGCTAGTTCAGCTTTAAACGCGTCCTTGTCGCGTCTCGAACGATCTCCTTGGATGGTTTCCAAAAGCCATACATCACGTGATGGATTTGGTTTTCCGTAGATGGCATCGATGCAGAACATCAAGATAGACGGAGATAGACATTAGTGGCTTGAAAGTTATTTTGGATTGTCGATACAGAATACTAGGTTACAGCCCGTGCCCAAATAATCATGTAGTTAGCTATTAGGCAGTTTGGAGGGTAAGTAAATTCCGCGTTGCTTAACCTCGGCAGAACTTGGCTTATCCAGCCGAGCTGGACAGATAAAACAATCATAACGCCAGCATTATTCTCTTCGTTGATGACGAAATTCTGGATTTCCCACCTACGCAATGACTGCTACCAACCGCCCAAAGGGCTTACTTTTTGATATCGGAGGTGTCTGCGTATGTTCCCATCCTGACCACCATCCAGGTGCATCACTAATATGAACAGGTTGTATCTCCATTTCAAGCAATTCTTGACTACGAACTTGCAAATAATATACCCGTTGGATGGATAAACTACGCCATCCAGAATACATCTCCAAATGGCGCATGGCATAGAGTAGAGCGAGGAGAGGTCGAGTTGGGCCCTCGATTCTTCGAGGATTTCAATAGTGACTTTCAGCATCAACATTTATGGGAGGCATTTCAGGAGCAGAAGAACAAGAAAAACCCTCAGGCATCATCCACATCATCGACAACATCTGCTCACCTTCCTCTTCCTAAAGTTGATGCGGAATATATGTTTTGGGAAATGATGCGCGTGGCACGGGAGCCAGACCCGTACATGTTCCCCGCACTCAAGAAGCTCAAAAAGTCAGGAAAATTCATCCTGGGTGCATTGTCAAATACAACCATCTTGCCCGAGGACCACCCGTACAGCAAGAGTTCGGCAACGAAGGACGTCAAGACGGCATTTGATTTCTTTATTTCCAGCGCACACTGTGGACTAAGGAAACCAGACCCGAGGATTTATGAACTTGCGATGGATAATATGAGACAAATGGCGGAGAAGAGGGGCTTGGACGGGATTGCACCCGAAGACGTCGTGTTCCTAGACGATATCGGCATTAATTTAAAGTGGGCGAAAAAAGCGGGCATGAAAACGATCAAAGTTAACCTGGGCAAGACTGATGACGCCGTAAGGCAACTGGAGAAATACACCGGTATGAGTCTGTTGGATAGCGGGGATAAAGCCCGGCTATAGGTGCTTGATAGCATGTATTGAATGTTCTTATGGCGTTTAAAGTCCAGTAATTCTATCAGCGGATAATGGTTGAACGATAAAATAGAATAATAATAAAGCGATACGGCATGATAGCATTTGGTGGTGAATCCTCCGTTGTGGTGTTGGAGAGTCTTGGTCGTCGCCGACCCCAGTGTTGACTTTGGCTTTGGCTGATTTAGCGAAGATGCCCACAAAAGCATCGCCAATTCTCCCGGCTCAACAACTCTTTTTCCTTTTCTCATCAGTCGACCACCCCGAACGAAATTTTGCCAATTTAACGGGTAGCATACGTCCGGCAAGATGGTAAGTTGAAATTGCCTGCTATGGCATTTACTTTACTATTCACCGTGCTGCGGGGCAGCGAGTTTTTGCAAGATGCTTCGGAGTGATGAAGAAATGATCTGAAGCGCAAATTGCTGACTCGGGGGTTTCTGTTCTCTAGCCTTTCACAAAGCTTGTCAAGAACAGCGCTTACTACAGGTGAGTACAATTGTTTTTCCTTTTCAGATGTTACGGCTTGGGCACGCGATACTGATGTGCAATCTTTGTTAGCCGTTACCAAACCAAGTTCAAGCGTCGCCGACAGGGTAAAACCGATTACTATGCCCGTAAGCGATTGATCACCCAGGCGAAAAACAAGTACAACTCGCCCAAGTACCGGCTCGTCGTTCGCTTCACCAACCGTGACATCATCACCCAGATCGTCACCTCCGAAATCGAGGGTGACAAGGTCGTCTGCGCAGCCTACGCCCATGAGCTCAAGCGCTACGGCATCAAGAATGGTCTTACCAACTGGTCTGCTGCTTACGCTACCGGTCTCCTCCTCGCCCGCCGCACCTTGAAGAAGCTCGGTCTGGATGAGGACTTCGTCGGTGTTGAGGAGCCAGAGGGCGAGTTCACTCTCACCGAGGCTGCTGAGACTGACGACGGCACTCGTCGCCCATTCAAGGCCTTCCTCGATGTTGGTCTGCACCGCACTTCGACCGGTGCTCGTGTCTTCGCCGCCATGAAGGGTGCTTCGGATGGTGGTATCTTCGTTCCTCACTCCGAAAACCGCTTCCCTGGCTATGACATCGAAACCAAGGAACTTGACGCTGAGGTTCTCCGCAAATACATTTTCGGTGGACACGTTGCAGAGTACATGGAGGGTCTTGCTGATGACGACGAGGAGCGCTACAAGGGTCAATTTCAGAAATACCTTGACAACGAGTTCGAGGCTGGTGAGCTCGAGGACATGTATACCGAGGCTCACAAGGCCATCCGTGAGGATCCCTTCAAGAAGGACGATGAGGCCGGCCCCCAGAAGAGCAAGGAAGAATGGAAGGCCGAGAGTCTCAAATACCGGGCCAAGAAGCTGACTCGTGACGAAAGGAGAGTTCGCGTCCAGGAGAAGATTCGGGAATTGGCATAAGGGAGTTGACTGCCTGAAGAACAAAAAACGAATAAAAGGAGACTTTGCAGTTATTTGGCGTGTTTCCGCCGGTAGTGGCTTGATGGGCTATGTATTGTTTAAACGGAGTTTGAGCCATGGGTTCTGGGTCTCAGGGGAATGAATAATGTGATGATATTTTCCATTCTGCAGAGCCATTATGGCCCACTCAAGCAAGAAAGCCATCATGTCATTTGTCTACCACCAACAATCAAATTTCTTTTACCCAATCCCCCTCACGCACTACATTGGTAACCTTCGATCAAACGTTTCCAGTTTCCCCTCACCGCTTCTTTCCAGGCATGTGGCCCTCGTGTGGAGTCGTCTCCTGACCTCAGAAGCTGGCATTACCCTGGGGTGGGCTTCCGGCGCTATATGCCGTCTTGCATGTAAAACAGTCCTCTTGGTACGTTTTCCGTACGGTGCAACACCCAAAACAGATTACTCGTTCTGGAGGTTGGAGTCTACATTTCTGAGTTTAACGACCTGAACAAGAACTCTCGACCACAATTATTGGCATTCCATCAATAATAGAAAAAGTGCAAACTGTCGTGAACCAAAAAGACGCAGAATTATTATCTCGGGGGTCAAATACAGTATCCATTTTTTAGTTAGACTTATGCTAAGAGGTAGAATGAGAGTGGTTCCTTATGATATATGACAAAATCTTTCAAAGAGATACATCAGTGAAGAGCTACTTGAATTCAGGACCTTTACATTACATTGTTTTCATATTTTGCCCAGGTTTGTTCACTTTCCTTTTGCAGATCATGTACTAGTACCAAAAGTATGGAAACTGCCACGTCGAGGGGCTGTGTGTGCTCAGATTGTGAATAGTTGATGGCCTGCTTCGTAACATCTGGGTAGGAAAGTAAGTAGATGCTAGTAGAGGCCCATACTAGACAGTATGTAAAGTCTCAAGACGGCAATCAAGATACCTATAAGCTATGATTACCCTCTGGTCAACAGGTAGCATGTCAGCATTACAAAATCAAAGGGCAGGGGAAAATAAAGCTTTCCATTTGACAAATCAAAAATTCTAGTTTTTTGATGGTGCTAGAGGCTGTTAATCGGCATCTAGAATAGCATCGACATCTAGGATTCTGCAGTAGGCAGAATATAAAGCATGTTACAGTGCAGTTCCAGCAGGCACAACACCCATTGTTCAGATAATATTCTTCGTGGAAGAATATTGAAATCTGCCTACCATCTTCAAGAATAGGTAGGGCAGCGTTGCAAGTATCGCCTTTGAAAAAAAGAGAAAGCTGTGGTATCAACAGTTTGCTCTAGGAAGCAATTCATTTCAAGGGATAATCCAAAAGGCAATGCCAGCATCACACATAGTTAGTGCAACCTGGGGTAGCATCATCATCTGCAGGAGAGGCTGCAACATTTATATTGAGCAAAGTGCGCCGAGATGCAAGGAAGCAGATAGTAGAAGCTCTTGCCTCCTTTAAACAGCGGTCATAAGGACCTTTCCTCTGACGTCGATATTATGCTTGAGGCCCGGGGTACTCTATACCTAGCCATATAGTCACTGTAGGAAGTGGATGCCATGCTAGTGGTCGTTCTTGGTCATTCCTTTCATAGGCTGCAGCAGACATGCATAGGCGCCCAGATGGCTCCTGACACGGGAAGTTGAGCCATCGCCGAAGCAAAAAACGCACCACTGGCCCCTCCCAGCTGAAATAGCGCGGTAATTTACCGGCGATGAAAGACCGGCATAGTGTGTCCGACAGGTTTCGGCGGCCGAAATACGGCGTAATGCGCGGTATGCTAGAACGGAAGGTATCGCCTAATCCTAAATAGAGCTAGCGCGTAAAATACGCGTACTGCGGATATGTAATCACCCGGAATAATATTGTTCCGCCGGTCCGGTGCATGCAAAAATCCGGGGAAGAAGAAAACAAGACATGGAAATGAGAGGGGGCTGGAGGCCAGACAGGAGCTCAAAGGCAAGCTGAGCTTAGTAGCGTAACTAGCGGTAGGGAGCGAAACTCTGCCTCCAGACAGCTGCTGGCGTGCGCAAGGCTGATCGCGGGCGCCAAGTTTGACTGGTGGTTTTCGTCATCCCGGCCACGCCCGCCTCAACGCTCCAACTGGTTCGTGAGCCGGCCGTCTCCAGCACAGAAGAAAGAAAAAAAAAAGGGTCCAGAAAACAACGCGCCGCCAGTCCATGGTTCGCACAGGCTCGAAGAAAATCCGCCAACCGGGGAGCCAGACGTTGTTCATCGAGCCTGACCTGCCGCGGGCCTAAAACGAGCCCTGGCTGAAGCTTCAACGCTTCCTTTTGGCTGGCGAAGCGACTCCCGTAACTAATAGCCTCTTCTGTGTGCAGCTCCTCTCGCTTTCCATCTCACCGCAGCCACTGAGTTTTTCCTCTTGACCGACACGGCTCCCAGGCAACGTTTCTTCTTTTTCCAGAAAATGCCCTCGCGCTCAACATAATGCTCTGCAGTGCCACCGTACGTGACTTGCCATGGACAGTTGCGCTCCTCGTCTCCTGATGGCGAATTCGCACCCAGCCTGAGCCCTTGATATCGCAAGACGCCCTCGACGACCAGTTATACCTCCTCGGAGCACAGTCATACGCGGAGTCGCTGTCTGTTCTGTCCGTCCTTTCTTTTGCCTTCGTCGCCTCGCCGCTTTTGTTGAAATAAACATCCCACGCGCCTCCATAGACTAGCTGCCATCAATGAATGCGAAAATGGAGGGCGCAGACACGGTAGATGTGAGCTGGTTGCATCATTCTCAGAAAGGTACGTGTGTCCGAAAAAAAAAAAATTCCTGGAGTCATGTGGGCTGGGATCATCTTGAGTTCCTCTTTTCCTCCCCGATGTTTAAACCGCCCATTCAAAATGCTAATTCGGAGCTTTTTTTCTCTTTAGATAATCTCGTCCGGACCAAATCTGCCCCCTCCAAAATCAGCCATGAACCACCTGCCGCTGCCCCAGACTGCCCGATACCCGAAGGAAAGCCAAAGCCCCCTCAGAAACCTGACAAAAGGGACCGCGCAGCTTCCACTACGGCCTCACAGACTGTAGCTGCACCTGGTCGTCAGACTGCGAAGGCAAAGAAAGATGCTTCAGTGTCAGATGAAGTCAAACACACTCCTTCTCAGCCCTCCCCATCGATTTCGCCGTCCACCAAATCTCCAAGCCCCAAACCTGGACCCTCTAGCAGAAGAAACTCCTGGATCTCCAACTTGAGCTCCAAGTTTAGCTCAGGTTCGACACCTCCCTCCCCTGGTCCAGCAAAGGAGTCGGCCAGCACCGCAAAGGCACAGCCACAAGCTCCTCGCACCGAGCTTTTGAACCCGTTTGGTGCCGCATTTTCTCCAAAAGATAGCGAAAAGGACGGCCATTCAGGCGCATTTGGCTCCCACTCGCCTAAGAATTCGTCTTTCCTTCACGCTGCGTTTCGAAAATTGGCATCGGGCGGTGGAGGATTGGGCCGCACAGCACCCCATGGAGGAGGCATCTGTCAACGCCGTGTTATGAATGTAGATCACAGTCGGGACAGGTGCCAAATTCCAGAGCTGAACCAGGCAAAGCTTCGTCGCGTTGCGTTCTGTGTGGACGTTGAGATTGCCGGAGTATCGCGTCGGTCTTCTGATGATGATGACGCGAAGTCAAATAAAGGCGAACCGAACAATATCGAGAAAAACAAGGCTAGGGAAAACCAGGATCTCAAGGCAGCCGAAAGATCGGAGGCTGCTTCTCTCAAAGCCGCGAATCATGCTCCGTCATCCCCATCCTTGACGGGAATCGCCGACAATGCGCCACCTCAGGATTCGCCGACGATAAATGGAAATAAACCCCCAGCCAAAGAAACGACGCGAAAACAAGAAAAGAAAAAGAAATCTGAGGAAGAACGAAAAGAGCGAAAGGAACGGAGACGGAGATTGGCTGAAGAGAATGGCAGTGTTCCTCTCCGTCTGGACCTTGACGACTCGAGCCAGTCACCCTCACCTCACCGTTTTCAACGAGGCCAGGATCAGCCAACAACAGACCCCGTAAGGATATATCGAAGATGTTGTCAGTTACGAGAAACCGGTATACTCAAGAAGCTTGTTGAACAAATATCATCGCCGTCCTCAGCACTTGCAGAGTCTCCAGGCACCGTCGGTGTCCTCGACCTTACTGGGTTCACAATGTCTTTCCAAGACATCGTAACCTTTAGTGATTGGCTTGCAATCGTTCCCGTTCGGAAACTAATATTACAAAACTGCGGGTTAAGTGACGAAGGCGTTCGTGTTATTCTCGCTGGCTTGCTCTCTACAAAGTCTGTTGAAGCCGCCAGATTGGCAAGGAACTCCAGAAGAAAGGGTGTGAACAAACTTGGGAAAGCAGAAAGATATGGTGCCATTGAAAAATTATCACTGAAAGATAATCCAAAAATCGGACCGGAAGGCTGGCGATACATCAGCCTTTTTATCCACATGTCGCGTTCTCTCAAGGCTATCGATCTCTCAGGAATATCATTTCCTTCACCCCCTCCACCAACAAACAGTCCATCATCTATGGTAAAATCTGCCAGCCCAGCTGCGAATGTCACGACCTTGTTTTCCAATGCTCTGGCAAAACGACTTGCAGGAAGCCGCCTAGAAGAATTGGTTCTGAGTGAATGTAACCCCTCTACTGAAGACGTCGAGAAGATTTGCACTGCGGCACAGTTGATCAAATTACGGAGATTTGGCCTTGCAAACAACAACCTAACCAGAGAAGGCCTTGAACACGTCATGCAGTACTTCAACGCAGGTGTCTGTGAAGGCCTAGACCTGGGCGGTAATGACTTGAACGAACACATAGACCTACTCATCTCAGCTTTTCAGAAAACATCTCCCCTCACCGCTCTTAGTCTGGCGGATTGTGCGCTTGTCCCTAAATCACTTTGTGACTTGTTCCAGGCCCTGATAGGGCTGCCCAATTTCCGATTCATTGACCTTTCTCATAACCCCAGCCTCTTTACCGTTCAGCCCGATTCTCTTAGCATTTTACGCCGCTATCTACCAAAATTTCCAGAGTTGAGACGGGTGCACCTTGCGGATGTCGAACTTACTTCTGAAAAGGCTATTGCTTTGGCTGAAATTTTACCGGATTGCCCAAAACTTTGTCACATCAGTATTCTTGAGAACACGGCCATTCAGACCCTGGCTGCAGCTAAGGATGCAGCTACTCAAGAAGAAGCCTGTGCGCTCTATGCTTCGTTTATGGCCGCCGTTCGAGTGTCGAAGACTCTCATTGCAGTGGATATCGACGTGCCCACCGTTGATAATAACGAAATAGTCAAAGCTCTAGCATCGCAAATAGTTGCATATTCCCTCCGCAACCTTGAACGAGGAGAGCTTGCCGAGCAACTGTCAAGCCCAGCGGATGGCCAAACTTCTGAGAAAGACATTGTTCCTATTCCCGATATTCTCGCCCATCTTGTCGGCCCCGCAGATGACGATGAAAGCATTGCCGTTGATGACGGAACGCTAGCACCAGATGAAGACTATGTGATCGGAGGTACTGGTGTCGTTAAAGCACTGGGGGTCTGCCTAGGCAACAGAGATTACGGTGGGACTGATACTGCAGGCGACCAATCACCTATACATAGCGGCACGTCCACTCCGCTCAGACGAGTTAGTCACGTCCCGGTAAATAGAAAGTCACGGGATATGTCCAAGAACTTGCTCAATGCAGCGAGAAGGATACGCGTGCGACTACAGCCAGCTCTTGTTCGTGAGGACAAGGCTGGCAATGATGTTAATTATCGTGAGTATACTGTTCTATTGCCTGCTGCTGAAGTGAGTTCTAACTAGTATCACTAGGACGATTGCAATTCCTGGACATCACATTACAAAGGATGATCCAGCGATTCGAGGATGAATTTCCCGATACTCGTCTTCCTGCCGAACCCGACTCTACCATGGATGCTAATTCGGCTATGGAGTGCTCCAATCCCTCTATCGACCAAGACAAGAGCTCCGACGTTGACGAACATGCGGACAGAGGCCTGAGCTCAGAGAACGGCCGTTTAGAGGATGACGAGGTTGACAGATATGCTGTTCGCTTATCGCGGACAAGTTCGAATACGTCACTTCACTCTCGTGCTCTGACTTCAGAGGAAGGCCGAGTCCTTCGGCTCGGGCAGCGACTTGGCCACGATATTTTCCAGTCAGAACTTGATAACGGCGATGGGGGTGTTTCACAATCCCCGCCTAATATCGCCGAGTTACGGAGGAAACTCGAACGGCTTCGCAGCAGCGAATCCGATTCAGAGTTACACAGTGGAGAATACCAAGATGCCTTGGAGACCAACGAAATTCTGGAACAGATGGGCACTTCCAGCCTTGAAGATCTAGTGGAATTGCAGAAGCATGACCCCGAAGCCCTGGCAGAGTTTAAGGATAGCCAAATTGTTGCATTGATTAATGCTGGCCTCAGAAGCCCTAGGTAAACTGTTGTTGTGTTCTTCATAACGAGGATGGAATTTTCAATTTTGTTTTATACCATTGTATAAACTTTGGAATTAGTTCCAATCTATATAGGATGAGCACTGTTCAAGTTTCTATGTGCTTTATGACGTTGATTATTGTCTTTGTGCATTTCTACTTTTGGATCAGTATATATAGGTGCACATAGCCAGGGACACTTTTGTATATATTTGATGTATGATCATGATTTCATGTTTTTTCTCCATTTAGCAAGTTTAGTGCTTTGATACCATATAACTTACAATCCTTATTCACACTCATACAATCCATATCTGTATTATTATTTTAACAGACCAACACCGGCTCTGCCTACCACCAAGCCTTAAAGTCCCCTAGGAAAGGCTGTGGAAGCACGAGCATTCAGCCTAACACACCCCCAAAGTCCTTTATCCAAGTCTTTTGAAGGTATCTGCTGTTCTCCATATATATATATATATATATAGTCCAGGCCTGATCCACCACAAGTACAGCACTCAACTCTCTCTTGCTTCCCCAGGTCATCTGGGTCTTGCGCCGGCTTAAAGATATCTCAGCCGCGGCTCCACAAGCAGGTTGGTCGAAACGTAAGGATAGAGATTTCTCCCGGGGTTTCTATCGATGAGATAGTCGATAAGCCGCTTTATGGTCTCGTTGTCCCTATATCTGTCCCATGACACTCGAACTGGCAAGCGATTCACACCTCTACCCCTAGCTTCAGCAAGCACCCCATGATTGGTACCATGAATGGCGGTAATGACATGTGTGTCATGTGGTTTGAGATGCTTAGGGTGATGTTGGTGGCTTATGTAGTCATAAAGCGACCCCTTCACAATCTCTTCGTTCGTCGGCATCATGACCCATAAGGCGTCATGGAAAGTGATCTTCTCAAGGCCATGGTAGAAGGTAGAAAAGAACCCACGCTTCCTCCGGCGTGGTGCGCGAGCAAAGTATTCCACAAATTTCTTAATGAAGGCTTTGGGGGAAAGCAAGGGGCCGAGCTCTCGCTGATCCGGGTCTTTAAAGTTGTTATATATGAACAATGACTTCAATTTATGGCAGGTTTCAAGGATTTCAAAAAGCTCGTACTAAAGAGTAAAAATGTCAGCGAGCTTGATATGACATAGGGGGAGATGATGCCTGCTTTTCTGATCGTAGCTTTTGTGCGACCAGTCACTAGAAGGAAATGAATAGAACAGGCGGCACTTACCAAGTGATCTGAGTATGCAACTAACCCAAGTTCTTCCAAGTTAGGACAACTACTAGCAGCTGCTTGAACATTGTGCATTGTTTGATTGCCAGGAGGTAAGAAAAGGGTTCGAAGCGTGTGCCAATGCTGCACACAGAGCTGGGATACTCTAAGATCTGCAGAAAGATACTGAAGAAACAATCGCCTCATACCCCCAAAAGATTGCAAATAATGATATATCCCTTCGCCTGGCTGATCAGTCATGAGAGTCGTGAGTGCGACCCTACGGCTCCGCAAATTATCCCACAAATATAAGTTGACCGGTGAACCAGCCACAAAGCTAAAGCTTTGAATGGTGGAGAAATCAATAGCCTGAAATAAGGATGCAAGGTCTGTTTCACCACATCCATATATACCCAAGTGTTGAAGCCGTAACGGTTGCCCACTTTCAAGAAGCTCACGAAGCAAGGGCGGTAAAATATCAGCTATAGGAGTCTCAAACGTTTCATCCATGGGGAGCGGCCGACTAAAGTGGAGGCTCAGCTCTTTCAGTTGGTAACGTACTGAAAGAATAACGCGACAAATAGTGTCTATACTGTCTAGATCATGGATGTTGAAAAAATGAAGAGACTGGAGCTTACTTAAATTGGCCCCGCGAAAGTCAAATGGTGCGCGCTTAAACAGAGAGCTAAGCTTATAGCGACATAACATCAGCCCGGCATTGAAGGAAATGGACGTCAGAGGAAGAGAAAGCAAAGCATTAAAAAGGCTGTCGGATGGCCGGAACCCCGAAAGCCATCTTTGATCATGTTAGTACCTGCTACTTTATCATATAGGAGGCTCACTGACTCCAGTTCGGTAAGATTGGCCATCTGCCGTACGGCTACCCCCAGCACATTATTCACGAGGACAGGCACAGGACCTTGAATACCGGTAGACCGGGAAACAAAGTTGGCATAGGGGCCAAGGTCATTTGCTTTATTCTCCCCAAACGTGCATTCACCACAAATGGTGAGCTTTTGGATCCAGTGGCACTGGTTTTGGGTATTGGATACCAGGCCTTGAAGAGCTTCGAGCCAGATTTCGTAATTGGGCATGCTATCCCTCACAGGCGCGAAGTTCATCAAGTCAACCTTGAGGATCATGTGAGAGTATAATCGGGGAACCATAGCACCGTTGAAACCTTTGGATACTTGGCTCAAGGCAAAGAGATCGGGCTGTGCAAGCTATGGAATCGAGCCTGGTTAATGGAACCCAAAAATGCGAAGAGCCGTGGCAAGGATCAACATACATAACTCAGGACATTTTCAAAGAGCTCGATTGGTATATTCGGAAATGGCATGTTGACGGAGATCACTCAGCGAGTGATGGGCCAAATAAAGAATCAAACGATAAAATCTCGAATGCAAAGGATGATTCAAAAAGTAGTAGAAGAGAGTGCCTGGCGAGCTTTGAGCGAATATATAAATTCCAGCCTTCTATTAGTGGACAACATTCTTGCAAGCAAGAGCGGAAAACTCCACGACAACACGAGACCTTATTCCAGTATGCATTGTATGAATATTCATACGTGTATATATACGCAATATTTTTGGCATAGCAGGAACACCGCCTCCTATCATGTCCAGATTTGGGAAACCGAGTATATGTACCCCCAAATCCTCCAGGGTATTGGAGGCAATAGCAATCATTTTGACTGATTCTAAATGTTTGTCTAGAGGGATGCCACTTTCACAAAGGGGGCCCTGTTGATCTCACAGAGAAAGCTGAATACGGAAGAACAAGAAACAAGGTTGAACATGACAAAGAAGCGAAGGGGTTGCCAGTTTGCTTATAGTTGAAAACTCCTTCGCTTCTTTGTCGAGACGAAGAGAAACATCCTTCATACATAAAAATATACTCCGTACAGGACTTTCTGAAATATACACATCATCCTAAGGATGAGAGTACCATTGTTCTCTTCTTCAAGAACCGATATTAGTTCTGAGATTTGTCAGGTATGGAGGTTGTCACTGGCATCGCCTTAAAGCTAGCAGCCTCAGATAAGGAGAAAACTCTCTTACATGGCAAATTGATTGGGTATTTCCAATTTGCAGAAAGATATTTGCCCTGATTGTCAAAGCAACCAAGACAATGATGGATTGTCTAATGTTGGAAGAAGTCATTACAGTAAGCAAAAATAACTTGCCAAATATGCCAAGATTGGCAGTTGACTAGTTACTTAGTTTGTTATTACATAAGCAGCATCCGCGGCTGGACCCTAGAGAGGCAAGCGGGCCGCCGTCACATGTAATCCGAAGGAAAGGACTTCAACTCTCTTCGACAACGACAATGAAGGCGCCGGCTGGGTGAGTCTGCAGACTGGCTGGCTACTTGCATTCTTTCAAGTCCGGGTACCCCCGTCGTTTGCTCAGGCACTATGGTTTTACAAACCAAACCTCTGCTTGCGGAGCGAGCAATTGGGAGACTTGCCTCGCAGCTGGCTAGCCAATACCTCAAGCATCGCAAAACGATATCCCGAGGCGTTTACCTGACTCTTTTTCTTGCACTCGTCAAACGCATTCATAATTCAATTTCGGAACAAAAAGCATCACAGCAAGCGGAGAAGAGGGCGCGACCCGGGACGCGAAAGTTTGATAATGGTGATGCGGAGGGCGCAGATGCTTCACCGCGCAAGAAGATCGGCCTAAATAGGGAGTTTTTTAGAAACTTGGCGCGTCTGCTCAGAATTGTGATACCGGGATGGAAGACCAAAGAGTTTAGGCTGTTACTAAGCCATTCTATCTTCCTTGTGCTTCGCACTTTACTGAGTTTGTATGTGGCAGAGCTCGATGGAAAGCTGGTCAGCAGCCTAGTCAGAGGGAGGGGACGGGAGTTCTTATTAGGTTTGGTTTGGTGGATGATGGTGGCAGTCCCGGCCACATTTACAAATTCCATGGTATTGTTTTCTTATCTCGAAGAATGTTATCCGGGTTTTTATACTGATTCGAGGCATGACCGGAACAGCTATCGTATCATCAGTGCCAACTTGCACTTCAGTATAGAAAGCGATTGACCGAATACGTCCACGAGGAGTATCTAAATAAGATGACGTTCTATACAATATCTGCCCTTGATGACCGAATAAAAAACCCGGACCAGCTTATCACCGTTGATATAGCCCGGTTTTCCAACAGTCTTGCTGAATTGTACTCTAATCTCGCAAAACCTATTCTTGACATGGCAATTTACAACTACTCGCTTTCAAAGAGTGTGGGTGGAGAGGGGCTATTTCTCATGTCACTACTCGTTCAATTATCCGCCAATGTGATGCGAGCTCTCACACCACCTTTTGGAAAGTACGTTGCAGATGAGGCTAAATTGGAAGGAGAATTCCGCTTCCAGCACACAAGATTGATCGACTACAGCGAGGAAATTGCCCTATATCATGGCCACGAGTCCGAGAAAGATACGTTGGACAAGGGATACTTCACTTTGATAAAACACGTTAACCGTATCCTCCGAAGGAGACTGTACCATGGGTTTATGGAAGATTTCGTTATTAAATATTTTTGGGGTGCTTTAGGATTGGTGCTTTGCAGCGTGCCTGTTTTCTTCAAGATTCCCGGTCAAGTTTCCTCTACTATGGGCGATCGCACTGAGAGTGAGTGGAGAAATACACTAAATATCAGTCGTTGGGACCTTTACTAATTCTATACCATTAGGCTTTGTCGTCAATCGACGCATGTTGCTTTCATCTTCCGATGCATTCGGACGTGTGATGTTCTCTTACAAGGAGATCTCTCAACTAGCTGGTTACACCTCACGAGTCACCTCTCTTCTTGATGTTATGGATGATATCTCAGCTGGCAAATTTGAAAAGAAACTCGTTTCTTCTGCGTCCACGGAGGGCCACGCAGCCGTCTTAAGCAAACGTGGAACAATATCCGAGAGCGAATCCATCGAATTCACGGATGTCCCGATAATTTCCCCTAATGGTGACGTACTTATTGAAAAGCTTTCATTCACTGTGCACCCCGGTGAGCACCTTCTCATTGTCGGCCCTAATGGCTGCGGAAAATCTTCTTTATTCCGAATTCTTGGTGGGTTATGGCCTGTGTATGGAGGAGTCGTGAAGAAACCATCCTTTGATGAAATATTTTATATACCACAACGCCCTTACTTATCACGGGGCACTCTACGCCAGCAGGTACTTTACCCAGATGGCGTAAAAGAAATGCATGAAAAAGGAGTTACAGACTCAGACCTCTACGACATTTTAACTATCCTTGAGATCCCATCTATTGTCGATAGACCGGGTGGCTGGGATGCGGAAGAAGAGTGGCGCGACGTGCTTTCCGGTGGTCTCCAACAGCGAATCGCCATGGCCCGTTTGTTTTATCATAAACCAAAATATGCCATTCTCGACGAGTGTACTTCTTCTGTTACTCTAGAAATAGAGAAGGTGATGTACGAAACTGCAAAGAAACTTGGAGTAACCTTGATGACCGTTTCGCATCGACGGAGTTTGTGGAAATATCATAAGAAGATTTTGCAGTTCGACGGACAAGGCCATTATGTTTTTACTGATTTGGACTGGAAGAGAAGGTTGAAACTTGAAGAGTATGTCGATATAAAACCTCTCTCTCACTTGGAATGATACTAACTTATAAAACCAACAGCGAGAAGGAAGAGATCGACCTGGAACTCCGTGCGGTTCCGGAAATCGAGAAGAGAATCGCCGAGCTTACTACAGCATAATACATGCGTCGCATAGTCATTTCGCTATTTGCATGGTACTCTGAAGATATGTACAGACAAAAGGCATATGGCGGGGGGTGGAGTATCATGTTTGCCACCTTCCATATAATTAGCTTATCAACCACGTTAGGGTGTGTATATACTCGATTTTGACATTTCTAAAATCTAATTTTCTCATTGGATTGATACGAAATGCGATAGAGAGCAACCATTAAAACAACACAATCTGTTCATACTAGAAGTAAATTATAGTAAAGCGAAATTTGAACCCGTAAACAACATACGAAATTCATAATCCGACAACCTCTTGGCTTTTGAATTATCAGGACTCATTGCTTAGTCTGAGATCTCCAATGGTTCGATGTTCCAGATGCTCTCCGCATATTCAGAAATGACCCTGTCTGAGGAGAAGAAACCCATTCTGGCAACACACTGGATACTCTTCTCCACCCAGCCATCCTGATCCTTATATGCCTCATCGACGAGGTTCTGTGTCTCAATGTACGAGTGGAAATCATCGCTCACGAGGTAATAATCGCCGTGGTCCGTGATCGAGTTGATGATGGCCGAAAAGGAGTCTGCGCTACCAAAGGTTCCGGATCGAATCGAGTCGAAGACAGCACGCAGGTCTGCATCGAAATGCATGGTTGAAGGGTTGTAGACGTGGGCGTGGCGAAGGTCGTCGACGTCTTCTGCGAGATTGCCGAAGAGGAAGATGTTTTGTTCACCAACTTCGCGAGTGATCTCGATCTGCGACGGGAAGTGTTAGTATCACTAATTTTTCCACAAGAGCGTAAGGGGGTCTCACATTTGCGCCATCACAAGTTCCAATGATCAGCCCACCATTGAGAACGAACTTCATGTTACTAGTTCCACTGGCCTCCATTCCAGCAGTGGAGATGTGCTCGCTGATATCGGAAGCAGGGCAGATTATTTCGGCCTTGCTGACGTTGTAGTCTTCGACAAAAATGACCTTCAAAAGGTCCCCAATTTCAGGATCATTATTGACCACATCTCCGACCTTGTTGATGAGATGTATGATCGTCTTCGCCATCCAATATCCTGGAGCAGCCTTTCCACCGAAAATTGAAACGCGTGGGACGACCTTCTTCCGATCCTGTGGGGACATTGCTTTGATTTTCAAATAGCGGTGGATCACACCAAAGATGTTAAGCTGCTGTCTCTTGTATTCGTGAATACGTTTGACTTGAATATCAAACAGTGCTGCTGGGTTGACTTTGACCGACGTGGTATCAAAGATATGTTTTGCAAGTCGGACTTTATTCTCGTACTTGACATTAGCCCACTGTGTCTTGAACTTTTTGTCGTCAAGATATGCCTCCAGTTTGTCAAGCAATGTCAGATCTTTCAAGAATTGGTATCCACCCAATTTAGAAGCAATGAGATCAGACAAGTGGCGATTTGACTGATGCAGCCATCTCCTCGGGGTAATGCCGTTTGTCACGTTTGCGAACTTGTCAGGGCCGTAAATCCGGACGAAGTCTTTGAAGATTGTCGTTTTAATCAGATCAGAGTGAAGTTCAGCAACTCCATTGACCTTATGAGAACCAATGATGGCTAGATGTGCCATTCGAACCATTTTGGGGCTAGATTCCTCGATGATGGACACGCGGGTCAACAAATCACGATCTTCGGGGAACTTTCTCTCAACCCATTGCAAGAACGACATGTTGATGTCGTAGATGATGGATAGATGGCGAGGCAGGAGGTGTCGAATCAGATCAACGGACCACTTCTCCAACGCCTCTGGCAGAACCGTATGATTTGTATAACCAAATGTGCTTTGGACAATGCTCCAGGCTTCGTCCCACTCCAAGCCCTCCTGATCAACTAGGATTCGTTGCAGCTCAACGATGGCAAGGGTTGGGTGTGTATCATTCAACTGAATGGCAACCTGGTCTGGAAACTCGCTCCAGGACCTCTTGGTTTTCTTAAATCTGCGAACAATATCAAATAGTGAAGCTGCACACCAGAAGTATTGTTGCTTTAATCGCAGCTCCTTGCCTCTATCAAGGTTATCATTGGGATAGAGAACAGCGGAAATGGTTTCAGCCCGTTGTTGATCTGCCACAGCACTCTCATAGTCACCTGCATTGAATTTTTGGAAGTCAAATTCACCGCTAGCAGCTTTGCTCGACCAGAGACGGAGATTGTTCGTAGTCGGCGTATCATAACCCGGGATTGGAACATCGTAGGCCACTGCTTGAACAATTTCACCACCTTCCCAGGAATGAATCAACTTCCCATCTTCATCGTGCCACTTTTTATCTTCACCATAGAATTGGATATCGACTGTAATATCGTGACGGGGAAATTCCCAAGGATTGAAATCCAACCAGTAGTCCGGCACTTCGATCTGGTACCCATTGACAATCTCCTGTTTGAAAATGCCATACCGGTAACGCAGGCCGTAGCCCCATGCTGGGTAGTTCATTGTTGCCAGACTGTCGAGAAAACACGCAGCAAGACGGCCCAAGCCTCCGTTTCCTAACGCAGCGTCGTTCTCCTGATCGATTACGTCCTCGATCCGGAAGCCAAGATCGGAAAGACCATCTGAGTTTCCAATTAGCAACATGGATCGACAATTGTGGCGTAGTTAGACAATACCCTTCGCAACATCCTTCAATCCGACGTTTAACATCGCGTTATCAAGGGCACGACCCATCAAAAACTCGAGAGAAAGGTCTAGTAGACGTGTAGGTCAGATAAAGATAGTTCTGTAAGAGCAGCAGTATGATCACGTACAGTATACGCGCTTCTGATCCGCAAAGGTCTGGCGCTGTTGGGTCTTATTCCAGTCAATGACGAGACGGTCGCGAAAGGCCAGAGCTGTTCCGGAATATGCAGCTCTAAAGATGACATTAGATCAATTGTCCGAGTAACATATCATGGAAGCTCATACGATTCATCACAATTGAATAGAGAGCGGGCGAGCGTGGTTTCCACATGTCGGACAACTTCTCTCTATACAATTCAGTCAGCATTGCTATTTCGAATTGAATGGATTCGGCCTCATTGAACATACCTCGAAATCACCTTTTGTTCGAAACCCATGAGGTGCCTATAGATGGTAAATTTCCCGTCTAGCATCCGGAGCTAAGAATACTAGGTCAAGAACGTACGACTTTCCGCCATCTATACAGCCAGTCAGCACCAGTGCAAACACACAATCCTCGGGCAGGGATACTAACGCTTCTCTCTGCGGCTCTGGAATACTGGCCTCGACCTTCTTGATGTCTTTGGGCCCGAATCCAGTGAACGTGCGCTTGTGCTTTGGGCGACTGAAGCCCGGGCCAACAGGGCCCTGCAGCTCGGAGATTGGCGCCGCCATTGAAGGCTGGCGTTCTCTCACAGGCGAAGTCATTGTGCCTGATCAATGGCAGGGGAGTTTTCTGGAGCTCAATTGATAAGTAGCTGGGGGTGGATGATGGGGGGAAGAAGAAGCTTGGAGAGGGAGGGGGAGGGGTGCTGGTGGGAGCTCATGGAGCAAGGCCAAGACGGGCGAAACTCACTGCACAGCAGGCGTGTGGAGCGTCAAAGGTCCTCGCGGCGACGTTGATGCGGGTCAATTGCTTGCGGGATAGAGTCGAGTCGAAGAGGTACAGGAGGTTGTAGAGGAAAGACAAAGAGGGTATGAGACGAGGGCGGGCAGCAATCATGTAGTTAGCTAGCTAGCTAACTAACTCGGGGGGTTCCGGTGACACAGCCAGGACGGAGCTGGTGATGGCATCAACCCGCGGTGCCTGAGCGCGCCATCGACGTCGCTGCGGGCCAATAGTGGCGGCCATGTGGACAAGGCCCGGAACAGGGTTTGACGCTCCGGGTTCGAAGGGTTCTGGGCCCCAAGTGCTTCCAAGGCACAATCCATGATGCCAGACAAGGAGCGGGTTTGCGGCTAGTAACGAAGTTTACACAGCAGTGAGTAGTGAGTCGTGGCGAGCAAGCCCAGGCGAGTTAAGCATCCCAGGCTTGAACCTTCGCCGGGGATCGCCCGCTCGGAACATAATACGATAACGATCCGGCTGATGACATCTGCGCCGCGGAGTAAGGGCTTCAGGCGGCTGTCAAGTGATGCGCGCTGCGAAGGCAGTACTTCTGTTGTGCTGTGCGAGTGACACGGCGCCGCCCTTTGGCCGGTGCAATCGAGGCGGCTGTCCGCGCAACATCGAGGTCGAAGCCATTGTGAAAAAAAAAGAGAGACAGAGAGAGCGAGGATAGAGACAGCGCAGTATTATTTTTTGTTTATCTAGCTATATATAATTCACCAGCTAATAGGAGTACAGCCAGGTGTCCTCCCTACATCCTGGGAGTATGAGGTGGGGAATAGTATTCCACGGAGTTCGTCACTGCATCATCCATGGCACAGCCTGGCAAACGGCTGTTATCGAGGAAGATATTCAAAACAGCGGGGGAATCCAATAAGAAGGTAATGTAGAAAAGGAAGATGAGACTTGAAGAGTACGCATAATGACTCCCCAGTAACTCAATCATAATAGACAGATGCAGGATTACATGGTGGTACCATAGAGAACAATTGGAAGACAAAATAGCGAGAATTTAGTGGTTAACAAGGAGTATAGAGTCAATCGCCTCAAAAAAACTGGGACTGTGTGCGTACTCGTACCGCAATAACATAAGAGTAAAACAAGACTGAGCTTTCAAAACAAATAAGATAGAAGATTTCATAGACAGATCAAGCAGGATATCAAAGAGAATGCGTGTTTCATGCCGCACGGCGCCGGAAATGTAATCAATTTATCGCCCTCCACATAACGCCGTCCAGAACCTGAGTGCCGCAAATGAGAATGGTAAAGAATAAAGGGATCGTCGGTAAGTAAAAAGCAAAGGCTACTGTAATATGGAGGCCAAAGGGCGGGGTGAGATTTGATTTGAGGTGCCGTTTTGAAATACGGGGTGCATGGTGACGGAAATTAAAGTAACATGGCCGAAACGAGGCTGGGGAAGCCTCAGAGATTAGGGATGCTGGTTGTCGGAAGTAGTTTATAAGATCCCAGAATCCTTCAGCGCGTTTCGTAGAATGGTTTCTTTGACGGCGGCAAAAACGAGTCTGATGTTGGAGGTATCGGTGGCTTGGGTTAAGCTGCAAGATAATTAGCTTAAGGTTCGGAATCATGACTGGGAGCGGAATCTCTTACTGAGGATAGAGGTTAAGGTGCGCCCGGTTGACTTGATTGAACCGCCAAAGAAGATACTTTGCGGCTCGGTTGATGTCATTTCCCCCTGAATAATCAGGGAAGTAGCGGCTGAGAGGGGAGCGGGCAAGCTTCTGCCGGAAAAGGTCGACTTTGTTAAGGAACAAAACAATACTAGTGCGCATAAACCAACGTGAGTTGACCACGGAGTCAAATAAGACTAAGCTTTCCATCATTCGATTCTATACGGTTCAAAGCGTGAGTAAGAGTGTTTTGGATAAGGCGAAGTGTGGGCTCCATACCTGGTTGCTTTCTTCCAGGAGTACCTGATCGTACTCGCTCAAGGCAACGCAGAATATTATTGATGTTACATTTTCGAAACAATGAATCCACTTCTTCCGTTCACTTCGCTGGCCGCCAACATCGAACATGCTAAAGAAGAAGTTGTCAGAAAGATACTTGTCTGAGACTAGGGCCTGGACGTACTGAATGCTGAGCTGGCCCATTGTAAATCTCGTCTCGTAGATACCTGTCGTCTTCGTTCGCGCTCTCAGGACATCAGCTTCGTTGGGTATATATTCAGGTGTTACAATTCGTTTGACTTCATCAAAAAAGCTAATAATCGGCAATCAGTGATAGATCATCGGGGTAAGGTGGAGGTCTTGGCATACTAGGGTGCGGAATCCATCAGATAGAATTCGTTCTGGCGGTCAAGGACGGCGGGGACAACAGGATCATTCCAGAGGTATGTCACAGCGTCGCCAATTTTAGGATCGAGAGGAATATTGGGGTCAGGATCGATGTTGTATTCGTCCAGAAAATCCATAAAATCGCGGACTTTTGGACTCGACGGCAGCATGTCGAAATCATACATGGCCGTCACCAGCGATTTTGCACACTCCAGTAGGTTTTTGTAGACCGTCAAGCGACACATGGATAGCTCCTCGACGGTATATCCGTTTTGGTGAATGATTTTCATTTGTTTCACGATTGTCGATTTTCCACTCTCTCCAGAACCTGTAACAGAACAGCGCGGTCAGACACAATTCGCTTGGGACTCGTCAAGAGTCCCCAGCTAGACAGGCTCTAGAGCATACCCAAAAGCAATATCTTGCACTCCCTTCGCAGTTTTTTCGAATCCTCCTCCAGCTTTTTATCAATCATCTGGCTTCGTTTCTTCTGTTCCCCCGAGCTTGGGCCGGGGCCCGAGCTTAGACACCCACCCATCGTGACCACGGAGAGTTCAAAGCTTGAACGTGCAAAACCCCCACGGTTCGGAGGGCGGGAAAAAAAAAAATTCGTCGCGATGTCAAAGAGTGGTATGGGAAAGCGTTAGTTGATGGGGCGGGAGGGAGAAGCGACCGGGTCGATAGCAGCAGCGAGCCGCGGCGGCGTTAGGCCACAGAGTCAGGCTAGCGATATAGCACCGCGAGGTGGTTGGCTGCGGGTTGTGGGTGGACGGTCAGGACGGTCGACGGTCGATTGGGGCCAGACACGGAGTATCAAACGACGGCGATTCAGGACGGCGCTACACAGCACGGGGGGTGCCAATTCGATCAGCAATTCGTAGAATGAGGAGAGTCCCGTCGCAAGCGGCTGGTGAACGATGAGCAGAGGAACAGCGGCGGCGGCGGACAGGCAAGCCAGCTGCTGGGGGGCGTGGACGGACGGGGCCGGGGAGATTTGGGGAAGCGCCGGAGGGCAGCGAGACGGGGAGGGCGGACTAGAAGGCAGCGGAACGGGGGGGCGGGAGGCTCAGGGCATGATTCGCGAGGGCGCAGGCGGGAGCGAGAGACGGGGAGAGGCTCGCAGACGGGGCAGGGCGAGGCAGCAGTAGTAGCGGAGCGGCGAGCGGACGAAGCAAGGTTGGTAGGCGACTCACTAGCGGGCAGCAGGTGGGATGTGCGGAGGTGCTGAGCTGAGCGAAGCGGCGGCGGCGGCGGCGGCAGCGCAAGTAGTAGCAGCGGCGGCGCGCAAAAGGGGGCCGATCCGTCAGCCCTGACTAAGCCGCCATACCGTACGTAACGCCGTACGCATGCACGCGGTGCAGCACGCCGCCCGTCTGTCCCGTCACGCCCCGTAACTACGCTCGCTGGCTCGCTCATCGCGCAGGAGCGAGGCGACGACGGCTGCCCGCGCGGGCGCCTGACCCTGGGGTTTCGAGCTGGCGCTTGCAACCGTCGCGATCCTTTTCGCCCTGATCTTCGCGCCAGAGGATGATTGTTTCGACCTCGCCCTGCCCGCCGCGGCGTTTCATTGGCTGGGCATCGCTGCGAGCCCGCATAACCATTCCTCCGTGCCCGCCGCGCGCAATCTGGCCGGCCCTAGCACCGCTACACCACCACCGAGCTGCCTCCCCCGCACAGCGTGGATAACGTTATCATCATTAATATGACGGCGCCGAAGGAATTGCGACGGCGCAGTGTACGCGCAAATCCTGGGGCGACGCTGGCGGCCTGTGGCGGGTTTGTCCGCTCGCTCACGATTGCTCTGCCCCCGTCCTTGTACCGCCAGGTTCCCGCCCGGGAGAGAGCGCCTGCTGGGGGACGGCTGACGCCCGCCGGCCCGCGGTGCCAGCGCCAATGCGGTACGCGGCGGTACATCAAGCAGCGGCGTACGGTAACTAACGAACAGAACGCGCGGGTCGGTACGGCCGCCTGACGGTATGCGTACAAGGCGCCCGCGGGCTGTAGCATATAAACCCGCATTCGACACCCAAGGCGTTTTAGAGCTTCACGCCACGAGTCCTGCACAGACCGCCCGCGACCCGTGGTTCGGGATGCCACTTGCGTGTTTGTCCAGCCCTGATGGGGGATCCTTCCGCTGCTGGGCCTGCGCCCGCAAGAATTCTTAGTAGTTGGTTAAGATTGGGCATCAAACGTGCTGGCCGCAGCACAGGCAGCGTGCCGCACCGGCACGGCCTCTCCGTTCGCGCGCAGCGTGGACAGAAGCCCTCGTCACGGACAGTCGCACGGGCGTCCCACCGGGCGCGGTATGTACCACCGATACGCATGCTCTGTGCGTTTGCGGCCACGGCCATGCAAGTGCTGCCGTTGACGTTTTTGACGGCCCTGCTGCATGTGACGAAGGAGCGTGCTCGCTGGCTGGCTGTCTGTCCGCTCCTTCGCTGTCACCACCACCACCACCACCACCACCACCACCGTCGCGGTTTAGTTAGCACCGTGGCCAATGGCGCCCGGTGGGCATGGCAGTGTCTTTATCCCTTTCTAGCATTCACACTTGACTACTAGCTACCGTTGTACCGACTGGGCACCTGTCCTCTCGACATACTACGAGAAGTCGGTGCTGCTCAGCCGTGCACTAGTCATATTATTATTATTATTATTGTCTTTGCTTGTTTCGCCGTGAGAAACAAGTCTCTTTCCCCATCAAGCCACCTCCTAATAGTCGGCCTCCGCTAGAGCTAAGACGTACGTTGCCTCGAGACTTGAAGCTCCTATCAGGGCCAGTGCTGACTCCCGCGCCTGGGCGGACGGGACAATTGCTTGTCTCTTTCAAGTCCGCCCCCGCTACTCGTCAATCCCAATGTCCTGGGACAACATCATGAATTTCCGCCGTGGCACGCCAAGAATGGTGGCCCCAATTCCATCCTGAAGCTTGACGCCCTTTGTTGTACACGCAGAAATACCCGCCATGCGTTGTTACCTAGCTCATATTAGACAGCGAATATGCCATTGAATTTTTACTAGTTCAAATGAATCCCTGATTTGTTGAAAAAAGGAAAAATAAATCACATGCAACAGCCGGAATTTGCTGGTGGTCACCCATCCAACTATTCCGTACTCCGTATTTCATATATCAACATCAACACTAGATCAGCTCCACACTAAAAGGATTCTGCGTCGCAAAGATGCCACATTTGTGAAGGGCGCCGAATATTTTGCTATCAATTGTCAAACATCAAGAGCAGTATTCGTCAGCCACGGCATTGAACGAAGGATCTTGCAATTGCAAAACCTGCGTGGCAGTCGGGCGCAATTCCGGGTTGAATCGAGCCCTCTGCACAACACTTATAGAACGTCTTATAGCTCGATTAGATCGGTATAGGACATACCCCTTTTGAGTGATATTTCAGAGGTTTAAGCTGGGCATGGTTTCGTCGTAGGATCGTACCACAAATCCAGCAGACAATCTCCTGGGTTTCTAGGCGGAGAGAAAGCCAGCATTTTAGCGGTTTCCCAAAGATCTTGTGTTTATACATTCAAGAACTAAGCCGCCAGACCTAGACGGTTTGCGTCACGCACATATGGTGACGTAATGGGGATGAACAGGAGTGTCTCGCCAGCCTGCACGGTTCCAGCCCTATGAAGCCTCTGCAAACCCTGCAGCGGCAGCTTTGCTGCGGACATTTATTGGACTAGCAGCGGTAACGCTAGAGCCGGGTGGACTTAGTCACTCGGAGCATGGGCCGTGAAAATGCCCCCGATCTTCTCTAGACAATCAGTTCCCTGACACAGATGGTGCAGAAAACACATGATCCCGGTGGCATGATACCGAGAGAGTGGTTTCGCAGGCCCCTGGATGCCTTCATCCTGATCCTCCCGTCGTTGGTAGCAAAGTCAGTATGGTCCGAGTCAGCAGTACCCAGCATTGCCATTCTAAGAGGTAGGTGTGTGAAAACGTCTCTTTTTTGCACTTGTAATTTTCATTTTGCTCTTGGTACGGAGTGCACTGTAGATTTTGCTGCAGGGGCGAATCCTGCCAGGGCTAGAACTACCGTGTTAATACCACTAACGTTGGCATACATTATTCCTTCAGCTTTCTTGGTGACACCAGTAGTGTTCTGGCCTGAATCTTATTCCCCTGATCTTCGCTCTCCTTGAGAATCAATATGATCTGCTACTAGGTCAATAGTAGATGCCTGGGGTTCTGGCCATTGTAATACGTATTCGTATCTTTGTAGACACATACCCACGTGAGGGGAAGCTGCATATACTCCAGTTACGGAACGTCTTGTCTGTTTGCCTTAATTTGGCAAACGGAACATTATTGCAGGAGGTATATCTCATCATCGATGCACTGTTCTTCTAACCCTAACAAAGGATTGGGCTCTAAGTTCAGTCTCATTTTTACTTAGGAAGAAGGTAAAAATTTTCCCCGGGTATCCTAGGCCAACAATGGATCACGGGTAGAACCAATATCATCTGTATCTTGCGTTGCCACAGTAGTCTACCAAGAGGGAGATACTGCGACTTGAAGCTGTCGAGATTGGCGCGTCTATTCGTTTTTCACCTATAACTATATAGTGCGAGAAAACGAAGCTATTGTGTGAGGTACACACAATGCACAACCAAGAGACAGAGCATACGGAGTACAGGCACCCAGATGAACATTATTGTTCAGCCATGAAGCCGTAGATGGGGCCGTGGACGATCCCTGCCAACCACTGAACGCCTGGGTAGGGATTTCAGTCGTCAGCCGCCCCGGCACCGGCCGATCCTTCGACCAGTAAGATGCTGATGTGTCTCTGCATAAGGCATGTTTAAGCATTATTCGACCATGGACCCGGCCCAATTCGAACTTCTTCCCGAAGTGAGGGCATATTCCCCGTCTTAAACAAAGCGGATTGAAATCAAGTTTTTCGGGCAGTAGTGGAAACAGGAACGGGCACGGCATATGACTGACTCGGATATGAATGGCGGCAGATCGGGTGGTGAGAAGCAGCTCTCGATCGGGGAATTCGTCGACAATAATAATACCGAAAGGCAAGCCAGCCCCGGCCAGGAACCAGCGCACAGTGGTTTTTCTCGCCAGGGCGCGGATGGCGGTTTTGATTCGTGGGAAAGGATTCCGCCTGGAGCCGAATCGACGCGGCCCCTTGGGGCTGGGCCTCGCCTGGGGTGAAAGGGGGGGGGGGGGGGAAGAGAGGCTTCTTACCTAAGCGCGGCCGTTCGAACTTGGGCGGAAATATCGCCGTCAGATGACCCTGACTAAGGGGCTGCCGGCTCGCCCCTGCAACGCCTTTTGAGGGGCAATAACTAACTCATAGGTCGCCGACGCTGGAGGGTAGTTAAGGTGTTCAGGGCCCGGGCGGCAAATAATGGAGGTGAAGAAACTGGTATCTGCAGGCCACAAGCTTGTTTTGAGGGCGTGTTTACACGTCACAACACTCGCCTGTGGCGTGCCCCCGAGCATTAATTGAGTAACTACTTGGTCCATAGCAGACAAGCATGGGCGAAGCGTCCCCAACGGTTTCCAATCGCCTCCGTGTAAATTGGAGCGTAGCGGCAGGGGCAATGGCGGACCCGTGTATTTTAGTTGAACTAGCTGATGCTACGACGTCGAAATTGTGATTGCAGAGCAACGAATGGCGCCGGCGGCCCCTGTCGCGCCTGGCAGGCGGGGGGGCCTAGACGGGCCGTTGGACTGGCCTCTGACGCCATCAGGTGGTGGCCGCGCAGTGGGGCGGTGAATGAGAAGTCGCGTTGCACGGCAGGAGGCCGGAGTTTATAGTTGAGATGACTTGCGTTGCTGGCCTGCTTTGCTGTGCTCGAGCTTGGCCGGCCGGCGGTGACGTCGTTAGCTCAAGCGACTACAGCGCCATGTGACGGGGCGGCACGTGCTGTACGGGGTACGTAACTATGTACCTGGGCCCGGCGAGCGCACGCCCGCCCGCGCTGGACTGGGGACTGGGGACTTGCGACCGGCTGTTGCGAGATGGTTCTCGCTCGTTCGCTGCTAGCCGGCGAACTAGGCGGTGGCATACCCTTATTAGTTGGCTGGTGAGCCCTGGGCTGCAGACTCAGGCTTGGCGTCGTTTCGGAATGCCAGGCCTCGCTCGCTCGCTCGCTCTCGTTGTTGCTGTCCGCCGCCGCCGCCGCTCGCTCTTCCACCCACCACCACCGCCCACCGCCCCGTCGCCCGCCACGCTGCCCGCCCCCCCCCATCGCCCGCATTGCCTCTCCCGCCCAACGACCACGCCCGCCGTCCGCTTCGCCATCCAGCAAGTGATGCTCACGCCGTCTGTCTTGCCGCACTGACTGCCTGCCTGCCTGCCTGCCTGCTTGCCCTCCCCTCCCCCTCACTTCCTCCCCCACTTCACCTCTTTTGTCGGCTCTCTCTCCACCGCCGCTCCTCGATCCGTGGCCCGTCACCACTACCACCACCACCACCACCTCCTTCACTGCCCGTCCAAAAGCCCGCTTCCGTCCTTTTTGTCCTCGCAGTTGAGTTTCCGAGAAGTGGACGGAGGTGTCGCTGAGTGTGACGGGGGATTCACGCCCGCGTTCCTCCATCGGTCTTCAACATGGCGGAGTTTGTGCGCGCTCAGATCTTCGGCACCACCTTCGAGATCACAACGAGGTAGCCGATGCCGCCTCCCCTTCCGCCATCCCGCCTCTTCTACTGCTCCAGAACTGACAATGCCGGCGTCGCAGGTACACCGACTTGCAGCCCGTTGGAATGGGCGCCTTTGGTCTCGTTTGGTATGCTCCCATCCATCCCCTGTCGCCACCCCGCACGGTAAACACCCGGCGACGTCGACGTGTTTGCCCGCGGAAGTGTGTGTGGATTGCGACTGATGCCGTGTCTGCAGCTCTGCTCGAGACCAATTGACCAATCAAGCCGTCGCCGTCAAGAAGATCATGAAGCCGTTCAGCACCCCCGTGCTTGCCAAAAGGACTTATCGAGAACTCAAGTTGCTGAAGCATTTGCGTCACGAAAACGTGGGTGTCTATACTCGCTGTTTCCACAGGATGCTTTGGCGCTGACCCGACACAGGTTATTAGCTTGAGTGACATTTTCATCTCGCCGCTGGAAGACATGTACGTTGCCTACGCACGCCCCCGCAATTCTCTACATTCCATAGAATTAAACCCCCATCCGGGTGCACTGACCAGGCAACAGTTATTTTGTCACCGAATTGCTTGGTACAGATCTACATCGCCTATTAACCTCCCGCCCGCTAGAGAAACAGTTTATACAGTATTTTCTCTATCAGATTCTGGTACCTATTCCGCCCTCAATCGACGGTATTGCTTGGAATGATGCTCATGACAGCTTTAGAGAGGCCTGAAATACGTGCACTCCGCCGGAGTAGTTCATAGAGACCTGAAGCCAAGTAATATCCTGATCAACGAGAATTGCGATCTGAAGATTTGTGACTTTGGCCTGGCCCGCGTTCAAGACCCTCAAATGACTGGCTACGTGTCGACAAGATATTATCGCGCCCCCGAAATCATGCTTACTTGGCAGAAATACGATGTCGAGGTTGATGTATGGAGCGCCGGATGTATCTTTGCCGAAATGCTCTCTGGCCGCCCGCTGTTTCCTGGTAAAGACCATGTGAACCAGTTTTCAATCATCACAGAATTACTAGGGTCACCGCCAGATGATGTTATTCAAACTATCTGTAGTGCAAATGTATTTTCTCCTCAGCTATCCTCCCAGACACCTTACTGACTATTCGGAAGACCCTTCAATTTGTGCAGTCTCTGCCCAAGCGTGAACGCCAGCCATTAAGCGAGAAATTCAAAGATGCAGACCATTTTGGTAATTTTGACCCTCACAATCACAGTTCTAATACTAATGACTCTTTTTACACAGCGGTTGACCTCTTAGAGAAGATGCTTGTTTTCGACCCTAAAAAACGAATCACCGCTGCTCAAGGTCTTGCGCATGAATACCTAGCCCCTTATCATGACCCAACAGATGAACCTGAGGCGGAATCGAAATTCGACTGGTCTTTCAATGATGCCGAATTGCCCGTCGACTCATGGAAGGTTATGATGTACGAGTCGTAGCTCCCATTCAACTCACCCCAGGCAGATCTAACGCATTTCAAATCTAGGTATTCTGAAATTCTCGACTACCACAATGTTGACCAGGGGACTCAAGACGGCCCGGAAAGTACCCCTATCGATGCCACTGTCGCTGCCCCCCAGGTACCATTGTGAATTGGGAAGCCAAGGCTCAAACTATAGAAGAGTACTTGCAGCGGCTCTACAGATCCTGACCATGAAGATTGTGTTCATTTATTAATTGTCTGTAGCCGGTAATTCGGGGTCAGCGTGCGGGATCTGTTTTTTAAGGGAGGGGTGTTTTGTGTCTGTTTCTCTACAACCGCTGCTATCTGCACTTCCACGGATGGACTGGTTGAAATTTTCCAACCTAGGCTGCGCTGACAAAGGAGCGTAACGATGGAGCGATACCCCGAGCTTGTAAGCTCTCTTTCCGTTTATGGGGAAATCTTCAACTTTGGTCGCTGGAAAAGGGGGCTGGATTATATGGATAGGAATTGGAAAAAGGAATACTGACGTAGAGATATCTTTGTGTAATTCTGCATTTTACCTACATTCTTTAAAAAGGCTGATATTATTTTTGCTCATTTGTATCACTACTGTGTCTGTGCTGCCCCTTGTCTGATGCCGCATCCCGGTACAACTGGCTTAGTAAGCCGCCTCCAATCTCCCGATCTACTTATCAGGCGAGCCGCGACGATGCTCTGGGTTGCTGAGAATTCCCGGCCATGTCCAGCTGGAACAAAGCATACGAGAACCTCGAATGATATGGGCACTCGCCGCACTTCCCAGGACCCTATCCTCCTGGTTGTCGATTTCCACCATGCGAGGTGAGTTCGACCCTTATTTCCGTCTTATCTGGTCGTTATCTAAAAAAAAATACCTACCACACAACGACCAACAAGCCCGCTTCTTCGGGATCCTTCTTCCCCGCAATGCATGCCCGTTTGCTTCTTAGGCCTGTGCTGGGCACACTCGCTGACATCTATCAATTTCTCTGCTGACCATGACCCAGAGGTCCCGAGATAGAACTATCTTTCTGCGAAGATGGCACCGACCCCGTGGGCCAGAACGACTGGTCCCTGCTACCATTCATGGCCCTGACCGACGGCGCCCACGCGTACGCCTCCTCCCCTTCCCTCCCTAGAAATCCAGACTCCAGGATCAAACCCCAGACAGCTAGCTCACGAAGAAACCATTGACCCAGATCCACGGAAGACTTCTCCTACTTCACGCTTCGATGCAACGCGACGACGACCGGCGCGGCGGCGACCTCGCTGTTTGGGATCTCGTGCACGCGCCAGCTGGCCTCGAGCTCGCTGGTCAACCGGCCACCGGAGGTGACGCGGTCCACCGTGCAGAAGGCCGTGGTGGTGATCATCAACGAGCCGAAGCATTTTGGCCAGCTGCGCGAGAAATTGTCGATTGTGACTTCGGCTTGGTTTGCGCAGAGGTGAGGGGGCCGCCGGGTGGTTGTTTTGTTTGTATTTCTTTTTTGGGGGTTCTGACTGTCATGTTCTATTAGGGACTTCTCGGACACCGATATCTTGAAGGTGCGTTGTCTAATTTTTACCAATGACGAGTTTCTGACTTGGAGGACTATAGAAATTTTGGGAGAGCCTTAAGGATTGTCTAAATGGCGAAGCGGGCCAAAATGACCATGATCTTGGTTAGATCCTTTCAGACACGTTGTTTCTTGTGACTTTCGGCTAATAACTACCTAAGGGCTATCATTACGAGAAATGATTCACGAATTTAAGCATCAAACCTTAGTTCTGTTTAAATGTCTCTTGTTACAGCCAAAGGTGAAACAGACCTCTCATTATCTGGGAAGAATCTCGAATTCTTACATGACCATAGATGCTGTTTTTTGGATCTCGGTGTGAGCGATTATGCATGATACAGTTTTCCCTTATTTCGTTGATACCCGGCCTCCTGGATCATCTTGACGACTGCGCCGATCCGGCATTTGATACTTACTCGCAAACCGTGGAGAAGCCGACATCTCTAAGAACTAGCGAAAGAAGTTCATGTATGGAACCCAGTCAGCTGTAACTTTCTATAAATTCATTAACCAGATACTAGTGCTTGCTTATATGGGTTTGCCGCTCCAGATTTTTGGGAAGGTAATTGACCGACAGGCAACGCTGATCAAAGGCATTTAACACTAGACTAACGCGACCATCAGGGAAGCATGTTTGGGCCATACACTCCTCTACAACAACTTGACCTCCTCGCTGATCACGGCACAAAATCATATCTTGTTGGATCTACCAACTCATTACTTCTTCAACAGAAGGATCGATATAGCGATATTTTGATTAATGTATGCCATTATTTCTCCCATTAGAAGAAGATCTGCTAATATTTTGAAGCTTGACGAAGATAACATTACAATTTCTTCTCCTTCTTTACGATTGGCATTAGCTCTAACAGCTGCTGATCGACGATGGATCGATTTTCTTACGCAGATAATCAATGAGACGTGGGATGAAGCTCACCCAGATCGCCCCAAGACACATGGATACCTAGGATCTGAAGAGTTCATACGCCTTCAATTTGAAGAATACCTTCTAGCTTTGCTATCGTCCATGAAGTACCACGAACAATCCGCCAACCAGGCCCCTTCAACACCATCAAGCACTACGCCAAAATCACCAGCATTTCAGCCACAGCCATTAGATATCGACGGAGATCCAGCAGTGGACTTCAATCTTGACTTTTTACAGCATTGGCAAACAACCTCCAACTACTCATTATTCAGTCGATTGACGTCAGATTCGTTACTATTCTCTATTGTCGAACCCCGTCACCCATGTGCTGGTGGATTGGGGTTTGATGATATCCAACGCCGACTCGCTCAACAAGTATCTGAGCTACATCTCGATGAACGTGTCCGAGAAGGTCGAGAAGCACTGAATAGACACCTTGTCACGGGGCAAAAAAGAGTAACGGCTGCATTCAATACCTTTTGGTCCGACATCGAATCGATGCGCGAAGCCCAACGCAAAAAGGCAGACGAGAAAACCCCGCAGCAGACAACGGCGACAACGACGGAAGGCAACAAGGCAGCGGACAATGATCCTTCTCCGCGACCTTCATTCTCCTCCGTCCGATCACCCACGATTGGCTCGTGGGGCTTTGCACCTCGAAAGCCAACTGCTGCCGATTTTTCTCAAGCCCAGGCCAGTGTAGCTGCTGCTGGCCAACGGGCGTCTGCTTACTTCAGTTCGTGGGGCTCCTGGGCCACGGAACGGAGAAAAGAATGGCAGGAGAAGAGATCAGACCCCAATAGCAGACCTGGCAGTGTTCTCTCATCTCCAACCCAAACGCCCAGAGGGTCAACTACTCTACCCAACGGGAGTTTTATCTGGCAAGCCGACGACGTTATCAAGGAACGGCGGAGCAATGATGACAAACATCGGGATGCTCCTACTTCCCTCCCTAAAGAACTTGAAGAAGATGCAGAGGTGCCGAAGCTAGAGTTAAAAACTAATATTCTCGAGCGACAAGACCCTCCCGTAACCTCTCAGAGTGCGGCAGCATCTTCCGAAACAGCTAGCTCTACCACCGCGGACCCTAAATCGGTCCCAGAACTGCCACCTGATGCCCCAAATAAGTCACTGGCCCCCGATATGTCCTCTAAAACTTCGAGCTCCGACCCTCAGCCACCCAAGAAACCACGAGTTCCTCAAGATTCGGAGAAAAAGGCAAATATTTCCCCATCTACTCTCGATGAAGATAAATCCCGTGCCGCAATTCCTGAAGCCAGTCCTGCAGCAATCTCAAAGCAGAATAAAGTAGAGGCTGGAGAATCGAAAGATTAAGAAAGGGCTGCTTGGGATGGGCGAGTAAATACGTACGTACATGAATATAATGACGGTATATTTTAGGGTTTACATATATGGATAATGGTCTTAATTTGTAGTCTCGTACTCTGTACTGGAAGGGTTTTATACTCACTGCAATGCAGTGTCCTATCGGATAAGATGATTTTTGGGGACCGTGACATTGTGTCTGCGTGAACTACTTGAACGATTTATGCATTCTCCGTATCACTACGGAGTAAGTGGGTAGGGTAGGTAGTAACTAAACCTTACCCTTATTTTAGCCGCTATGGAGTAAATCGTCGCCAGTAGGCCTTTCATTATTAACTATAAAAGAGAAGAGATGCTGTACTCCATAACTCAGGTCGCATCAAATGCTCGACGCTTTTCTTGTTTTATGAAAACTATGGCATGTCTAATGCCGTACTGAAAGAAAACCACGCACCATTTCCCTGGAAACCCGGCTCGGAACCATGACTCTGAATAGCTGAATTCAGAAGATACACAAATTACTATCACTTGAATTGCCTCTCCACTTCCTTAAAAATGCAATCCCAGGGAGTGCACAGCAAATGTCCCAAATAAAACTTCCATGGCGAGCTGAAAGAAAAAAAAAAGCGAGCAGCTAGGCAATATATGCTAGTTCATCACCATCCAGTCGCTCAATGTATTCTTTTTCCATCAATGCCTCGATATTCTTTTTGATATCGGGAACCTTAGGTGGAAAACGGGCTTTGACCTGTTGAATGACTTCTTGCACAAGTTGTACATGTTTCAATTTCTTGCGGGACTTCATAATGCGGACAATTGCAGACTGTTGTATGGGTTAGCAATGACACAAACTACAGGAAAGAAAGAAAAGCAAACCTGGAGCAGTAATTTGCGATCTTCTTCAACCGTTTTGTGTGTATCCTCAGCCTCAGTTTTCTGTTCTGCTTTGACTTGAATGTTCAAATTAACCTTGATTTTTTTTGCTTTGAAGCCATAATTCAAGGAATAAGAAGTTCCAACACGGGGCTTGCCATCCTCTGGGGTAGGAAGAAGCACTTTTGCCTTAACTAAGATGCCAAGATTTGGGTCTAGTATGTCTGAAGACAGTGTAGTGGCTTTCTCAATTTCTTCGTAGTCCAGCGTGTCATGCTCATTATACAATAAAAGAATTCCCATTTGATAGGTTGAAACTTGGAAAGTATATGGAACCTTCGTATTTTTGATATAGTTTGCTTTCAGTTCGCCTTTGCATAGTTGCCAAAGCCATGTAAGCTTGCGGCCGCTATGTTTATCACAGTAAAAGCTCTTGAATCGTTCGGTTGTCTTCAGGATCTCAGCAGGAGGGATAAATTGAGAAGTAGGAGGGTTCAAAGGCCAGAACCCAGTTCCTAAAATTTGGAAGTGCGGATCAATCATCTTTTTACGATCCTCTTCGTCAAACGTGCTTGCTGCCCAGTCTTTATAGCTAGCATTTAAGTCCTTGGAAATCTGAATATCCTGGAACATGCGTTGAAGTTTGTTGGTATATTCAAACCCACAGGCTTCTTTAAGCTTGCTGATCATACTAGTCTCCGCATCATCAGATACGGAGCTAACATGAACAAGGCGCTTGGCAAGCATTCGCGAATAGAATTTTTGAAAGACGTCCTTATCTTCAATATATTTGAACACAGTCATAATCTGCGAGAGTAATTCTTCATATTCAGATTCCTCTGGTGATTTCACGCCCTTTTTGAGTAAGGAGTCGGTGTATCGAGCAAGGAGCTCGGGTGATTTCGTAGAGCTTGTGTGACAGAGTGCATTTCGATTCACAAACTCGCGACATGCATTGTCTAGTGATCTGACAAATTCTGACTCTCCGTTGAAAGCTGCTTCGACCATATTTCTGTATTTTGAATGTACTTGCAACAATGCATCGATGTAGGCTTTGGGCTCCACACTATCACCACCAGCAGCAATTTTATCGATAGCGGTAAGGCCGGCTCTTCTAACATGAGTCTCAAACTTGCTTCGTAGAGGGTCAAGGCCATCTTTAATTTTTGATAGCAGCCTATACATTCGAGCAAGATCATCCCGCCTCTCAGCATCTAATAGTACTTGGAATTCGTCACGCAGTAGTAACGAATGGGCGGAAACAAGAACATTCAAACAAGTATCAGTCAGGTTTTTTGTGATATCAGGGTGTAGGTAGAGATCTACTCGAGCTCGCTCCTCTTCTAGCCTAGCTTCCGCCTTTTTCATGTACTCCACAACACTGTTTTCGGCAACGAAGTTTCTCGACTCATTCTCGTAGAAAAGTTTGGTTGCCTCAATGAAAGGTTTTTCAAAGTAAAACTGATAAACTATTAAGGTTGTTTTGGATGTGTCGTTCTCATCCAGGCCTAAGGAAACGAAAGAGTCGACAATGCTTTTGATCTGGGACTGTTCGATAGTTTCGCCATTCCGTTGTTTCTCAACTAAATTCAAAACTGCAGTCATCACATTCTCATGCACTCTCTTGAAAAAATCTTCTCTCCATTTAACGAGATGAAGAGTATATACGTCAAAGATTTCTTTCTTCCCTTCGTCGACCTCTCGTTTTACCCAGTGTCGGTTTAAGTATCGGAATAAATGATTTATGTATTTTGCCGCAGTAGTATAACGTGACCATTCTCGAATATAAAATGCCAAAAGGGCTTCTTCAGAGTGGCCGAGAGAGGCTTCATAAATACCGTTTAGATGCCTCGTCAGGTAGTCACCGAGGGGAGTGTAAATTTCTTCTCCGAGGAGATGCGCTTAAATGGTTCACAATTGTATTCAGTTTCTCTTTATTTGTACTAAATATGAAACCAAGAACTTACATTTTCCGCCACGGTGGTTTGTATTCGACGAGTGGTGGGCAGGGCTTTGGAATTTCTGAGAGGTGCAAAAGTTATGCACGGCGCTGAATTGAGTTAGCGGGGCATTTCAAGGAAGTAAAATACAGCCCAAACTAACGTGTATATGCCCATATACTATTGATCTCGTAGGTTAGCATTCGGCACGCGTTGGGATAAGCTCAGATTGAGTTTGAATTGGACGTACTGTAGCCATATCTATGCCACTCTCAAGGTCGTTCATAACTCTTTCAACGCCCTGCTCGAGGAACAGCCATCTAAATACCAGTATCAGTAAGGTTGTGAGGTATAAAGGTAAACAGTTGATCATCTGGACACTCACGTCTCCACAGCCTCCTTCTGCTGAGGCAACATGTTGGAGGGCGGCATGCCTGCAAAGCAAGCCTGGGCGTGAAAGAAGGGACTTTCGAAGTTAGGACGGCGAGTAAGCAGGTGGAGAACTGTAGTCAACATACAGACAATATTTGGTCACCTATTCGGAGGAGAAAAACGGGTTTGCGGTTAAGCTGAGTTGTCACTACCCAACAAGTGAGACGAACACACAAGCTGTACGCCAGTTGATCAGTAGAAGGTAGATCTCCTGGCGTTCCTTGCAAAATATGGTAGGTCTCAGCTTGAGAGGAGTGGAGTGAATAAAAGAAATGGAGGTGAAGATGTGATGGAGTTGGAGTCAATATTGCCTGTCGGGAGCCTGGGAAGATGGGGTATTTAGGTTGGGAGGTATTTGACGGTACCACACCGCGCTCAAAGGCCGTGGGTGAACCTGGCGGTACCTCACGTCCGTCCGCACCTGACTCTCCTGCGCTAGAGTAAAATTGGTCTAGCGCCACTACCGTTATCGATAAGGGGCCTGACCTGATGACGTTCTTTACACCCTTTGTAGGCTGTTGTAGGCCGTGATGCTGGGCTAAATAATTACAGGACAGAATGCACAGCAAATAAACATGTTATACTAAGTAGAATAATGTTAAACTAGAATACTAATTGGAACTGTGTTGCTCCTATGGCACAATCTTGTTTAGAGACGGCCAAGCTTTTAATGTCCAGGCACGTTTCCTCCAGGAATTTCAAGCGGAGCAAAACCATCTATGGAGTAATGGCTGCCATATACTACTAGTGCGCCATATTAGAGAAGGAAAAGAGTAAATATATTTAGATATTGGGACTGTGAAATGTTGAAATTGAAGTTGACGTATTAATTTTGCTCACCATATGGCGCAGGCGTGGTGATCATAATTGATTGTACGTAATGTAAAAGTGGTTCTGTTAAACTCTTGCTCTGGAGATATACATTTGATCACAAAAAAAGAAAATAATTTTAGAACAATCGATATATTTTCCATTTCGCCTCGCTTCAGGTAAGAAATAACCAAACAATTAGGGAAGCCACAGCAAACGAATATTATGCCTCAAAAATACACTCAAGAAAACGTAACTAGCCAGGCTGAGAGACAGAAAGATAAACAAAAAAAGGGTATAAGGGCGTCATATCCTTTACTATGCCTTCTAGTATGCGCGTAACTGTAGGATATCAGAAAGAAAAATTATAGGATGAAAGAAACTACTTTGCGGCTACCCGTTCCACAACCCTATTCATTGGACCGTTAGTACCTGGGAAGCCTACAAAAGTAAGGAAATTAGCATACCTGAGGACGCTGATGGAAAAGGTCATTAGCCATGCAAGTAATGCAAGAAGCAGTACCGATGCTAGCGCTTTCTGTCTTTCGCATATTGTATCGTTCTTGGGATCAAACCTGTCATTCACCTTCGCAGATGTACACGAACTCGTCACATCCGATAGAGATTCAAAAGCTAAGCTTAAATTTGCTGACCCAAAAACAATGAAAACGAGATCCAAAAAGAGGAGCCTCATTTTAGTTTTTGGCGCTCGCAGGCCAAGTGGTTTTCCCGTGTACTCGTCGTATGTAATGTAGACAAGATAAACAAGAGCCACTGCATCGACAATGATTGCCATTTCTGCAGATGGCCCCTGGGGGTGGTCATACTTTGTAGCGTAATGACGGATGGAGCCTCCAAGGCCTAGTGCGGCGACAGAATATATGAAAACGGTCAGCCGGATAATAAGGGGGACCATGGGGCTTTGCAGAATGGTTCGCTGGAAACGCTTGGTGAATTTTTTCCGCCTCTGAGTAAGGCTCATATTGCCGAACCCGCTCTCCAAATCCGTTTCATCAGTCTTGCCTTGCCATGGTCTAGAATAGTCTCCAAAGTGCGTGTCTAACCAGTTGTCGTCCACTTTTTCTCCGCTCATTGCCGTCGTTTGAGTGTGTAGGGTGGACTGAACAAACGGTTTCCATCTTGACTGGAGCCGACCGTCATTGCTAATCCCATACCCTTCATATCTCGCGTTTTCCGATATAGAAAAGTGGTGGTCTGCGACGCGCGCTCCGCCAGGTAGAATTGGCGCCGATTGCGGGGAAATGCCCAATTTATTGGCCTGGGATGCACTTTGCACCCACGCTGTGTCAGTTAGCGACGTGTAGCTACAGTGTAACTTGCAAGTCAAAAATATCCAAAAAGCGCTTACCAGGAACAGTTCTCACGGGTAGACATCCTGTGTTTAGAAGGGGTTCCTGGAGGATTTCATGCTTTTCGCTGGAGGGCCAGCTCGGACCACTCTGGTGTGTCGGCCCCCAACGCTTCTCATCAGTTAAGCTAGATCGGGTCATCGACTGCCCAGACTTCCTGCTTGGAAGGGGTATATCGAGTAGCATCAGTTCCGGCGTCCGTCGTGAACCTCCGCTGCGTGTTGTTGAAAGCTGAGAACGCAACGAGGCGTCCCCATTCCCAGCCATGGCAGTCTTGTCAGAAGTCTGTGGCGGGGGGTGGCGGCTATTCTATCGACGGGGTCGCCAATACCGGTGGCACATGGTTTCAAGTTGCCGTGCGGTCGCGTCGGTGGATGTGCTCCCAAGTGTCTGCACACAGGGACGGGCGGCGAAAACGGGCGATGTGAAAGAAGAAAAAAGAGGCGATTCAAGAATGAAACATAAAACGAACGACGGCCAGGAGACAATCAAACAGGCTGGGCTGGCCAGGCATCCCTGATTTGGCCGCAATCTCGAGTCCGGAGCGCCAAGCCGCACATCGGCCGCTGTGCCACAGCCACCAGCCTCCCGCGCCAGCCTGGTTAATGACGTCGGGCGCGACCTGGCGAGTTTTCGCGAAGCCTCACAACGCACAGCACGGCGTCCATCTCGCGACAACACAGCCGCGCTGCTGAAAATGGTTGCTTTTCGAGTCGACTGTGCTCTCCAGATCGCCCCGGACCATTGAACCCACGCTCTGCACCCCGACAAATCCTGCGATGCGGCTGTTTCTGATCCCAATTTCCACCCGGCGCACCCTGCTCTACTGCAAAAAGGAGACCTCCGGCGCGGTGGCAGAACTTAGCTACCTCGACAGAATCACGAACAAGGCGTCGGCTACGTGGGTGAAATGGGAGGAGGCCGATGGAGGCTGGAAAAAAGCCCTGACCACCTACGGCCATCGCGTGCTGCAGCGCATCCCATATGAAGAATGGGGCCTCAAAAGTGTGCCCCCGCTGAACGCGCGGAGGGAAGCGCACGAATTGCAGTCACAGAAGCCCATTGAACTGCTTTACCCTGAAAACGTGATTCGCGAAAGCCGCGTGCTTGGGATGCTTCGAACGCTTGCAACAGAGCGCCAGGACCTGCATCGAAGGAGGATGTGGTGGAGTCTGGGGGTGGCTCCGCTGACAGCACCAATTGCCCTGATTCCAGTGTGAGAATTTCATATCCTTCTAGAGAGCGACTCTTTTATAGACTTTCTGGAGACTCGTTTGTCTGACGTTCGCTCCTCATCTAGAATACCCAATATACCTTTTTTTTACCTAGCATACCGAGGATGGTCACATTGGAGAGGTAGGACTCGTTTTTTTATTTTTGCCAATTTCTCAAGCTCAATGTGTCTAGCTCTGAGGGGCTCTCAACACCTCGAATTTCTCCTCAATCATCGTCTCGTCCAGCCGATATCCTCCCCCGCCCTGGAGCATCTCTATTCAAGACACTCTGGTCTTATACGAGACAACAGTGCTGTCGAAACAGCCAACGAAAAGGCTGTGCCGGATCCCATCACCCAACTGGAGCCGCCGGACGAGCAAATCCTTCTTGACATTGCTGACGGAAAAGCCCTTGCGAAAATGTTAGATGCACCAGAGCTACATGTCGAGGTTGAGCGAGCTGTTGCACAGGTACAAAAGCTATTGAACCATGGAAAGGGAACAAAATGATGTTTTTGATGAGTGGACACTGTGCCCACCTAGATAACGGTTCTAGCTATTCGAGCCTTCTTTGGATCTTTTTGATTAGGTGCCAGGTGAATTAACTCCATTCTGTGCTCTTTAGACCTCTCTGCTCATGTACATTATTATTTGGTCTTGTTAATTAGAGGCATATCACAGGGCGGCTGGGTAGGGAGTACGCGGATAGACTTGAAGGTCAAATCCAACATAATATACCTTGATGCTAAAAATGAATAATCTATAGCTACTAAAGGAGTCGTATTGACGCCTCGGCTATTAATCTATGAAAGCAAAACCTCGTTTTCCACTATCTATTAGACACGTGTACGGAGTAGTACTGTTGAGCAGGAGTCAGGTGACTTGTCAGGTGACCAGGTCTCCAAAGGAGGAACCGGAGAACCATAGGTTCGCCACCTCCTCTTCTTGACCATGGTACTGATTTCATTATCTTTGTCTATTGGGCTGGCAGAGGTTTGCTAGGGGTTTTTCATATGTTTTTTCCATAGCCTCAGTTATAGCATGTTCATTTATAAGTATTCATGTCTTGTTCATTAGAAGCAAGACCAGACACAATATTATAGACATTCAGTCACATGATCATTACATGCTTCTGTGTCATTTAATAGTTATGAGTCCAAACTCTTTCAAGAATTTGATTGTTATCTAAAGATACATTCAAGATACTTTATTTTACTCTTGTTACTCATACAAATAGAGATCACTATTAAGTATCTTGAGATCATACATTGAATTCTCTATTTAAGCTTAAATCTTAATTGTGGAGTTTATGAAGATCTAATGCATCTATATAATTCTTATCAATCTAAGTCTACAGAAAACCATAATCTAGAGTTAATGTCTCACTTCAATAATTAATTAAAAATGAATGAATCATCTAGAAGAGTTGTTATGCTGAATAGTTCTGATGATTGAGAAGAATGAATTGAAGACATCAAGTATTTAGTAAATCTTCACTGATTGTGATCATACATTAATTCAACAAAAGAAATGCATTCTGAACTTCAGAAATTCATTATAGAGAATTTTCTTTCTTCTGAAAAAACTGAAGAAACTGCAACTTCTGCAGATATGAAACATGTAAGAAATATGCAAAGAGATTGATACAGAACTTAAAAGAAGAGAGTTTTAGCAATGCAAGAGCTACAGAAGACAATAAGAGACTGTGTAGATCTGTCTCTGAAAATTCTTACAATAAGTGAATTGAGCAGTATAGAAGCTACTGCAAAAGAACATCTGAAAGCTCTATATGCTAGAAATGTGATGAATGCTTCTCAATTAAAAGCTAGACTAGTAGAGAGATTCAAAATTCTAGAAGATGAATTAAAGAATTAAGTAATTAAAGCATATTTACTGAACTATAAAGAAGCATTAAATCAGACTATCATGTACAATATGTGCAAATATATTCACAAATCTTTTGTCTTCAAACAATTTCTGAGAGCAATCTCTCAGAATTACAGAGAGTTCTTCTATATGTATCTGTCAAAGCTTCTAACTGAAGAGAATTTGAATTGAAAGCATGAGCTGGATGTTTATAGACATATTTAAATATTTCAGCAGACATTAAAGAAGAATTCTGAGCCAGACCAACAGAATAAGCTGTCAGCATACTCCATCAAAAAGATAGTTCAAAATAAGCTGTTGGGAAAGAATAATGGAAATATGAACTTAACATATCTTTGCAGAGAGCAACATGATTGGGCATACTGCTCATATTTTAATTCACTTATTTAATCAATGGGCTGGAAACTGGATCCAAAAATTAATAATAAGATCAATAAAGCATTGAAGAATCCAGTGAACAAAAGAAAATTAAAGAAAAAGATTGTAAATTGAAAGAAATTGAAGAATTTAAATACTACTGAAGAAGTTAGTGCTTTAGACAATGCAACAGATGATGATGCTAACAAAGCTGTTGTCAAGACATTCTCTAATTCAACTATCTTCACTTCTGTAACAGTTTTTAACTTCACTAATATGAGCAATAAATATGAATTCTATTCATTATGGGACAGCTTCATATTAGATGGGGGTGCAGATGCACATATTTGCAATGATTTTACAAGATTTCAAAACTATTGAAATGCTGATTCTTTGAATATTGTGCTTGTTGGAAATACTCATTGTAAAATTCACAGATACAGTGATGTTGAAGTTTATATTTAAACATCAGCAGATGCTGGCAAGATATTACTAAAGAACATTCTCTATGTCCCTGACTTTTATATAAATCTAGTAGCACACAGATTGCTGCATGTGAAGAATTGTTATTTGGACAACAAGTCTTTTACAGTTTACTACATCAGCACAAGAAATATCTTGTTCAATTTGACTGTTAAAGAGAGAAAAATGATTGTTGAATACAGATCTATTAATGTTGCAACAGACAGTATAACAAAGAGTGTCTTTACTGCTTCATTGAGCAGAAATTTAATTAAAAAACTGATCATGATGTTGATCTTTAGTTTGCTGGAAATCATGAATATTTGGCATCTGAGACTTGATCATCTAGAAAGAGAGTCTCTGACTCATCTTCTGAAGATGTCTACTGACATAAAATTTGAAAAGATCTCTCAGAGTTCTCTAATGATGAAGTGCAGATCTTGTGCTCTTTCAAAAGTAAAGTAAATTATACACAGAACATCATTAGAAAGATCTATACATCTATTCATAAAGATGTTTGTTGATCTCATACAGTTTGCTTCAGATTATAATGAAGATAGATGGGTGGTTCACTTATATTGTGATTATACTCATCTACACTACATGGAAACAATGCAGCAAAAATTCAAAAGTTTGACATGCACAGCAAAAATGATAAGAGTAATTCTCAATTTATATTAATTGACTATATTGACTATTTGAATTGATGAAGAGATCTCTATGCAGTCAGAACTGACAGTGTTGACTTGAACATATAATATAGTTGTTCAACATTCAGCATTCTACATGCTGGCTCAAAATGAAGCTGCAGAGTGTGCAGAAGCTTTAATAATGACAGCAGCATGTACAATATGAATTGAAGTCAACTTATCTGAGAATTTGTGACCAGAATGCATCAAGACTGCAGTGTATATTTTAAACAGAATTCTGATTAAAGATCTTGATTGAAACACTTCTCTTGAATTCTTAGAGAAATATCTTTGAACTGCAACTTCTTTAACTGAAATTAGACATATAAGAGTTTTTGGCTGTAGAGCATATTCTTTAATTAAGAATGCACAATATGGAAGAAATCAGAAGCTGACTTCTAGAGTGAAAGTTAAATATTTTGTTGAATACAAATCAATGAATATTTTTTGCATTTGAATTTCAGTATGATGAAAGATTATATTAACAAGAGATGTTATATTTGACAAAGATACACTATTTAATTCTAATGAAATTAGCAGTGAATTTTTATTACAGAAGAGCTTCATTGTGCCAGATACAATATCTTTTGTTGAAGTAAGTGATATTAACAAGACAAGCTTGAGCAAGCATGACAGCAAAGATGAAGACTCTGAGAAGAATACATCATATAAAAGTCATAAGACTGTTGATCAGTCAATAAAATTGATAGAAACAATGACTAAGACAGTAACTGATCAATTAGAAGAGATATGTGCATTGTCAACATTAGAGTTAACATCAGAGTCATCAGCTCTAGACATCTATATTCAATCTCTTTCAGATGATTCAACAATGCCATTGACTGAAATAGAGACACTGAATCAACTTTCATTCACAGTCAATCATTCTGCTGTGAAAGCTATGAGGGCAGTGAGTGATGTTGTAGTTGAGCTGTCTGAAGATATAACATCTACTACACTTTCTGTCACTAGTTCTACAGAGGCAGTGAGCATAAATGATGGACAATTAATAGTCAATCATTCTGCCACAGAAGCAGTGAGCATTAATGACAGAATTTTAACAGTCAATTATTTTGTCACAGAAGTGATGAATAACTCAGCTGAAGTGAGCTCAAACAAGCAATCTTCATCTTCTAGGCAAAGTGCTAGAATAAGATGTCAAAACACAGATCAAATTGACAGATGAACAGCTTATACAGTGATTCTGCAGCAAACAGTGCAATTGAATTCATTTTATAGAGACTATTTAACAGCTTTTACAATTACAAATTCTAAACTTTACAGAGAGAATCTTCCAAAGTCTCTGAAGCATTATTTTTCAATGTTGCAACATCCATATGCTGATGGATTTAAGATCATCATGGATGTGGAAATGAAGAAGCTACAAACAAAGAAATGCTTTGAAGAAGTAGAGAGCTTGAAAGAAATATGTTCAATTTCTTTAATGTGAATTTATATGTATAAATTTGATGTTAACAGTTTTTTGAAATGTTATAAGACAAGACTCATTTTTCATGAAGATCTGAATATCAATAATAAACATAACATCTATGCTGCTACACTTACTGTGTGAATATTTCACCTTTTAATGACTATAACAGCTTATTTTAAAATGGAGATCTTTCAGATTGATGCTGTTAATGCATTCATTAATGCTTCATTTGATAAATCTGTTTATTGCAGACTGACAGAGAGTTACAGTAAGAAAAGAGATGTTTGAAAGATTCTACATATCTTATATGATCACTCTGAATCTTCACAACTTTGATATGAAGATCTCACTTCAACACTCCAGAAGCTAAAATTCTGTCAGATTTATGAAGAATCATATCTATTTGTTGATAAGAATATTATTATCTTCTTTTACATGAATGACATAGTATTTTTATATCACAGAAAGAATGTTGAAACATTTGAGCAGTTATTGAAGAATCTACAGATGTATTATAAACTTCAAAAGATTGAAGAGCTAGAGTGATTTCTAGATATCTGTGTTTTATGCAATAGAGATGCTCAGAAGCTTTGACTGTGTCAGAATAGTTATATTGAGAAGATTGCTAATAAATTCAATCTTATAAAGTTGAAGTCATCATGTACATCAATGATAACTGCAGATATAGCTTCTTATATGAAGGCACAAGATAAGCAACAAATACATATCTATCAACAGAAGATTGATTCAGCTCTCTACACTGCTATTATAATGCAGTCTGATATTTCATTTACTACTGCAAAATTAAGTGAGACTTTGATTAATTCAGAATCAGAACATCATACAGCAATTGAGAGAATTATCTCATATGCTTTTTCAATAAAGTACTATGCTCTTGAATTCTGTGCTGATTACAGATTGAATACTCAGAGAGAGAATAATAATACTGACATCATTAACATTCATTTAATAATTGTCAGTAATTCTTCTTTTGCAGATGATTTGAAATCTAGACACTTCTCTCAGAACTTCATATTCAAGCTCTTTGAAGACTTAATTAATTGGAAATTCTTCAGACAAAAGACTGTTACAATGTCTTCAACAAAAGCTGAGCTTTTAGCACTATTCTATACAGCAAAAGAGACCATGTGGTGAAAATGCTTATTTAAGAATATTATGTTGAAATTAGAAAGAGATTTTGATATTTTATGTGATAATTTATAAATAATACAGTTACTGATTTCAACAGCTTCATAACTAATTATTAAGCTTCATCACATTGATATTCATCATCACTGATTACAGCAAGCAGTTACTAATAAGAAATTGAATATTAGCTGAATTGAAAGCAATAATATGTCTGCAGATGACTTAACAAAGATCTTATCTAGACAGAAATTTGAAAGATTTGTTAAGTAATTGAGACTCATGAATATTAATTATTTAATAGAGAGAGATTTGCTGCCTACATCACTGTCAAAACTATAAAGATGTGTTGAGCAGAAGTCAGATGACTTGTCAGATGATCAGATCTTTAAAGAAAAAACTGAAGAACTGTAGATTCATCATCTTCTCTTCTCAATCATGATACTAATTTCATTATCTTTGTCTATTGAGCTGGCAGAGATTTGCTAGAGATTTTTCATATGTTTTTCCCATAGCCTTGATTATAGCATGTTCATCTATAAGTATCCATGTCTCATTCATTAGGAGCAAGACCAGACGCAATATTATAGACGCTCAGTCACATGATCATCACGTGCTCCTGTGTCGTCCGATAAGTACATATTATTTTGAGCCCCTATCAAGCTCGGATAGTTAACAATACTTATGTAAGCATCTGCAACATCCGCCATGACATAGTTGCTTCACGGCTTTTGACTTGGGAGTCAAGAATGCGCCCCACACAGTGATTTGTCGTTTTCTTTTTTCTAATATGTCTGAAAAGAAAATAGAGCAATGGGAGGTGGAGCGTTATTGGGAAATCTTCTCTTCCCTCTCCAATGGCCAGTCCCGCTTGAATAACGCTCAAGCGGCAACCGTTCTGAGAAACAGCCGGTTAAGGGATGACCAGCTGGAGAAAGTCTGGGATCTTGCAGATGTTGACGGAGATGGAGAGCTGGATTTTGAAGAATTTTGCGTGGCTATGAGACTTATTTTTGATCTCGTTAATGGAGTATGAGCAATGTCGCGCTGTAAGGAAGACTACGCATCTCGCTGACCAACATGCCAACTAGGAATTAGCAGACGTCCCACGCCAGCTACCAGAATGGCTGGTCCCAGAGTCGAAAGCTCATCTTGTCCAGGCTACACAAGCACTATCTGGCCACCAGCCGCAATTCGAAAGAGTAGAGGACGACGACGATACACCAGGCTTAAAAGATGGCTTCGATTGGTACATGAGCCCTAGCGACAAAGCCAAATATGAAGATATATACTCTGCAAATAAAAATCACCGTGGAGAGTTAGCTTGTAAGCCACTCCTATCTTATTGTCGCATTTTATGCTTCAGTATACTGATGAACACTTGCGGCTAGTCTCTTCGCTCCAACAACTCTACGATTCCCTCGCCGTACCTGACACAGACATCCGCTCCGCCTGGAACCTGGTTAATCCAAACGCCTCTTCTACTATTAATAAAGACGCATCCCTCGCATTTCTTCATATACTCAACAATAGACATGAAGGCTATCGCATCCCACGAACCATCCCCGCTTCCCTCCGCTCCTCTTTCGAATCAAATAAAATCGATTACCAGCTTGACAACGTTCGCACCGCTAAACGATGGGGTGTTAATAATGATGGAGACACAAGTACAGGCCGCAAGGCAAAGTTTGGGGACGCATACCTCAGCCGATTGGGTGTTGGTGGAAGAGCAAGCTATAAGCCCCAGGGAACTGATTTCAGTGGAACAGTTCAAGATGAAGAATGGGAGAAGGTTAGGCTGCGACGTGAGCTTGCGGAGCTAGAAAAGAAGCTGGAGGCTGCCAACACGGCCGCCGAAGAACGTGCTAACGGCCGACGGACCGCTGGCGGCCCAAATTGGGCATTAATTAAAAAAGAAGCCCTACAAATGTTAGAATATAAGGAGCGAGAGCTGAGAGAATTGAGAGAGGGCACAGGCAGAGTGAAAGAAGGCGAGAACTTGCAGCGTTTACGAGATGATGTGCAGACTGTGGGCGAGCAGCTTGAGGGTTTAAAGGCACACCAGGCCAAGCGGAATGAAGCTTTGGCAGACTTACGCCGTGATATTGAAGAGGAGAAGCGTAATAGATAGTTTATCATGTCTTTAGTCTTTTAGCGTTGGCAATAGTATATATCTACTTTCATAGATTTATTCTTGGATACTAGTTGACGCTTTAAAAGGAGCACATTCACGCAACGTTTAGATGTTTCGGCGCGCTTTATTAAATATTTTATTCTATTGCATACTTTGGGCATTAGATAGGTATGTACTGTACATTCTATAGAGTAAGATCCTTCTTCAACTGCAAGCAAATATTGAATGGGATGGCGATACGGCGGTTATGCTGCGCCATCTATTCTTTCAGAATATCCGTTACATCGCCCCCGCGGTTTTTCTTAACTGCCAGAAACGTGTTCGCGCTTCTATCTAGACCATTTTCCGCTCTATTATATGCTTCCTCGCTTCTATCCGTTAATATTTCTAGCTCTTTTCTTGATAAGAGCGACTCTGGCTTAGATCCGGCACCAACATCAAATACCTCCAACCGATCTCCTTCAAGAATTTTTCGTAATTCGTCAGTGTCTTTTTGCTCAGTAGAAGACATGTCAAGTAAATTCTTGAATTTGCCTTTTTGAATGACCAGTCTCTCAAGTCGACGCTTGGAATCTGCGCTTTCTAAAAGTTTTTGCTCAACTGTTCCCCTGGAAGCCAGTCTATAGACGATTACAGGCTTTGTCTGTCCAATACGGTGAGCACGATCTTGAGCTTGGAGATCTAGCTGTGGATTCCAGTCCGAGTCAAAAAGAATGACTGTATCAGCAGCAGTAAGGTTAATACCTAGGCCGCCAGCTCGAGTACTTAAAAGAAATATTCTATGATCCGGATCGTTATTGAAAGAGTCAATCTGGAGTTGGCGGTCCGACTGGTTAACATCGCCATCAATGCGGCAACACTTCCAATCGCGGAGATATGTCCAATCCTGAAGAATGTTGAGTTGTGTTTTGAACTGAGAGAATATCAGGATCTTATGGCCCCTGGATAGCAGAAAGGGAACAAGTCGGTCTAGAAGAAGCATTTTACCAGAGGCTGTCACGAGGGACTCATCAACGTCAGAATCTTGGTCCCAAGGCCAGTAAAAATTATGAGGCGAGTTGCAAGCCAAACGAGCCTGCATTAGGGGGTTTTGAAGCTTTTTTGTAGAAATCTCTTTTCCTGTAGGTGATGTTAGTAATGTGTATCCCATCCCAGGTAGAGAAATAAGGCAGCATACTCGCTAATTGCATAGTCTTCACTCGTTCAATCTCTATCAACTCGTCCTCACTGAGTTCCGACTCTTTGAACTCTTCTTGCTTCCCATTCTCCAACTCCCTCAGTTTCGCATTAAACTCTCGATCACTAATCTCTCTATAATCCGTTTTCCGTTTTCCACGTCGTCTTAGAGTGGCGCCGGGTGTAGAACTTTGGTCGGATCTGATGCTTTTATTCGGGGTAGAACTGCCGCTCTGGGTGGAGCTTCGTTTCAAACTTCGGGATCCTGACGGCCTCCCTGACGCATTTTTTTGCTCAAGTCTGTCAAAAGCTTTACCTTCCAGGTATTGTCGACCAGTACCTTGGACTATTGCAAGATAGAGCTCCTTCTGTTCTGGAGTCAAAGGGGCATACAATATATATTCCCGCTTCTTTGGCAAATTTGTTTCAACGTCTGTCTTCACTCGGCGCAACAGGAATGGTTTCAGAATTGCATGCATTGTTGACACCAGATTTTGTTTTCTCTTTTCAACAATATCTTTTTTTGCCGTTGAATCGAGGATAGAAGAAAAATCAAACCAATTTTGAAAGCTGTTTAAGTCACTAAAAACTTCTGGGAGCAAAAAGTGAAGAAGCGACCACAGCTCCGCAATATTGTTCTGTAGGGGGGTCCCTGTCAACAGGAGTCGGTTTGCGGAGTTATACAACATTAACTCTTGTATCAGCCGGCAGTTCATGTTCTTTAGCCGATGGCCCTCGTCCTGCTCAGTGGTCAGAATCTGGATATTATGAACGCAACCAGCCCTCAACTTACAACAATAATGTATTTCCATTGGTAGTCTGCAAGAAATTTCCGGTCATTCATGCATATTTCATATGAAGTGCAAACTACAGGAAAATCGAAGTTTTTCTGGTCCTGTACTTTCATTCGTAGCTGTCTAATCTGAGCACGATCCTCCTTTGTTCCATGATACAAAACAGTTTTGATTTTAGGCGTCCATCGAGCAAATTCATTCACCCAATTGCTTAGTGTGCTAAGCGGCGTTGCGATCAGAAATGGTCCAGAGATTTTATGTTCCTTGAAAAACGCAATCAGCGATATGGCTTGCACTGTCTTTCCAAGACCCATTTCATCTGCAAGAATGCCGCAGAGCCCGTTCATCCACAGGGATTTTAGCCATTCCAAGCCTTCAAGCTGATAGTCCCTCATCCGCCCGCCCGTGACCAGTGCAGGTTGCTGAGTTGCCACTAATTCCTGCGACCCTAGTGTAGTAGGCTTACTTTCGAATTCTTCTGCGGCTTGAGCAAGCGCTTCTTGAACAGTTGGGTTATTCTCTGGTATGCCAACATCGGCCTTGTGGAAATAATTTGTAAGGGAGTTGCTGGAAATGACTACTTTAGCCTGGTTTTTGATGAGTGCTTTTGGTAAACGCGGCTCTGAAGCCAAGTCCTTGCTGGGTGCAGTGGGCTGGGGCTGTTTAGCTTGCTTCTCATTAGCCCTAGTCACTCGTCTCGAAGTAGCTTCATTTGATTTCTTTTTCTTCTTTTGGTCGGCAGCGCTCTTCTTAGCTGCTGCTTTTCGAGCCTCTTCTTGTTGTCTTTTTCGTTGGTCCTTCATTTTCTCCGCCATAATTGCAACGAAAACCTACTTAGTATGTCAGTTTATCTACCAAAATCTCTAGTGTAGGATAATATCAACGTACAGAACTAGTCTTTAATAGTTTTGTCAACGCTTTAGCCTTGAGGTCCATATCTTCCTCGTCATCCTCCGAATGGATGCCCAAATTGGAAACCCCATGGTCATTATCAGCACCTCCCACGTTCGTTATATTTTCCTTTTTTGGGGAACCGGAATAAGGACTAGTGATAGGTGTGGAAGGTAGATATATGGAAGATTGACCAGATACATTGGAAGACATCGCTTTAGTTCAATTGATCTCCTACACAAGGATAAAAGGCATTAGAATTCATGCTTCATGTCTATAGATATACACTTACTTAGCATATATGTATACTCTCAGATTGGTTTGTAGGTATTCAAATTATCTTCAAACAAGAAAGGTACAAGCACTTTGATGTTTGTCTTCTCAGCCGGTCAGCATTTGATGTTTGACAAAACGCCACACCAACGCGACGCGAGTTCACGTGTTTGGCATTCAATTTAACTCACCCTTGCCAAACATTTAGTAAGCTAGTAAACTAACTAACCAACTCGTCTGACTAAGCAAGTCCTTGGTCGGGTCAGTCAGGTGATATATCACGGGACTTATCAGGTGACCAAATCTTTGAGCCCTGGGAGTTGGCTGGAGAACTGCAGCAGTGTACAGAGTACGGAGTAGGTTCAATAGAATGATGCCATGGAGGATTGAGAAGTCAAGCTCAATCTGATTAAGACATCAGTAAGACGCCTCCCCAATGAATTGTGTTACCTAAAGCAGATAGCGAATGGTCAAGGCGATTGACGGCATTCAACGGGTCCACTTCGCTCTAGTTGAACACAATGACCCTCATCCTAAGAATATCATGATCGTCCCTGGCGCCCCGGCAAGAGTTGTGTGGATAGATTAGTAATACTCAGTAACTTAATCTGATTATACAATATCAAGATCTGTTAAGTCACTTTGCAACATCTGGGGACAGTTCAACCCGCATCATCTCAGTTGCACACTCATAACAACTGTACTTGGAATCACTAATTACCAGTCAAGACGCCTGGGGACCTGCAAACGGACAAACTGAGTCTAACTCAATACAAAACCCATACCAAGTTACAGTTTTCCTACCACCTTTTTTAAATCCATAGGAGAGAGGGACACCTCAAAGGACGAATGAAACATTTACACAAACAAATTCACTCAAAAGACAAAAAGAATTGGTTGAACCAAAGCAAAACTGAGACCATCACAAACAAAAAAAACATCAGCCAACATAACTGCATCGTCCAAGATACCAGAATTCAAAATTTGTACTGGACATTTGACCTGGGTGGGCGCAGGGCTCTCGTTCCAGGCGGGTTTAGCCTTGAGCTTTTTCTTTTCTGAGTCTCTGTAGGAGACCTCTTCCCCTGTCGCTTTCTGGTCTTGCATATTTTTAACGACTCTGGCAAGGTTGGCTCGCTCTGCACTCCAGGCTGTTCCGAGTCACTGGCAGGTAGTTTTTCATAGCTGAGATTGTCGAAGTCTGGGGTATCATCACCTCGCCCACCAATTTCGGTGTTCTGTGCTGTTCCATTGAAATACATTTGCGATGGTTGAAACACGGGTTGTTTGGCTGTAGCCTCACGCTTGAACTCTGCATTTTGGAGCACAGACGAGGTTGTGTTGACCTCCGTTTCGGAGATTAAGACTTCGGATTTTCTCTCTGCACTGATGTTTTCCTCTTCTGTTACCACAGCAGAAGCTTCTAAAAGCATCTGTACCAGTTCGTCTGTCATAATTATGTCATCGTTACTGGCAGCATGGTCTTGTCTAGAGTTCAGGAGCTCAATAGGGGCTTGTGGAAGTGATACCGGCGAATCTGGTGGGTCCTTCTTAGACTCATTCTTCCCTTCCAAAATGAGTGTATTTGACGCTTGGCCTTGTTCTTCTTCGCTATATTCACCATTTGTGTCGGGAGAATCCAGCATGGCTGAAAGTTGATCGGAGCCTACTTCTCGAGGTGTTGTTGGTATGTCACTAATGTTGTAGAAACTAGTATTACCTGCCTGCTTTAGTGGTGAGGTACGGATAGGGAGCTGCATGGCTTGGGGTTTTGTTGACGCTTGATTATGGGTATTTGGCCGGGATAAATGGCGAATTTCACTTTCTGCCCTGACAGGTAGCAATATATCCTGTAGGTTCTTTCGAGCACTGGATTCTGCAGTCAAGGGAACGGAACTGGAAGCTAGAAGATCGTACCACCATGAGCCAGACAGTGCTCTCTCCAATGGCTTTTTGTGCTTCTGCTTCCCTTTTGTCGGTGTTGAGGTTGGCTTTACATTTTCCTTCAAGTTCAATACTGCCGATGCCTCTGAAAATGAATCGGATGGAATGGGGTCAAAAGATTGCCTCTGGGGAGTTGAGACAGAGCTAACGAAAGGCAATGGCGGACTGGATGGGAATAGTTGTAACTCCACAGGAATTTCAAAAAAGCTATCAACCCTCGCAGCGCCTTCTGGACCGATACTTACGCGAAAGATCGTATCTTCAGAGTTTGCTTCTGATGCAGCATAACTTCGAGGGCTAAAGGGTGTATTATAAGGTGTTTCGTTTTTATAAAGGATGTCATTGGCTGTGTCCTTGCCTGAGGAACATAATCGATATGGTTTCGTTTCTGCTGTCTCCTTAGGGGGACTTGTTTCCTTAAAGTCAGTGTCTTTCGGTATCCCTACAGACTCAATTGGGCGAATATTCGGTGTTAGTTCTGAAGCATTCACTGGATGTGGAGGTTGAGACACAGGGTTAGGGCGCTGAAGGCTGCTTCGTGGGGGGCTTTGTGCACCTATCGCTGAGACAGTATCCTGCTGAATCCCATCCGGGTGATTAGGATCAAATACCCACACAAGGTCCTCCACGGCAGATTGGTTATTACCTGATGGCGCCTGGATTTCAGCAAAACCAGAACTCCATTGACCCGCAAGACTGGGGTCGAGGCCGATCCGACGCAAATAACACCTTGCCGCGACGACATCCTTTGCTGTGCTCATCCAATAATCCGGGCGTGAGCCTGTGGTCAATTCTCGAAGATAACGTTCTGAATTATTCTGGAATATAAGCTGAGCTGGAACGCGCGATTGTTTCAATGAACTGTTATCTATTTGAAGAAGGGCCCTGTGCTGCTTATCTCGCATCTCTTTGAGATACGTATTCTCCCTTTCTACCTGCCCCACCCGTGCCGTGATATGTTCAAATGCATCTCTTTCGTCTTGGGGGGAAAGCTTCAGTAGCGTCATAATCTGTGCCCAGTGGTACCGATCGCTCAGGTTCTCAATGATCGTGGTTTGAAGAATGGGCCCAAGGTCTCTCCATTCCACATTACGAAAGTGATCGGGATTAATTCCGTAATCCACAATATTATTCCCATCCCCTTCTTCAACAATGTTATTGTCTTCTTCCTCATCACTCGTCTCAAACTCGTACATATCGAGAACATTTTCTTCTTCAGGCTCGATGCCATCACCATCAAAGTCCATCATTTTATTTCCTAGTTCATCTCGCGGTTGACATTGTGTTTGCATTGGGGTCATATCTGGTGGAGTTGGGAGAGGAGGCCTGCAGCCGCCTCTCGGAAACTGTATTCCTGCCGCTTGTCCTCTTTTTCTCTTCTCTGATAATGACCTTTCTCCTTTAGACCGCGTCTCACTCTCCGGGAGAGGATGGTCTAACGTAGGGAAAGAAGCGGAGTTATTAATACCACATTCAGTCTTCATCGGAAACACGTTTCTGGAATACACGGAAGGGGACGGCGATGTGCCAGGAGAAGAGACCGAACGGGTTACGGACCGGGGGATCGTAATAATGTCATCTGCAAAACGAACAGGTGGGCGAAGAGCGCCCCGCTCTCGAAGACGCATTGTTTCACCAACGAGTGTTTTGCTATTTTGAATATTTTATTCTTCCGTTCCCTTTTTTTTTTTTTTTTTCAGGGCTGCAAAGGGAGCTAGTTTAAATGGAAGAGTGCAAAGGCACAGCCAACTAGCTTCAACACATATAAGCAGTTGGTATGAACTCAGGAAAAATGTGAGTCTATGTTTTAATAATGGTTAAATGAGCATAAGGTTACTCAGGATAGAGAGGTAAAAAATAATCACAAAAGATGCCTCATCCTCAAGGAACAGGTATCAAGGAGAGTCAAGAGGATGTAGAGTGAAGGACTGAATCTTCACTAGGTTCTCTGAGTAACTGTAACGGGCCAATATTGGATTGCCTTGCCGCCAATGTTGTCATGCTAGAAAATTCCGCTTGTATTAGAGTGAACAGAAAGATTTCCCGTAATTTAAGGGAATATTCCCCCTTTGGGGGATAGAAATATAAACAAAGATATCATATATTAGTGATGAGATGCGCTAAGGATGACGAATACAATGAATTTTTATTGTATGGGCAATTTGTCATTCAACGTGCGCGCCATATGCTATAAACATGTGCAATGAGTGAATTCAACCCCAAGGAAGAGCTTGGTCAGTGATTCAGACACACTGCCTGTAAAAATAGAAAACGAAGGCATATGAAGGCACCCTAAATCAAATCTTGATTGCTTCATATATTAAAAGCTCACCTTGAAAACAAGATGTAAGATGTTACCCATGCGTCGCGTGATGCCGTTGCAAAACGGCAGCAAGATAATTCCCCGTCAGTTTACAGGAAGAGCGAGCCACTCAACACAGATAATAGACTCAGTCTTGGATCAGTTTTGTTTCCTCCAACGCCCTTCCCTGTCCTGCATCGAGCTCAATTCCCTCGAGTAGCGGCTTCCCGGATAGGGACTGGGGTGATCGATACCAAGCTTGCATTGAGCAAAAACCTTCAAAATATTTAATATGGTTTTGAGGGGCTTGGAGCAGGCGTTTGGCATTTGTACAGACACAGGAGATCATAATGTTGCCTAAAGCTCTACCCACCATGCTATCAGTACGCCTGCTCATCGATTCCAGTCTCATAAAGGCGGATACCGTATGCACCACAGGAGAAGCTGCACTTAAAGGTAATAAATAGTAGTAAACGTGGCTTTTTTTTATATTAAAGGGCTGGAGGAAAAACTGCATGGTTTGGTAATGTCTCGTGAGGCCAAAAGAGGAGCTAAGTATAAAAAAGGGGGATATAATGAGCCTCTCCGCTTGTCGAATGATAGCCTCGACGAGTAATAGTCGACTTAGCCATTCTGTTTCTAGGGATCGAAGAAAATTGGGATATACGAAATGACGACACGAGTAACTGGGACGTCGTCGCTCCTAAAGGGCGCAACCCTGTGTACGACGCATAAGCAAAACCATTTTTTGTGTTGGTCGAGTCAAATGTGCCAGCAATAAACAATATCCACAAAAGACTATGGGAAAAAGGAAGAGATATATCTTGTTTGTTTGGGACGAAGGCAGTCCTGGAACCGCTAAATCGAGTTTTTTCGGTGTCGCCTCTTCGCTTTTTCACTCAGGAACGCAAAGAGAGGGTCAAATATGACGGTGGTTTCTTCATATGAACATGTGTGTGCGTGGTATGCATACAAGGCTTGTAGTCTCGTAACAAGACAGATAGACTGGAGCTTCACGCCGTGGGTTGTGACGGTGGCAAGTCGTGGGAAGTGTTTTTGGCGCCGGAGTGGGGTCACTTGAAGTTGAGTTTGGCTAACCCTAATCTGGCGCCCCTTGTAGAGCCTCATTTTGAGTCGCAGGGGCGCCCCTGACATCCTTTAAACCGCCAACTCACGGCGGCACAACTTGCAGACCAGCATGTTAGGCGAGGTGGTGCCCTAGATGCACCACGAACATCACACCCGTACCAGCCAACCGGCTATTGACACCTCCCTACGCAAGAATGATCAGGTCTAATGATACAGGTAACGGCAGTGCAATGCTTCATCTACAGAGTATATGATATCGCTCTTCAAACAAAGAAACCCGCGTTCCTGATACCGCTCATGTTGGATAAGGGGTACATAGTAAATAGTTATATTCATTTGCCTTCAGGCAGAAAAAAAGTACGCTGTCGAATGCATCGGACGGGGTATAATGCCGGAAACGCTTGCTCACGAGGCCGCCCAAATTAGTCAAACACAAATTTTTCCCGAAAAAGAAGGCAGCCACATTTTATCAATCATCCGATCTTGTTACTGCAAAAAAACGCTGAACGCATACAAGCCCGTCCAGCCCCATAACTAGAAAGACAGGCTGACTATGCTGCCAAAAAGAAACACCTGCAGATGCATTCACTCATTCACATTTAATCGTCTTCCGCAACTCTTTGACGACTTTCTCTAACTCATCTAGTCGAGAATCTTTCTGCTGTATTTCAGTTCTAAGGCGAACGACTTCGCCGCGCAGGGAATCGACACCAGAGCTGTTTCCGGGATCGCTCATTGTTCGCTTTCTTTTTTTTGCCGGTTGAATTGGTGACGCCGAACCAGAGACTTTTCCTGGTATCTTCTCTGAGCCAGAAGGGCTTCGTTTTGTTGAGGGGGTTGAAAGAATCGTATTTTTCTGCGATGCTCTACTGTGTAGTCGTCGCAGGTGCTCATTAAGGTTCTCTTGCCGGGTAAACCCCTTTCCTGAGCTACGGTTGCACTCTGTGTGTGGGCACATTAACCTTTTTTGCGGCGTGTGCATGTCATGCACTTCTCGCTGATGTCGAAGCAAACCCCCTGAGTATGTAAACCCGGGTAGCTTTGTGCAATCTGGGTTGCAACATTTATAGGGTCTGTCATGTTTGTCCATATGTTTACTGTATGAAAGTGAGAATTGTTAGGCTAGATGAAGCAGGCGGTAAGAGCATAGGGGGAGTACTTACTTCCATTCGCAAGGCCTACGAAAAGTTGGAGTAATATTTCGGCATTCAGGGTGATCACAATAAATTTGCCCTGCTTCATTTCTAGGGGGATCGCGCGCACGTTTAATTGCCAACCTTGGGCGTTTTAACCCTCCTGTTAAGCGGTTGCTTTTGGAAGCCGCTGACATGACCGTCTTTTTTATGACGGCCACAACAGTGATCGGCGTGGAGGCCACAGCCCGGGGACTAGAGCAGTCAGAATCTCCACTTGCGTCAGACATGAGTGAAATATGGTCGCTTTGAGTAGTATTCTTTGATGAGATATCAGACTGATACATTTCCACAGGTACAAGCAGGGCGATTAGGCCCTTATAAATGGTAAACAGGGCGGCAATATCGAGCACGATTATGTAACCTCGATGCGGCTCATCAGTGTGGGCAGATTCAACTGGCGGATGGCATTATTGACCAGTAGAAGAATGGGTAGAGCGAGAAATGTCATTTGAAACTCTAAGAACAAACGCGTCCTTCCGCAGGGCTTCTCAGCGCTTAGAGTAGTGGCCTCACAACGAACAGCAATAGAGCGTTTCCCTAAGTGGAGATATTAGTAGCTAAATGACGCTGCCTAACCGTATTCGTGCTATAGCATTTCAATCGAAGGACAAGGTATGTCGCCGTACTAGGGTACACTTGCCATTCCCATTTAAGCAAGCAGGAAGAGAAACTTTAGAGAAGGCTGTGCCGTGACTCACTATGTAATCAGCGACTAAACTTTCAGCACAATCCGCGGAACTTCGACTAGTTATCCAGCCAGGTGCAGGGGTGTGGATAAAAATGAGTTATCGGAGTTCCTTAACTAAATAGCGGACTCACGCGGGTCCTAGACGACGATCACCTGAGACAATCCAGGTCGGGGGATTCCAAATCAGAAGCTCGACCAACGACTATAAGCGATACAGTCAAGTTATAACTACCTGTTGGTATGTCAGCACATCAAAGACTGGAACGAGCCCCGGAGCCCAAAACGGAGTAGCGCAGTCGGTGACTAATGGGCGGGATGACATAAACGCTCGGTAAGGCGGGAAGACGCGCGCCAGGAACGGTGTGATGGGGCAGGCGGCGCACGTGATGTGACGAGTTCGCGCCACCACGGCGACTGCCTGGTCACACTTCGTCACGCCTTGGGTTTCGGGGAACAGGGTGGCTTTGCGGTAGCCTGCAGGCGAGAGAAAGAAGGAAAGCGAAAAAAAAAAAAAAAAAAAAAAAAAAAAAAGGAGGTGCCTGTTGCGCACGTAATAAGTACTATTTCCGCAGGCTGAGAGATTTTCTGCCCGGAACACTTGTCCCAAGCTTCTTATTTTGAATATACGACATTTTGTTGCCACGGGTTCATATTGACAATTGGCAGATGCCCGTCGCTAGAAAGCTACGGGTATCGCTGTCTGAGAGTAGTGGTTAAACCTACCTCGCTTTCGTGTGCCCACGATAAGGCTTACACGAATCCGTTTAAGTGCGGTGCGCAAAGGGTCGTAAAACGGCATCGGGATAAACACGTCGATATCTGACATGCAAAATGTGTCATCTATGTCGAATGCTCTGAAGCCACGTTGTGCCTGGTCTGCTTGATAGTCATTGGCCGATTGTAATCCTGGGATTAGCATCATGCTGCCGAGATAATCAAAAACGGGTCTGCCTGGCAACGTAGCCGTGGCATTGTTTTCCAAGGCATGAAGACCGCGAATTCATCCCAAATATAAAGGCCAATTCCCCTTAGCTTTTCTATTACCATTGCAGGAGTTTCAAATTTCGGGTTTTCGAGTATCCAAATTCACAACTAGGGGCGGAAGAGGTAGATTTTGAGCTGTTATCAGTATAACATGACGTATTGAGTGGTTACAAGATCCTAATCTTTTTTAGAGTTTGGGGTTTTTGAATTTCAACCGGTGCGTGGAAGCGTATACCCAGGGCCAGGTGGCAGCTGATGAGCTTTCATATATCCATTAATTCATTCCAGCAATTAGTGCTGTGCGAAGGTCTAATTCTCCAAACTCATAAACGGTCGTCCAACGGTAAAGGTATTTGAAAGTGGGGGGGTATTTGTCCCCAAAGAAATATATAAATGAAAAGTATCCATTTCATAGGAAACCGACAACCAAACCTCCAAGAAAAGGAAATGTCGTGAGTATAACTGGAAGTTTAGGAGCTAAGGAATTTCCTGTACTCGCCACTTGTCGTCCCCCGCTTCCAGAATTATATCCATTTGCTAGTCCCGAATGGCCATCAAGTCCAGAATCGGAGTTGGGGATCGACAAAGGCGTTGGTGACGAAGTCAAAGAAGATTCAGAACTTTCTTGGGGGCGCCTCGACGTCCAAGTAGGGGGGTCTGAGGATGGCGCTGGGTGAGAAGTAGCCAAGGAACTTTTCAGCGTTTGTTTTGGAGTACGACTTGGAATCGGTATGGTTTCCCAAGGCCATTTAAGGCCGGCTTCATCCGCAGGTTCTGGTTTTTTTGGATCTTTCAGAGGTGCACGATGTTTAGGGCTCCTAGCACCCTTAGACTCAATAGGCGAGAGCACACTCAGAGAGTTTGGTGAAACAGTAGTTACGGTGGTCAGCGCCATCGCTGTTATGACATCAAGTCACCTAACAAAACGTCTGACGCTGGGGCTGCCAATGGATGACATCGTTGCAATTAGCAGGGCGCGGCGATTAAGGTCCAAAGCTATTTCATGGATATAAGCACACAAGCTTCAGAATGCATAAAATAGAGACGATACCGCTCACTACCAATTTCTCAAGGATAACTTTCTTGTCAAGGCTCCTCGAGGTAGCCCAAACCATTCTCTAGAAGTATCGTTTGGGGGCTGGGCATCGCGTAGTGTTTCTGCAATGGAACATGGACCGAGGAACGAAAACAAAAGGATAAGATGAAACCCAAACCCTAGTAGTGGCACCATTTTAGACCTTGAAGTTTCTTCTGTACTCACCATAAGTATCCACGAACCTGCCTTCGCTTTTATTTTCCGCGTCCCCTTTCCAGAACCTGATGCCCATCGAAGTGGCATGGGCTCCATTCCAATGCTGTGCTTGCTGCGAGAGTTCTAGAAATAGAAGGCCACCGGTTGGTGGGATTCGGGGAAAAACAGAATAGCGGGCCACCTTCTTGGCCGTTTAGGTCGCCCTGCAGCCACAGCCACTTTGATCGCCGATTGTTGCTAACGAACTAGTTACCCCGCCTTCACATAGGATCAGGGCGATATCGGGCCAGGGACCCATGCTTAGTTAACTAACTACGGCACAGCTACGGAAGTTCAAACTTAACCACGATGAAATCCCAACACGCGCGACCTGAAACAAGCTGAATTGTCTATCTACCTGTACAACTACACTGCTGAAGGTTGAACTAACAGTGTGGGTCCTGTTCAGCTCGGGGTCTAAAAACATCCAAGTATGCTTGGTACGACACATAGTTAGCTACTATTCCACGCCCACGCCGTATCACAAAGGAACTGCCACCGCGGCAATCTGAGAAACTGCCTTTCCATTCTCTCCGATGAGAGGGAAAGTTCCCTGGCAATCGACTTCCAATGTTTTTTTGCATTGCAGTGCTCTGTTTCGGAACTGTTCGCAGACTCCGGTTCCCCACCAATGATTACGTCCCTTCACTTTACCAGAAATCGAGCTGCTAGTTTGTGACTGTTGTGGCGGAGTGCCCTCGCAAGGATAGGTTTCCTGACTGCCACACGTCCAACGAGGTCTAGCTTTGCATTTGCCGCTGATTGTTACCGAGTAGGTCACGGTTACAAATCGACATTCGTGTTTGGCCGGACAATCGATAGTATCCCATGTCTGTTGAGTCGTCGTTTCGGATTTTTCAGTGCTCTGAGAATATTCTGCCGAAAGGTCAATCCCGATACCTTTTGCCGTCCCAGTCAGCTTTCCTCCCAGCTTCCAACCAGTCGAGGTAGCAACCGTGCGTGCTGTTGATTGAATAAGCTGCATCTTTAGGGTGCCGGTCGTGAGGTGATTTTGTCGGGTCATTTCCGTATTTGGTCTGGGAGTCACGGAAACGTTGATTACTTTTGTCAATGAGTTGCGCGTAAAGAACGTCACTTTCCCCCCACAATGGCGGCGCTCCTGATCACAAGTTGTTTCGGTAGTGTGGCCGTTGTCGAAGATTGGCGGCTTATTTGGAGAGATTGTATGGCGGGTTTTGATAATATCAACCAAACGATTAACTTCTGTTTGCCTGTCTGGTGTAAACTGCGCTTGTCGTTTAGCCACGGCTTCTTGCATCAGTTTTTGAAAGACCGGGCTCCGATATAATATTGCTATTTTCTGATTTTTTTTTGGCACACTTCTCCATGTAATGCCGGCCGCTGGCACAGCAAGCTCTTCGGTAGCCGGTATCGCATTTCCAAAGACATACACGGTGAAGGAGAGAAAGAGGAGGATAAAATGGCTAAACATTGTTGAGGTTTTGGAAGCCAAATATCTGTGAATCAAGAGACTTGGGCTGACCGATTGCAATGTAAGAGAACTGTATTGAAAGCTGATACAGGCTACACTTGAGAGTGCAGAACGCCCTTTATATACCCGGACGTCGCAGGTATAGAGACTGGAATTGAAAGCCTCGGGGCCCATCTCTTTACTTCCAGCATTTTTTTTTTATGTAAGTGCTGGGGAAAACATGGGGGGAAGGATGCACTATGCTGCTATGAAGAGAGTCCAGTGGCCGCAGGAATTGTTGGGCTGATCAGTTTGACGTCGTCATTTTCTCGCCTTTCCGGTTGCCGATGCTAATAGCCCGCGACGGCTGGATATACAATCCTTCTGTCGGGCGCAACAATAGGCTAAGTCCAGTGCTGCTAGCCGTTGTCCAATTGGAGGTGGAGTACAGTAGAGTACGCATGTTGTTGTTAGTCACGATCCTTCCCGTGCCATGAGCCCCGCCCCGCTCAAGTTTCACGCAGCCCGCGTACACGGGTCCCCTCACATGCCTATTCTGTTTTTGCCTCCGTCCCGGCTGGCATCATCCTCACAACAGACCCCGAAGCCATCTGTGGGAATTGTGAAGGATTACATTGTATCTTACTCCCGCCTTTTCTTTCAAGCCTGCGCCTTTTTATACATGTCCACAGTTGGCCACGAAGGTTCCATTGGTGATGTATCATTCCATTCCGCAAAGTCCACTATCCTTCAACACACGGGATGGCTGGCTCAACTTGACAGATGCGTTTGTGGGACATCATACCTTAGTATAGCAGGCCATATCCACTTCGTGCCTTAGAAATTTAGTTGCTTTCCAGAGCCACAGAAGGAATATCAATTGGACGCAGGACTCTGGCTGAAAATTTCAGCTACATATGTTTTTTATTGTATGCCCAACCTAAACCCTAGCTCAGTAAAGGTGTGGTAGAAGTCTCATATTCAAATCAACAGAGTGTCACGGCTATACCTCAAAGCATAACAACACTTATAGGGCAGACTGCAGAAGAGAGAGAGCGCGATATGAAACTTCCCAGAGAATCTCTCAAAAATTGTATTTCCAGGTACAGTAGGCGCTCTGTAGCTACTGCAGAAATATCAACTTTACTCATCCACCCTCATGGTTTCAAGAAAATGCATCCTTAACAGATATGCTGCCGGCCTATTTCAAATAGGTATAGCTAGCATGTACTCCGTGCGGAGTATGCATAATCAGATGGCTAGCTAACTAGGAAGGAGACTGTACCTACCAAGATAATAATTAACCGGATGCGGCTAGTGCCGCACCCCAACGCCTATCATGCCCAAGGTGTACGGAGTACGGAGTACTCCGTAGTACTTCGTAGGATCTCTAGTAAAGTGCGAGTTCTAACTAATAGCAAGGTTTATCTGTAGTATGGAGTAAAGTTGAACATGATTATTGTGGGGGGCAGTTCTGCTCAAAGGCACGGGCTGCCACCCCAAAAAAGGAATAGCGGTCGTCTTCGATTTTAATGTGCCAGCGCATTGGGAAATTGGGGTTACGGTTTTACATGTATTTTTGAAAAACCACACGGAGCTCGGAGTAGTTGACTTTAACTACTCCGTACTCTGTCACTTTAGGATAGAGAACTTGCAAACCTATCTACTTATACCAAACAATCATCAAAAACATGATTATAGGCATTAATAAATAGAATAAATACAATGAGAATCTGGCTACAAAAAATACACGCCTCTGAATGCAGCATGCTACTCCATACTGGGTAGGTACTTAAGCTATCGTCACTGCTACTCATCGCGGTGAGCTCTTTTCAAGTTAATGTCAGAGTCAGTGCTTCATCTGCTGGCCCCATAACTATCACTGAGGCTGAATTACCCAAGTGTTCTATTAATTAAAATGCTTTGTACTGGCCTTAAACTGCTCTTTATGTCCATTCAAAAAGCACCGTGGTCAAGGACCACGAATGCCCCTCCCCCCCACGTTCTCGTTTCCAGTGCCGCGCGTCCCCTGTCGCTTTATATTTCAGGAGTTATCTCTGGCCCAACCATTCCTACGAGAATAATAAGCCCTCTAGAAAATTACCACATTTCTTTGTCGGCGCATTATCTTTCCCTCTTCTTTTCTGTTATGGGGGCGGGCGCTTAGAGCGCGAGGCAATGGTAACCAACAAAATGATAGCTGGGCGCGGGCTATCAGCCGACTTTTCCCGTTAATACGGTACCGGATTATCACGAAATACAGATTATACACGGCAAAACAATTTATGTATTTGGGACAGTGTCGGTGACTTTGGGATTTCCTGATCAGGAAAGCTTTGTGGTTCGACATGCCTATGATGCCAGCGCTCCCAAGGGCTTTGCATTTGTCGCTGCTAGAAATGGGGTGATGGAATGCCAGTTCTACGAAGTGCTGGGCAGGGAAGATGGACGACCACTGGCACAATATCCGTTGAACTGCGAGACTGAGAAAAATATCGTCGCGGAAACTCTCTACCACTGTCTTTTCTTCAGGAATTAATATTCCATTTGTATTGAGCTTCAAACTACAACTTCTTCGTCTATTACTACTACCTACCAACTAAATTCAATCCTTAGTTCTAGAACACAAAATAGGCGTCATTCCCGAAAATAAATTCTTAGATAATTTAGCAAAAGGTAGTATTTTGAAGATCGTTCTTTTGCATTAAGATGAAACTGATGTGATTTGGGATCATTGAAAAGGTTCTTCCCCACCACAATCCCTCAACGTCCTTAGTACAACTTCATGAATAACAAAGCAATGTTCATGAATAGGAGGTATCCACTCTCCATTAACCTCAAACTATTCATGTCAGAATATTCAAAAAGAGACTTATGGAAGCTGGTACTAACCTGGAGCCATGGATAATTGAAGCCAATTCCCACAGCACAGATCAAAAATTTTAAGTATGTTGGGGAGGAGGAGAAGTGTATAACATGCTCTCCATAGTCTCCCGAACGATCAAGGGCAATCCTTTGAACCCCAACACGAGAAGGGTCGAGATACAACACTATCTTTTTCAGATCCTTAAACGGGATGTATGTTGCCTTTGACACGTAACTGAAAGGATCTGTTGGAGCAAGTGGCGACTTTATTGGAAAACCTGCATCAACCCACGCATCTTTGGGAGGATAGGGGGTTTTGTAGAAGAAGGGTTCTCCTCCCGTCCGGCTCAATACAGTAATCGCTCGGCATTTACGAGACTTTGAAAGGCCAAATTAGTGGGCGTGGCAAAGAGGCATAGATTTCAAACCACAAACATCTCGAATAACTCTCAGACCACGAATATCCACACCTTTTACTTCAGAAAACTCAGGGTCAAAGGGTTCAGCAGGATTGTTCAAAATCCAGCATGGGCGCCTGTTTTTCTGAGAAAAAGCAATGTCCACAATGCCCATCTCGTCACTTTTGACAGCAAAGTAATCTTCAAGGGTATATTCAGTCCATTGGCCACCTTCAGTTTCGTTAAGAATAGGATCAGAAACACGATTCAGATATAACCTCTTGCCGATGTTGATATAATGGATTCGTATTGAGGAGGTTTGTAACTTCAACTCAGTAACTGTAAGTCTGGTGTCTGGAATTTCAACGGAGTCAAGTTTCTCATTCGCTAACTGAGACGCTGTTTCTAGAATAAATAGTAACCGGCCAATATCATATTCCATGATCATTTTTTGGATTTCTTCTGGTAGCCTTGAAATTCCTGCCCTAAAGTCAAGCTTTTGTGCGTTCGAAAGAAGAATACAGTGAAAGCAGTCCAGAACGCCTTTATTAATTGCATTAACTGTGTGAGGTATGAGCTAGTCTTGGGTAAGGATATGCATTCTCCCTGTGGTTCAGGGTGGTAGAAAGCGCCATGTATGCTTGGGGGTGGAATCGATTTTAGGCAGAATGTTGGTTCAACCAGGTCAAGCAAGTGATACAGCTTCATAATCGAAATGCCATTGACAAGCCGGAGACATGGTTTGTGCAACAGCCATGCTCTTTCAAGGTAACTTGGTCCGGGATAACCGCAGTATGGGGTGAAAGAGTAATCTCCAACATTGAGTACATGGACATATGTCAGTTTGACAGTTTCTTCTATAAGACTACCGGCCTTTTGATTCACTGGCAAGACTCGGTAGCTGTCAGGCTGCGTAATATTCACATTATGCTGACAGAGGGGGCACGGATGGTAGTAGTATCCAGAAGGCATGTGGTAAAACACCTTCCAGAGAGTGGCGAAAATCGAGAGGGCTAGCTAGCCGTTCTAAGACGCTTAATACTCCGGACCCATTATTAGCATATTTCATGTTGTCTGAGAACTTTAATAAATATTAGAAAATAATGGTTTGTTCGCACGCACATGAATTTTTCAAGAAAGGAGGCAGATTTCTAGATAATAGTAGATTAATCGACACGCAACAAGATTCAAACCTTTCACATTGCACTGATCGTGTATGTTGGTGCTGGGCTGATGCTGTGGATGTCGTGAGCATTGCGTAGAAGATAAGTAGTTACGGAGTACGGAGTACTCTGTAGTTAGGCTGGAATTTTCCACTACTCCGTACTCTGTAACGAAGTGCCAATAGTCAACTTAAGTGATTAGTCAGCCATTCAAACGCGATCCTTTGATGACGGCGTACTCTGTACAGAGAGCCAACAGGTTTTTGTTTTGTGACCCCTAGGCTACGCTAAGAAGCTCGAATCTTGAACATTTCGCAATAATATGGAGCACGGAGTACGGAGTAGAGTCGTAGAGCAGCCTTGTACGGTTACGTAACTAGTGCGTAGTTAGTTACTTAGTGGATGACTTGGCAACCGACGTCGCCTCCCTGGCAGCTTGAAGTATCTCGTTGCGAAAAAACGGTCTGTCGACCAGAAGCGATTTGAGACTGCAGATTCTCCGTGTTACTGCCCATTGCCATGTCGCATAATGTGTCATTCCTGGGCACAAGGGGTGAGTGGCCTCCAACTACTTACCTACAGGTGCTAGGGACTAACAGGTTTGCGCCTACCAGCCTTCAACCACGAACAGAACAACGACGCGGAGGCCGAATATGATCGCCTCAGAGACTTGGCCAGGCAGGAGGCCAGCAAGCGCGGATCCTGCTTTGAACGCGTTTGTTTCCCGTCCTTCCCTTGTTTACGTAGTACATAGGTCCTGACAATAACTGCGGGAATTAGTCCAAACAAGCCTACGCTTCGGGCGATGGCGCTCTGGCCAAAGAGTTGTCGGAGCAAGGCAAATCCCACGGTCGTAAGATGGAGGAATACAACAAGCAAGCATCGGAATTCATCTTCCGCGAGAACAACTCAAATGGTCGCGTCCCGGACGACACCATTGATCTTCATGGCCAATTCGTAGAGGAAGCCGAGGATATCCTCGAAGAAAGAATTAAATACGCTAGGGCGCATGGCCAAACGCATCTTCATGTGTATGTGCCTTTGTCTTCACACAAGTATTACTGACAAAATTGACTTACTTTGATTCATAAAGTATCGTGGGCAAGGGTAACCACTCTGTTAACCACATCCAAAAAATCAAACCTCGTGTGGAGCAAGTCTGTCGCGATTTGGGCCTGCAATATCGCACTGAGGAAAATGCTGGAAGGATCTATGTCAACCTGACCGGTGGTCCAGCTGACATGCCCCCACAAGGGCAGCACCACAAGCCTCCACAGCAACATGGGGGCCAGCACCAACAGCAACAAGGGGGTGGTGTTGTGGAGGAAGTCGTTGCTAAAGCACTGCCAAAGATTTTGCGCAAGTTGGAAAAAGCTTGCTGTATTGTTATGTGAACTTTTTGACCCTCTCTGCAATATACCGCGGAGTAGATTTTGATATAACTCGGCTTTGTTAGGAGTTCTACTACTGGATGGATGGTGGGATCTTTGGACTACTATTTTTGGAATATTTATTAATTTGATATCCTGGTTGGTGGGAGATCTTCATGCTGTAGAGCGACGCGTGTCATTGCATTTAACTACTCCGTACTCATTTTAACAATTAAGAGTAAGGTTTACTGAGGGTGTGGAGATGATATACATATGTACGTATGGAGTGCTAAGTATATACAAGCAAAGCCCGCCCACTCTTTGCTACTCCACTCTAGTGCTCCTCCCACAATTCTGTAGGCAAAAAGAGGCCAAATTTGCGCCCTGCGCCTGCTCTCCACCTAAGCCATGGATAAGTGCGGAGTACGGACCAATAACAGTAGCTAGTTAGTAGGATTTTGATGTTGGCAGTGACATAATCAAGGCCAAGGTTTTACGTAACTAACTAACTTATAAACGCGGGGAGGGTGTATGGCGTAGTTGGTAAACGTCTGCAGGAATCCTTCTGGCATGGTTCATTGTTTTTGGGGAACAACCATCTGGGAAAGAAGGTCGTGAGTTCAAATCCTGCTATTCTCAAATGGTATTTTACCAACAGAGAAGCCTCTTCTCTGGATGGAGAGGATTCTCTCTATGAGACAAGGTTATTGGCTGCTGGGAACTAGAAAAGTTTAGAGTGGGTGATGATATGGGAGTTACATAAGCATATGCTAGATTAAGTTAATAGACTGAGCTTGTCAGTCTTAGTGTGATCTTATACATCTTGTTCTGATTTTCTATTGGTTCTTGTCATGTTTAGATATACCAGCTACACCTAGGTTTTGTGAGAATTTCTCTAGGGGGTATGATCTAAGAGGAGAATTTGATGAAAAGTCAAATAAGAGATCTTGGCCCCCCCTGGACATGCTACAGTTTGAGACTTAAACAGAATGGAGTGGTGGGAGCTCAGATATCAAGGATAACCCATGCTGTAACTAAGCCAGATTAGGGAGAGTGGCTCTTCAAAGTCTATGACTCCATAAGAGCCTATGAAAAATAATGAATAACAACAACTTATAAACGCCTTTATTCTCATAAGTACGGAGTACAGTGCCCTAGGATGTAGTACACTCTACAATGCCTATTATAGACACAAATGTCCTTAAAATTATCCGTGGAGATGCTAATCAACGCCGCCAGCCCTTTAGCAGAAAGAGTCCTGGGTATATACAAAGACAGATGACCATGCTCAATGCAGATTCGAGAAAAAAGCCCATACACAAAACGAATATATCTGCCACTACTCCCTCCCCATCATGGCATGAGCGCTGGCTCAACTATCCGGTTCAAAATAGATCGCACCAATGCTCCGTTTCCTTCGGACGTTTCACCAGAGGGGCCCTGAAGCCCGCTGATGGTGTTTTCAAGCTCGTCAATCATGGTCAGAGCTTTATCACGCAATCGTGAAATGGTTTTCCTCGTATATCCAAAACTACCAGTGCTCTCCATATAATTGATGGCATAACGCTTGACTTCTTCATCCTGTGTCTTTTGTTTTAAAATATTAATGAGCTGCAAATTATCTGGTTGTGAACGGATGGAGTGGATAACAGGAAAAGAAAATTTGCCTTCCGTCAGGTCCTCACAGAGTCCCTTATTTTTGCTATATGTTGGGTTGGAGAGGTTGAGATAGTCGTCGCAAATTTGAAAAATGAGACCCATTAAGTTAACGAGGGGAATGCAGTCACTAAGCGACGATTGTTAGACATAAAAACCTGCAATCGGGTTAGAAAAACTTACACGGTAACGCTGCTTTCAGCCTGCATTAGCTTAATGGCCAGTCTAAATAACCCCCCTGTCTTATTTCCCACCATCTGCAAATAATCTTCTTCATTTGGACACGTAAGGGTGTCTCTCCAGAACAAATCCATGCCCTGCCCACGATGAAGGTTTAAAAGCTCTGTTGTAAAAATTCCTATTGCATCAGGATTATGTAACTTCTGTAATTCAGCCAGAGCTAGAAAGTATATATAATTCGCCGAGTTAATGGTTTGCGCAGTCCCGAAAATATTATGGGCGACGGGTACTCCGCGACGGAGCACAGATGAGTCCTCGACATCGTCAACTCTAAACAAAGAAACCCTCAGTCAGCCGATGTATCTCTCCAACTCTCTCGTGGAAGGCAACATACAACAGCGATGCGGTGTGCAGCATAAGCACCACTTTGGAAATAATCGTCAAACTCTCCTCTGGCACGTGCAGCCACCTGTTGAACGCTGCGATGAGCTGCCTGCGAATATCCTTGCCCGGCTGATGACTCATATATTCGTATGGTCCCAAAAGAATCTTTTCTTTATCCGCAGACCACATCCCGTCGATATTACTTATCATGGTTGTCGTACAGATCGTTGCGGCGTCCGTATTGCTGGCGCCTGTGGACTTTGGGGACGATATTCGAGCAGTCCCGTTTTGGGTAGGAGATGTTGGCTTTCTGGATATCCATTCTTCTTCGGGGACTGGCTTTAAGTTGATGCTCCATGTCGAGGCTCCATTCGTGACACCAGTGGAACTCGTGCGGGGAGGAATGGGGTTGGGAGATGAGAGTTCAGGCATGATGATGGAGGCTCAAACACTTCAGTTCAGGCGAGACAAAATAGAAACTCGAGGTGAATATGATAACGTGGCCAGAAGGCAAGCTCTTTGGAAGATGCAACTTGCTGGCGTTGGGGCGTTTCCGGGGCCAGATGTCGCGGGGGCGGGATCGAATGCTCGGCTAGAGACAAGTTCTTCTATGTTATTATTATTATTAGATGGCAACGCCACAAACAAGAATATCGACGCCTAGATCTCAAGAGAGTAGTGGCTCCAAGACGCCCAAGACGACAGGAACTGAGGCAGAAACAGTCTCACGCCGTCGTCACATGCCGGGCCGTCATCGTCGCGTGTTAAGCTTTGACGCGCTCTTGGCGCTGCCTCCCGCAGTCCCGCCATCTAGCCGTTTGGGGCGGCTATGTCGATGAGCTTTTAGTCTCGTATTGCTCTGGGGTCCGTTGGTAATGCCTCAAACGTGAATGAATGAGTCCTGCCGAGGATGGTCGATATGTAGTCAGACGGGGCTATGGCTTCGGAGATAGGCAGCCTGCCGGACAAGCTCTGGGTTTAAGTATGGTGCAAAGACGAGAACTACCACAACTCTGTCTACTGTGGGTACATACTCTACTCAGTTTCTCAAGTATATACGCATTGCCTGTTCTTCTTTCCGCATAAAACAACTTTTACCTTCTCTTTTCTCTCTGCATCCAAGCATGTATCAGAGAACATGGATGATCCCGAGGGCCTCTTCCGGTTTGAGGCTTGAGCTTCCCCGGATCATTGCATCCTCACGAAAGTACTGAGGTTGCAAAGTGTTTAATCGGGCCAGGTTTGTTCAGAACCAATCTTCTCAACCCGGGCAAGGATTTTGCAGCAATGGGCTCCGAGAAGCGGGCTCCTGATTATGAAAGTCTGAATGCCACCACTGATACGAATATAGATAGCTTCCACAGCTCACAGTTAGGAAATTCGGTGAAAGGGACTGTAATAATTTATGACATGGTTACGTCAAGTGGGCATATGAAGCGGCCAGGAGAGCTGGGTAGCAATACAGTACATCGAATATCTAAGAAAGCAAGAGAAACACTTGAGAGTGTTGAAAGCTAGAGGGAGATCAGCAAGATGAGTGACTATTCTGATGAATAATGGGGGTGAATTTTGAAGCAATTCAAGAATTCAACTTGTCCTAATTTGAGAAGTATCTGTTAGGTGCTTTTACCACCAATAGTGATAAAAATAACATAACACCTTCGGGTTCTTTTCGGATTTTGACCAAACTGCAGGTCCTTTGACCTATGGTGTGTTACCCTGCTGGAACTACAGCTTAGGCTTCATGGGCAGTTTAAGGGCCGAATGACTAACTGCCTGTTCACCAACATGTGTTTTTAACCCGAATGGTAAAGAGCAGTGACTAGTCCTCCACTAGCAATATTAATGCAGCTAAATAACACTCTACATGGCTAACAATAGATCCTTCCTGCTAGACAGAATCGCGTCGAAGTATCAACTACCAAAGTTGTGGGTAAGGGGCCGATTAATAAATAGGGCCAGCACAGAGTGTGACTTCACAGTGCCGCATATTTGAATCACACTGAAAATTGCTAAGTAATCTTCAACACGTTACTCATTCTAGACATATACAGTTTGTCATTTCAACCTCACTTCACGAAAGAAAAAAAAGACTAGGCCGCTCATGCCTTCGATTGCTCGACGCGACGTTCCCTGAGCTGCTCTGCTTGAGCAGGAGCATCTAGATGATACAACTCCGGGCACACAGCATGCTTGCGCATCAAAATATATCTCTTGAACCACCAAGGAAGCACCGTGGTGAGCTGGTACTTGGCGTGAGTGCGAGTCGGGACGGCGAAGACGTAGTCGAGTTCCTCCAGGGTGCGCTGTTTGGTCTCGGGCAGGAAGAGGAAGATCAACACCAACGCGATGAGGTTGAGCCCAGCATAGAAACAAAATGCACCGGTTGGTGTGAATGCACGGATTAACCGTCTGAAGGTAAGCGCAAGAACAGAGGCCCAGAAGTTGTTGGTCGCGACAGCCCAGGACATGCCAACTTCACGGTGTGAAAGTGGGAACACCTCGGCAGAGTAAGTGAATGGCACAGGACCCTCACCGGGAGAATAAAAGGCCGCAAACAGGTATACGAAGAAGGCGATGAGTCCGAGATGTGCCTTGTTGCTTTCTGGGATGTAGAAGCACATTCCGGCTGCCAGCAGGGTCCAGAACATTTGAGGGAATGTGAAGATCAACAGGCCTCGTCGACCGAAGGTATCGATGGTCCATACCGCAGGCCAAGCGAAGACGAAATTCACCAATCCGAATCCAAAGGAGGCAAGCAGAGCTTCGATGTTGCTGGCTCCGGCCTGTTCAAAAATTGACGCGGAATAAAACGCAATAATGTTGACTGTTTAATCAAACCCAGATTAGAAGGTTATTCACTTTTTTCATTAACGGAGAGAAATGACTTACTTCCACACATCTGTTGTGCAATCATAACAATACCGGAAGCCTGGGTGGCACGCCGAACACGGGGAATAGTGAACAGCTCAATAAACCGGGTGAAGAAGTTATTATTCTTAGCGACACCAGATTCCTCGAGAAGAACCTGCTCATGGACAAGCTGCGCATGGATATAGTACAGATCTCTGGCTGCCTGGAGAGGAGTGTTTCGGAGGCGGAGCAATGACTGGTACGCTTTGAGATATTTGCCCTTCTTAAGCAGCCAACGTGGTGATTCGGGGCAGAAGAAGATGCCGAGAGCAAGTGGAACAGCTGGAATGAAGGCGGAGCCCAGTTGCAAACGCCAGGTGATTTTTCCAACGTTGACCACAGCCAGATTGGCGCAAGTTCCAAGGAAGATACCAAACGCCGTCCATACCTGCCAGGACATGACCAAACCACCACGAATATTGGCGGGAGTGTTCTCTGCTGAGAAGACCGGAACAGTGACTTCTTTCAGGCCCATACCAATACCAAGCATGATACGGCAAATCGCCAGCTGCGGCCAGGTATGTGTAAGACCGGATCCGATGGGCGCAAGAATACTGAAAATTGCGGCAATGAAGATAGTGCCACGACGACCCAGGATTTCATTGATGGGGTCAGAAAGCCAGCCAGCACTAAGAAAATTATTGTCATTAGGACGAGTTCATGAATACCAATCTTTATGGAACAATTGCACACTCACAAGAGAGCAATTGAGATATATGGCATAGAATTGACGAATCCTACAATCCAAGCGTTCCTGTCACAGTCCGCTTCGATCGCGCAGCCCGAATCTGGAATACCGAATTCCAGGGGGAATGACAAATTGGCACCGTTGGAACCTGCTTTCGATTAGCATAGTATACAACGCAACACTTAATCTGGGCGCAACATGCCAGTTTGATCCCATCCCTGGATAGCAGCAGCAATGGAGTTCAGAAGAATGGTATAGTACAAAGCCCATGGGTGTCTCCACCGATGAACGACTTCGTTCCGCAAAGCTTCCCTGTCCGCTTCGTCCAGATCGGCAATGTTCTCGAAGTCGGCAGGGCTCTGGGCGACCAACGCTCCCTTGCGCAGCAGCGGGAGGATATCTGTGAGGTTTTGCTGGTTGGCGAAGTCGTCGACATCCTGAAGCAGTTGTTCACGGGGGATATCAGACAAAGGATTTCGAATTCTATGAATCTATGGTAAGCCCAGACTGGTATATTCAAGAGCAATTGGGACGGGCGCACGCACTCTCCAGTGAGATTTTGGGACATGGCCATGACGCTCTCCCGGCGATCGAAGCCGATGGAGTCATGGCTGTGACATGGGGTTAGCTTGGACACACGTATTGGGTGGCGCACATGAGTGTCTACACACCGAGCATCTCCCTTGTCAGCCATGTTGGGCTACTGTCCAGGCGGCCTCAGTTGGGATAGGACGAGAAAGAAAGGAGACAACCACCGTCCACCTCGACAGAAAGCAAGCAAAAATGAGTAGACCTGGAGAAAACAGGGAAACACGGAAACAGCTTGGGGAAAGCTATATATTAAGTAGGCTGGGGCCAAGCGCATGCAGCCTTTCTCCCGCATGAATCCCTGCCGCCATGAAAACTCACCAGATTTAAACTCGAGCGCACTCTGGGAAGGCCATCAAAGAGGGGTGGAACCCCTCCGGAAGGAGGACTACCGTGGCTCTGCATGTTTTGTGGCTTTCCCCCGAATCACTCGACCAAGTTGACCATGCTAGTATAGTACGAGGAGGGCCTCTGCGGCGCTGGAGGCAAAACAAAACAGCAGGGCTCTCCCTAGCTGGCACGACACCAACACTTGGGAGGGTCGCCAGGCAAGCCGCCATAGACGCCTCCGCCGCTCTCCGGGCTTCTTTGTTCCCGAATTCTTCTCTTGTATAAGCACCAGACGGCGCGGAAACGTCGCCCAGCGAAGCGGCTGGGCAAGCTGGGCTTGAGAGCTTAAACCCATCGTGACTTTCGGTGTGGCGGTGGGTGGTCGTCGCCAAGGCGCAGGGAACGGGCATTGATTTGAGATGCTCAGGGTGGAAGCTTTTTTCTCCTCCAGCCAAACGCATGTATCTGCATCCCACCCGGGGCGCCATTTTGCGGGTTTCTTTGACGGCCGCTTTCAGCGTGTTGGGCATGATTATACGGAGGCTGTAAAGTGTCTAGTACCAGGCTGCGCTCTGGAGCACTCCCAGCCATCCTCCCACTACCTCGAGCAGCTTCGAGCAGCCGCCAGTCCGTCGCATGATGGTGACGCCCAAGCTGGGTTGTCCACGCCTTGGATGACGACGGCGGTTGCTCCGTGTTCTTCGGGGCCATTGGCTGCATCCCGGCGCTGATCGCCATGCCGCCATCTAACTGGCTGTTTTTCGCGGTTTACGGCCGCTGATTGGCCCGCCGGGCTGAAATTCCCCCCTGCGATCCTGGCGGTACGGTAACGCGCTTACCGTACCGCCACCTCCCGCCAAGACCGTGATCGCCGGCCCCGGCGCAGCGCCAAGCCTCCCCCACAGGCTTCTTTGTTGCGCCCGCGAACGCCGGCAAAACCGCCAGCAGAGCCGTCGCACCACGGCCAGGACGAAAAACAAAATATCCCGCATCCGACGAGCAAGACGCGAAAGAAAAAGCCGCAAAATGGAAGATTCGAAAGCCTTTCCATGCATGGGGTCTGGGGCTCCCTCCAGCCGGGGGTGCGTGGACTCCAGCCCACGGCTGATGGGGGAGGCAAGAGTGCTCGTGACGGGGGAGGAATAATGCTTAGCCTGGCTGGTTGGCTCTGCGTTCGGCATGGCCGTCGAAGGCTCGTATCCTCTGCCTGGGTCTGGCTTCTTTGTATGAGCTTGGGCCTGGGGTATATGCAAGCCCGTAGAGACGAAACGAACTGTAAGTATCGAGCCGTGGCCCATCCGTTGTACTACTGCGTGCTCGCAGGCTCATCGACGGTTGCACTGCAGGGAGCGGTACAAATGCCACGGCGTTGATATGTTTAGCATCCCACCGTTCCTCCAGGGTGTGTGTTGTCCATGCGTCACCCACAAGACCCACCCGATGCAACCCCCCTGCTACCATGGATGATCTGTAGCATGCATGGCATTCCAAATCCTTGGTCGTCCAACGGCCCGGGGGGAAGCGGTTTAAAATCTTTCCGCCGTGGGCTTCAACGTCCTGCGTCCGCAGAGGAAGTGTGGTTTACTCATCTGCTGAGGATCAAGATCTGACGAAGCTTTGATATTCATGATGCATATACTTCGCACATCTGCACCTACAGTACCCCGTTTGATTGTTTGCGGCGGTGTAGCCCGGGCGCGCGTGGACCGAATCAAAATCCCACAAAGAACCCAGCACCAACAAAACAGGCGTCAGCAAGGTGCATGATGGCTTATGTTGTCTGCCTCTCTTTTTTTCTCTTTATCTTACATCTCGTCTCTTTGATCGAGGCGTCGAGATCACTCGACTCGGCGTGGAGCCTCGATGGCGCCCTAGTTGGACCACTCGGCCATCCGGATCCAGCCGTGATTCATGTCCTGGAAAGGTATGGTAACTGCGCACGAGATCGTTGAGGGATTCTTTTTCTATTAGTCCCACCCTCTCTGCACGCAATGCAGATCCCAGATTCAGCCTTATTCTAGGGTTTGAAACTACGCATGGCATCCTGGAATCTTGCCCGTACTACGCGTCTATGCTGTGCTGTGCAGTTATCCAGACGAGCAGTTTCAGAAAGAAAACGCAGCAACAAACAGCGGAAAGGAGGCCCTTAAAGAAATCCCTCAGACTTTGACGCCGGGGAATTTCCGAATTGCTGGTGTGTTTCGATGCGGAGCGGCTTAGGCCTGCTGTTATGACGTTTGCTCGCAAAAAATTGTGTTTCATACCCTAGACGTTTTCCCAGGAAGGCTCTGCGTCGACTCCATCTCGCTCACCGGAGCACCTTTTTCTACAATTTGCGGGATATCTGCTGTGACTCTGGGGTATGGGGGCCCCACCCAGACAAATTCCCCGGCGGCGTCTGGAGAAACCCCCGCCGAGACGGATAGGCGAAGAATCAGAGTCTCGTCAAGAAGGTGCCGCATTCAGCCGTAATAAGCGACGCCCGAAAGGATACCCGCATTGCGTCTCCTTGCCGACTTCGCGTTTAGCGAGACGATGCACCATTTTTACCTTCTTTCTTTGCACGAATTATTATTATTATTATCTTAGGGCCGTTATAGGGTGGGGAAAAACCACCCAACGGCGGGAGGTATATTTGAAGGCGAGATTAGATTGTGGATGTCCGGATGCGTTGTATAATATTATTATTCCGAAACGGCGCCGATAGTTTGCTAGTTATATCCTCCGAGAAAATTCCCTCGAAGTGAAATTCTCGTAGAAATTTCTTTTTCCCTCGATCGCAAAGATGATTCTTTAATAAAAGAGTCCAGAAGATCCGGCAGGCTCAGGATATGCGCAGCGATACAGTTTGACAAGCGATGATCGTCGTCAATGAAATTCCGACTGATGTACAATGCATCGATCGGAGGGACACTCTCCATAGAGTCATTGTCTCAAATTTAAGCACCAGACACTCAAGTCAGATTAGAATACTGCGTGCATACATACATAATAGCTTCTCCCCTCATGACAGTCCAAACTGACCTTCGTCGAGCGAAGTCGCCCAAGGCGGGCACGGTGCGTTACATAAGCCGTTGCCGTGGCAGCGAGGGCGGGTATTTGGATTTACCTAATTTAGGCAACCAGCTGTGATGGGTGTGGCGTCATCGGCCAGCGGGCGGGCGCGCAATGCCGCTTCATAAATAACTAATCGAATCCTCCGCCCCGGCGGAACAATAATAATAATCATCGTTCTGCACGCCACACAGACAAGACATACGCATTCATATTATTATTCACACTCCTTTCACCGGCCCCCCTCTCTCTCCCCGCTTCCACAAGGACCTGTGTCGACGGGACGCAACGATGGAGGCCCTCCTGGCGCACTCGTTTGACTACTTGTCGTCCTACGACCAGACAAAGATCCGCAAGGGGCTGCGGCAGGTCGAGGGGCTGCTGGCGCAGATATGTCTGTCGCGAGGAGGGGGAGCTCCAAAGCCCTCGGCGGCAGACCGGCGGCGCTCGACAGTGTCGGTCAACAACAGCAACAACAATAATCATAATCATAATAATGCGAGTAATACTGCGGCAACGCCTGCTCCACCGAAATCCCTGAGCGAACTCTGCGACGATCCGGCGTTTAGGGAGTTCTACAAGCTTCAAGAAGGATTCCAATGGAACGGTACGTGTGTTTCTTCCTCCTCCGCCTCTCCTCTTACCCGGTGCCACCCCCCCAGCTAACACCACGACCGCAGTCGCGCTGCGCCTCATCTCCTGTCTTGAACACCTGCTGGGCCGCGGCAGCAACGGCGCCAACGACCTACTCATCATCGCGGCGCTGGACCTGATCCAGGGCGTGCTGCTGCTGCACCCGCCGTCGCGCGCGCTGTTCGCGCGCGAGATCTACATGAACCTGCTGCTGGACCTGCTCGAGCCGGCCAACTGCCCGGCCATCCAGTCGTCCACGCTGCTCACGCTGGTCACCGCGCTGCTCGACAGCCCCGCCAACACCCGCACCTTCGAGGACCTCGACGGCCTGCTCACCATCACCTCGCTGTTCAAGCTCCGCTCCACCTCCCGCGAGGTCAAGCTGAAGCTCGTCGAGTTCCTGTACTTCTACCTGATGCCCGAGACGCCGATTTCGCCGTCATCGAGCCCCGGCCGCCCGCATAAGGTGGCCGCTGGCGGCGGCGGCGGAGGAGCGCGGGCGGCCAGCGGGGTGAGCGATGCGGGCGTTGCTGGCGGTGGCCGCGACGTATCGCGCGACACGAAGAATACGGAAGAAAAGCAGGCACTGCTGGGCAAGTACCTGAGCAACGTCGAGGATCTCGTGGAGGATTTAAAGGAAACGGCACCGTTTGGTGGCACGGTGTACTGACCGGATGATCTTGCTCTCTGGGTTTCCCACCCCAGCCCCCCCTGTTTTCCTTGTCTTCTCTGATCTCTTTTGTTTTTTTTTTCTTTCTATTTTTGAAATTTCTTTCTTTCTTTCTTTCAAATGGTGGTCTTTCTCTTTCAATGGCTCAGCGATCAGCGTCGGTGTTCCACGGGGGTTGGCGTTTCTATACCTATAACTAACCAATAACTACTTCGCGGGCGCGGCGTTTGCACGACAGCAAGCCTCGACCCAAAAAACTTGCACTCTGGCTGGTGCCACACTGGTCCCCCCGGAGAGGCCATTTTGCAATCGAAACAATCTGCAGAACAAAAGAAAACGCATCATCATCATAATAGTGCATCATATGGTCGATTTTATATGTTACTTCTCTGTTTCTTTTATTGCTCTCCCTCTCTGCTGTAGAACAATCGGGCGCTGGATATAAAGCACCGTCGCGCGATCTGTGTGGTCTGTGGGTGTGTGCAAACGGGTTCGCCGAGAGAGGCGCGAGAAACGGGCCGTGACTCATCACTTTGCTCTGAGGAGCTAGTATATATATGATCCGAGGGACGGTATCATCAAGCCCCCGTGTAAATATATACATCGTTGATCAGCGTGTTGTCCCCTATGCTGCTGGCTTGATTTTATTTTGCTTTCATTGTTGTGTGTGTCTGTCTGGGAGATAAAGAAATCGATCGTACTGTACGTACAATCCAAGGGGAAAGGAGCAGGAGAAAGAAAAGAAGTATTGACTAGTTGGCTAAGTGGCTGTTGGAATACAGTTTTGATTTACATCAGCAACAATGCCGACCCCGACCCGAGAGATCCAGTACCTTGAGACGATTTCCGCGTACGACCAATGGGCGGAGGTAAATACTCCTTCTTGTTCCTCCCCAAGCACCCGCACATGTACGTACTGATTACTTCTGCGCAGGTCTACGACACAGACAACAACTTCCTCCAGCGACTCGACACGCTTGAATTGCAAACGCTGCTCCCGGCATTCCTGTCCTTAGTGCAAGAGCAACAACATGAACAAGAACAACAGACCCCCACAAAGATCGTAGACCTAGGCTGCGGGACCGGCAGGAACACGCTCTCCCTTCTCCGCGCCACAGCCCCAGCGCCGGAGGACCCCGCCAACACGCCGCCAACCCAGATCCTCGGCCTGGAGCCGTCGACCGGCATGCTGGCGGTCGCCCGCACCAAGGTCGAGGAGTACTTCACCAACGGCGGCGCCGCAGCCGGCGACACACGCGACCGCGTGTCCTTTCTGGAATACAACATCGCGCCGGAGGGCGGAGCGGAGCCGCCGGCGGCGGCGCAGGGGGCGGACGGGGTGGTATCGACGCTGGTGCTGGAGCACGTGGAGCTGGCGGGATTCTTCGGGGCGGTGGCGGCGATGCTGCGGGCGGGCGGGGTGGCGCTGGTGACGAACCTGCACGCGGAGATGAGCGCGGTCAGCCAGGCCGGGTTCGTGCAGCCGGCCACGGGCGTGAAGATTCGCCCGACGCGCTGCTATGCGTACACGGTGGCGCAGACGCTGGCGGCCGCGGCGGCCGCGGGGCTGCAGCCCGTGGCCGAGGTGCGCGAGACGCGGGTGTCCGAGGAGCTGGCGGCGGTGCTGGGCCCGCGCGCGACCAAATGGATCGGGGTGTATGTCTGGTATGCCTGCTGCTTTCGGAAGATGTGAAACGGAGCGCGTTTCTTAGCGGATCAGCGGGGGCGTTGGTTCTAGATTTTGGATTTTTAGTTTTTGATTTTTTTTTTTTAGATTTTGTCTTATAGAATGAAACAATAGAGAGCGCCTAGCAAGTTCGAGAGCATGTTTAGTTTGCGCACTCGTTTAGTTTATTCAAAATAGGCTTGAAGAATCCGGTTGCGATGTCGGACAAGATTCTCGTATTTCGTCAAATACTTTTTCAGCGGGTTCCTCTTCCAGCCAAACGACTCGTCCAGGATCAAATGGGTATATGCAAACAGACTGGCGTCCAAGATGCCCGGGGTGTCCGTGCCGGTGAAGTACGCCTGGTCCTTCAGGACGGTGGAGAGCACCTCGAAGGCGTCCTTGGCGGCCGACAGCAGCGAATCCACCTCCCTGAAACGCGAGAAGGTGTCGAGCTCCTCTCGTGCGGCGTGCCGGAGCTGTGAGGCAATGGCCATGCGCACGAGCGGGTGGGTGCTGCACGGGTCTACGTAGATCCGGCGCACGACGGAGTCGAAGTTCGCGTCCTCCAGGTACAGGACGTGGACCTGCAGCGGCGGATATTGTCAGCCTAGGCTGGGGAGAAGAAGAGAGCAGAAGCATACCCAGGCACGCCGGATGGCATGCTCGACAAGCGGGCAATACGTTGCGAGACTCAGGCGATGGCTATGGGCGGCGGAGGTCTTTTGCGGCTGGCCCGTCCGCTTGAGCACCCATTTTTCGATATCTTCTCCAAGGACGACGGGCGGGGCGGCGGCGGTGGTAGTGTTGGGGTCTACGGCGGGCACCAGGAAGGGCAGGGCCAGGTTTGGCGAGGCGTAGGCGGAGGACGGGACGGTATCATAGCGGATAGCGTGGAAGTTCAGGTAGGCCTGGGAGAAGCCAGTTAGTTAGTTAGTTGCTGTGAAGAGGCCAGGCTGGCATTGGGACCACGGCTTACGATCCATTTGAGAGACTGCGGGTGCGGCGAGGGCGTGGCGGGCGGCGGGCGCGTGGCCGCGGGATGAGCGGCAATGTAGAGGGCGGGGCGGGGGGGGGGGGGGGGGGGGGGGGCGGGGGGGTAGG